AGCCACATTATTTAGGTTGCAAATAAACAGGGCGTCGTTGATGTGATGTGTTTACTTCCACGTTCGAATGTGTTGAGAATGAGTAGCCGAAAAGTGCAGTCTGCAGGCTGCTTCCCGGAGTTGCCTGATATTTCCCCAACTCGGGAAAGGGGGGGAGAAAGGGGGGGATGTTGTTTGAAGGTGATAATATTTATTCTCACCCAGGAGAGTCGCCGGTCGTTAAAAAGTCGACTCGCTGATAACGGGAAAGCCTGTGGGGCCCCATCTATAGTAACCATGAGTAAAAGGTGGTATACACCTATGTCACTGAGAAATTATGATCGTGCAAACGATGGGGCGTTGTGGATACAGGTGAAGCAAAGACCTATCTTACGATTGTACCGTCCTCATTAGAAGCAAAAATTACGGTTTGCTTCTTCAACCCCTCCTGACGCCAACCCTCCTCTATATCTACTGGATCCTGACCTAACATACCGTGTGTCACGTAATTTACCCAAGCGAACGGAAGCTGTTATACACCGATTACGTCTGGGCGTTTCCTACACACAGGAATTTCTGCACCGAATCGGAAAAACACACACTCCGAACTGTCCAGGATGTGATTGTGTGGAAACTATATCTCATTTATTATGTGAATGTGCACTTTACGATGCAGAAAGGGAACTCCTAAAGAGGATTCTTTCACATCTAGACGACCGGCCATTTACTACGTCCAAAATACTAGGGGCCTGGGACTCACCACTTAAAGAGGAGAAGGCCGCAAAAGCCCTTCTGCGATTTTTATCAGCAACTCGCCTCGAGTTCTGTTTGTAAAAACTTATCTAGTGTTCATTATTTGTTGTCGTATAGAGGGCTATCCATTTTATAATTCCTGTAAGTGTACACGTGCGCAACTGGACTTCGCGCTGGCGCGTACAAAAACTCGAGTGTTTTGGGTGAACATTGGTGACAATCCAGCACGCACTTTCAGTCTCTTAGTTTTTATTGTCATATTGGAAACTGCGGTATTTTCTTAATTATTGATTCTTCCCTCACAGTGTTAACGTGAGTGCTAGTGTGTTACCTTTATCCTCCTCTACTTTTTCTTTCCTCCTTCTTTTATCCCCTCATCCCCTTCCCCAACTCAGAGTAGCCAACCGAGGCAGGCCGCCTTGGTTAACCTCTCTGTTTTCTCCTCCTGCCCTTACCTTCTTCTTCTTCCTGACGCCAATCTTTCCAATTTTGAATAAATCCGGGACAGCATTGATCGCGCAAGCCCGCGCCAATATTTAAAGGTCTTTATCAAGTTATAAAACAGTCATCAAGCAGACGTAAGGAGGAATAAATACGCAAAAGAGTCCAAAATGGGATGAACAACCTATGAGAGGAGATGTGTTTCAAACAGTAATGAAGAGATTAGGGAAAGCCACTTGATTTATAAGTTTCGGAAATAAATGTATTATCGACGACCTGAACCCTTTATTGTGCAAGCCAATCCGTGTGCAGACGCGAGAATGGTTCCAGCAGCCGCGCGATGCCAGAGAGCGGCTGCTGGAACGAACCCAGCATACCACGACCCCTCGATCTCCACCGACCGAGCGGCCTCGGACCTGCAGCTCATGGGAAAAAGAGTTCGGTCGCGCTGGCTTCCTCAATCCTGCGGATTGCGCGTGCCCGCGTCAACGAGGGAAGACACCTGGACGTCTCAAGGTCGTTGTGGCGCTCGCAGCTAGCCGCTCGTTTCGCGCTTTTTGAGGATTATCCCTACAGAAAACGCCGACACAAAAGAAGCCTCTGCCGTCACGTGATTTTTGGGAGAGGGTGAAAAGAGGAGGGCGCGAGGGGCATTTTCCTACCTTGCGGGAAATGGTTTCGTTGGTCTCGACTGTTTGACGACGATTCGTGTTACACTAAATCAGTTGGAAGTTGGCGCCTGTCTGTGTCGTACGGGTGTCTTTTTCACCCTGTTTTGTTCGCGCCTTTTAACCTTTTAATCGATATGAACCAAATAGCCTCAACCAAAGTTTTATTGTATAGTTATTGTATTTTAGGGATGTTTTCACCGCAAAAATAATATATGCACCGTCGAACGCTCATTCTCCGCCCAAATATAGAACTTCCAAACCAGATGGCAAAGTTTCAGCGCTGTACTTCGAGTACGTTTTTTAGATCTCCTTAACCCAACACTGCACTTTTATGACATCAGCATGAAATCGAGGAGATTGTCTGACGAAGGACGTCCGCCCGAAACGTCGCTTATATTCATTTGCCCCCTGCCTTTTGCATCTCTTACCTCTCAAGTTTTGTGCCAAATTTTACGTGCCGGGAACCCTTGGTGACGATAGAAGACCGTTTTTAATCGTACGGAAGGAGACGGCGGTGTGACGAGATCAGGCGCGTGCTTGGGCTCTTTCGCCGTGCTTTTCACTGGGCGAATTAACGCGGGTGGCTCATTTGCTTTAGACCGTAATATTTTGAGGAGCCTTACAGAAAAATTGAGCATCAGTCCTGCGTTAATCCGCAGTAGTCACCGCGACAACTGCGAAACGTCACGGCGAAGTTGTTGGACATGCGTGAACAAAAGAAAATAGACATTTGACCATTTTGTTCCGAACGCTATTGTTTCTAAAGAGCGTCTCGACTTTCCAGGTACGTGCTCTTGGCATTGACGGTGCTACAACAGCATTTTGCTATCGACTATTTTTTTTTTTTTTCCTTTGAGAGCGCGTGCAGAGGATGTAGCGTACTACCATAGCCTCCTTTATACTGACAAAACCTGACAGATCGCCACGAGAAGCGGCCGCCGAAATTGAAAAGTGACGAGTGGCAGACAACGGATGAGAGGAGAACCAGGTTAAGCGCGCCCGCTGCGGCGAGACGCCGAAACACACTTCTCCCGAGCGATGGAATGTCCGCTCGTGCTCCTCGCGCTCCCCGTGCTACCGCTTTTTTCTCGTCAGGTTTGAAAAGCATGTTTCGTGTCCTCGCCGCTGCAAAAGCTGTGCTCTGAATATTAGGTTCCCCGAGAAATGCTCTCTGCTACCAGATCCCCGCGCTCCAAATCTGCGACCGGGCACTCTAAGGCTCCGTCGTCGCAGTGCCAGGCTTTGAGAGTATAGAGCAGGCTATGGTACTGCAAAATCCCAAGTATAAAGCGGGTTAATAAAAACGTAACGTAACTCTAAAAAAAAAAAAAAAAAAATGTGGCGTAGTTTTGTGGTAACGCTTCCGCTCTAGAACCAGCGGAACCAGGTTCGATTCCCGCAAGCGATATTTTTCGAGGATTTGGCAACATCGACGACAGACGTCGTGCATCATCAACATTGGCAGTCATTTCTAATGGTGGTAAGAGCCTATAACAGCTATCGCTGTAACAGCATGTATTAAACTCAAAATGTAAACATTTTTTTTAACAACATGCCGGAACGGCATTTAGCCTTCTGTCCGCAAATTTGAGGAAAGATCAGTACGACTAAACTGGAATCGATCGAACGTCCGACAACCAGCATTATCAGACGCTAAACCGTCAATAGAAAAAAAAAGAAAAAAAGATTGGCACAAGCCAGGTTGGGACGGGCAACCTCTCCACAACCAGAGACGCCAGAGAGGGCCCACCGAGCGTCTCAACCTCCTCGACGAGTGCCCGGAACACGTTCGGACGGCGACTAACCGAGCTCCCAACACCGGGCCAGACGTCCGGAGGACAGTCAGGCATTCCCGTGTTTTCAATGACACTGGTGCTTTTTCACGATAATACGCGCAACTGGTTCGATATGCCTCGCTTCCGGAGCAGCATTAACACCGACGCACTTCTTTCGGTCATGAGCCGTTGTAACGTCCACGAAACTAAACAGAACATATGCGGAGTGCAAGTTCGTCTGCTTTTTTTTTGCAGGGGTTGTGGTGACGTCAAAAAGACGCCGATCTCTGATTGGTTCCGAATGAAGGGTAGTCGGTAGACCTCAAAGCAGCTTGCTTTGAGGTCTACCCACTATCCCTCAACCAGAACCGACCAGAGCTCGGAGTCTTTTGCCGAGCTCTGATAGCGAAAGCAGACAACTTGTTCTCCGCATATTGTTACTTTACGCGTCTGTCAGCGTCTGGTCAAGGGCCCTAACAGTAAGGTGCCAGGAACACGTTTCCGACTGGCGTGTTTATTACGTCCAAAGAACTTCTCTTCCTTTCCGCTTGATGACGCCATAGAAGTGTCACGCTGTCGCCGGTCGCGATCCTGGCGGCGTCCCAACCGCTGTGGTGTATGTGGCAGACGCCTGCTCTGCTGCAGGTCGCTCTCCAGTGTGGCAGCCCACGGGAGCTTCGGCAGCCAGAAGTTGGGACGCCGTGATGACAGCGACAATCGCGTTCGCTCGTGCTACTTGCAGCTTCTCTTTAACGTTTCTACGACCAAGCGCCAGGATCGCGACACGCAACAGAGTGACACTTCGGCTTCTGTGACGTCATTTGGTGCCGCTTCAGGACCACTTTTGGTGTATGGGGCAGCACAGGACGCTAAACACACCATTCGAAGACGCGCTCCAGTCACCATACCAACAGCGCATTTGAGAGGACGCAACGCTGCAATGGTCAGTAACAACGCGACGCACAACGGGAACGCGATCGAAGATATTCGATTTTGCTCGCCAGAGGCGATGATAAAAACCTGAGAGCTACAGGTGCAATCTCTTTCTACCTTCCGCAAAAAAAACTTGAATGCAGAAGAAAAAAACAATCTTCCAGCCTTTCCACTCTGGTGAAGAAGGGAGACCAGCGAAGCTGTACTTTGGTGGGAATGAAGTAATGGCCGGCCGCAAGTCGGCAAACCAGAGTGGAAAGGCTGGAAACTTTGCCGCAGTCTATGAGCGACGGCGGCAAGCAGACACCCGGCAAACACAACACTCTAGACCGCTACCGCCATCTATGAGCGACGGCGGCAACCAGAGTTGTGTCGACATTTCTTCGCGGACGGACAGGATCCTAGGGAAACTAGCCCTAAACAGCTCCGCTGAGACAAGAGCAACAAAGACTTTCTTATCTACCCCGCGGGGTTTATTGCTGCCTGCCGGCCCTCAGAGCCAGCCGTATCCTCGGGGCCTGTGGAAGAGCTTGGGGCGCAGGGTGGCCAGCGTGGCGGGCTGGCGCCGGAGCCTGGCTGGCCTCTTCCCAGGGCTGCCCCCCGAAGCCGCTTCCCGCCGCGGCAGCAGCAGTGCCCTCAGGCCGTGGGACGGGGAGTCTGCGAGGGACGGACAGCCTGGCACGCTCGCCCAGACGCAACACCACCTAGAAGTCAAGGCCTGCGCATGACGTCATCGTTAGTGATCCCCGACTCGCCCCAAGACACGCTGGAGCTCGACGAGAAATGCCGCGGAAGGCGCGTCCGCTCTTGGCGACGCCGCGTGCGAGGCGGAGCTACGTGGGGCCACTAGTGATGACGTTTGGGGCAAAGGCCTTGTCTTCTAGGTTGTCAGGCGTCGCTGGTTGGGCAAGAGCGACCCTCAAGCCGGCCACCGACTACAAATGTCCTCGAAAGCAGTTTCGTGCAGAAGTGCGCATTTAACCGCAGGCATTTTAGTAGCTGGATTAAAGATCGACGACCAGTTCGCACTTTCCACTTTTCCCCTGCTTCCTCCTCTCCCTCCTTCCACCTGTCCCCCGTTGCCTGTTTCCTCCTCCCCCAGGGTGAGGAGGATCTTCTGCCTTTCAGAATCTCGAGTCTGGTCGTCGGCCTTTAAACAACACCGTACGAATTGAAGCACACCGGTACTGCCGTCGACGATCGTGCCGGGGAAAATCGTAGCGACATATCTTGTTATGGTGAATTCCACTGGAAGATCCGGAGAGCTTTTCAAAATCCGCGAGTGAGGCAAAATTTCGCTCCATGAGACCCGCTCCGAATCGACGAACAGAAGATGGACTCGCGCATGTTTGGAGCGACCGCTTTGCTAGGGTGGTGCCACCCTTTGTAATACCACTCGCCGACAAACCAGCAGCCATTTTGGCCTCGGCGATAATCCGTGGGGCTTATGACCCGCCCGGAAACAAGCCCCTTATCTCACAAGTTCGGAGCAGCGTTGTGGAACCCACGGAGGGAGGATTAGCATTTCCCCCCTCGGATGGGGGTACCGATGGACACAAAGGCCACTTCCGGCGCACGGGGAAACAATGACGAACAAAATGGCGGCGGAGGAAAGGGAAACAGGCAGTTGTCATCACTCTATGCGACGCGCACATGAAGGCACCCTAGAGCGACCCACCGACCCGGACAAGACGTCCAAAATGGCTGCTGCTCAAACTTGAAAAGCCGACCAACGCCTCAGCCGCAGTGATCCCCCCCCCCCCCCCCCCCCCCCTTTACGGGGGAGTAAACCTTGTTTTTCTGAAGGCACCCCCTTAATTCGCAACGACTCCTGTATAATGCATAATGGATAATTTTCGCTACGCGGTTGGGTTTACATTTTACTGGAGCTGTTCGCGGTACCGATGTATCGAGAATTGTGGGCGATTCGGAAAATTTAGGTCCTCGCAAAAATAAAGTCGTTTACATTATACCCGTTTTCACGTGAAGAATTGCAGTAAAAAAAAGATCGAGACACACCTAAGCACTTCTCATGAGTTGTGAATGCGAAAGCACGCACGCCGAGTTTTAGTAGACCGTGTTTCCCCCTCCGCTACCCGGAACTCTACAGTCAAGGCCATCGGCGCGCAGGCGCAGTGGCGGTTTCTTCGTAGCGGAGGGGGGAACACAGTCTACTAAAACTTTCTATTCTGCGGCGTACAACGCGCTGACCTTAGGCGTGGAACGGTGGAGCCTCTGTCTCCCGGACACACAGCGCCATCGGGTGAGCGATTGTTCAAACTGTCGTGTGCCTTGCGGCGCGAGGAAGGAACCAGACAGCAACATAGTTCCCAACAGAACGAATCCCTTGGTTTATTCCATGCGCCGTATATTGCCACGCCCCGTACAACCGATAAGAGGCGAGCGAACGCGGTGATCAGTGATAACACAGGTCTGATAACACAGGCAGGATGACACCACACAAACTCGCGGAGCATAACTAATTTTCCCCCTTTATGTAGATAATTAGGATATATGTTAGTTGCATTTTAGAATAGATATAGTATGTTGTCTTATCGAGACGTACACGTTCCAAACGCCAAAAGCAGGGGTGAGACAGGTGAAACAAGTTTTGGGGCAATTTTCTGAGCAGACAAGCAGTTTATGCATTTTGGAGCAACTTCGGAGCAGAGAAGTCTACAGTTTGTAGCAGATTAGGAGCAGAAAATGTTAGAGCAGCTTATCAGCAATTTAAATCATAAAAAATCTTATATAAATCACATAAATCTTTTTTTTTTTTTTAAACGTTATTTTTGTCCACCCCGGTTCCAACAAGTCATCAGCGCCGATACGTACCGAGATAAAATATAAAAGGAGAAAAAAAAAAAACGGAGAAGGCAAACGCGAGTTTCATGCGCATGATAATGCTTCACAGCGCACAAGATCAGACACACTTAAAAAGGAAAATCACGCATACACAGGAAGAACACTCACGCAGCGCTGACTGACAACTCAAATGTATTATGCATCATCTTCATCTTCATTCACCCCGATGCAAATGGCAGTGAAACAAAAAAAACAAGGATCATATGAAGAGGAGAAAAGGAACTTCAACCATAGCTCCGCCCACTCGAAGCTTGTAAAAAGAGGCATTGTAAAACTCTGCCTAAAAAACTCTCTGGAAAAATCTTGCAAACACACAGTCCCTACGAGTTTCAACATGCAAATTTCTCGTTTGGTTTTAGCGGGCTACCCCCCGTCTTTATTAACTTCCGTTGCCGAAGTCCTACTCAGGGAGGTTAAGCAGGAAGGAGCTATAACACGCAGAACCAGAGACCGCACCACAAGGCCTGTCATAGTTCCCTACATCCAGAACTTATCCCACAAGCTCAAGAAAATGGCCCATAGAGTCAACGTAGACGTTGTCTTCTCCGCGCCAAATAGACTTTCTAGCTTGTGCAAGAAGGTCAATGGGACCTCTAGTCGACCAGTTGGATGTATCAAAAACCACCTGAACAAGTTCGTGTCCTGCAATGAGGGAGTCATCTATTCCTTCCCCCTCACATGTGGCAAGTGTTACATCGGACAGACGGGTCGCTGCCTAAATGACCGACTTCATGAGCACCACAACAATGCCATAAATGCCAACTCGGGTCATTTAGGCCTCCACTGCAGAGCGTGTGGATGTTCTCCCCTCCTAGACAAATGCACCATACTGGGACAGAGCAGGGACAAAATGACGCGGGAAATAGTAGAAACCGCTAACATTGTAGGGCTAGATAGAATATGTGTTAGCACTCCTTCGCTGGCCTTAACGGAAAAAGAGTTGAACTATATAGAAAAAGCACAGTAGCAACGTCCGCTGTACAGGGAATTTATTATTTTTTCCTTCTATATTTTGTTTTTAATCCTTTTTCTGTCCTTTCCTTTTCTTCTCTTCATATGATCCTTGTTTTTTTTGTTTCACTGCCATTTGCATCGGAGTGAATGAAGATGAAGATGATGCATAATACATTTGAGTTGTCAGTCAGCGCTGCGTGAGTGTTCTTCCTGTGTATGCGTGATTTTCCTTTTTAAGTGTGTCTGATCTTGTGCGCTGTGAAGCATTATCATGAATTACCAACTCGCCCAAGCTGAAGTTCTGACCAATTTCATGCGCAAATACGAGGACAGGAAACACAGGCTTGCTGCAAAGTTAGGTGGGCACCAGGTACCTCAAACTTATACGAACTGTTGCCAAAGCGCAATTAAAGTGCAAAACTTTTAAAAGCGGTGATTCGAGAGCATGAACAGGGAAGCACGGTTTACTACAACCAGACATCGATTGGACGCTCGTAGAAAGCACGTGCAGATAGAAGGAAAAAAAAAAAAAAAACTCCTTACCACAGTGAGTCACAAGATAAACAGCGAGTTGGTAGAAAAACTATGAGCACCACATGCAAGTCTAAATACGGGTGTGTGACCGATTCACGCACTGGAAGCATGTGTGTGATTACCGAAAGTACTCACGGCGACGGCGCCGTTCATTTTGACGAGATTACAGACACAAATGAACAATTACACAATGGAGGCGCTCAATAGCACTTTTAAGAAAAGGTTTACTCTTGGCTCATCTTGATAGCCTGTGCGTTGTACCTCCCGCGGCCAGACCGCCAGACAGCGAGACGACGTGACAGCGAACCGTTAGCATGCAGTCACAAACGACAGCGGAAAGTAGTTGGAAAATCAGGAAAATCGGGAAAAAGGGTGCTACAGCTGAAATCTTCGAATCCGGCGGTTACTTGCGCCACCCTGTACCCGTGCCGTGTACTTAAATTGGAGTCTGCGGCTCTTCCCTTTGTATCGGGTGATGGGTGATCCAAACAGTAATGGATACTGGATCTAGCCCAGTCCTCGTCCGTCGCGCCTCCCGCGACTACCGCTTGTTGTTCCGAGGGTCGGTTGCAATCCCTCCGCCGATGTATCTCTCTCCATCATCCAGCCGCCTTTTCGTGACGTCTACCGCCGATCGAATGTTCTTTTGTTCTTCCTCTCCCTGCTCTGCACCGATTCGGAAACCCAGTACTATTGGTAGCACCGCCGTACTAGGGACGGTACTGCCGGTACAATGTGCCTGCACTGCAGCACCAGGTGCTCCGTCGTCTCGTCGGTCTGCCCGCAGAGAGTGCACGTCCTCTCCTGTCCCTCCGTGAACCTGGCTCTCCACACTCGGGTCCGTAATGTACCCATGGGGGCCTCTGCGAGGAGTCCACCGCCTGTCGAGTTGTCGTACCAGGGCTCTTTCCTTACGGCCTCCTTCTCCGCGTAGTACACCGCGAGGGACGGCTTCGCCGCCGCTCCCGTTTTTTATATCTCCGTCTCCACTTCTCGGATGCCCTTTCTGATTGCCGTTGGGCCCTCCCGGTTCTTGCCCGCTGACTCCAGTCAGATCGGTTCGAACCCATAGCAATCCCGTAGCCTTCGGAGGCGGTGCATCCATTTGGTGCCTCTTAATTTCCTGGTATATCATGTAGCGCAGGGTGCGGTGGGCCCAATTCCCATCCGGGAGTCTGTGCAGTCTCCTCTCGTACAATGCCTTGGCGTCGGCTTCTCTGGCTTCAAAGGACGACTAGCCCAGGTCCCCCTGGACACCCTCGTTGGGCGCTGTTCTCGGGACTGCCAAGGCCATATTGTTCCCGCATCGCTCTGTCTTCTCTCCAGGAATTCTCTTGTTTGCGATGAGAGGACAAGTACACCATTTGCGTACGTGAGTCCCGGAACGATGGCCATCTTCCATAGCCCCCGCACCACCTCGAACCTGTTGAAGGTCCAGGTAGTCTTCTTCGCCAGGACTCCCTTCCCCCTTATCGCCCCCAGTCTCTTCTCCCGTTCATGGACCTTCAGGCAGTCGGACTCCGCAGCCACGGTCACTTCCAAGTATTTGACCGTGTCTTGTCTTGTCAACTTCTCTCCCTGCAGGTGCCACCGTTATTCCTCTGGTTCCTGATTTGGTCCATCTTGATCTCCCCAGACTAAGACCGCACTCTTGCTCTGGTTGAAACGGAGTCTAAGGTGCGTGGCGAGCTCCCCGCAGATGTCCAGAAGCACTTGGAGGTCCTCCGGCGAGTCGGCAAGGAGCACCACATCATCGGCGTAAATGAGGGCCGGTATTCTCTGCCGCTTCCAGGCTCCCTCCATTCTGTATGATAGGTTGAAGCCTACATCCGACTGCTCCAGTGGTTTCTCCAACGGTGCTACATACAACATAAATAGCAAGGGGTATAGTGGGCATCTTTGCCTCAGGCCTCTGGGTACTGGTAGACGTTTGGTCATGTGGTCCTCCCACTCAATCCGCACCGAGACCCCAGCATACAGTGCCTGCAACAGATTCAAATCTGCCTCGCTTATTCCTAGCCCTTGAAGTCGACTCCAGATTATGTTCCTGTCATAAGCTTTGGAAATGTCCAGGAACACTGCGTAAAGTGGTCTGCCCCCCCCGGGCTGCCACTTCGATGAACTCTGTTACCACAAACAGGTTGTCTTCCATGCATCTTCCTGCTCGAAAACCGTTCTGCAGTTCTCCCAGCACTTCCGTTTCCTCGGCCCATTTCTGCAGTCTCGTTCTGATAATCTGAGTGCACATTCTGTAAAGCATTGATGTGATGCTGATTGGGCGGTAGTTGCCGAGATCAGCATTTTCCCTTGTACAAAAGCTTCATTCATGCTTCTTTCCATGTCTCCGGTACTTGGGCAGCCGCAAGAATCTCTGTGAGGTTTTCGGACACCAAGGCTCGCATTCTCGGTCCCGGACCCTGGATAAGTGACATGGGGATCCCGTCGCTTCCCACGACAAGATCGATTGTTGCCAACCAAGCTCTCGTTTCCCACTAAATCTAGCGTTGCCGCAAACATTTTTTTTTAGTTTTTGAGTTACTTGGCACAGTGTAGTGCCATTTCGACCGATTTCGCATTTTTGGCGCAACTCGGCACAGAAAATTGGGTTGGTATCAAAATGGCGCAATTGGCGCAGATGAGACACCCCAGCAAAAACATTGCTTTTTCCTCTGACAACCAAATCTCGCAAGAACCACTTCGCGTTGCGTATGAACAATGTGCGAAACTTGTTTTTTTCTTGAGGTGAAAACAGGTATAGATTTAAAGACACAGCATACACGTTTCATGTACTATGCAATTTAGTAGTCAAGTACGAACAGTGGATTTTGAGTTTAAAGCGAATTCAGATCGGTTAGTGATTTTGGAGGAATATTTTTGAATCAAATATTAAATAGTTTCTCCAAGCCTTTCACTGCTGCACCATGCTTAATTTAAACGAAAGATAAGATAAACTCGTTTATTAAACCTATAGAGATAAACTTGTTAAAATTAAACCTATAAGTATATGCCCAGCTATACCTAAATATCCTTGCTTGACTCTAGAATTTTTAAAAAAAGGAAACAAAAGGCTCGAGGTACACCCAAGCACTTCTTATGAGTTGTGATTGCGAAAGCATGAATGTCGTTCTTCACGCTGCGGCCGCTTATGATCCTCTCGGTGCACTCGGCGCCTCGGCCGTTTCTGCTCCGGCGCGGGCACGCATCACCGTGGGGTGGCGCTAAATCAAACTCGCGCGTGGCGGCTTCATATCACTGCCGTTTTTCGTGGCTTTTTGCATAGTTTCAAAGCTGGGAAACCTCAGATCGCAGCTTTGGGAATTCATCCGCCGTTCGGCGCGGCTGATGACGTCGGCTCGCTCCATGAGGCAGTTAATGCTTTTGCATTAAAAAGGCAATCACGAATGATGAACGCAGGTTGCCAGGACATCTCTGCCTAACATATACTCTTGCAGAAGAGCTACAGGTTAATTTTGAAATTTTTACTGTCGATTCGCATGGCAAATCAAATAGGATGGAGTTCGATTTGCTATTTTAAAACTAGGGAACACTCGCACACCTCTACTCGTCATGAGGAGGGCTTTCATAAAACACTACAGTGCCCAGGACACTTGCTCAAGCGGCGTTTAGCATCCCGTACTGCCCGGGAGCACGTATAGAAAGAGAGGTGCAATTGGTTCAACAAGCACGTGGCTTCCATTGCACTGTTCGGCCATTTTGTTGTCATGAGCTATGTGGCACGTACTGAAGGCGAACTTACCCAGTGCAGACTATGCAAGGATTTTTTTTTAAAGCGCAGCTCTTAGGCACCCTTTTCCAGTTTGAGCGGCGTCGGCGTAACCGTGCGCATTGCATTATGGGACGTTTCCCCGCTAAAGTTAGCGGGAAAAGCTTTCCGCTAAATTTAGCAGGGAAATTGATGTCATGTGACCTCCACCAATTCAGTTTCCCCGCTAAATTTAGCTGGGAAAAATGACATCACGACTCCGTGTCACGTCGCCCATGAAAAAATTCAGCGGCAGGAGGAGAGGAGAAAAGGAGGAGGAGGCGATGAAGAGAGGAAGAGGGGCACACCCTCCCCTCCGTACCCTTCACCTCAAGAGCTGCACTCTAGTTTCGCACTACAGAGATTTGTAAATGTCTCATTTTTTTTTTCTAGATCGTTTAGTGATAAGACGTGAAGGACTTTCACAAGTAAGAGGATATTAATGTTGATTGATGTATGATACATGCTTCTCTGTCAGCTAATACAGCAGGCAATTGTCAAGGTATGCTGTGTATGACAATTTTTACGTTCGAGTTAGGCACCAGGTGCGGACTATCTAAGCAAAATCTTTTATTTCCTTACTTCAAGTACATTCTCTAAATGCACTTGTACTCTACCTTTTTTTTTTTTTTTTGGGGGGGGGGGGGGGGGGGTATTATTTGAGGTAATTACAATTCCCGACTTGAAAGTACGTGCCCCAAATCTGGTCTCGGCGAAATTAAGCTCTTTCAAATAAAAACTCGCTCCTGTCCTTGATTTTCCCTGTAAAGTTGAGCCAAACATCTAACAAAAGGAGGGTGTATCATCATGGGAAAACATGCGACTTTTGAGACGTCACCTGGTCATTTCTCCGAGTGAAGTAATGGTGGGTATAATATTGATACAAACAAGCGCCTTATATGTTGATTGTGTTAAATAGTTTGCCAGCCGCCAGCGAGGTTAAAAAAACTACTCTTTGGCCACATGACTTCACCCAATATCTGCGGCCATTTCTGAAAATAACTGATGCACCCCCGATTACCCCTGGGGCAATGCATACCTATCGAAAATGATACACTGTGTATGGAAGTGCATCATGAAAGATTGCGTTAAAAAGTACCAGTACTAAAGTACAAGGTATTTACGTAGAGTACTTTACTCAACACTGGAGGATCCACATGGCACCCTCAAATCGGTATAATGGAAAAACTTTCCTAACACCTCTTTTCCTGTCAAATAAAACATTTTTTTCACTCTCTCAATGTAGCAACAAAATGGGGGAACGAGGATCGCGCGTCCGCTCGACTGACCCGACTGGGGAACCTGCTCCCGTCCGAAGTGCAGGCGGAGGTAGGCGACGCCGACACCGGTCACGGCCAGGTTCACCACGCAGGCCGTTGTCAGCATGAGCAGCAGCAGGCGCTGCTCGCGACAGCAGCCCCGGCTCTCGGCCCCTGGGGTCACCGGGTCGCACCTGGGAGGGGCAGGGCCAACTCTCGCCATAGGGTCGGCTCGCTCTGGGCAACGAGCACCATGGGAGCAGTGAGGGGCCGTCCTCGGGCACCGCAAGGACGAGAGTGAAGCCCTCTACCTTGCCCACCCGGGGGCCTCCCGAATTAAGGCTGAGCTTTTAAGGGACCTCGTTAGAAGCTCGTTCGCTTCTAAAGGGGTCCCTATCGTTTAGTCAAAATCAATGATTTCCCAACACACCCCCTAGAAGGGGGGGAAGGTGTACCCCCCTTCCCCTGATTCTCCTGATTCGCAATGCCTGCCTGCCCCTGCCTCCCTCCCCCCCCCCCCCCCCCCCCTCCCCCCCCCCCCCCCCTTCAAGTTTAGACACCCCCTCTAATTTCAATTCCTGGGGAAACCCCTGGTCGTAACACATTTTATAGAAACGTGTCTTGGGGACAACTTTTCATAGACATGCATTTCGTCAAGTTTTGTAGATTCGTTAACACATGCTTATGCGATGTTCCGTCGACAACATACTATTTTGCTAAATGGATTGGATTGGATTACTGTGATTTTTGTATTACGTTCACAGGAAGCACTGAAGCTCTAACTGGAACTATGCTGGAACTAAAGCGAACTCGCCCAGGCGGCTCCGGCAGGGAAAAAAATATGTAAACCCTAATACTAAACTTCCGAATAGTCTGCGATACGTGAAGACACCCTTCGCTCAGGGAAACTTTAATATAATCTTAGGCCGAAGCTTGGCTTCATCGAAACTGCCAAATGCCTGCAACCGAGGCGATGAGCACGGAAAACACCTTTGGACGAAACGCAGCAAGGCGCATCAATGAAACGAACGCGGGAACCTTTAGTTAAAATGAGCTGTTCACGAAACGTTTAGTGTCAAGGAAACATCGTTCGATGAACTGATTGCCACCTCTTCCAAGGTGAAAACGTGTTTTGGAAAAGTCGTTCTGCATGCCTTTCCATCAGAGACTCAAACCGTAACCGAAATTGTTTAGGAACCACATATTCTCAGTAACCGGAACCGGAGCGAAACAGTTAATTGAAATTTATGAAAGCCGTTACCGTAAATTGTTTACCGGTAACCGATATTAACCGCAAAATATAAATTTTAGTTTTTCCTCAAGAATGACCTTGAGGAGAAATATTTAAATGTTGTGGCAATTTGACAGAGTTACCATCAGCGAGTTCCGTTCATTCTAAATTTAAGATTAAGAATACTTAGTTGGAATCAGTGGCCGAGCTTTCTAGCCATTTCTAGATCTGCCACACTCCTACAATCGCCACATGTATTTAGTCTGGATATTAACTAATAAGTTAGAATACTGATTCGCCAATCCAACTCGTTTCTTTCAAAACTACCGATGTTCCTGACAAGCAACAAGCGATGTCGCGAAACGGTTGAGTTTCGAGTTCGACGAGGTTCGACTTTTTCAAACTTTTATTGACAAGTTCGAGAAAGTTTGATTCGGGTTCGACTGTTATGCACGACAGGCTGGCTCAATTGGCTTTGGATTGGATGGTGATGACCAAATGATCAAGTGCAGGGCAGCACTGTTTGGTTGTTTTGGTAATATAGCAAGAATAAATTATACTGTTACGGTACCTTTCCCCTTATCAGAATTATGTTCCGTTGATTGTAACTATTTAGAAAATAAAACAACCTGTTCCATAGAAAAATTTTTTCCAAACCTAGAGATGCTTGTATCACAGTCTAGCCACACTGTCCACAAAGTCTAACCTTGTAGAACCTGGTTAAAAGTTTGAAGGTTAGTCGAACTCGTCGAACCAGTCGAACCCTGAGGTTCGACGTAAAAATCCGGCTCAAAAGTTTGTGACATCACTAGTTGCAGCATATCTGTAGGAGAAGCTCCGCGTCCAAACCCTGGAAAGAAACTGCGCTACTATATAAATGCACAATTTTTCTCGCGTCACAGAATCAGACAGCGAGAAACGTGCGCTTCTATAACCAGATGCATTCGCTTGGAAATAGTAAACACGACGTAGGTGCAACAGCGCACAACAGCGAAGACTAGGGAAAGGAACGAACACAGGACATATTTTCACAGCTTTCTGTGTTGTTTGCTCCCCTCCTTAGACCTCCTTGTTTTGCACTATTGTATTTACACTATGTTTGACTTTTGCCAACTCGCCCAGCTCTCAATTTTATTACTTTATTCCACTTAGCAGCATTTCACTAGAAGAGGGCTCTAGTTCTGCTCCTTCCAGTGACGAGAAAGTGTGAATGGTTTTTCCAGCACCCAGTAGGAATTTTCTGAGGGTTGTTTACAAACGCTGCCAAACAACAAAGTTGCGACGTTCATTTTTATTATATTGATTGCGATGATCACTGAGTAGCGGGGGTGACATGTATATGCTTGGGCGTCAAAATATATAATGCAAGTAGATGTAGCGAGAATGTGTTGGAGCTAGTAACGTGTGCAACTTTTTACTAACTAAAAATACTAAGACGCTGTTGTTATTGTGAATGTCCCGTTGTTGGATACCTGGGATTACTTTAAACCGCCTAGGAGAAAATCGGTCCACCTCCAGCTGGATTATGGAACGAGAAATGAGGCAGTCCAACTGGGTCCAGCTGGACTCCAGCTGGACTGCCTCATTTTCAGTTCTATAATCCAGCTGGAAGTGGACTGATTTTCGCCTGGGCGTTTATTATGAAACGGCTGTCTAGCATTTCAATAAAACAAATTATTGGAGAAACCGAAATAAACCGGCTTTTAAGATTGTGTAACCGGTAACCGAAACCGTGAAAAATTAAAACCATAAAAAACCGAAACGAAACTGATATCAACCGGAAATGGTAGTCGTAACTGTAACCGAAACATTCTATTTTTTCGGTTTGAGTCTCTGCTTTCCATAAATGGGGCTGTCAAAGATATCTTGGTAGCCCGATTCTGTTACCCATTTGGAGCTCTGTCCATACTACGTGCAACGCCCCGTACCTCTCCAAATTGGCCGTTCACAAACCTACTATAAAATTATGACCTCATTGCTGAAATAGACCCTTTTCAAAACCTCACCAAGCAACATTGGTGGTCGCCATTTCTCGGGCACAAAGCGTGATTGGATCAAAGTTCTCGCTGAACGCTGACGCAGCCTTGCATGTCCAATGCATGCTCAAAGTATGTGTCAAGGAAATGACACTCGGATAATTACTGCAGCAACTTCCAGATGACGCACATTTATGAAAAGTGTTCACTAAGCGGTGTCCTGGGCTCTGCCGCTCCCAAGGTGGAAACGTGTTCTGGAAACATTGTTCCGCGTGTCTCTCCATAAATTTGGCTGTCAAAGATAATCTTGGTAGCCCGATTCCGTTACACATTTCGACCTGTGCATGTACAACGTGCAATGCTAAAGCCCCTCGAAAATATTCACGCTCGGCGTTTCTTACAAGTACCGCCAACCATTGTTGTGAGAACGGGCAACACGCATGCCGTTCGCTTCCAAGGGCCGCTCATTTTAGTTCTGGTTCGCCGTCTGCTTTCAAGAGCCGCACAAGCCATGCGCCGCGTGCATCGCGGCATTGGCCTAAACAAACACACACATCCAGGGACTTCAGTGGGATGCACGTCCTCGGCGCCCTCTAGACTGGCCGTTTGCAAACCTGTTCGAAAATTTCTAACCTTGTTGCCGAAATTAGCACTCGATTTCTAATCCAACGAATCGTTGAAATAGGGGAAGCATTGAGACGACCATTCAAGTCCAAAGCGGCGGCGGGAGCCCACCTGGAGCCCATGAGAGAGAAACCAACCTCCCTAAAAATTCGTAACGTTTCCAGAGCATCGCAATACACCCGAAAACACCTGGAGGAGGGCGCCGCACAATATTCTGCTCCGAGGATTTTTTTTTCCCAGCACTCCACGTCGCAGCCCTCATGCGACGTTCCGGAGTCAAAGCCGGTTGGGAATCGACCGCATGTACCATGCAATGAGGTATGCCGCACGACACAGATCAAGCGAACATGACGTCAGTGTTTTCTCTAATCTTACGCATCGACAGGAAAAAAAGATTTTACTTCTTAGTCCGGAGCTCCGAGTAAGCACTTTCCATGGCACTCATAGTTTCGATGACAGCAATTTAATTTTCGAGGAAAAAAAGTGAAAGCCGTTTACAGGTCCCTGTAACGCCGAGTTGGAGCGCAGCTCTTGAGGAGGAGGAGGGAAGGGTACTGAGGGGAGGGTAGACCCCTCCTCTTCCTCCTCCTCCTCCTCCTCACCTCATTCTTCAATATGCTTGGGGGGTCACCTGACCTCGGGGGGAGGGGGTCACCTGACCTCGGGGGGAGGGGGGTCACGTGACCTCGGGGGGGTCACGAGACCTCGGGGGGTCACGTGACCTGGGAGGTCACGTGACCTTGGGAGGGGTCACGTAACCTTGGGGTGACCTTGGTTACGCCGACGGCGACGCCGCTCCAGCCGGAAACGGGCCCCTAAGAGCTGCGCTCTAAAAAAGACGTTTACAATTGAGGAGGAGGAGGGGAGGGTATGCTTGTGTAATTTCACAAGGGTGACTTCACTCGTGACGTCACTCATGCCCCTCATGACGTCACTGGTGACCCTCGTGACATCACTCGTGGCACTCTTGATGTCACATGTAACGCCACGTGTGACATAATGCGTGACACCGCTGGTGACCCTCGCGATGTCACTTGTGACCTTTGTGACGTCACTCATGGCCATCGTGACGTCACTAATGACCCTCGTGACGTCACTTGTGGCTCTTGCGATGTCACGTGCGACTTCACTGGTGACCCTCGTAACGTCACACCTGACGTCACGCGGTTACGCTTATGCCGATGGCGACGCTAACGCTGCTCAACCCGGAAACAGGCGCCCAAGAGCTGCGCTCTAAAACGAAGGGAAACCGGCGATTCACTTGCTCGTACAGACGGTGTCGTGGGGCATACAAGCTCTCGCCTCAAAATGCCTGTCTCGCCTAGAACTACAGCCTCACTGGTGCCCCATGTGTGCAAGCATGTGCAGAGTGCGCATGAACGTGGCCTTGGCAAGCTTGTAATTGCACACACTTACTCGCACGAGCAGAGACATAGCGGTGGCGAGATGCTCTGCTTGCAATCGTCTGGTCGACGTCGGCCTTGCCGCAGCTTTGCTTGCACCGAGACAGGCTAGGTCACGATTGTGCCGGATGTCACATGCTCTCCGAGTGCTTGTTAGAGTGGGCTGTTTATAACCAAAAATACAGCCGTCGGGCTCAAAATACAAACATGCAACTGTCATTTACGGATAGTATTGTGGATCATACTCAGCCTATTTCTGAACACTACGAGTTTATTTCAAATTTTGATGAAGTATCCTTTTAAAGCCAGTGGGCGTTAAAGCGCCACTGACAACCCCAAGATCCATATTTTTTGTCTATTGCAAACGACTGAAAATGATTCCTAGGAAGGCAATCCGAAGAATTGCCCTTGAGAACTGCGTATTGCCAGAGAAAGTTTCAGAAAGCTTGATTGAAAACACCCTTCCGAATTTATGACGTAGTTAGTGAAATGGTGCACTCCTTGCTTTTTTGAACAATTTCAAACCGGATGCGTCGTTTAACTTTCTCTTTTTTCCCTTCATCGTTCATGGGCACACGCCCATGCCGCCCAGACAACTGTGAGAATATTTCGCGAGGAGTTTTCCTTTGCATGCAGATGACGCGTCACTTTTTGGTTTCTCTTTTTCGACAGTCTGTCTAAAACAATTTTTAAAAAAGGTAAGAAAGGAAACAACGTGTAGCAGACCTTGGTGAGCGACAAAGGGTGAAAAGTGATCCGACACTGAAAGCTAGGAGATGGCCAATATTTCGTCATTAACACTTCCGGTCTCGGACTTTTATTTTTCGAAGTCAACAGTGTAGTGCCTTCACAGTTGTCGTAAAAAAAAAAAAAAAACATTTTATGAATGACAATAATTATTGCAAACATGAATCTTGCAACACCTCTTAACGTTTTCAAAAATGTCTTCCCCAGTTATGTCAGGAAAAAAAAGAAGCAAGGAGAAGCTAAAAAAAAAAATTGTATTTTTATTCAATTTTTTTTTTTTTTTTTTACGTGTCTTTTATGCGTTTGAGACGGTAAAAAAATATTGATATAGGAGTTGCCAGTGGCCCTTTTAAGCAGTTTCTAGACTTGCACCATACTGGGCTGCTACGTAAGCAAGAGCAGTGTTGTTGGTTATTTTGTTTCTCATAATGCCATTGCACCGTGTCGTCAATGGCTGCAATGAATAATTTTACGAGAAAGGGAAACCCTGGTTTTTTCTTAGATTTCGGTCAGACAAGCATGTGCTTGACGAAGAAAGAAGCTCGGACAGCTGCCGTGAAGAGAAGGAAATCAGACGGCTCATTATTGCAGCCAAGAGAGCACCCCGGACTTGCAACACGCAATTTATTGTGGGAAGGTCAACTTTGTAAGCTTTCGAAGAGTCTTCCATGCACCCCTAAGCTTTGTTTCGGATTCTTTTTCCAGCCTCAAACCCAAAGTTCCCATGTTTCTGGCACTGTACAATGCGGAGAGCAAGTCGTCTGCTTCATGCGCAGGGGTTGTGGTGACATCAGAACGACGCCGGGTTTTGATTGGCTTTGATTGAAAGGGTAGTGGGTGGATCTCAATGCTAGATGACTTAAGGTCTACCCACTATATTTTCCAATCAGCCAATAAGAGTTCAGCGTTCTGACATCAGCGCAATCCCTGCGAGAGCAGCAGGCAAACCGCATAGGTGGCGGGCTGCAGTCCGCAAATTGTCACAACCTTTTTCTTTTTTCAAAAGCACACGCCATATAGTAGCTGCTGCGCCAATTACTCGAGTCTGCCATTGTTTTGGCACATACTCCGACCATGTATTGGGCACAAGGGCTCAGCGTTCAGCGCGAACTCTGCTCAGCACGCAATAAAAACGAAAGACACATCACCATTCAGCAAGGACTTGGACACAGTCACACGCTTGGCACCCGAGAAATGGCAACTGCCAATGTTGCTTGATGGGGTATTGAAAGGATTTGATTACGGGGTGGCAAATGGGGTGGGCACCCGCACCATCACGGCTAGACCTTTGCAGGGGCAGCGTTGGGGCGGACCACCGGAATGGCTCACCGCTAGTGCAACCTCGTCCGAGCAAGGAACTGACCGTCCAGGGGGTTCCCACGTCGGAGGTCTGAGGCCCCAGGGCTGCTCTGCTCGGGTACCGGGGGGGCCGTCTCCATGCCGGGCACTGCGCACTTCGTCCTCTTTCTCTTCGGCCGGAGCCACCCATGCTGTGTGCCTCGTGGCCCGCTAGAACCAGTGGGCACGCCTTGCAAGGTTTTGATCGTCTGTATGTTAGTATCTGTGTTCTGCTACTTAGCAGGAGAGGCGATGATGCTCCTTTCCCAGGATCCAATGACCTTAGTTCCGGCATTCCGAGTGCCACTCGGGCAGTGTTCGGTGGGGCAGGGTTCAATGGTCTTATTCTTTGCACGGAAGAGGTGGACCATTCTCGCGCGGATCGCTCGGCTGTGCCCAATCTCACAGCGGGCTGAGTATCGTATTTTCCGAGCTGTCGTCTGCATACGGTGTGATCAAAACGATTTTCCTTAAAGGGGTTAGGACACAAAAATTAGACAGGTAGATTATTCTTAACATGGAATGCTCATATATATTTCAAATTTCGCGATTTTTAGAGCTCTAGTCTTTGCAATAATCAATTTCCAAATATTGGTAATTTTCATCTGGCGAGCATGCAACACTGCCAGAGTTAGTCACATCATGGTGCCCATAAACCACGTGATCATGAACGTTCTCTCATTCTAGGCACCGTTATGTTCGCCCGAGGTCGCCTTGCCACAGTATGATCAAAACCTTTTGCGCAACTTTTGCGCTCTCGCCCCTTTGACCTTCCACCCTGCATGCACATGCGAGATCGTCGCAGACGAAGGCAACCATGGCAAATTCAGTTGTAGAGATCTCATCGTCACTGGAGCTGGTCACTAGCAGGACACAGTCAAAATGACCAGCTTCCAATGTTTCTCGATAAAAACAATCTCTCATCGCTGCTGCGATCAGTGTCGAAGACTTCGACGAAGCGAGCGATGCCGTAGACGTAATCGTCGCGAGTCGCATGCTCAAAATGCGGAAGGCAAACGAGGAAGTTGAGGCACAAGACGCCGAAAAAGCCAAGTCTGCGAGTGCGTGCGAGGGAATGCCGGGCGTTGAGCGAATGATGTTGCCGACACAACAGACATGGGAGCCTTTCTGAATTTGCAACGCAACGAAATAGTCTGGAAAAAAATGGTGGGCAGGACACCGTCCTGGTGTGCAATGAATCGTGGAGGCCCATAGGCCGGTCTCTCATGAAGCACTCAGTGCATGCGTGACACCGCCATGACATTAGTTCATGGGAGGCAGGCAGCAGTGCACGAGGCATCTTGTCCTCTGCACGCAAAAGGCTGTAACGAGGTCCCACGTGCAGAAAGAGTAAAGTTCCCTCGATGCATTGTGGCAGCGGCGGCATAATCAAACGAGCTGGAGAGATTAATCTACATTTTTCACACGTGCCGCTCGAACCGGGAAACTTCGACCGCCGCCAAAACATTTCCAAACTGCCCAATGGATAGGCCACCGTTCCCCCATCAAAGCCCAAAGGCCCACACCGTCTGCTTCCCGCTGAAAACTCTACCATCTTGGTGGGGCTTTCACTTGCCAAAAAGGAGTCATCCAATTGACCTTTTTCAAAAAGGCTGCTGTACATGCGCGAAAAGGCTCTAGCACCCTTATCCAGGCTTAAAGAAAATAGGTGCATGTGTGGTCATTCCTAGGCCTACATTGTACTGGGCTGCTGCGGAGATAAGATCTGCGTAGTGGATCGCCTTGTTCCTCAAAGTGCCAGCGAAATGTATCACCAAAGGCTGCTAGAACTAATACTAGAGGAAAGAGAGTGCCTAGTATCTTAGATTTCAGTTAGACAAGCACGTGTCTCGTGAAAAGAAAAGAACCTCAGTTAGCTGCGGTGAAGAGAAGGAAGTCGAACGGCTTTCCATGGCAGCCGAAAGAGTTGAACCATACCTGCAGCACATTTTATCGAGGGTACATCAACTCTAAGTTTTCGACGAGTTTTCTATGCATCGCTAAGCCTCGTTTTCCACCTTTCGCAGACTCGAGCCCGAAATTCCGAAGTCTTGGGCACTGTACTATAGGTGGCACGCTGTAGTCTGCAAATTGTCAATTTGAAGGGCAGCCACACATTGTTCTTAGCGTACAAAATACTGTCTTTGGTTTAATGGTGTGCTGGTCCCAACGCGAGGTCGGGCGCTCGGTCAGTGTGTCTTGGGGCGTCCGATGCCGGCAGCGAGGTTCCTGCCCAGGAACAGTATGGCTGCCGTGGCGGCACAGGCCACCTCCAGAAGCAGGAAGACGTCCCCCCAGCTCCGGTTCTGTGCCAGCAGGCTGAAGGGCAGGCCGGAGATCACCGCACCCACTGCACACACAAGGCCATCTGCAGCCGACCATGGGAGCCCCCAAACGCGTCTCCGACCAGAGTGTCTAACCGAAACCGAACCATTATTTTTGGCCGAACTAGAAATGAACCGATCCAAAATTGGAACTGAACCGGAATTGAACCGAAAAAAAATATAACGGTAACCAGTTCAAAACGGTTCATTGTAGTTGTTTTCTTTTTTTGTATCACAAAATAAATATTTGAGAAGACAAAAAGGCAGCTGTACAATTTCTATGTATTGATCAAATCGTCATATAAAGAACTGCAATGTATGTGAAATTGTGGGTTTTCGTAGCGCCTTTGTATTGGCACTATGATTGATTATCTGTCACGTGACGTCACAGTGTCGCGTCACCTGGCCCTGTGACGTCATCACGTGACTCGCTGCGTCATGTTGATATAAAGTGAGAACGTCGCTAGATTTATTAGCATTGTTTAGACTGTGACAAAACCTGACATCATGACTCAGCATCGTCACATACTCGATTGTCATGAGCTTGTGTCGAGGGATCGGGTTCATGATAATCAGCGTCGCCAAACATTCAGGTAACAGTTTGTGTTCAATCAAAGATAAGAATAGTCAAACTCTAACAATGTCTGAAGCTCAGCCCATGCTCTAAACTTTGCCAACCCCAGCGCATGACTACGATGAGCACCGACGGGATATAATTATTGTCAGATTGCGTGGCCGCTTGTTCTAACTGAGAGTTGAAGAGGAGAAAGCTGTTTCTTTCCTTTATTGTTTTTCTGCGTCTGCCATTGTGCGTCAAGAAAAACTAATTGGTGCTTTTTGCTAGTTATCAACGTCAGGCATTAGTTCTTAGCGGTATTCACTGAAAGCACAAAAAATTGGTGCATGACCCATTTTACAGGTAGTAATCATCTTTGAGGCACCCAAACATGTTTTCGTTGTTGCTGAACTGCCTCAGAAAGTTGTCCCCAAGCATAGAAGCATTGAAATGACTAAGATGTGACTTGTAAAGCCTACGTTACATAGAACTACAAGTGTGTACGGGAGAGACACTCAAAAATAAAGATCCTAGCGGTCTCAAAGGGACAGCCGAACGTTGGCAGCCACTCTCAAGTCTCGCAAGAATGTCAATCTCAAGTTATTCTTTAAGCTTGGACAATTTCCGTATTTGGTTTAAACTTCCCAGTTTTGGGGAGCAAAATAAATAAAAGCAATGGAGGACTGCTGTTAGCAAGTGACACAAAATTTCTGTTGCAGTTGCGTCGAAATTAAATAAGTGAGTCATTTAGTGGGCGTCATTTCTCCTGCCAAGTGGAATCAGGTGGAGGGGGAAGGAAGTTAGATACAATTACAAAGGCCTGCCTTCTGTAAGGACGTGTGAAGCAAGTCCTAAGACCGCCTTTCGGCATTGTGAAGGCCCCGTAGGGCGAGTCCAGTTAACTCCAGTTAACTTATAGGTTCTTCTGTCTTCAGGCAGCTGAGCCCACGTGGCATCCTGATGCTCTTGTAGCACCAGGCATTCCCAAAGAAGGTGCCGGAGGTTGTTAGTTGGAGCCTCAAGCCCTTCTAAGGTACACCCAGAGCAACGACCCTTGTAGGTTTTCTTTTCTACGAGTGCTTGTTTGGCTGACGTGACGGTGGTGCCGGTCCGTATCCTCCAGAGTCGAATGGCCGCCAACTGGCCGTAGCCAGGGGGAACTGGGTCCTCCCTTTCCGGAATCAGGAGTCGGAGCACTTCTCGCCGCTCCTTCGCGAGCTGTAGCGCCTCCTCATAATCGTAGTGTTCCTGCTTAGCTTCTGAGCTGGCCACTCCCAAGCAATTTTCGGTGATTTGACTTAAAGCTTCCCGTGCTGCGTTGTGGGCCAGCTCGTTGACGTAGACACCCTGATGGCCTGGAATCCACTTGACCGTAAACTTGTGGCCGTCCCGTCGAAGTTCTCATATGATTGCGCGTATCTTTTCGACGGGATGGATTCGGGTGTAATACTTCCCACAATCATCCACTGCCTGCCCGGAGTCAGAGTAGCAGTAGATGTGATGTGGTCAATTTGTTGCATCGAGTAAGTGCCTCTGGGCCTTCCAAACAGCTTGTAGCAGTGCCTGAAGCTCAGCTTTCTTCACTGTCGGGTTGCCGGGAAGTTTTAGCACTTGTCTCGACTCGGTGGTATTGCACAATTTCTTATTTTTGGTACCTTAAAATAAATATCTTGTATGCTTTGGCGTTCGTTGACCATGTTGTACTTCACTGCTTACTCGAATTCAAACATTATATAACAGCATCTCTCCTCTTCACCTCAATTTCTGTACATCTATTTCATTGCACCGCCATCAGTTGAATAACCTTGTAATCAACTCACGACTTTTGTTTTATTTTGTGATTATGTTATGGTAATAAATTTATTTTTTATGATTGTAGAGTGCACCAAAGAGAAGGCCGATCTAGTTGTTTTAGCGCAGTGAAAATAAAGACTTATTATTACTATTAAAAGCAAATTGTACAAATGATTAAAAAAAACTATGTAGTAGTCGCTGCTTGTTTTATGGTGGAAATTGTGCCTACTATTGCCAAGAAAACAATGCAAAAAATAGATTCTCAGTTTAGCGCTTCAAACCAATTTGAACCAGTGCAAACCAATATTTTTGCTCCCCAGAACTTAACCGGAATCAAACCAAAAGCCGTGAACCCGAACTGAACTGATAAATATTTCGGTTCGACATCCTGTCTCCGACTGGTGTGTCTACTGAGACCAAGAAGGTGGTCCCTCGATTTCCGCCCGACAACATCATAAAAGTATCACGCCGTCGCGGGCGCAATCCTGGCGGCGTTACAGCAGCGGTAGTGAATGTGGCAGACACCTGTTCAACTGCAGTTTGCTCTCCAGAGTGGCAGTTCACGGAAGCTTGGTCCGCCAGGAGTTGGGATGCCGCGACGACGACGACACTTGCATTCCCTCGTGCGTTTCTCTGGAATTTCTAGGATCACTTTCGATGCGTGGGCAGAACAAGACGATAAACACGCCAATCGGAGACGCGTTCCAGGCGCCGTAACCCGAATCTCCGAAGCCACATTGCCACGTCGTGCCTCGGTAGCCGAGAGCGTGCCGCTCCTTGCGGCTGGCCACGCCACGATGCCCAGAACCCGTCTCCAATCTATGAGTTTAGCGTCCCAATCCACCCACAAGTCCAAAGCGGTCTCGAAGTAGCAGCAAATTAGTTCGCAGCTGTCGTCACGTTGCGCCGCTAAGTCTTACAATTTTGGTGGTTGGACGTAGAAGTTCTGACAGAAAGCTAGGAAAAAGGCTGCCGTCGTCGCGGTGTTCCAACACGCGACTGCTCGAGCATCTGTGGACTAGACCAAACAGCGACCTACGGGTGGTTAAGCATCTGGTGTATACACCTTTGGTACTGTGCCACCGTCACAATTGGAGCAGGCAATATTGTGACGCGAGTGAGGGTGGAAATCGAGGAACCACGAATACAGTACAAACTGCATGTAAGCGATTTGGCGAGCGACGAGACAAGCGACGGTGACCCGCTTCACTGTCTCGCTGGCAGTCGTACAACGAGGCAAACCGCATGAGAGCGACGGGAGCAAGCGACCAAGGCAATGAGCAACGTTTTCTAGAAATTAAAAAACCGAGCGACACGACGAGCGACAGTGAGAAATCGTTGCTCGTCGCTGTTGCCTGTCTCGTCGCTCGCTAAATCGCTTACATGCAGCTAACCTTTAAGGTTGCAGTAAATGCGCCGGCCGAAGACAGATTTCAGGCAGCGCAGCCGCGCCTTCGCAACCTTAATTCCCTCGTGGCCCGTGGACGAACAGACGAGAGGTCGGGCACTTACCGCTGGCGGCCAGGGCGGCGACGGCGTGGGAGGTGCCAGAGAGGTGAGCCGGGGCGGACTCCGTGGCCGCCACCCCAAAGATGGCAATGGGGCCATACAGGCAGGCACCCAGGAACAGGCCTAGACAACTGATGGCCAGCTGCGCAGACACGCCCAACCACGCCAGTGCGTGAGTCGCACTTCCTTACGGCCCTCACATGGGGGGTGGTTTCTCCCTCCCACCTCAGCTCAGTGGGGTCGCTGCAATTTTACCCCTCCTACAGCGCTCCTTCTAAAGAGGCATCCCTATCTCACCGTGTCACCCTCTGAGCTTTAGGGTGGAACTGAGGGAGCTTCCACACTGACTAGAACTACAGGCCTCAGTGCTGTCCGCCTGCAGGGACTTATGCCAAACACCTCCTCTTTAACGCCTTCTAAAATCAACAATTTTCTTTAACAAGCGTTCATTTCTCGTAAGCGAAAAAATTTCAGTCGGCAGACCACGGCAGTTTAAAATGAAAATATTGGCACAAACTTTCAAACCCTAGTGTTGGAACAGATGTCCAGGCTGGTTCAGGCAGTAGAGGAAGGGGTAGCGCGATTGTGCCTCCATGCGGTAGAAAAAAATCCCATTGCATCTAAGCAAGAGCAGAAGCCGTAAGGAAGGCCCGCGTTCTAGCCTGGCCATGGCCAAGCGCTAACCTCCCAGCACGCTGAGCGGGGGCGCAGACGTCCGTTGTGCTTTAGCTCCACCTCATATCTGGGGACATCGGCGAGTCGGCTCCAAAGTTTGACGCAGGAAATGGTCGAATGAAAGTGGGCCTATTTTAGGACAATCTATGTGCGTGCACTGCTGTAGTAGACGCGGCCGTTTGTAATTTTTTATGATGCCTACTCGAAGGTATTAGGGGTAATGGTTTGGAGCCAGACATGACCAGGCATTTCAACCCCAATACGGCGTAATTTTTCTTCACTTCGGTTAGCAACAATACGGACGTAATAGCAGGTAAATGTGTCGTAGAGAAACAAAGAATGCCCCCCAATGTGCCGACAGACGGCGGCGGAAAATTGCAGAAAGGCCCACTGACTTTTTTTAGTCTGAAACTCCCTCTTTGGTCTCTTTCCAGGTGCGCTTTGGATCCTTCGTCCCGTTGAGCCTCGGCGACCTCGCGCTTATTTCGAACCTCAACCAAACGTTTCCTCGTGTCGTCGCGCGGGTGAAACAATATTCGACCGGAAGACGACGTCGTCGAAAGGAGAACTCCGGCAGAGACAAAAGCGGCACGGAGTAACCGCATAGGGCACAGTACGGACAAGAGCCCACCTCGGAAGAGTCCCTGGATATGTGGAAGCAGAGCGCGTGGAAGCCCGCCGCCACTCCAGCCAGGAAGAGCACCGCCACGGGCATTCGGGCGTTGCCTGAGCCCTGGCCCTGCAAGGAAGTCTGTGAGTGTCGGTGGCGAGAGCACGGTGCTTCAAACGTGTCTCCGACTGGTGCGTTTAGTGTCCTGTTCCACCCGTGTATCCAAAGTGGCTCCCAAGTGACGGCAAAATGCATCTCAAAAGCCGCAGTGTCATGCTGTCAGATGTCGTGAACTTAGAAGTTCAGAAAAAAAATATTGAGCAGTCCCAGCAATGGCTGTGACATGTCACGGCAAAGTCGTTGGGCATACCAGCATTGCACTCATGTGAACAGCAGCGTTCAGAAAGAAAAAAAAAGACGTCCGACAAAGCGCATCTCCCAGCACGAGCTCTTGGCATTGACAGTGCTACAACAACCTCTTCCTATCGGCTTTTTTTTTTTTTTTTTTTTCCAGAGAGCACGTGTAGTGGACATCAGGTACTACAAAAACGCTAACTATAGAGCAGGTTATTAACGCTGTGGTGTAGCTCGGTGGCAACGCCTCCACTTCTCACACAGCGGACTCGTTTTTAAGGATTTGGCAGCATCGACGATGGACGCCCTACAACGCCAACTACACCATTAACAACGACCTCAACTACTACAACTACTACACCTGCAATATCCACAACCGTCATCATTTCCAGTAGTGGAAAGAGCCCATAAAAGCTATCGCTATAAAACATGAGAGAATGCAAGTGTTGCTGTCATCGTAACATCCCGATCACTGGCTGCCAAAGCTTCCATGAACTGCCACGCTGGAGAGCTACTTGCAGCAGAACACACACCAGCCACATCCATCACCGCTGCCGCCAGGATAGCGGCCGGCGACAACGCGACTCTGCTTCGACGTCGCTGGGCAGAAATCGAGGGACTACTTTTTAGGGGGCGGTAAACACACCAGTCGGATAAGCGTTGCAGGCGGGCAGGGGCCCCACCTTGCGTGCGTGCAAGAACCAGTCCGTCAGGTAGCCCGCCAGGATGCCCCCGAAGAATCCGCCGGACTCTATGCTGCTCGTCAGGGAGCTGCCTGCATGGACCGGTCCCCGGGCTATGGCCCCTCCGCGCCTCTTGGCACTTCGTGCTGACGTACCCACATACTGGGAGTGGCCCAGGTCCTCCATGAGGTAGAGCTGGCCCCAGTCGACGGCGCTCGTCTTGGCGCAGAACACCACCAGGTAGCCGAAGGACACCAGCCACAGGAACGGGCTCCGCACCAGGTCCGCCGCGGTGGCGGCGCTCTTGCCATCGCCTAAAGGACGTTGTGCCGACCAGGGGGGTAAAGACAAAATGCGGCAAACCGTAGGCACCAACATCGGTGGCCCCGAAAGAAAGAATGAAAAAGAGAGAAACAGAAGAGTAAAAAAAAAAAGGAAGACGATTACAATTTTCTGTAATGCCGAATTAGAGTGCAGCTCTTGAGGAGGAGGGGAGGGTATGGAGAGGAGGGTATGCCCCTTTTCCTCCTCCTCCATACACTCTCCTCTTCCCCCTACTCCTCCCATTCTCCTACCTCTACTTCTCCTCTCCTCCTTCCTTCCTCCTCCCCCTCCCTCCACCTTGTGACCCTTGTGAAGGTCATGACCTTCACTGTGAAGGTCGTGACCTTCACAAGTGACCTTCATGACGTCGCGCGTAATCCCAGTAACCCTCGTGACGTCATGTGTGAAGTTATTATGGCAAACGTCTCACAATGCAATGCGCGGTTTTGGCGACGCCACTCAAGCCGGAAGCGGGCACCTAAGAGCTGCGCTCTAAAAAGAAAGCAGACAATAAGTTGGGCGTGTTCGTTTTGCCGTGACAACTTGAAGTTGTTAGAGCGCTTGCCAACTTCTCTTTTTTTTTTTGTAGGCAATACACGACGCCAACATTTTTTGCTAAGTACAAAATAAAGCTAAAATACAATATGGCCAGACTTCGCAAGTGATGTTTACCTGCTTCTTTGTGTATATCAACGTGTCGCCAGCAATAAGGCCCCATCGGGACCACTAGTGTCTGCACCTATGCCCCGCCGTTCCGAAGCAGCCGAAATGCATGGCACCTTTTCTTTAGATTATTATAATAACTCTATGGGGCCGGCCCCTCACCTGCGGCGGCAGGTTGGTCCTCGGCGACTCCTTCCACGCGGAGGCCCACATCCGAGGGCTCGTTCACCACAGCCAAGGCGGCCACGGCCCCCATGGCCACTGACACAGTGCCTGTGAAGGGTAGAGCATTAGGGGGTAAGGTTTCAGGGGGGCAAGGTGTCAGGAGGGGTGTGGCATCCAGGGTGGGGGGGTGTGGCCTCACCTGCAACTGTGAGGCTGAAGCGCCACCCATAAGACACGATGAGGAAGGCCGACAAGAACGGAGCCACGCCCCCGGAGATGTTGGCCGAGGCCGACAGAACGCTCCACCAGGTGCCGAACTGGGACGGGGCGTACCACTGCAGGGGGGACGGCCCTCAGAAAGGGCGGGCCGGAGGGGTCAGGACGCACCTTGCGGAGCACCTTGGCGCACGAGGGCCAGCCACAGCCCTGGGCCAGGCCGTTGAGGAACCACAAGGCCGAAAACAGTGCTGCCGAGTTGGGGCAGGCCCCAAACAGCAGGGTGGCCAGGCCGCTCAGTACCAGCCCCGCCGAAAAGAGCAGCCGGGCACTCAGCCGGTCCGACAGCACCCCGCCCAGGAACTTGCTCACCGCGTACGCCAGGTTCTGGCTGCTCACGATCATCCCTGCGGCAGAGGGCAGGCTAGGCTGTGTGGGAGCAGACCCACGCTCCTTGCTGCCTTACGGTACGGTGCCCGCAATGCATCTCTGACAGTGACACCGCGATCCTGGTGGTGTCACAGGAGCAGTGGCGTATATGGCAAACACCTATTCTGCTGCAGGTCATTCTCCAGCTTGACAATTCAAGGAAGCCTTGGATTGAGACGCCACTATGACAGCAACACTCGCATTCACTCTTTTTGACAGAACATCTACACCTAACCAACATGATTGGGACATCCAACAGCATGAAACTTGTCTTTCTGACATCATCCACTGCCACTGCGGGACCGTTTTTGATGTATGGACGGACACTAAACACACCAGTCAAAGACGCCTTCCAGGCACCATACCTGCAAAGCGGGGCATGTAAAGCAAGCAAGGAGCTTAGCCCGCCGTGCGCTGCACGACTCTCGGCGTGCAAAGGCCATCCTTCAGGGATGGACCGCTTTGGCGACGGCCTTGCACTTTATTTTAGAACAGCAAAAATGTTTCTTGCGGTGACTTTCTCTAGTAGGTTCTAGGCGAGTGTGCCTCCATTACAGAGTGTTTCCAACTGCTAGATTGGGGTTATACGGTTCGTGGGCCTCATTTGCAATACAAGTGCTGCAAGGAGGAGTCAAAAACATCAGTCGTGCGTAAGCATATCTGCCTTAGTGCTTGATTTCTTCCTTGCCCTGTGACAATGCAACACATGCATACCGCAATGTCCCAACAGGTGCCGCACCCCCAAAAGATAACCTGCACCCTATTTTTGGCTTCATTTGCAATTTTTTTTAAAACACCGTAAGATAGCCCACTTTTAGTAATTGCAAGGGCATGGTTAATGGTGACCTCAACAGAAATATTGTTACTTAGCCACGACTTGAGATAAGCGAACACTGCTGACAGGGAACGGCAGACGTCTCTGCTTCATTGCCCCTCCATGCAATTGCAAGTTTCGTAGATCATAAAATCTAAAATGAATTGTTTTTACTTTTTTTATTGTACACCGAAAGTTAGCCCACTCCACCCAATATGCTTTCAATTTTAAATGGGCTATCTCTCAGGATATTACGGTACTTGCAATTAATCTGTGCAAGAGGCAAAATATTGCAGCATGTTGCAGTATGAGAAACATCATTCAAATTGTGAGCTAAAGACATACTTTTCATATAAGGCTAGTCAAAATATTAGGTGCTGAAAAAAAAATCAGCCATCTGCATTAAGTCCTTATTTGAAACTCTTTTTATTCACATTCCATCCATTGTAAAGCGCGGCAAAAGAGCCAAAGTACGCACCTGATCTCACCTCCCTGCCATCTCTCCTTCTGCACGACAAAGTCCGTCTGCTATGGTCAGCGCGATTGCGGCGACGAAGCACCTTTATGGACGGATGCGCCAACGCAGCGTCAGAAGCCAGCGACTGCAGACATCAGCTTTGAAATGTAGTCTGCCACCGTGAACGCAGCAAAGCTAGTCAAAGTCACGTGTGCCGTTCTGATAACTGACACCGAGAGTGGAAAGCAGTCGCCTAGTATACCCTTGGCGGTTTCGACAACGCTTGGTGCACGCTCTGGCCTGAGATTATAATAAACCTTTTCCGAGTGAAGTCAGGTGTGACTGCGCGTCGCAGTCTGTTTGGAAGCCTAGTTCAGGGCCCAAGCTAGTGTTGCCGTGTATAGCAGACGACATTCGGAAAATAGCACGGCTGCAGCTGGCTTCAGACGCTGCGTTCGCGTGCACGTCTGTTGACATTCAGTGACCATTGCAGACGGACTTCATTCAAGGTGAGAAGCTCGGAAGGGGCGCTTCTCTTTTGTTCACTATGGGTGGAGCACGTGCTATCCATGCAAATTATGTTTTCATTTTCATAGTGCATAGAAGTTTGGCATTGCACGTGCTTGCACCATCAGAGGAAGTTGAAGTATTCTCACTCTGGGTCGTGAAAAAATTCCACCAGGCAGGAATACCAAACTTCTTGCCGCAAACTGTGTGAAAGGAGACCGTGGCGTGGAAACATCAAATGCATACTTGGGTTTGTTTGCTGCGCTTTTCAACGGGCAGAGCCTAATATTTTGACGAGCCTTACATGAAAAGCATGTTTATTTTAGCCTTTCGACGGCTGGCTTCTCCAGGAAAATGGGGCTAAAGTATACCAAGCTGCCTTGAATTGCAAATGCTCTCCACGGCTTGAGTTGCTCCCTCTCTTTTATCTAGGCTCTTCATTCTGGGCCAATACCGACCAGTTGGCTCAGGGAATGTTCCTGGTTACTTTCAGAACTAAAAAGTCCTGTTCACACACAGAACAGGATGTGCTGTGACTCTGCATTGCTGTCGTCCCTGCGACCGGCAGAAGGCTTGAAGAACAAACGTCGTTGTTCCGCCTTATTTCTGGAGAAGAGACGAGCGACAGGGCCGGCACGCGGTATGCCAACACTAGTGTGCCCCTTTTTTGGCTGAAGCGCGGGCTCCCTACGACTCCCTGAGCGGCGGTGGCGCGGTGGCGAGCGTCTAGCACCTCCGGTCACCCGACCCGGGAAAGTGCGTCGTCCCCGCAGCGCGGCGGGCCAAGGAGACTTGAAGGGCTCCGCTCACCGGCCTGGTCCTTGCGTAGACCTTCGGCCATCAGCTCGGGCAGGGCGAAGGAGACGCTCTTGCGGTTGTACGCGTAGCACGCGTAGCCCAGGAACATGGTGGTGAAGATGGCTAGCTGGTAGCTCCGGAGCTCCATTCTGGCGACCAGCAACTGCGAGGACGTCCCAGGAGCAACCGGTCGGGCTTGCCTCTTGCCTCATCTGGACTTTGCGCTGTTGTTACACGCCCGCCTGGCGGGAGAGCGAGGAATCGTCCGTCGTCTGCTCCGGCCACCGATAAACCCAGTTAAACGGGACATGACAGCTGTGGGCTTCGCGAGTATCGAAAGGCACCCGGCAAAAGTCACGCTTCCCGTGTCTTCCAAGTACCGTGTTTTGGTGGGGAACGGGGGATGAAATCCATACGGTCCCGGGTAATCTCGGGATAAGCAAAGCAACCAACAGCGTCGGGACGGAGATAACCTCGACTCGGCATCAGGACGTGATCGGCACATGCTATCGTTCTGTTATTTTCACGCCCGCAACTTTGCCTCTCCGCTTTTCCCCGTCGAAATAACGGCCGTTTGCGGTAGATGAATAAAAAAATAAAATATGGCTGATTTTTTTAATCGGGCGGCGGCTTGCGCCACCTCGCAAAGGATGTTCTACCGGTTCTACTGCTCTGTACTACAACGCTTCCGCAACGTGCAACTGGTGCAACTACTGTGGGTGTGACGTTGCAGAATGTAAAAAATTAAAAATGGTCAAACGTTCAAACCAACGTTAGTTCAAACGTTGGTTCAAACCAAGGAGGACTTCTGGAGTGGAGGTGGCTCTCGGCTCTCCGTAGCTGACGCCAAAAACCACTGATCGCGCTTCCCAGCTTGGTTGCTTCAGCACGAGTGCAACGGCCCTGGACGGCCATCTTGCTTGCAGCAAAATCTTGTTTCCGCTAGCGTTGCGGAGGCGGCCGGCAGTTTGCTAAAGACACGTTTTGTATTCGTTCGTCGTCATTCGCAGAAGAGGTTTTATAAAACACCATGTAAGTGCTGACCCTCGCCATTGAGAGCACGTAAATTATTTTACAAAAGCGCAGTATCGCAGGCAAAAGGCAAAACTCGTCGAAAGCAAGTTTCGCCTGTCTCGCGGCGTGATCAAAGCTCTCTTGGCACGCCGAACTGCTGCGTCCCTGTGCCACCTGCACCTTCGCACGCTTGGATACAGATCAAGAATCGACGCGTGACGATGTTTTGCGCGTGCAATGCGTGTGAAACCGCATGTGCCTCTGGAGCATTCAGCCGCGCTAATCCGCTAATCCGACTGCAGTTTACTGCCGCTAATAGCCGCTCCATGACCGTGGCGCCAGCAGCGCAGCGTGGAAAAGTGAAAAAGTATCCGCGTATCCGTGCTCTGCTGGGAGTTCCGTCAACTCTGTGGCTCCGTGCTCCGTCGACTCGGCCGACTGACCGTAGTCGTCGGTCGTCGTACGTCCGTATTCCCTCCGTTCGGGTTAGGGCAGCTACTTACTGCGGCCGTGCAGCTCCGTGGGACCTCCGTTCGTTCCGTGCGGTAGTGCCGGGATCTGCGTGTTTGATCGCAGTGCTGGTCCGGCAGCATGGATGCTGCGTGAGGATCCTTCAGGGTGAGTTCCGGGGACGACGATTGGCCTGCGGGCCATGTGGCGGCCGCTGCAGTGGCGGAGTCGCTGTTGGCTCTGCCGTGTTGCCATCGATTGCTTCCGAAACCTCGACGGGAAGGGCCCCCGGGGTTTCCTGGGGACCCGCGTGGGCCGCGGTCCCCGAGAAGCCCCGGTCGCACCGTCCGGGTGGCCTACCCACCGGAGGCCGAGCCAGCCCGGACGGAATTCGATCGGTCGGCGCTCTCGATCTCCGTCGTCGTTGCGGGATCGCCGGTCATCGGCGCCTTCGCAGAGTGCCACGGGCCGACGCTTCCGCCGATCGAACCCGCGCCTCGGCAGCGGGTAGCCACGCGCCTGACGAATTCAAGGTTTGTCTCGGGTAGACTGTGTCACGGCGGAACCTTCTAGGCGCATGTATGTATGTATGTATAAATATATACGGAGGCCGTGGGAAACGAACGCAAAAGCGCGCCGCCCACGACGGCTGGACGTGCGGAGCGATCGGGGGACTTTGCGGGGCGTAGGACGTCGTCGAGCGGGCTCGCGCAGACTCCGGGGGGCACTTCGCGGGCCACGGGCTCCGACCTCCCGCCGCGAACATGCCGCTCCTCCTACGGTTGCTCGAAGGGAAAGCTGCCGTCGCGAGGGAATTCCCTTTCGAAAAGCCTCGGAATGTCGGCCAACGGTTCGCGCAGGGGCGTGATCGTGGCACGTGCCTCCCGGTCACACGAACCCCTTCGCGGGACAAAATGTCCCCAGTGCTCCTGTTTGGGCTGCCTATGCGGAACACAAATTCGTCTGCACTTATTGGCCGATCAAAAAAAAAAAAAAAAAAAATAGTGGGTAGACCTTAAGTTATCTAGCATTGAGGTCTACCCACTGTCCTCTCAATCAAAGCCAACCAGAGCTTGGCTTCTTTCTGACGTCACCATAACTCCTGCGCAACGTTGCTAGATTACCGCAGTTGTGGAACTCCCGCAGAAAGGGATACCGCTCTTACTCACCTCAGTCTGCCTGCCGTCGTTCGAAGCACCATCAAGATTTTCGTTTACAAACTGTGTGTTTCATAGAGTATGGTGGAACGCCGTCTAGACGCTGCGCTTCGGAACATACATATTGCATAGAATACACTCCAGTTACCATAGCAGGTATCCGGCACGTCAAATGATGGGAAGCGGCTTGCGACTAGCTGACTAATGCCCATCGTCACCGCGCTTACATCGCTGCTGGAGTATGCCCCGCCTTTTCTGAGCGTAAAAATCCGCTCACAAAGTGGTGTGTTCCGGCCTTTCATCACGTTTCTAATAGGGAAATCGCCGTCACTTGATTGTAATATTTCGATTTTTGGGATGCTTAGGGCCCGTAGAATCAGTTATGACCGGGAACAGACAATCGCAGGATCCTCTTTAGTGCTCCTACAGTGGTAGTGCCCCTTTAAGAATTCTTCTGTTTCTTGCAGCAAGCTTCACCGCTTCGCACCGGTGCGCAAGTGTCAAGCTTTACTGCTATGCACTGGCGTGATGGGAGAGAAATGGCTGACGCGTCGAAGCGTTTTGATTAACTCGGTGGTCTCGGAAATCTTACTCAGACTTGTGGGTCAGCCTTTGGTTATAATCATAACTTTGACGCGTAAAAGGTAATTCTGTTGTGTCATACAGTAGTGATATATATTGCCGCACGCCGGTACCGTGTTCATCTAGACTGAAACGAGCAGGGGTGGAGATTGAACCCGGTTTTGCAGTGCGAGCTTTTGCTTCACATGCTGCGCTGCGCTAACATATTCGGCCATCTTATTTTAAAGGACGGTGCCAGAAAAAAACACCTAAAACTATTCACATAAAAAAAAAGTGGGCCTATCTCGAAGGCAGTGCAATGTGCCGGGTCAATCTGTACCAAAGGTGAAAAACATTTTGCAAAATACCATAGTTTGCAACTGATAAGTTTCACCTTTGTATAAGTCGCACCCCCATATAAATGACTGTTTTCATGAAAGGTTGATATGAAAGATTTCATGAAAGGTATTTGTTGGTCGGTGCAACAAAACCACATTAAAACGCCCGCATATCTGTATTATGATCGCGACAAATGCGGAGAGGGAGCAAGCTTCAATATTTTTGTGAACGAATCGAACAGGAAGTATAACCCCTGTGGAAAATTTGTCCAGTTAATACGTACAGGGAAAGAAAAATGCATGTATGTCGCATCATTGTAAGAGGCATTGACAGAAATTTGAAAAAAAAATGCAGTGACTTATTTATTGGAAAATACGGTCCTAAAAATCATATTAAAAATATTCCAATTTGATTTTCTGTCAAATTTTAGCTTTTGCATGTGATTTGCAATAAAACATTGATATTTATGCACATATATACAAAAGTAAATTAGTGGATTTTAGGTCATTAATTTGCTAACAAACGCTTCACATTTGCTACCTGATGTCTGCCGAGCTCGGTATGACAATCCCGATGAAGTCGCCTCTATTTCAAGCATTCATACAAAAAGCTTAGAATTCTTGGGGCTCACTCATGGGTTTTCATGTCCACTCTAGTATATATAGCTTGAACGTATGGCGAGCAAGTTGATAGTTCGGCGCTCGTCCTGTGTGCTCTTCTCTTTGTCCCTGTCTTTTTGAGCACTGCTTGAGTTTATTAATTTTTATGGGTCACAATACACCCCGGGACACTGTGATGGCTTTGTACGTTCTCAAAAACTCTGCAGTGTGTTCTTCCACGGCGTTCTTACTCCACCCACAAAAAAGGGAACACAAAGAGGCCCTATAAGTGCTGTGCATTTGAATGCCTTTGGGAAATGCCAAAGAGATGGCCAAATGTTTCTGCCGATAGTCTTTAATGGCAAGGTTTCGCAGCGGACCCCATATGTGTTTCCCAAATGTACGTCGTGGTCAACTATATTCAGCAGGAGTCACAGAGTCATGACACTGTGAGGTCGCTGCGTCATATGATGTCTTTTGACATGATATCACAATGTTCCTGCCAAGCTTGGCAGAGAAATTTTCCACTAGATCTTTGGTGGCAATTTAGTGTTCTTGGAGCGTCACAGTGTCACATGAACACCGTCTACAAAGTTTGTCGGGACATAAGTCAGCTAAATTTAAACACGGCAGTGTAAGCATGACCAGGAGGGTGCAGCATCCTGACTGTCAATGCAGTTTGTTTGCAAAACACGGCAAAAAAATTTTTTTGTTTTTTTCAAGTAACTTTAGTTGTGAAAGGAACGTCCACCGTACACATGTGATTACTGTGTCTTCCGCCAAAAAGTCACGGTTTTTTTCCAAATTTCTCGTCAATGCATCCTATGCAACGGTGCAACTCAATTGCTTTACGCAAATCTGTTGCACCATATATGTTTTTCATTCGACTCGTTGCAAGAATATCTAACTGACTTACGCTTGTGCGTCTATTGCCATCACATTTGTTCGTACGTGGGCTTATAATGCAGGTTCGCAGCACCAACCTTGCAAATATATAAGTGCAACTTATATAGTCGCACCTACAGTGACACCTATCTAGAATGAACCCACATACACCAAATTATTGTCGATATCGAACTCGCGGAAAATTTAAATAAAAATGCGTGTAAAAGGTACTTTTTATAACGAACAACACATTGGTTATATCAAACTTTTTCCCCTGGGGAGGCTTCTAAAAACGCTCAAACAATCGTCTTCCGGCCTGTCCCTTCCCCCAAAAAAGAAGTCGGAAAGGACGAAAATTCCAAAACCTCAAGTTGCGAACAAAGTTGAGCAAAGAGAAGTGATTCGGAAGAGGAGAAAGCTAAAAAATACACTGCACGCACACACAGAAAAAAAAAGAAAATCTTTTCATACCGAATTGTTTGCTTACGAAGAGAAGCAATTAAAAAAGGAAGATAAGCTAAAAAAAAAACTGCACGCATGCAAAAAAAATAAATAAATAAGCGCATTGTTGCAAGGCGGAAGTGAAGAGATGAGAAAGAAAGAGAAGCTTTCACCTTACAACAAACGCATCGTGAAAGTTTGTTGTAAATGGTTTTTGCTATATCAAACTACTTGCTATATCGAACTAATCATAGCATTTCCTGCTGTTCGTTATAAACGGGTTTGACTGTATACAGTCGAGGGTTCGACTTATCTATTGACTTTCTCGTGAAAACGGCTGTTTCCGGGGTGGACGCGACTTAAAGACTGCAAAATACGGTACGCTATTTCCGTCGTTTGGAAGGTGGCTCTTGACAGCTTTACATTCTGGAGCTGTTTTATACAGTGGACGCAAAGCAAGAATAGCCTCCACAAGCCCCACGATCGTTGCTGTGGTGCCCCCGTCGGCCGATCCCAACCGGTCCGTACTAGAACCACTGTATACAGGGGCAAATCCAAGGGGGGGCGACGGGGCGGCCGCCCCCCCAAAGTCGACCCCTTCCCCTCCCCCTTTCTCGGAGGGCAATTTGACATGGGTGGACTCCCCGGTGCACAAGAAAGAATGGGTGAATAGTAGTATCCTTACAAATTCCCCCCCCCCCCTCCCCCCCCCCCAAAAGCAGAGTTCTGGATCTGCCCCTGACTGTATATGGCAGCTTTAGCTGTCAAGGTAGCGCTACGCTTTTCCCCGCGCCACCCCTTGTCACAATTGATCTACTGCTGTGCTATAGCAACCGACAGTGCCGAACAAGGCATGTTGATTGTTGAAGTAGGGCTCGGATATTTTGGAGAGCTGCTTGTGCACCTGTCATGTGATTCTTTTGCTTCTTGAGTAGCGCGAAGTTCAAGTTGGCAGTGCGTGTGTCTGCCTGTGTTGAAAATGCGGTGAATGAGGTGCTCAATACTTCATATATGCCCATGCCAGTATGCTAACCGCTTTTATATTACCTTTACTTATTTTTACCACATTTTAATGATTGAATGGAAAGATAAAATGAGCGACACTAATAAAGAGGCCAAAGGCGCCGCTAGTAGCTCTGTTACCATGGCAACCCTCAGGCCCAAAATGGAGGTCACAGTTGGCACTTCCGACGTTGTGCACTTAGGTCTTTCTCCGTCGTGTCACTACATCACTACTCTGTTGTATTCAGTGGCATTGGCCCTGACCACGCACGGCCGGGGCGTGTCGAGAGTATGTCCCAGCCCTGGGGCTTCCTCTCTTGTTGCTGCAGGAGGCCGGTGGGACATGGGGCCCGGCCATGAGTGCGCCCCCGCCCTCGTCCGTAACGGGCCCCGAGGGGGCCTGCTGCGTGGGCAACCCCCGCTGGGCCAGCGCCCCCGCCGTCGCCGCAGCACTGCCCGCCCCGGCTGCCGTAACGCCCGTGGCACCCGCACCGGTCCGCTCAGGAGGACACGGCGACCAGAGGCTTGTGTCCGCGGCCAGGGTGAGCTCACTGCTGCACGCCGCGTGCAGGAATGCGGCAAGACCTCCGCATTTCTAACGATCCCAGGGTCTGCCAAAAACGGCAGCGATTGGCTCTACAGACAGAAGTGACGTCGATGCCGCGCACTTCCAGGAAGTTGCCAGAATAACGTTCATCCGCTTTCTTTCTTCCTCGAATGCCTTCCGTCCCGACGGTCGGAATGGCTCGCGGGGTTATACACTCGCTATTCCTGGTGCCGTGCCAAATTTTGAGTTATAAGTAAAACAAGTATGCAACTTTATTGAAAAAAAAAAAAAAAATGTTTCGCCTCTTGTGCGGGATACATCACCAATAGGTACAGGGGAAATGTAATTGTCCATCTCAACACGGTTCTACCTATCTCGAATATCTGTATAAGCTTTGAAGGGAGGGCCACTTGTTTTGTTGCACACTGATGCATCCTTGCGGACAAACAAGACTCCCAACTGCTTTTGTGGTCCCTACCTCTCCTCCCTCACCAAGGTCATTGCGGCAGGGAAGTGTCTCATTGTTCATTTGTAGCCGTGGACAATGGGACACTGCTTCGATTTCCCCTCTGTAACGACCTTAGCGAGGGATGATAGGTGGGAACCTGCTGATGATGCCTCCTGCATAGAAGGTTAAACTTTTAATGAATTTGTTTTCTTTGTTGCATAAAGTTGGCATACTTATTTTAGTTATGACGTCTCCCCGTTTCTGGACTATTTTTGCAAGTTTCGAGTTGCACTGGCGCCTTAGAAATTCTTTCGGGCGTACCAAAGTCCGGGGCCCTGCAGCCACGAACCTCCCGACGAGTCGTCACTCGACCGAAATCTGGCAGAAGCCGGGAATGTAGAGAGGCAGTCCCCCTGCAGCGTGGTTATGGCAATCTGGAGTCAGACGACCCCCTCCTCGCAGGACGGAGACTTTCGCAAGATCCGGCGCCTCCTGCAGAAGCACCGGGTGAACGTGAATGCCCGTGATCCCTCGACGGGCAACACGGCCCTCATGGTGGCGTCCCTGGTGCAAGACCCTGACGTGAGTTTTTGGGGGGACGCCTGCACTTGCCTGGAACATGTCTCCGACTGGTGTCTTTACCGCATCAAGAAGACTAGTCTCTCTGTTTCTGCCCGTTGGTGTCGCGCTGTCGCTGGTTGCAGTCCTGGCGGCGTCGCAGCAGATGCCCGTTCTGCCACAGGTCGCTCTCCAGCTTGACAGTTCACAGAAGCTTTGGCAGCCAGGAGCTGGTACGCCGCGATGACAGCGACACTTGCTTTTTGTCGCGCTTTTTTTGAGAACTTCTACACTTGAACGCGACGTCCGACGGCATGACGCTCAGGCTCGTGCAACGTCATTGTTTGCCACTTGGGGACCACTTTGGATGAACGGGGTCGGAGACGTGTTCCAAGTACCCACGCGGAAGCCCTCTGAACGCTTTCTCTCGCAGGCCATGAGCGAGTTGCTGCAGCACGGGGCGGACCCGACACTGCACAGCTACACGGGCCAGAACTGCCTGGACTCCCTGCCGGGGTCCCTGGTGCAACTGGTGCTGGGCTTCCCGGACTACCTACTGCGGGAGAGCGGGGACGAGCGGCGGCTGCTGCTGGCCGCCTGGAGCGGCCAGCGGGACCAGGTGCAGCAGCTGCTCTCCCAGCGGGGCTCTGGGGGCCTGGACGTGAACTGCACCAACGGGGAGGGCTCCACCCCCCTCGTCCTCGTCTGCCGGGACCTGGCCACCTTCCAGGAGCTGGCCGCGGCCGGCGTGCTGCGCTCCTACGACCCCCTGGGCGTCATCAGGGTGCTGCTCGACCACGCCATGTATGCACAGTCTTGTACATGTTACTCGAAAAAAACAATTAATTACAATTACTCTTGGTTAGAAAGTATTCAAATGTAATACTTGATTCCTTGGGAAGGAAAGTTATTGGAAGTAACTGTTACTTTTTTTTATTAGTTCAGATTTTGAAAAACTAAAGAGATTTTTCTCTCGGTTTAAATACCGAGAGAATCTCATTAACTCAAACTCGAGGGGGGACCAAAAATTTGTTTGAATAAAGCAAAGTTTGAATTACCAGGAGTTTCCTCCCATAGAGATGCATAGGATAAGACCTGCATGTTAGTATGAATTATCCACAAGTTTGAATTAAGAGAGTTTGAATTAATGAGAGTCAATAGTATGGGTATTTTGTACTGCGCACTATAAGATTTGGACTACCGAGTTATGAACTGCTCATCTTAATCCACCAATCTTGGTAAACCATCCTCTTGTCAGAGACTTGGTTCAAGCTGGTTCCTCGGTAGGAAAATTCTACAAACATTGTAACGCTTACAAGTAATTTTATTACTTCCAAAAGTAATCAGATCACTTACTCCCATGATCACTTCCTAATAAATTTATTTAAGTGACTACAAAATTACTCCAAAAAGTGATTGATTAATCTAATTTGATTACTTGTAATGAGTGCCATACAAGCCTGTATACGCGGAACCCTTCCCCTTCACCCCCTCCCCCCCCCCCCTGTCTGAGACGCGCCCTTCATTGCAGCCTCATCCACCGGGACGTGAACCACCAGGACCGTCAGGGGAGGACGGCCCTGCACTACGCGTCCCACACGTGCTGCGAGCACACGGCCGCTGTGCTCTCCCTCCTGCTGCAGAACGGCGCCAAAGTCGGTCGGTGCCCTCCCTCCTTCGACGCGGTGTCTACGAGCCCGCCCGTGCTGCCCGAGCGGGGTGCGGAGGGATGGATTCCCACGCGTCTCGTCTCCTTGCGCAGACATCAAGGACAAGCACGGCTTCTCTCCGCTGCACTTTGCGGGCCAGGCGGGCTCTGTGGACGCGGTGCAGCTACTGCTGGACGCGGGAGCTGACCCAAGTGCCACGGGCCTGGGCGCCATTGCGCCCCTGCACCTGGCCGTGAGTCTGCGCGGTTCTCTTAGGGGGATTCGTTACTGCCAACTGTCCACTCACCGGCGGGGCTCGTGTCGACTTGGGACGTAGTCTCAAGGTGTCACGCAGCTTCCAGACGCACGCTCTCAGGCTCGTTCATACTCGCGGTTGTACTCTGGGGGGATTAATTGAGGGGGATGCAGGTATGGCGCCTGGAGTGCGTCTCAGACTGGTGTGTTTAGAGTACAATCCCACCCATACATCAAAGGTGGTTCCGAAGTGGCAACAAATGATGTTGAAGAAGATGGAGTGTCATGCTATCAGATGTCACGACCCTGGCGGTTAGGGATAGAAACGTAAAGGACGAGCGTGTTGTTAAGGGTACTGAATATGAGGAAGGGACAAAAGGACGGACAGCAATGACAAGCGACAACTTCCCAATGGCAACAAACATTTATTAACTCGAAATCTGTTTATATAGGGCTCTCTAGCCCTATATAAACAGATTTTGGGTTAATAAATGTTTGTTGCCATTGAGAAGTTGTCGCTTGTCATTGCTGTCCGTCTTTTTGGTGTGGGTGGAGGCGCTAAACCAGAAGAGGGAAAAGGAAGGGAGGTGAGCCAACCTTCTAGGATGCGTCATTGTTCTAAATGTTTCCTTCTTCTGGTTTAAACCCGGACCCCTTTGTTTTCTACCCCTATATAAACAGACTTGGGCCAATAAATGTCCATTGCTATTTGGAAGTTGTCGCTTGTCGTTCGTCCCTTTGTCCCTTCCTCATATTCAGTAGGAATAGAAGTTTTTGAAAAAGCATGACGTCCCAGCTCCTGCCGGCTTAAGTTTCCGTGGACTGCCAAACTGAAAGTGACCTGCAGCAGAACAGGTGTCTGGCACATCCACCGCCACTGCTGGGACACCGCCAGGATTGCGACTGGCAACAGCACGACACTTCTAAGACGGCGCCGGGTGAAAATTGACAGACCACCTTTTAGGACGCGGAAAGCACACCAGTCGGAGTCGCATTCCAGGCACCATAGCACAGGGGCCGTCTTCCGTTTGCTCCCTTTGTGCACTGATAGCCGCTAACGGCGCAACAGCCGGAACGTTGAGGACCCTGCCGGCAAGCGTCACGGGTGGTGCCCCCTTTGCCTCCCGGTGTGAGCGGCCATTGAACCCTCCCCTTGCAGGCGTCGGCAGGCAAGACGGCAGCGGTGCGGCTACTGCTGGAGCGGGGGGCGGACGTGCTCAGCTTCGCCCAAGACGGCAAGTCCCCGCTGTGCTGCGCAGGGAGCACCGACGTGTACAGCGTGCTGCGCAGGGCCGTCGAGAGCGCCCTCTGCGACCGGGCCGACCAGCTCCGGCTCAGCCCTCTCGACCAGGGTGGGTGGAAGCTCCTTCTCCGGTACTTGCGTCCAGTCACCCTACGGGCCAAGCCTTGCCCTAGCTCGGCGAGCTTCTAAGTTTTAACGAGGAATGTGTTTAGGGGCTGGAATCCCTGAGGAATGTGTGATGGGATGCCACAGAAGCCATTACGAAACATGTAACACCTAGTTGAGAAGACAACCCAGAGAGCAAGTCGTCCATTACTTGTGCAGGGGGTTCCAGTGACGTCAGAACGATGTTAAGCTACGATTGGCTTTGAATGAATGGATAGTGAGTAGACCTCAATGCTAGATGCCTCGAGGTCTGCCCACTATTTTTTTTCAATCAGCCAATATGAGCTTTGCGTTCTGACATCATCGCAACCCCTGTGCAAGAAGCAGACGCATTTGCGCTCCACATAAGAAAAGAAGATTGGCACCTGCGCATTGCGAGCTGAAACTTCAGTTGAGGTGATGCATCGAAGGAGCTCTAGTCTTTGCATGTGCCAGGCACGAAATGGTACAAGACATCTAGTGATCCGCTCATGCAGACCCGCGTTAGTGTGGTCAGGTGGTCGCGTGTGCAGATGGACTAAAGTTCCTTCGATGCACCGTGGACTGAAGTTACGGCATTGTCGTATGTGTGCCGAAAGCTCAGTGAGGTTGGTCTATTGCTGCAAATGCAACGGGGGTCTCTTGCGGGTGCCTGCAGCGGCAGCTTGCCTCGCAGAGCGCCAGCAGCCAGGCCAGCCGGGACTCCCGTTGGCCGACCAGAGCTCCCCCGGGTAGGTCCCGCCGGGAGAGCGCCGGCAGAGCGTCGGGCCGACAGCACACCCCCTCGCAGGAGCTCGACGGCCCGGGAGGAGGGCTCAAGCAGTGGGGAGCCGAGCGAGCCGGAGGCCGGGCCCCCCGCCCCGTCCGCCTTCCGGCGCTACCGGGCCCCGGGCTGGCGCCAGAAGTCCCCCCATGGGGGCTCCCACTTCGTGCGAGACCGCTGGGCCTGCCCCGAGGGCAGCCTGGACAGCTACCACCGGCACGGGACCATGCCCTGCCACTCCTCTCTCGAGCCGGCCCCCGAAACGCCTTCCCGCCCAGAAACCGGGGAGAGGGCCCGGCCAGGGGGTGCTGAGGTTGCCGACTGCACCCCCGAGGCCGGCGCAGAGAGCCCCGCGCCCGAGGCAGACCGTGCCCGTGCAGTCGGGACGGGCCGGGACGCGTACGCCCGGGTGCGGCCCCGCAACGCGCCCGACTCGGAGTCCGGGGACGAGGAGCGGCGCCAGTCGCTGCGCAGGCGCCCCGTGGGGTCCCGGCGCAAGAAGCCCCACCACCACGCCAACAAGAGCTACCACCTGAGCCGGCTCAAGCTGCGCCCGGAGCCCGTCGCGGCCGACACGACGGCGGCGCCTCGGCAGGAAGCGGCGCCCGAAGAGGGCCCCCGGGTGCCCACCAGGGGCTCCCTGCCTGGCCGGGCCAACGGGCCCCGCCCGGGCGCCCCTTCGGCCCGGGGCCTGATGAGCAAGCTGCTGCCCCCGTGGGTGACGCGGGACGACGCCTCCTCGCACCTCTCGTCGGCCTCCTGGGTGTACCTGCCCTCGCTGTCCCCCGAGGAGGGTGCTGAGGAGGGCCCCCGCCTGTCCCTGCCCCGGGCCCAAGAGGAGGAGCCGCCCCGCAAGGCCGAGCCCCGGCCTCCCGTGCCCCCGCTGCCCAAGAGCCTGCACGACATCCCGGCATTCCCGTCGGGGCCCCCTTTCCCCTGGGTCAAGGGCAAGCTCATCGGTACTCCTGTGCCGGTCGGGTTGGGGGCCCGCACCTCAGGGGCTTTCTCCCCTCTCAGGCAAGGGCGCCTTCGGCCTGGTCTGGTGCGGCCTGCGCAAGCCCGGCGGGGAGCTGGTGGCCGTCAAGCAGTTCCAGCTCTCCGGGGCCGAGGTGCTCTCGGCCGTGCAGCTCGAGGTGGACATCCTGCAGAGCCTCAAGCACCCCAACATCGTGGGCTTTCTCGGCGTGCAGCAGCACGAGGGCGCCGTGAACCTCTTCCTCGAGCTCGTGTCTGGGGGCAGCCTGGCCGCCAACCTGGCGCAGTTCGGGCCCTTCCCAGAGTCCGTCGTGCGTCGCTACGGGCGCCAGTTGCTACAGGCCCTGGCCTACCTGCACCAGCGCAACGTCCTCCACAGAGACATCAAGGTGGGCGCGTCCGCCCGTCGGGAGGCAGGACTATGGTGCCTAGGATGCTTCTTACCAGTGTGTACAGCATCCCGCCCATGCATCCAAAGTGGTCCCCAAGTGGCAACAAATAACCTCGCAAAAGCCAGAGTGTCATGCCGTCAAATGCAACAATCCCAATTTCCGGCTGCTGAATCTTCTGTAGACTGTCAACCTGGAGAGTGACCTGCAGCAGAGCGGGCATCTGCCACATACATTGCCGTTACAGTGACATCGCAAGGATTGTGGCCATTGACAGCATGACACTTCTACGACTTCATTGGACGTAAATCGAGAGACCGCATTTTTTGCTGCTGTAGACACACCAATCAGACTGTTTTTTAGGCACCATAGTGGGGCATTATGCGTGACGCGGCTCACCGCAGGTGGTGGTTGGCATGGCGGTAGGCGTAGGCGACAGCACAAGTTGGAAACATTCGGCTAGGATCTGTCGGAGATTCCTTAGTCGGCTTTGGCATTGCGAGGTGCGCTGCCAAAAGGACCTATGGAAAGGGGAAATGCGACAGGTGTAAACTTGGGCTAGGTGATAGCGTGTGCTTATAGCACTGTGTGTTTTGCCGGCTTCTGTCCGTGTGGTCGTCGATGTTTGGTCTTGAGAGCTCGAGGTCAAGCGGAAAATCGACGCGGCACACTGTGTGCGGCAATGAAAGCTATCAACAAAGAACATTGCAAACATAAAATGCACGCTCTCACGCGACACCGATGCCAAATACACGAATATGCGTGCTTACAAGATTATCGTTACCGAAGGTCCCTCGGGCCTTTCAGTTACGATATTGCCATTGCATTTGTGGTGAACTAGACATGGAAAAGCCAATGAAGTTGGGAATTACAAACTTGCGTACCAAGACCGTCTTTTTAAAGGGGTCGGTGCATGCTTCCCAGTAAATGCGCACAAGCTGTATTGATAGTGTTATCCTGTAACATGATTTAGCAACCACTACATCAATATTTATATGTATATGTTGTATTTGAATTTTTAAGAGACATTCCCCAAAAATGTTTGATAGAACATAAAAAAAAGAAATTAGTTGTCCAGTTTGGTAACTGCTTTTGCAGAATTTGTGTAAAAGTTCTGGGATTCGACACGGAACCTTGGGTTCAGCGAATGTCCGACCCATCATAGGGTTACGGCGGCATCGCAATTGTGTCTCCGCTCCCACCTTTTGAAGATCGGCTACAGTACAATCCACTTATAAGGATACCACATATAACAATGTGGTGCTTATAACGATCAGTTTCTACAGTTTCTAGGCTAGAAATGCTCAGTTTCTGGTCTGGATACAATGGTAATCGGTTATAACAATTAAATTTTCAGGTTTTCTTTTTATCGTTATATAAGTGGATTGCACTGTACCCGGGACCATTTCTCTCGGTACCGAAATTCAATGTTGGGAAATACTTTGAGTGCATTTTACTTTAAGTACTATTTCAAGTAGGTTTAGAAAACTTGTACCTAAATTACATTCTCTGAGTATGTACTTGTACTTAAAGTATTTTTTCTGGTATTTTTCAAGGAAAGTACAGCTCCTGACTCCAAAGTGCATTCCCCAAGTTAGGTCTTGCTAAATTTGTATCACAAAATTAAAATATTTCAGCAAACAAGTGCTTTACAGGTTGATTGTATTAAATAGTTGGTCAGCGAGAATAGAACAACTACTCTGTGGCCACTTGACTTTATCCAATATTCGCCACCATTTCCGAAAATAACTGATGCACGCCTGATTACCGCCAAAAGTACTTGTACTTTACTTTGAAAGTATGGTGTATTTATAGTACAGGGAGTTTCTGAGAAACGAGAACCATGTTTTTTCACCCGGGTAAATAAACCATGCGTTGCAGAAAGCTCAAACTCCGTGAGAATGTGACTTTGACAGTTAGGATAGAATGCGAAAGTTTGAGAACATGACATTACCTCGATCAAGAGACAATTGAGAAAAACAAAATTTGTGTATGAGCCGACGTCTACTTAAGTCTAATATCATTAAAACAAGAAATGACACTGTGGTAGCATGTGGCATCTATTTCAGTGAAAAGAAACCCTGCCGGACTGCTGCCGTCACTTTCTAATTCTTGCTAATAAAATCTTTTAGATAAGAAAAAGAAAATGTTGGTGAGGACCAAAATTAAAAATCCTATTGCAAAAAAAAAAAAAAAATGTTTTCTCCAAATATTTGGGTTACTTTTTTTAGTGATGTTGGCGTGTTATTCTGGTCAATTTTGAGCGAATCGAGGACCATGAAGAAAATGTTGGAGTACTTCTCTGAAGAGCAACTTAATTTTGGATTACGACTAATCTTAGCTAAAGCAGTGTCCGTAAATGACAAAAAACTTTTTTTTTTTAATTGTGTGTGGTGATATAAATATCACGGGTCAAAGTTTGGTTTCAGGCATTTACGGCAAAACCGAATTTATCTGCTAGAGAGATGGCAACACTGATCATCAGCCGTACGGCCACAACGTGACGTCAAATGGGTGCTTCGGTATGCGGTACAACCAACGTCGTTAGATTAGCTATCGCCTTGGGTACAACAAATCAACCGCGGCGACGTCACAAGGGTACTGTACCAATGTTCCTTGACTAAAAGCTAACCCACCTGCCACTTGCTAAAGACCAGCTGGTCACATGTTCAACTCGGTTTTAGTGGAGTACGCAGCTTCACTTTGACGCAATATCTCGGCTGTGATCATATTTCGTGCCACTAAAGCGATACCAGTCATTTATTTTGGTTTAGTTTTCGACCGCAGTTGCCCTTTAACCGACGTCAGTTGACAAGCTACCTGAATGCCTGGTGCATCTAAGATCTAAGAATGTTGCCTATAACGAAGCTCCAGAGTGCAGGAGACAACACTAGAGAAATTGAAGAAGAGAGATGAAGGAAGGGCAAGGGACTAGCAAGAGTTGGCTTGCAGGGCAACAACGTGATGGTGTGTCCGGGCAGCGGCACCATCAAGCTGATCGACTTTGGGTGCGCCACCTTCGAGCCGTCGTCGGCCGACTGCGAGGCCCTGGTGGCCAGCGCCCGGGGCACCCCGTACTGGATGGCCCCCGAGGTCATCTGCCAGCAAGAGTGCTCGCACCGGTCGGATGTCTGGTGGGTGCCCCACCCTCAGCTACTGTGCCCACAACGCGTCTCCGACTGGTGTGTCCCCAACATCCAAAGTGGTCCCCAAGTGGCAGCAGACGATGTCACAAAAGCCGGGGTGTCGTGCTGTCGTAATCCTGGTAGTTGGTCATACAAGTTTGGGCAAAGAGCACAGACAGACTTGAGTGTTGCTCTCGTCACGGCGTATTAATCTCTGGCTGCCAATGCTTCCGTGGACTGTCAAGCTGGGAAGCAACCTGGACACGCGTCTGCTGCGTTTACCATCGCTGTTGCGACACTGCCAGGATTGCTTTCGGCAACGGCACGACACTCCGATGACGTCACCGGGTGGGAATTGAAGGACCACTTTTTTGGACGCAGTAAACACACCAGTCAAAGACGCGTTTGAGGCACCATTCCCACGCGTACCGAGCCCCTCTCCTTGCAGGAGCGTGGGCTGCACCATCATCGAGATGTTCCAGACAAAGCCCCCTTGGTACGAGCTCTCGCCTCTGGCTGCGGCCTTTGCCATTGGCCAGGGCACCAGCGACCCCAAGTTCCCGGACCAGCTCGGAGCCGACGCCCGGGACTTCATCCTCGCCTGCCTCAAAAGGTATGGTACCACACCGTCGGGATGATTGACTGAACATGTGTATTTGCTTTTGAAAAGCTTTGCCTGCCTATGGCTTCGTTGTCCCGAGAGAATCGGGGTTGTGGGCTGTAGGGAAGGGGGGGGGGTGGGATATTATTATTTCATTATACGATACGATAGACCCAATGTGTCAGGGAACCCGTGATTTGCTTCCTGTGCTGGTCTCCGAGCTGCTTCGGTCTTGTCTCGATGCGCTATTAATCCTGGTGCGTGTGTGTGTGCGTGTGCATGCATGCTTGCATGCACACGCATCAGGACCAAGAGCGGAAGAAGTATTGTTGCTTGCGAACCTGGTGTAATTGGACGTATTGTCTCTGAGGTGGCCTACCAGATCAATTTATAATCCATTAGCAATTGTTGTGCACGAAGAGGAATTGGATGGTAACCCTCAGTGGTTTTCAGTTTGTCTCGGTCGTTGGACTTTGGAATCGGAACTGTGTGGCCCCCTGGAAAATGATGGAAGCAGTACCTGCAGTTTCAAGTGGCATGCAAAATATAGCCTTCAGCTCTGAGCATAACAGTTTGCCTTGCGTTTTATCTATTATTTTCGTGAGCTGATCGCCTCCCTTCCACTTTACCTGCACCACCAAATTTTAATTTAGCAGACTCGTTTCCAGTTTGCAACAATTCGGCCTGCTGCAGCAAAAGGTTGCCGACCCCTGCCCTAGGCTCTTGCAGTTTCGGAGCATTTGTGTCGCCAATAGCATGTCCACTGTGCACGCCTTGCACACAGGATCAATGTCCTCCTGTATGTCTTCTATTTTACTGAGGGCTGCTTTCCTTGCTGTCGGGGGGCTGCCTCTCGAGTGCTTGTAACAAATAAAGTCGCTGGATCTCGGGAAAGTAGCGGCAAGGTCCCCTTGTGTTCGCCATTTTGATCTGCGGAACGAGCGGCTTGCCCTCGACTTCTTTATTCTCGGTGAGCCGATCGAAATTCGAGGCAACAGGTTGCTTTATAAAGACGTTTCTTGAATGCCGAGGTTTAGTTATCTGCACGCCGGCGTAACAAGCGTGTCCCTTTTAACCGCCACCGCTCAAGACGTCGATGCTTAGTGGCATTGAAAAATAGCTTTATTTCGTGAAATGTGCGCAAAGAACGATATAATTGTAAGAGATACACGGAGGTAGCCAGAATGATAAGTTGATTGCGTACACAGTGCTAAACATGCTTATATCGGCGAGGAATGCTTTCAGTACGACGACGCGCCATTGCAATCTTGTTGCGGCCAGTTCGGAACAACCCTTTCGAACCTTCCTAGATTTGAAAGGACCACAATGGTGATTGCCATGGCACCATGCACCGTACAGCCAGCCTCCTCGAGAGCAGTGATAGAAGTGCCGCGCCAAATTGCGCCGTGAATGAATGCCGGCTATATCTTGCGCCAAAGTGCCATTTTTGCTAAAAATTGTGCCACACCTGCGCCAAAATGGACGAAGCAAGAGAGAAAAAAAATTATTGGTAGACTTTAATAATTAGAGAAGTAGGAGGAAAGGAAAATGGTACAACTATGTGTTTCAGAGCGTCTCTACTCACCGTATAGTTTGTTTTATCTTAGGTCAGAGGACAGTCGAAGGCTCGAACACAACCACACACTAAGAGTGCAAGCCACAAAACATTCGCTGCACTTGATTCGTTTAGTCAATGAAAGACCACGCACAGGAAGATAGACGAATGCCATGATGTCACGCTTTGACCCTGGTTGGTGCCATTGGCTCATAGCAGCAGCTGCGCTTTAATTTAAGGTGAAACAAAATATTGAGATCAACCAACCACACTGGTTGTTCGATGCGCCAGCGGACTGATCGCCGACATCCAGACTATGTCGGCGACGTGGGAAGCTAAAAGTTGCGAGAAAACATTGCCAAATGAGAGGATGGCAGCTACTGTGATAAGCCAGAACTAGAGTCTTGTACTCATGATGAAATTAGCATGTCTGCCGCATGCCTCTCCTCACCGGCGCGCGTCGAGCTTCACCACCTTGCACGAGAGTGCTAGGTGCAGCGGTTTAAATGGGTCAGCACCTGGGTTAGCGTGATAGGTTCAGTAATTATGCTTTGTACTGTTCCTGGTCTACTTTTTCGTGTCATGGTGGTAGGTTTATCTCCAACTTTAAAAATCTGTGCCAAAAAAAAAAAAAAATATAGTGGGTCTATATCAGTCAAAGTTGTTCCCGTGCAGCTGTTGATTGAAAGAACAGCAAACTTTGACTTCACTCTGGTTCCAAAAAAACTACGGAGCAGTATAACTTGCACAAGTGTAGGTTTTCATAACATTTGAGGGTGGTTGCTTTGGTAGTTTACAATATTAAAGTCTCGAGTTTGGTAGGCTCATAAAACTTGAAAAACATATTTTTGTTAATGGCACTAGTAGAACTGACAAGCGATTTGGAGCAGCTCTTGTCTGCTTCAAAACCCGTTGTTTCCTGCTACAATTTTGAGCTGTCATGTCAGAAAATGGTATGCAATCTCTTTGACAGTTAGCTTTTACAAAAAAGACTGCGGTTGAAGTTTTGGGAGACTATTTGAAATGTCATACCTGCAGGAAACCTGACCGTTACGGATATTTATTTATTTATTGAACAATCATACGCGGGGAATTCTGCAGATGCCTCAATTAACCTATTAGGAGTACCGATGGCGTCTTTGGTGTGTTTGACGTACAAAGATGTTTTTGTCTACTTTGTAGGGTTTGTACCACGGTGACGTAATTGTTGCGAGTTCATCAAACAAACTCTTTTGAGTTGAATGTGCCTCATGCTGCTCTCGCTCTTTGTTAGGCATGTGCAAATAATGAATTTTGGATTCAAAGCAAATTAAAAGTGAATACTGGTTTGGGCCGAATATTTTTTAATTGAATATTGAATAGGTGCTGTTGTTCCCAAGCTTCTAACTGCCCACTTGTGAGCTCTGTTATATTTAATGTAGCTATACTATTATAGACTGTGGTTTGAGGAATTCCAATACCTACATTGGCATGGCAAGTAAACGACAGATTTGACATAAAATTAAACCTATAAAGTTGCCCAGGCATACTAAATGGTGGGATTTATAAATCTTCTTGCTATATGCAAATATTTTCTTCAATTCTGAATTTAAAAAAAAAGAAGCCTGAATAATGAACACAGGTTGTTAGAACATCGCTGCCTAACATATATCCTGGCATAATAGCCACAGTTAAATTTTGAAGATTTTACTGCAATAGTAGTATAAACAATTACAATGTTTCATTTTATTTATTTTTAGTTTATCAGGCGTCCGCGTGCAGCATATTGCTTTGCAGGTGTTTTTCGCCCAGGTGCTGCGGCGAAGGGAGTCGCGAGATTGCGGTGTAACCTCCGCGAGTACTGCTTCTCCGCAGCACACCGGTGCGTGGGGAGAAGCACACTCAAAGGGGCTATCCTGCCGCGATTAACACTATGAGACGTAATAATAACACAGCTCATATTGAAGCGAATATTAAAAAAATGGATTATCTGAAACGAATTTTCGAAAATTCGAATGTTCTCACTAGCCTACTTCTCGTGCATAGCACTTAAGTAACCGAGAAAAAAAAAAATTGTAATTTTTAGTGGCATTGGCAACAGTGCCACTTGCCAGACACTTAGTTTCCATTTCAAGAACAGCCCCTTTCTGGTGCAGGTATGGCTCAAATGATGAACAAATACAGCCTTTGGAGCAGCAGGTAGCAGGTTATTCGTTCTGGCGGAAATAGCGGCAGTTCCACCACTGTAATAGACAAGCTGGTTTTGCAGATGTTTTTACAAAAAAACATATATACACGCTAAATAAACTACTGGCTGTGAAAGTGCAAGGGGAGAGAAACTTTATCCCGACCAAAGTGTTTTGCTATGATTAATTTTTCATAAATTTTGTAGTACCCATTTTAAATTAAACCTTCTCCGACCAGAGCATTAATTCTAAAAAGAATGTTCTGTATTCCTCTGGTGCCCTATCTATTCTTATTACAAAGTAATATGCTCCAGTACAAAAGAGGGACCCTCAGTCATTATCAAAATTGAACTTATTTAGCAATGCAATCACTTTTTCCTTTGCAAGTGATGTGCTAACAGATGTTGGCATCTTCTCTAAAAGTAGCAGTGACTGCCTGAAACCAACGCTTTGCCTTCTATAGAGCCCACTACAAAAGGTCAAATGCCGCTTCCATCACTGCGCGAGGGTTTGGTTGTATGACTATGTTAATCTGTATGTGTCCTGCTAGCAGGCAGGGGAGGCAATGCCGCTACTAGTATCCAGCGACTTTGTAGCCCAGAGTCCACAGTGCACTTGTCCCGACGCTGCGTGCGGAGGCAGGTCTTTGTCCCCACAACTGGCGATTTCCGTTTCGCCACACTACGTGGAACGCTTTTACGACTGGTGCGTTTAGCTTCTTATTTCGCCCACACATCGAAAGCGGTTTCAAAGCAACTACAAACGACGTCGCAAGAGCCGGATTGTCACGCCATCGGACGTTGCAATCCTGGCGGTCGGTTGAGAAGTCACAGCAAAAAGCACGAGCATCAACGTTGTCGCAGCATCCCAACTGTTGAAGCTTCTGTGGACTGTCAAGCTACGTGGTGACCTGCCGCAAAACAGGCATCCAACACATCCATCACCGCTGCTGTAACAGCACGGTACACCTACTACGTAATCGGGCAAAATCGAGAGACCGGTTTTTGGAACGCGGTAAACGCACCAGTCGGAGACTCACCAGTCGGAGATTCGTTCCAGGCACCATACTAGCGGGGGCATGCCGTGCAGTGTTCTAACGGGGCCACGCCCATTGCGCAGGAGCCCCTCTGAGCGCCCCACGGCCGAGGAGCTGCTGGGCCACCGCTTCCTGCAGACGGGGGCCATCGAAGACCTCTAGCGGCTCCCCTATTTATTGCTATTTATTTCGCGACAGATGTACATAGCCCCCCGCTGCGTCCCACCCGGCCGCCGACGTGGGCCGCCTCTCGACGGACGCGCAAAAAACTAACTCACGTTGCCAAATAAAAAGTCTAGTATGCTAACAGGGTGTCTGCCCGGCGTCGCTTCCTCGTCCTTTGGACCATAGAGGTAATACAATGGTCTGGATAGAAGGTCCTCAGCCATTGCGGCCGCTGCGGAACGGCGGGGCGTAGGTGGTCCTTACGGCCCCGGACTGAAGCGCTGGATGGATTTTATAAACGAGTACCGCCAAGCTGGTGTGTGTTGGGATGTGCTTGAGCCAATAATGGTGGAGCGGTGCTGCCAATCCAGTTTGGCGCGGTGCCGGCATCTACAGTAGATCAGGAGGAGCCGGCAGCCACATCGGACCATTAGGACCGTTCGCGTCTGGATGTGGGATGCGCCACAAGCCAAAAATGGTGACGCGTCGCCGGCATCCAATAGGAGCTTTCATGGCACGATCAAACGGTGGCGGTACTTGGATAAGTCGGGACATCCAGTGCTTTACCTTGGACCACTGGCAACGCTATACACAAAGAAGTGGAAAAATATTACCCGCAAAATCTGTTGTTTCTCTAGCTTTTTGTAGTAAAAAAACACCGGTGTTGCTCGCTGTATAAAAAGAAATAAAGTTGACGAGTGCTCGAACAACTTTAAATCGTTGTGGCAAGACGAACACACCTAACCTATTGTCTTTCTCAGGCACGTAGCTAGGATTTTGTTTGGGGACGGCCCACCCATGACAAAATGCTGTGCGAGGGGGAGGGGAGGCCCCAGCAATATGTAAGACTTCGAGGGGGAGGGGGGGCCCGGGCCCCATGGCCCTCCCCCCTTCTTGGCGACGTGTCTGGTCTTTCTTTTCTCTGCCCTTCCATCGCTTTCTATCGGGACCACCCATGTCAGCGCCTAAGATTTGCCGCATTCTGCTTGTCTGTACCCTTCTGTCAGCGCCTACGATTTGCCGCATTCTGCTTGTCTGTACCCCCCTGCTTTAGATGTGCTCCGAGCCCCTGGAGCCGGCCCCGGCACTCCTGGCCGAAAAGACTGGGTTGGCGCATGCACGCCTCGGCATCGGGTGCTTAATTTTTGAGTGCCCCAGACGAGTTGCAAATATATTCCCCATCACGTTTATGCGAATAATCGCGACCGAGCAAACTATCACAATTACTCGCCATTCCTACAGCTTGGACTGCCCCGGGATCGTTTTGCCTCCTCAATCGCTATGCCACCCAGTCTGATCACTCATGTAAGCTTATCTTTTAGTTCATGGATTTCCTTTGGAGGGGGTTTGAAGTGAAAACTGACATTTAGTAAAGTGGCAGCTCAAAGCTGCACTGCCTCCCCGACGGTGCATTGGCCCCTTGAAGGCACTGCATAAATTAGTTCTTCAGCATATCACACTACATTTTACCTTGTGGGTGGCCTTAGGCATAGTGGATCAATGTTTAGCTTTTTTTTCTGGAAACTCATATCGGCTTTCTGGGTCATTGCGATGTTTGTTGCATTGAAAAAACTGATGGAAGTAAAAGAAAATCAAATTTGATTACATTTTAATTTATTTCCCTTTTAGTTTTTCAAAATAAATGTGGAGTGGCCACATCCTTTTACGCTTTGGCGCAAACTATGTTACATGCGACTTGCTAAATTACTTTGCAATCTCAAAGTACACAGTCTTGCAGTCTTTTCTAAGGACCAATGTTCCACAAGGTCCATGAAGTACATCCTTAGCTGTAGATGTGCAACAAACCATTTGACATTTCGATGGCAGTTCAATACTACTTCATATTGTTGGAAGGAATGGTCAGCCAGTTTTTCAACATTAATTTTTGCATTAGTCTAGATAAAAAGCAAGGAGGAACCGCTTACTAGAACACTGAAGTTTGAGATGCGTGCAAACAGATGGGCACTGGTGGCTTTGGCTACGTTGCCATAGAAAGTTGCCCACCTCAAACACAGGCAAATGACTAGCCTGACCAATGTTTTTGGAAAGACCTGAGGAACATTTCATAACTTCTTGCTGCAGGTTGCTCCATAATACGCTCCCCAGCAAGACATAAGTGCACCAAGACTCACATTTCCATGGCAACACTTGCAGAGCATAGAGGAAAGATTGCATCGAGGTGAACTCTTCCAAGCCCTTCGGAGAAAAGCCCTCTTCCCACCGGCAACAAGCACGGACCAGCTTTCGTGTCAAGGGCCTTTTGAAACTGCCGATTTTGTATTTGTTCAGTTTAGATTTACTCTGTTGTTCCTCTTACAAAACTTCAATTGCTGAATTACGACCTTACGGCCGCGAGTTCAGATAAAAACCCACACTGCACCTCGGCAGGCAGAAGACACGAGATGCAGAGGCCCAGAACAAATTTATTTCTAAAATTGCAGTAGCTTCGCGTCCCCACAGCAGGAAAAGGGGGCAGCCTATCCTGGTGGCTATGTACATGCATGTGGGGTGTGAAGCAGTCCTAGGGATAAAAAGGGGAAACGTGCATAGGGAACGTATGTACAAAGGAGGGGGGAGGGGGGGGGGGGGGGGGGGGGGGGGGCTTCTTCACTTGGGGGCCTTGATGTTCATGCTCATGAGCTCCTCCTCTGCCAGCTGCTGCTGGAAGCCCTCCACTTTCTCTGAAACACCCATGCAAAGTCACATCAAGAAAGGAGTCTGTGAAAGCAATGGATTAGACCCTTTTCAAAATTCAGTCTGGCAACTGATCACCGTCATCTCTGCATATGGCATCTGCGCCAAACTAATGGCAGCCTTCTTGAGGCTGATGAAAAAAAGATTAGAACTGAAGGATATGAGGCCTGCGAGTTCAAGACGTCGGTACAACATGACCGACGAATTAGATACAACCGATGTAACAGCTGCTAAGCATTTATTTTGGAGTGTGGTCCAATCAATCTCTTTGACAAGGTTGGCTCTAAAGCCTTCCGATGGCAGAAATTTAATTTGGTCACTGCTTTGTACTGGCAAGTTCCGACGTTCGCACTACTGAAACAAATCGAAAAAATTACGACTTATCAAACAACCTACTCTCGTCAGACCATCAACTGAAGAGTTTCCCTCGATCACTAATGGCAAGATATGAGAGCAAAGGCAAAAAATGTGACGAATGTAAAATGCCATATACTGAATTCTCAGTCTGACAAGGAACGGACAAACATCTCTGGACAGAAAAGTGCCATCAAATGAACACCCCCGAAATCTGGCAGCTCTAAAAGAAAAAAAAGAATGATTGTTAAGCAATTTCGCCACTTTCTAAAATTAATATATAGAACAATTTTTCGTGCACCAGCAATTCTAATTTACTAATCTCTGAGCAAACCAGCCGTGACCGTTGTTAAAGTGCATTTCCGGGGCAAATCAGCCACGTGCCTGGAACGTGTCCCAGAAATGGGTTCCCTCGATTCCCGTTTGACGTCGTACAAATGTCACTTTGTTGCGATCCTAACCGCGTCGCAACAAGGGTGGTGGACATGGCAGGCACGTGCTCCGCCGCAGATCATTCTGCAGCTCAGTCCGCGATAGCTACGGCAAACTGGAGCTTGAACACTGCGACAACAGCGCGTTCCCTTATGCTCTTCTGGAACTTCTGTGCCCAACCACCAGGATTGCAAAATAAAACAGCATGACACTCAGACTTTTGAGACAGCAATTTTGCCACTTGGGAGCACTTTAGATTCACAAGTGAAATAGGACACTAGTTCGCTGCAACACAAGAAGGTAGGGCGAGGGTAAGACTGGCTGGGGAGGAGGAAGGGGAAACCTCTTCAGCGTTCCGTCCAATTCCTCCTCCCCGGCCAGTATTACCCTCGCCCTGCCTTTTTGAGTTGCGGCGGACTATAACACACCAGTCCACGACGCATTGCAGGCACCGTAATTGGGCCAAGTAGGACCATGGCTATTCAGACAGACTCTGGCACGGCAAAAAAAAAAAAACCCGAAACGTCTAGGAGCCAGGGCTTGTGACAGAGGGCGTCGCACCTTTGAACTTGTTGAGGACTTCGATCTTCTCGCAGAGCAGGTCCTTGAGCTTCTGCACGTAGACGTCCAAATCGTAATCCACGTCGTTGGTCATGGCGAGCTGCTCCATGTCCCGCTGGAGCCAGTTGTGGCTCGCCTGCCGAGGGGGAAACCAGGCAACGTGACGCGCGTGTCGAGAAGAAAAATTTGCACAACCTCGAACATGCTGACCGGGGAGCACAGAATGTCCCACACAAACAACCACCACATGGTACAATGTCTCGCCGCTCTTGCCAACACGTTTCTCCAAGAGCGCACTGCTTCCAGAGGACTCTTGCTATGCAGCCTGGTGACTTTAGCAACTTACTCCTGCCGCAGGTGCAAACTCCCAATCAAATCTTTTTTCCATGTTTTTGAAATTTTTTTTTAAGTAGTGCTTGTACCGTGTTGTACGTTCATTACAATTTTTCTTGTAAAAAAAACGACCCATACAACATATTCCGCCTTCAAAATCTGCCACATGGCAACGGCAAAACGTGACTACAGGGCACGGAGAGTATGGGCACACTCTGCCACGAGCCCAGAAATGCAACAGCACAAAATGCAGACAGCTATCTGCGGGCATACTGCACTTTACGTCGGCGGCGGCCAAGCAGACGGCGGTGCAAGAGGTGGCAGTCCAGGTTCAAGAGAAGTGCAGTCGAAATGCAAGGAACCCGTGTCGCCATCCCGCAAACTTTGAGCTGCAACGAAAGGGCTTTGGCGACCCACCTCGACGACCGTCTTGTGCAGATCCAGGACCTCTTCCTCCATCTCCTGGAGGTGGGACACCGCCTCGTTGTACAGCTCCCCGGACATCTCCACGTCCTGCACACCCAGCAAAAAGGCCACCCGAGTCTACAAATCTGGCAAAGAATCCGCTAGCCATATTCTCACTCCCGATCTCTAAATCGAGAGTCCCGATTTAACAAACTTAATTGAACCGGGGTTGTTCCAACAACACATGGACTGGAAGCACGTAGGATAGAGTGGGTCCGGAGCACGCCTGGACGCGAGACATGGCAAACAAGAATGAGCGATCCGAATGCAGAAAAGTGCCGATGTCCCGTTCACACCAACTGCTTTTACCCCATTAGCACCTTCGTTTGTTTTTGCTGTGCATGGCTCAAGTTTGTCCACTCCTTGCGCACCTCGTGGGTTTGCTTACTCGCCAAATTTACATGCTCTTGTTTTCCCCCTCTACCTCCACCAATGACTGGACGTACTTGGTCGACTCTTCATCGCGCGTTCCCCGCGTGTCCTCCGCGTTGACCTCCGATTGGAGTGCCGCTCCTCTCGCTTCGATGCGCGAAAGACCCCATTTTGAACGCTCGTATAAGACTGGAGTGCTGCTCGCACGATTCAAACCGTCCCACAAAATACGGGTGCCAAAATTAAACCAACGGGTCCATTTTGTTCTACTCAGTTCTTTTGCATGCTTGCTTTTGCATTCTTAATTATGCATGCAGAAAACTGGCAAAGACAAAAACCAAGCGCACAAGTAAACCGTCTGTATCATCCCACCCCATCTCGAGCGACAGACACCAGATGGATACAACTGCACGGTCCAAAATCTTGCGTCGCCCGACTCCAAGGGTGAGGCATGTGCCAACACCTTGAAACCGGAGCAGCACGGAAACAGCAACGGAGAAACAGACCAGCCGCCGACGGAAAGAAAATAGATTCGAGACTCCACCAGAACGAGCGGGGGCGGCCGGAGACTAAGGATGCATCCTCACGTCTGCGGGTGGCGCTGCTAGCTGGTGCTCCTCCTCGTCGCTGGAGGGTGCCATCTCCTCGTCCTCGTTGGGGGCCCGGTGGGCCTCTGGGCTGTCCTCCACGCCCAGCTCCTTCACCCTGGAGACATGTCGGGCGTCACCAATGGCTCCAGACGGCATGCCTTATCGCTTTGCAGCCGTCGAGATCCGAGGCATTAGGAGGGGAGAATGCCAGAGCATACTACCACACAACACACTCGCCGGCATTTGGTAGTCTACAGACTCCCAACTATGTGCCCTCCTCCAAAGGGGCTCTTTCGGCAGACCGCTTTGTGCGAGCTTCAAGAGACAATTCACGATAGACACGAAGTCGCGACAAGGCGAATTATTAATGAAGCTAGATGAGGAAACAAAACAAAAAGTTGTGGCATATAAAAGGCTTATAAAACAAGATTCTTTGTGAGCTAAGAAAGCAGACATTTGTCAAGGTGTGCTGTGAATGAGATTTTAGTGTACTATACACCAGGCGCAGACTATAGCCCGGAAAATATGGCAATTTGAATGCACATTAAATGGGAGGATATATTTTTGATCCCGGCAAAAATGCAACTTCGCCGTTTTGCTCTTCCAAATTCAGGTATTGGCAGCTACGAGCGTTTCAAAGATGCAGTCAGTAAAATCCAAAACAAGCAGATTTACTTTCCCAGTCCAAATCAAACTGCTTAAATGAGCTTCCTCGTAGATATCAGCGGTTCTTTAGTTCAAACTATCGAAAAGCTAAAGTTGAGAATAATGCGAACGCTACATATTCTGCAAATGCTGTGGTCCTTGAGCACTCTGCACCCTCCAGCCCCTGAGAAGGCTGGTGCAATTTTGCTCCCGAGTGAGGGTAAAACTAACGTAGCAAAGTGTGAAAACACCGACCTGTCGGCGTAGCGGAGGGTGTTGAGGGAGTGCTCGCAGGAGCTGAGCCCCGGGGAGATCATGGCAATCTGGGGGGAGAGAACATTGGTCGGCGTGGTATCCCAGCCAAGGGGCTTTTTGGACACCCACCATGCAGGTGCGGGAGTTCTCCCCGATGAAGGAGTCCCTGAGCACCTGTGTCAGCTTGCTGGCCCGGAAGGGTAGGTGGGCGCCCCTGCGCCCCAGGGCTCGGATGCACTCCTGGGGAGAAAGAGGGCTCAGGGTCTGAGGGGCAGGAGGGGGAAGGGGCCCACCTTGAGTGCCAGCAGGCTCTTGTTGATCTCGGCGCCTTCCATGCGCGTCTGCCGGTTGGAGCTTGAGGTGTCCGCCCCCCGCTCGTTGCCGGCCAAGTCAATGAGAGAGAACTTGCCGTGCAGGCGTCCGCCAGCCCTCCTGCGGGACACGGGCGGGAAGGGGGCGTGGGAGACTGCACCCCGGTGGGCCACGGAAACCGAGAGAACGGCCTTGACACGAGTGCACACACCCCGAAGCCAACAAACACGGGAACGCCGAGAGACTAGCCCGGAAAGAGCCCTTCAAACCCAGTTGCCTAACCAGGATTTTTTTTTTTTTTTTGGGGGAGGGGGGGGCTGGAATTTAACAAGATCCCATCTTGGCTATGCCACTGCTCGGGCCATGCTCCAGTCTTCATCAGTACCTAGTCGGTTGTCATGGATGAGGACAATTGACTAGTACCACCTAGAAGACGAGGCCCATGCACAACGCCATCATTAGTAGATCCCCGACCCACCCCAAGTGGCAGACACGCCGAACCTCGATGAGAGGCATCATGAAGCGGCCAGCACATCGAGTCTTGCCGTCGCTGCCTGCTAGCATTTCGCTCGTTGCGCAGGGGTGGAAGTCGCGAAATGTACTCGGGAGCACCCGCGGGAGCAGCTGAATCTTCCGTTTTGGAGCAGGCTGGGAGCAGCTAAAACTACATTCTGAAGCAGGCTAAGAGCACGTCATATTAGTTTTCATTGCACTTCAGCACGGGAGCAATTTCAATTGTGCTTAGCAGCACAGATGAGCATGAGTGGTTAGGAACCTATGTAGATGGGATAACAGTGTAAAAGGTGCAAGACTTGGCCTTAGTGAGAACCAAAAAGCAAGTACCACATGTTTCTGAAGATAGTGTCCTTGATATTTTCCGAGTGGCTTTCAGCTGCTCAAAATGCAAACCAGCACTGTTTATAGCACGACCAACACGTGCTCGACAGTGATTACGTGTGCGAACCACGTGACGTGCGTAAGGAACGGACGGACGTGTAGTTGCGCGGAGGAACAGGGCAACAAATTTTGAGTCTATCCTATTGTACAACTCAATAACGAAGCATGAGACTGCAAGTAACAGAGTTATATTCTAAGCGATGGGCCAGAGCAAGATTAAAGTATGCCGAGCAGATCTACCGCTGCGAGAGCTGCTGGCCGGCAAGGATTCGGATCGGACAGCGTTTCAGTTCAATCAAATCATGATTTATCTTGCAAGAATGCGGTTCTAACTTCTAACGATGAAACACTAGAAGGAACCTTTTGCTGATGTGTTTTCAACTGGCTGATGTCCAGAACCCGGGCCGCAGAGCCTCAGGCTATCCGACGCTTAACGACTCGATCTCACCTCGGCCGACTTGCTTAACCGCTTATGGTTGAAGAATAACAATCCAGTCGCAGGTGATGTAGCACTTAGAATCCGACCGAATTTTTTCGCGTGCTTCCGACTCGGGATACACAGGAAAAATAAACTGAATAAAAAATTGCAAGGTCGACCAAGCTACTCATTGTTGCCAATCGAGTCTATAAAAACCGAAACCAAGACAAAATAGAATTATTTTGGCACAGTTTGTGCGATTTGGAGCACAATGGCGCGAAGTATTCATTGTGGCGCAGTTTCCGCAAAATGGCGCAGGATGGCGCAAAAAAATGTCTGGCACAAAATTGTGCAAATCGCACAGCCGTTCCACCCCTGGTTGCGAGACGCTGCCCGACGAGCTGGCGGAAATGCTGACGCGAAGAAGGCTGCGCTGTGTGGATCCACTAGTGAAGTTTGAAGGGAAAGGCACAGGCCTTGTCTTCTAGCTGGTATTTGATCGACAGGGAGCAGATAAAGTGCCAACAACTTGTCTGGCGCAGAGGAGTTTGTTTGGATGCACGGGAACATCTGAACCAGGGCTGCACAACCAAAAATGAGGCGTGCCAAAGTTATGTTCACCGAGAACTGCACGCGAGACGTGGTACACATTTTTGCTGCAAACAGGCTTCCATGGCAGATCGAAGGCAGTTCTTGTGTCATTAGTGAGAAAGTCACACACATACTACGTGCTCCGAAAAAGTGACACTTGAAGGCATGGTCCACCAGCTTTCTGTACTTATGCTTGTTAAGAATCTTGTGGAATCTAACAGCTGAGATTCGCAATACATGCTCTTTAGTGCTGGTAAGCAACTGGAGGTCGATGAGCTCCAGCTGCACCGTCTAATCAAAGTCCTCAAAACCCAGAAGAAAAAAAGTTTGCTTTCGACTTGGAATTGTTGCTGGAACTCCCTGAGAAGGTTCTCAACGTGTGGCACGTATGTCACAGTTACCGACTTCTGGATTTCACCGGCAGGAAAGAGTGACAGGTGGGATAGTGTCCCAATTCCTACTTTCAAGCTGCAACATTAACAGGCGGAACTGCTAAGATTGTGCTGACCATGTCCAAAATGGGATTGTCCTTTCCTTCGAGGAATGCCAGATTCCATGACCACTGCCCATATTCCAGCTCTGGCATTTGTTTCACTTTTTAACCTCAGAAAGCAATGATGTAGTCCTTGAAAGCGGCGAAGCGACTCTGAACCTTCCCACTGCTCAGCCAGCGAACTTCAGTGTGGTGCAGGATGTCCATGTGCTTGTTCTCCATTTCTTGCAGGTACTCTTAAAACTTCCCGTGCCTCAATCCCCTTGCACGTACATCAAGTTGAAGATCGAAATCACGACTCGCGACACATTCAACTTTCACTTTGGCACGAAGAACTTCCTGGTGCAGTACAGCGACATTGCTTCAATTCTACTCTACTGCATGCTTGTAACAAAGCGACGGCTCCATTCCTTTTCCGATCATGGCTGGGCTGCATTGGTGCATACCCATCAGTTTTTCCCACGGTAACTTGAGCTTCGATGTTTCTTGCTCATCTCCTCTCCAGTAGACCATACTTGCATTGAGCAGAGCTCTGCCAGTTCCCGAGTTGCATATAAACAGTATCCTCAATGTCTGTGCTCTCATCCAAAGCAAGAGTAGTGCCCAAATTGACTGCAACTCTTCCAGCTGCTTCGATAGGTCGTCTGCTATATCATGCATACGTCTCTGTAGTCATTCTTGACAAGCTCAGATTTTGGAAGACAAACTTCTTGTCTGGTCACATTTCTCCTCAAGATTTGCTGCTCAGCAAGCAACTTCCTCTTTAATTGTGCAACCTTGTTAGTCTCTCAGAACCAAAAAGGGTGCCGAAGTCTCAGATGAGCTTAGTTTTGTAGGGGCGTCTGACGCTACTCCATAAGGTCGGCATGCAAGGCTGATACACTTCGACGCACTCTCAAGAAAAAAAAACGAGTCGCTTACAACCCCCTGCAACACCGAATTAGAGCGCAGCTCTTGAGGTATACCCCTCCTCCCTCCTCACCTCTTCATCCTGCTTGCTAGTCCTCCCTCCGAGCAGCATAGGCGTCACCATGGGGTCAAGCGACCCTCACGGTTGCGCCGACGCCGCTGAAGCCGGGAAAGAGGAGCCTAAGAGCTGCACTCTAAAAATACCTGCATGTTCATTATTGAATTTCCAGCCATCCCGATTGATTTTCCTCTTTGGAAGAGCACTTGCATTTCACACACTACTTTCAACGAATGCAAGAACAGATTCGGTTTTTTTGCTTCTTCAAACTGGCATTTTTCTTTCCAAACAGGACGGGAGAAGGCAACAGCCCCTATGATCAAAGGGTTTAGGGATGTTTTGATCATGGCCACCAGGCAGCCACTACTGGTGGCCGCCAGATGGCCACCAGGAGTGGGCCCCCCTGGTCTAGACCGGAAGCTGCTTAACAAGCGGCTTGCAGTTGTGCACCCCTGGTCTAGACTGCCGTGAACGCTCGCGAGAGGACCCACCTGAGGATGATCTGGAAGACCGCGTGGGAGCGGGAGGAGTTCTGGTTGGCCGAGGTCTGTCCCGAGGTGCGCACCGCGTTGCCGTGGTGAATGAGCTTGAGCACCTCGTCCACTGCGTCCACCTCCCGCTCCACCAGGCCCACCACCTGCACCTGCTGCTTGCCGTCCTCCAGCACCCGCAGCTTGGCCTTGCCGTTGAGCAGGTCGAACACTTTGCCCGAGTAGATCTCGAAGAAGGAGCACGACACGGCCAAGGCGTCCCCCCGGTGCTTGGGCGAGCGCAGCAGCCGGAACACGTCCTTGGTCGCCAGAGCGTACACCCCCTTGGAGCAGTCCTGGGTGCGGCCCGAGAAGTCTCCACCCATCGTGTGGGTCTTGCCGCTGCCCGTCTGCCCATACGCGAAGCACGTCGCCATGCCTCCGTCGAAGATGGTCTGCACCAGGGGCCGGGCCGTGTACCTGTCGGGGCGAGGAATGGGCTCAGGGGCGCATACGGCCGGCCGCCGTGGCAGGGAGAAAGGCTGCTCACTTGTAGACCAGCTCGTTGTTGGCCGTGTCGTCGAAGGCGTAGTCGAACCGGAAGCTTGAGTTCTCCAGGAACTTTGTCAGGTCCACCTTCAGCTTCGGCTCGTGCACCACCATCACGTCCCGGCTGGGCACAGTCACCACATCCACCTCCTTGCGGCCGAGCTCTGCGCCACCCAGGACGCTCGTCAATCTCGCCAGCACAAAAACATCGCCCGCGAGATTTGTCTTGGCAAGGGCGGGAACCCACCTTTCTTGTTGAGGGGGCGCTTGCGCACGGCCACACAGATCTGGTGCACCTCGGCAGGGTCGTTCATGGACAGGGGCCGAAAGTCCAGCTGCGAGCGGTACTCCCTGCGGCGGTGGGGCAGACCCCGGAAAAACCCAACTCACTCCAAGTGTCTAACAAATCGCCTCTTAAATTGGCAATTTTCCAGGATTTCCCAGAATATTTTAACTGAATTCCCGGACCATTACAAATTAAGTAAATAGGATGCAGTTGCAATTGAGCATTTGGGCCATTCCCGTTCAATATCGTGAATCGGGAGATAGCCGACACTGCCTCACAGTCTCAGGCAACAATCTGTTGCAGAGGCCATCCACACCACCGCAAGCCACACCGTCCCGCTTCGAATTCCAACAATTCCAGCAATTCTGGCCTCACCTGATCATAGAGAGGAACTCCCAGTTGGGGTTCCCCGGGTCCACGTTCATGCGTTCCCGCTTCTCCTCGATCTGGGTCAGCTGCCGTGCCCGCCGCTCGTCCCTCTGCTTCTTGATGCGGTCCACCTCCTTCACCACGTTGGTGCGCCGTCGGCTCGCCAGGTCCGCCCCGGCCTGTTGCTGTGCCGCCTGCTGCTGCTGCGCTGCCTGCTGCTGCCGCGTAGACACGCCGTTCTTCTCTGCCACTGTGCCCCGACGAAGCCCCGCCTTTATTTTAATTATTCCAGGTACACTTTGCTGTCCGAAGGCATTACAGAATGGATGGGGAATACATAAAACCAAAATACAGATTGTTATACAACGCCTTCTGTCAAACCTAACAACTTCAGATGCTTGAACTCTATTTGAGACCGAGTGTGTGTGCAGCTTTTTACTTGTTCCCAGTCTCTGATTTATCACTACAAAGTTCACCAGCTTGCCTGCGTTTTCACTTTCACCATTACTGGCTTCCCAGTTTGCCAGGAAGAAAGGCGAGTGCTACTCCCAACCAAAGAACAAACGCATCGTCGATCGGCAAAGGCACCGATAAAGACTGGGACCATGGACGACTTTAACAAGTCTCGTTCAACTTACCTATGGTCTACACCTATGTATGCACACCGTGTAATCTCATGGCGACACAAGTTTTCTTCCTTCTTTTCAAGTAATAAAGTAGTGAGTACAGCTGTTGTCCCGTCACAAGCGTTGCTTTCGTAATACTCTTATTTTGTAGGTTTTGTTCCCATCATGTTGCCTATGGACCCCGTCCATTTCAACGCCTTTTCCGATCGGCGATACGATCTGACTGGCCCAATAATCCACTCCGCCGCATCTTTGATCTGTTGTAAAAATAGCACAGGGAAAAGAGGCACCAAGTCCCATCTGCCAGACCAAAAACAGAGCCACAAAGATGACTGCCCCCGGGCCCTCCAACACTCCTCCGTCTGTGGGGCAAGAGACTAAAGGCAGTCGGGAAGATCGGCCAGGAACGGAGGCAGGCCTTTTGTTAATCACTTTTTAGTGGGACAAGGTCTAGGGTTGAGAAAAGAGGCAGATTTGCTTAACCCGAGAAGAGGCCCTGCCATCCATTAACGGCTACTTAGCAGGCAACAAAACAAAAATAAATTTAAAAAAACAAAACAAAAAAAAGTAAAAAAAATGCAACAAAAATGCAACATATCTGCAATGGTTACTTCAGTGGTATGTACATCCTTCAAATCAAGGACAGAGTAAGTGACACGTTAAATCATTTATTCCAAGGGGCACAGCAGAAGGTACCTTTCTATCAACGTGAAGGGGGATCGGAGGCCAAGTGGGCTAGCGCATACCAGCTACGAGCATCTGGAGCAAAAACTCGCGCTGCAGAACCCAGGGATCCTTTGTTCAATCCCCACCCCTGCACGTTTCAATCTGGATGAGCATTGCATCGGCGCGCGGTCATGTATCACCACTGCGTGGTGCACGTCAAGGACCCCAGGCTAGCAGTTGTGCTGTACTGGCTAAATGGTTCATCTACAGCCAAGAGACAAGTTGCCCGTTTAGGCATTATACACAACGATTTTATCAACGCAAGGCTTGAACACCCGAGATTTGGCAATTTCACGAGCTCGCCTGAATCTTATTTCTACCTTTCTAGGTTGTTGTCAAAGGTGTGCCTCCAGCCACAATACCATACAATTCCTAAAACAGCTGGACGTCCGCTTGGGAAATTGGGAATTAAGAACGCTGGTTGGTCCGTCCCACGGTTTTTTCTCGACCAAGGCATTATATGAGGGCCTCGACGAAGACCCTATTGAGCATTACCAGGGAGGTATTGCTCCCAGGCCGACTCCCACACCAACAGGCTGAGTCCAACACTTTTCCCAGAATTTTCTAAGAAAAGTATGGAGACCCAAGGTGTACACCTCCGACCAAGAAATTAGTTCCAACCACCCAGACTGATATTAAAGGACAAAGGATGCGGGCAAGGGGCACTCACGGGAGGCAAGGCCAGAGCTGGACTTTGCTGTGGGCAGGGCCGTGGGAGGCCCCATGCTGGCAGCCCCATTCTGCTGCAGGGCCGGCCGGGCCACGCTGCGCCGCTCCTGCATCGTCCCGCTCCGCGCCGTGGGCAGCTGTGTGTACCGGGCCGGCTGGGGAGGGAAGGTGCTTGGGACGTTTAAAGGGATACTGAACTGAAATTTCGAACTCTCAAAACAAGGCTGGACGGATAGGTGGTATGGCGCACTGTGCATTCACGAGGGCGCCCATCAAACCACTCTGGCATAGTTGCCGCGAGGCGTCTATGCAGTTGCCTCGCCTCAGACAAAATCGCGTGGTCGTGTCGCTGTGGGGTCGATTAAGATCCCGATTTCGGCGCCCGACGTGCCGATTTCTCTCCTAGCCACTGGATGGCGCTGCAGGCGCCCCAGGGCAGGCGAGGAGAAAGCTCCTCGCCCATCAATATAAGACGGGGAATCAGGGGGGGTGGGGGGCTTTCTTAGTACTCTGGGGGGCTCTAGAACAGGCAAGTGCAAGCAACTGCTCTCTGGTAATTGTGGAATACGAGGTCTGAGGGCCCTCTTTGTGCTTAGCTTTGGCTTTCCGTGCGAGTGAATCTTTGTGTAATGCCACATGTATTTGTAGTTTAGATTGAATGTTTTGAGAGTTTTGTTTTACGAGCCAACAAAAGGGAGCGGAATTTTGCTCCTGTGAAAGAACCAGGCTGGACTTGAATTGTTGACGGACCACATCGGAATTCACATACCGCCGCTGATACTGGAGTATCTGAGGTGGCTCCGACGTATCAGCTCTTCATTTTATAGGTGACAGAGTACCAACTCCCGCGAGGCCCTTTTCAAAAGATCATCAAGCAACTTTGGAAGTCGCCATATCTTGGGCACGAAGCATGTATTGGCATGTATTGGTCCACGCCGAACTCCAATGCAACCCTCGTGCCCAATGCATACTCATGTGCCCCAACAATGGGGGACTGCGATAATTGTTGCAGCATCTCCTAGATTGTGCTCTTTTCAGAAGGGTTTACAAAACTACCCAAGCATCAAGGAGAATGCTATGAATGTAGGTCTACGCACTGCATGTGCTGGCATCTACAGCAGTAACTGTTCTAAAGCAAAAGCCCGAAACGAATGGCATCTTGCATGTGCGTTTGTCAGCTTTTTATTTTCGTTATTTACTTTGAATCTTTTATATGGGGAAGGAGAGCGCGTGCAGTGCTAGACCTACATGCCCCTGCAATCGCCTTGATGCTTGGGAAATTTAACAGGTCTACTGACAAAGGCCGAAAATCACTGTACTACCCCTTTAAGAAAGGCTGTGTTTAAGTTAGCATCCCTCTTAAAGTTTTCCCAGAAAATGCATAGACATCTGCAACGAAGGGTACACTACGGTCTGGTTGCTCCCCATGCTCGTTGCCTTCCCAAGTACTCCAAACAAACCGCCCCGCGAATCGAGTGGGGGCCTCGGGCAGACCAGCTGGGACGAAACGAGTCCGAGAATAACAATGATGCCGGCTCTCCAGAGACGGGCAGGAAAGGGCTCCCACCTTCTTGATGGAGTTGCGGTTGGTGTCCTGGAGGCCGGGGTTGAGGGCGTACACCGTGCTGAACTCGAGCTGTGGGGGAGAGAAAGAAAAGGTCGACAATTGCGACTTGGCTAGAGGCCCTTCCCCGGCGCCTCACCTCCTTGCCCTTGGTCTCGCCCCTCTCGTGCCACTCCACCACCATCACCTGCTTGGGCACGTCCAGGCTCACCACGGTCGCCGAGTGGATGCGCCCTGCGAGAGACGCGGCCCAAAAACCATCAACGACAGGTTCCCGGACCGAGACAGACGACGCGGGCCCTCTGCCGTGCTGGATGGGCAGCCCCCTATGCTCTTTTGAGAGGCACAACCGGCAGGATGGTGCTTGAATGCTTCTCCAACCACGTGTTAACCGCGTCCCAAAAAATTATCTGTCGATTTCTGCCTCAAGACTTCAGGGAAGTGTCGCGCCGTCAATGGTCCCACTCCCTGTGGTGTCACAGAAGAGGTGGCGGATGTGGTGCAGACACCCGTTCTGCTGCAGGTCGCACAACCAACCAACCACCAGGATCGTTACATCCGACAGCATGACACTCCGCTTTTGCGAGATCCCTCGTTGCCACCTCGGAACCAGTTTTGACACATGGGCAGAGTAGGACGCCAAATATACACCTCCCTGACACTTGTTCCAGGTACCGTAAAAAAAGAGGAGGGTCTGCCACTTTCCTAAAAGGAGAGGAAGAATTCGACGGAGGTTTACTCCTTTCCAGGGGCTGTAAGGAGAGCGGCTCTGGGCACATCTGCGGCAACATCGAGGTCACACCGAGCCCTGTGCGCAACAATTTAGGGCGGTACCCTCTATCGCGTAGGGGACCCCCTTGCACGCGTGAATGGCAAAAGTCAGAATAGGTCCAAAAGGAAATATATCGGATCTCGCTACAAATATGCAACCGACGGCACATCTTCAATACCAGCAATATTTCTAGCAATGGCAGCGCGGGCATACCTATTATAAAGGAGATCCAACCGTTGCACCTCTAGAGGCTAAAGTGAGAACTACGCCGATGGGGACACCAACGACAGATTTGTTTGCATTTTGACGCAGCGCTAGATCCACGTAGTTGAATGTTGTGCCAGCATTCGGCTGGGGCTCGGGTTCAGTTGACGAAGCCAAATGCGGACACTGCAATAAAACTGGGCACGAGCCGTGGCAGATGTTTGCCCCGCGCTCCATTTCGAGAAAGATGAAGTAAGGAATTTAGTGTGCGTGCCTTGTGTTGGTAAACGCAGAACTCTGGGGAAAACAAGCTGGACGTAGTGCCCCCTATAGTTAGATTTTCTTGCCAATAGGCAGTAGCAGGTTAAGAAACCCGGATGAGCTACTCCTGCAAACCCCTCCGTTCTTTCCTCTTTAGGGGAGTGAATTTTGGAGAGGACGCGCTCTTCAGGTTTCTAACCTTTTGAGGTCAAATGTTTGATGTCGCCCGACAAAGAAATATTCCTGTTACGGTCGAGCGTCGGGGCTCCCCCAACAGTCTCATGTCTGCTTTGCGACCAATTGTCTCGTGTGCCCTGACGATTTCCGCTTGTGCCATCTATCGTGGCTATAAGCACAGCGCTTTTATCTTTTCTAGCTTCACGAGAGATGGCGCAAGTAATGTTTGTTCCTACGTTTTTCTTCCGAGACGAGCGGAATTTCGCATGCACTTCTGTGAACGAGAGTGATGAGAAAAGCCTTACGGCCAGCCATTTCCCTAACCTGGACACCCTACACAGATGTAGATCAAGATCCTGAAGCTCTTCATTGGGTAGTCTAAGATCCAGTACTTTCCTCTTTCATGGACGCTATGATAAACCATTTTACGACCAAGTGATTGCACAATTCCCAGCGTAAAATAATTTTGTCCCGAGAGGCCAACAAAGTGCAAGGTCGCATGACCCCAACAGGTTAAGAGCGCCGCCGAGACAGTTTCGGGATCACGGATGTGAACTTCCGTGAAAGAGACTTCGAGCGCAGATTTACGAAACTGGTCACGTGTCCCAAATACTCAGAATGACGGACGGACTGCATGTTCTAGAAATGAACGTTAAGGCCATCGTGCAAGGACCTCGGCCCAAGAATGCGAGCCGACTACAATCACTCTGCGGGATACTGCATTTTACACCAGACTCACGCTTAATGTGTCAAGCTTGACAAGGAAATTGTATGTGTTGCTCAAAAAGGACGCAGGATGCAGCATTCCTGAAAGTGTGTGTCGCAACGGCGGTTTCACCATAAAGGCAGAAAAGAAAAACCGGTCTGGTTTCAATCTAAAACCTTGTCAGCCACCAAAAGAAATTATTCCCCATCCGAGTGCAAGGCTCGTGCTCAGACTTATGGCATATTGAAGTTCCGAGACTACCTTCTTGGACAGATATTTGCTCTGGTCGCTGATCATGTTGAGACCCGGTCAGTAATCTTCCGCAAAGACTACAGCACAAATTTAACAATGTGTACCGTTTTTGGGAAGCTGCCGCTACAAGCTGTAGAAGCGGCAACACAAGCCCGGTTAAGAGATGCGGAATGCCCAGAGGAGACTACCGCTACCGACAGCACCAATGGAAAGAGGCCCAAAAAGTGAGGGAGGTATGAGGAAGCCGTTGGAAGGGAACGTCATGACGACCAGAGAGTTGAAACAGGTGACTGCCGGGGATTCAGCAACAACGCAGGTCAAGAGTTGTGTCATGAATGATGGGCCTAGAAGTGTTAAAAACCTGGATTCTAGTCGAGAATCGCTTTACGGGTGAAACTAGAGCTTTTCAAAGGCACACAATCTCATATATTGGGGCCACCGCATCATTGTGTAAAAGGAGACCTCCCACAGCTCCATAAGGATAACTGTAGATAAACGCTGGCTAGGAGATGCGAGCCCACCACCCAATTAAAAGGGTCCAGCCATAAGCATCCATCCATCCATCACAAGACTCATCAGGGTGCATGTGCTATGAAAGCAACAGAAAGAGCTCGTTTTTGGTGGCCTAGACTGAATGAGGAGGTAGAGCGTACGTTGGTGACCTGTGCCCCCTGCATCCAACTGCTGCCCCAACCAGTATCAAAGGCAAGCAGGTAAAACCAATAAGCAATTTTTTCAAAACTACCGTATTTATTCGAATACAAGGCGAGGTTTTTTCCAAAATCCGTAGTCTCAAAGTCATACCCCGCCTTATATTCGAAGCTCAGTATAGCAATATGACGATTTTTTTTCTTGGGTCCTTCAACTGCCCCCTTGCCTTATAATCGTGACCGCCTTATATTCGAATAAATATGGTAAACGCTGACCGCAAGCACGTAATCAACCACCAGACCCCGAAGGGTGTGGCAGACTCCGACCAACACAGTGAAACCAGTTTAGAACGAACAGCAGGAAATGCTATGATCAGTTTGATACACCAAGTAGCTCGATATAGCAAAAACCCTTTGCAACTAACTTCCACGATGCGTTCGTTTCAAGGGGAGAGCTTTTTCTGATCTCTTCGCTTTCGCCTTGTAACAATACGCTGGAAAGTTTTGTTCTTTTTGCATCTGTGCAGAGTTTACTCTTTTAGCTACATCCCCTTCTGAATTTTCTTTTTGTGGGCAATCGCTTTGGGATAAAATAATTTTGTCTGCGTGCGCGCAGTTTTTTTTAGCTTTCTCCGAATCTCTTCTCTTCGGCTTCACTTTGTTCGCAACTCGAGCTTTTAAAATTTACTTTGCTACCTTTTTTTGGGGGGAAGGGGGAGGCGGCTAGGAGAAGATTGCACGTTTTTTGAAGCCTTCACGGGGGTAAAAAGTCTGATATAGCCAATATGTTGTTCGTTATAAAAAGTACTTTTTACATGCATTTTTATTTAAATTTTCTGAGAGTTTGATATCGACAATAATTCGCTGTATGTGGGTTCGTACTTAACGGGTTTCACCGTACTACCTACAGTCTGCGACAAGGTGACAATTCAGGGGAAACTCCCCCACCCCTTTTCACTTTGGCAGAGAGTGTCAGAAAGGAGGTGACCTTTCCAGAGTTCACTCTCCTAGGGTGGGAAGAGTTTCTCCCGTCTCTTAACCTGTCACCGACTATAGAAGACAAGGCCTGCGAGTTTTCTCCCCAAGTGCAGTCGCTAGTAGATCCACGCAGCACCGCCCAGCTTGCATCAGCGTCCTCTCCAGCGGTGCGCACCTTGCAGCGTCTCACAACGAGCGTTAAGCTAGCATGCAGCGACACCAAGACTGATGCGTCTGCCACTTGGGGCGGGTCGCGGATCCGTGAACGGTGATGTCATGTGCAGGCCTTGTCTTGGTGTTCTCTCACCGGTTGTCGCCAGTGCCAGATTCATCGGCCAAGCCGAAGTACCACGATCTGGCAAGTCCACATCAGCAAGCCAATTCATCGAGGGAAGCCGTTAGAATGCGACACTCCCCTCGCCTTTATAATTATGAGGGGAAAGGAATGACACTAGCCAGTCAATGTTTGCAGACGTTGTGGTCTTCACCGAATGATGTCTTGTGTCAGCAAAGGGCAACATGAAAAGTATGACAACTGCATAACACCGAAACCGATGTGTGTCTTCATACCGTCAAGTCCTTCAAGGTTGCGGTTACAACAAGATCACCTTCTACAAGCCGAGGCAACTTTGCTCATGCCCATACAGCGGTCCCACAGCAATCAGGCAGACAACAATAACTGATTTGAAAGCTACCGTGGCATATACACACGGAGCATGTTGCAACACGCAACAAACAGAAAGACCCGTTCAGCCAACGAGGGCAGTGGAAGGCAAACAGACGCGGTTGTTGGAGGTGCACCTCCAGCAGCGACGCAGCATGCAGACCAACCAGATTTTCCATTTTCCGACGACCTCTGTTCTGCATGGCCATAAAGGCGACCGAACAAGGCTATGAGAGGCCATGGCAAAAGCAAGCGGGAGGGCAGACAGACGAATGGAAAGTTCGGGGTCTTCGCCAGTCTACGACGCCCATAGACTGAAAGACGTGCACACGCAGCCCGGGTTGTCGCTCAGGCGGGGTGCGAGGCCGCGCGGCCAGACAACTTCGCTGCGGACGGCAAGAGAGCGTCCAAATAAGGCGCTCGCGGTGTGGGCAGCCGACGACGGACCTTCGGCTGGCACCCACTCGCGGTGGGCTTCCGCCGGAGACGGCCGAAGGCAGGGCCCGGGGGGAACCGCCGACGGACCCTGCTAGAGGCGACCAATGCCCGAGCCTAAGGAAAAAAGCCCGTTGCCCTCGAAAAATGCCGGCACCGCCTTCCCTACTCGGTGGCGGTCAAAAAGGTGCCAACGGCGACTGGACCAAGCCTCGTCGAGTGCGGGCCCTTCGCACGCGGGGCGCCGCGTTTAAAAAACGCTCTGAAGTTTTTTAGCTCCGAGCCGCGACTCTGCAAGCCGACCGAACCAAGGGACTCGCGCGGACGTGCTTCGCCTAGCTACTTCTAACACCGAGCTCGTCGAGGCGTTGAGGGGACGGGCTGTCAGGGCTGTCAGTCGCCGCTTAGGGTTAGGGACGAGCAGGGCCGCTGCTCGACACTCACCGTCGGTGCGCTGGATGTCGACGCTGGCTCCGACCTGTAGGCCCCCCGTCATCGCTGCCATGTGTCAGGCGGCCGGTCGACAATCACAAATAAATAATCTCCTAACACATCGACAACTGCCGCTGGGTTGGCTGGGTCCCGATCGGCACGGCTTTTGTAGATGTTGTCAGGTGCGGGACTGTCTTCTCGACTGAACGGTCCGCGTCGAAACGAAACGCAGGGAGGAAAACTACTCCTGTTTCCCTCGTTCCGGGCGGACAGGAAAGAATTAACGGAGTTAATATTCGTTAATTGGATGGACAATCAGGGGCGTCATCAGGAGAACCTGGCGAATAAAAGATGTGACGTCACGACTCCCACGACCGTTGCCCGTTGCCACAACGTTTACAAGCAGCTGATCTAAAGGGCGGCAGAATTTGAACATTTAAACTCGCGTTGCCGGCTTTCGTCTTATCACGTAATCAGCCTATCGCCTCCATCGTCACGCGGAAGATTTTGAAGACCGGCCACGTTACTCTACCACCGCTGGCGCGTAAATGAACGCCACTTCGGCGAATGATCTGCGTAATCTCTGCCAATAAATACGTTTATTCATTCATTCATTCATTGCGCCGTTTCATTGAAAGAGCCGGAATAGCTTCGCGTAGTTTCATCGTACCTCTCCGTCATGTAAGGGAGCTACGGCCCCGCACGTAAGTCTGCTGTTTCGCAGCGGCCTTTCCCGCCTCTGATTTCGTGGAAATACTGTCATACTGTCGCAGTGCAAGGTTTTACTTCATTAAAACTGATAACTTAAAACGTGAAGGCTCACGCACCAGCCCCCAGCACCTTCACTTTCGCAAGAATTCACCAACAGCCCATTCCCTGTCTTTTTTCTTTTTTTTTTTTTTTTAATCTTCGACGATGAACCTTATGCTGCCCTTTCAAGCCGTTCAGACGTGTTGCCGGCGACGACGAGTATGATTATCACTCTGTATCCCATTTTATCCTTTCCCCCAACGGAAACATCGATTTCCCGGGACTTTCGCGATCAAGAATGAACCCGGGCGGCATCACGGGAACGCCTCTCTCAGGTAATTTTATTTTTGTAGAGTCCGTGCAAGGCTCCAGTGTTGCGGAATGGGCACCCCCATTCCAGTCCAATTCCATTCCGGGGAATTAGAGTTTTCGATAATTCCATTCCTTTCAACTCCTAGGAAGGGGACACTGAGCCCATTCCCACTCCTGGAATGGCTGAGTCCACTGATCTCAATGGCTGAGTCGCTAAAGTGTAACTTGACAGCTGCATTAATTACGTTGCAGGGTTGGGCAGAAATATTCAGAAATGCATTTGGAAATACTAATGCTGGGACAGATGAAAATACTTGATAAGATACTGATATTCAAGTCTTAAATTACGTATCGGAAGAGGCAAAAAGTCTTTGGAAATACAATACAAGAATACATTTTAGGGAGGGCAGAAATATAAATACTGATAATACAATACATTTTCCAAATTTTTTTAAGACGCCAACTGAGATGAGGCTTTAAGCTTGAAGCACTTAAAGTGGAAGTTTTTTTCTTTATTTTTTTTTAGATGTGGAGCATCTCTTGCTCGGGTCTATGTCCCGCGGCGTCGTAGTCCGCACTCAAACTACGCATGCGCAACTCTCCTCCTTCCCTCTCTCCAACAGCTGCGCATTACTCTCTCCGCTCTCTCTCTCTCTCTCTCTACCAGCTGCGTGCACTTCGCGTGTGTTCGCTTCTACTCACACCGCGCGCGCATGCGCAACTCTCCTCATCTAGTCTCCTCTCCTTCAAGTGTGAATATAAGCAGCGGTAGCACGCTGTTCAGTTCACCCGCTGTTGACTCGATCCACTCCGTTCTTCCGATGAAGTGTGATGGAAGCAACGGTCCCATCAGTTATAGTGGGTTGGCGCAAGCAAGCGTCAGCACCAACCCACAAACTAACAGCAACGCTACGTCCACTGAAGACAAAGCTGCGCAGCGAAGGGCACGCGACGCTGAGCGCAAACGCTTGAAGCGAGCGGCAGACCCTGAACAACGGCAACGAGAAGCGGCGGCGGTTCGAGAACGTCGGGCAGCAGAACCTGAGGTTCGGGACCATGAAGTTCAACGTAAACATACGAAGCGAGCGGCGGAACCCGGCCTTAGAGAACGGGAAGCCGCGTTGGTTCGTGAACGTCGAGCAGCAGAACCCGAGGTTCGGGACCGTGAAGTTCAACAACGTTACTAACACCGTCAATAACACCGTTAATAACGATCCGCGATGCTCCGCACCACCCCATGGTTCTCCTCGGGAAGATGGTGTAATTTTTTGTTCCGAAATTACTTTTTCGCAGGCTTGGCACTTCGCATCGAAGGTAGTGGTTCCGGACGAAGAGTCCTAAATGGGTTTAAAAAACGTTCCATCAAGGATTGACCGCGGTCCCTTCTCTGGCATCCTGTCTGACTGACCAGTAATGCGAAAAGACTTTGATTTCTAAAATAAATTCCATCAAAACATCACCACTTCCCTGTCCAATAAGGGCGCCCCTGTCAGCACTGATCACATGACGTCCCGGTAGGATGAACTAGTATTCTTGAATCTGTAGGTGGTGCCTTGAACATGAAACTTTACCCACACTGCTGTATGAAAGAACAGTACATACTTTCGTTGTAGCTGACCTCGTTGAAGACCATGCAGGCAGTTGCATATGGAATTTTCGAGAAAAGTGGACCACCTGAAGCATCATGAAGCACATGTATTATATTTTGTTACGGTTGAAAAATCGATACGGTGGCATCCCTGTTCTGACAGTCCTTCCTGCCGACTCTCCGCCTCCAACGCATGAATGGCAGTCTTCAAATTTCGCCTAGCATCATTCAAACAAAGACCTCGTGGATTGCAACCTGAGATGGCCGGCACAGGTGCGAGCTCTTCGAGAAACAGCGCGCTCGAGACGAGTCGAAAGTGTGCGAAGTCTAGGTCCGCACAGCGAGGCCACGTCTGGCCTCCTTCCTGGGTATTGGATCACCAGAGCAGCAGGTCACGTTCACGTTGGCTGATGACGTACCAGCCGTGCAATAGGGAGTTTTCGTAGACCGCGCTGCCCCCTCCGCTAAGCGTTCCGCAACGAAAAAGTTGCTACTGCGCCTGCGCGCCGATAGCCTTGACTGTGGAGTTCCCGCTATCGTAGCGGGTTGCGGAGGGCCTTGCGGGACGGCGAAAACGATCTACGAAAACTCCCTAATATTACAGGCGCAAACGCATTCGGATATGTGTTGAACTTCACTGGTAAAAGGCGCCACCGTCGCCCCCACCCCCCCTCCCCTCCCTCCTCTGTTCTTTGCTTTGACGCTTGTTTTTTGTATTGCATCTTTTTCTTTTGCGCATAAGTCTGCTAGGGCCTTACGCACGTTCGCAGTTTCCCCCTCATTTTATTTCTGAACAACCGACTCCCTGACTGGCTCGGTATATAGCTGAACGTAAAAAATAAATAAACAAATAAATAAAATATAAAGAACCTGGCCCATTTCATTCCCATTCCATTCCGGGCAAAAGGCAACTAATTCCATTCCCATTTCATTCCCCTGAACATTGCCGCCATTCCATTCCCATTCCACTCCGGGGTCGCGAAAATGCGGAATGATTCCGGAATCATTCCAACTCCGGAGTGGCAACTCCACAACACTGCAAGGCTCCAGTAGTTTTCCCAGTTCTTTAGGGCTCCGGGATTTGCTTCACCTTTTTGATGCCCGCATGCGGTGCACCACTGCATACGGAAGACGGATCATCTGTGATCGAAGCCTTCTTGGGAAAATTAGTCACAAAACGTGTATGGGCGCACTGCCTTTCCCTGAATACCTGCACACCGGGCGGCAGTGGACAATAAAAGTGCAATAAAATACAATACAATATAATACAATACAGACAACCGTCCTCAACATGGACACTGTCATGGTAGAGCCAGTTGGCTCGTAGACTTTTCCGAAAGCGAGTCTCGTCTCTTGGTCACGTCTTCTCTCCGTCTGCCCTGCGGAACTCCTCGAGCTTCTTTTCAGTGACTGGGAAGAATTGCAGACTCGCAGCACCTCGTAGCTCTCTCTCCTGGTGCGTTCCACTCGACGGATATTTGAACGATGTGTGGGTCGCATAGACTTCTTTGACAAGATTGCACTTTACCTGGATATCATACTGCTGCAAGGTCAGGTGCAGCCTTTGCAGTCCGAGAGGTTCATTGGCCTCTGGAAGACTGCCTGCAAATGTCACTTCGGCAAAAAAAAAAAAAAAAAAAAGCCTGCTGAAAGGCTGTTTCTAGTGGCTTGTGGTCAGTTAAACTTGAATCCTTCATCTGAACATACAATTGATACAATCATGGAAATGCTTGTCCGTCGGTAATGGCAAAAAATTAAATTTCTTTTTTTAAATCATTAATTATTGTGCATTTGACAAATGGGCAAAATAATTTCCCTTCACTAACTTATAGTCCAAGACACTTATTTTTTTTTAAACCTTACTTGTACATGAATTTTTATTCACGTTCAACACATTTCAGCACCACTTGCTCTAAGTGTATTGCATAGGAAATCAACACTGCATAGATTTGATGACAGCTTTCTTCATGCAAACTGTGTTATGTCTCTGTCTGGATAAGCACATCTGCCAAAAATGTGTAGAGTGATTGCTGCACCATGCTACTGTGTATCGTGTAGTACAGGAGGTTTAGCCATCGCCGTCTAATCTGGTTCGTTGTCAAGTTTGCACTCCATGTTGACACTGCGTTGACACTCCATGTCGTGCAGGCCTTGCCACCTCGGCCTCCATGCCACGATCAGCTTCATAAAACCAGTTGTGGCCCATGCACCGAGTCACCTGGAGAGATTCAGAGATGGGGTATAGGGGAGATTTTCCTCCCCTTGATTTTTTTTAGATGTCTCCAACCCTCCTCCTTCTCTCCCACTTACACAGCTGCACCGGAACGTGCAGTGACGTCGGAACGTATCGCGCTTCCTCCGATGTACGGATGTAACCGCGCGATTTCCGCCAGCCGAGAGGACATTCGCGAACTACAGCATAATGTAGCGCATGCCATTTAGGGTTGTTTAACTTGTCTTCTTGAGTAATTGTTCTATGGTTCTAGTCATTCACACCTCCCCCCCTTTTATTTTTAGGGCTATGGTAGGTTAGTTTGGTGGGCACACCAGATGCACGGGGCCACTCTGGCCGCCGACGAGCCGACTACTTAACTTCGAATGAAGACCATTACTCTCAAGAAGAGAGGAGGGGCCGATACCGCTTTGCGTCACCGGCTACTCCGGCAGGCCCAGTCATTTGCAAAGCAAGAGAACTTGAGTGAGCGAGAAAACACCCCTTTGTGCATTTGTCCTATCCCACCCATACATAGAAAGTGTCCCAAAGTGGCAACAAATGACGCCGCAAAAGCTGGAATGTCATGCTGTCGGATGTCGCAATCCTCGCGGTCTGGCGTAGAAGTTCTGAAAAAAAGATAGGAAAGGTTGCTAGTGTTGATGTTGTCGTGCCAGCCAAACATCCCAGGTCCTGACTACCAAAGCTTTCGTGAACTGTCGAGCTGGAAAGCAACCTGCAGCAACAGAACAGGCGCCCGACAGGTCCACAACTGCTGCTGCGACACTGCCAGGATCACGAACGGTGACAGCATGACACATTTACGACGTCATTAGGTGGAAATCGAGGAACCACTTTGTAGGACACGGTAAACACGCCAGTCGGACAAGCGTTCCAGGCACCCTTATGCAACTACCCGACACGGATAGTCCTCGAGAAAAGAAAAACAAATGAATAGATCGGGCAACTTCTGCGCAGCAAACAGCACTTTATTTTCCAGAATCTTGATCCCAGAATTGGCACTGCGGCTTCCGCGGCGAGCCACCTCGCTCGGGGGCCATATATTAGGTGTATCAAAATCGTTAATACTTCCCTCCACAAGGTATGCGACGGAAAAGAAGGTTAAGTACAATGTACACCACCCTCGACCGCAGCCCACCCGGACTGCCAACAAAGAGGTGCGCGAGCCAACAACACGGCCCGTCACAACAACCCGAGGCTAGACTGGAAGCCTCGCAAAATGGAGAGGAAACAAGGTTTTTGAAGATGGCAGTACCGACAATGTAAAGCTACCTCGTGGCGTACCCACGCAATATAAGACAAGTCCCGTCGAAGTTGTTTCTAGATGGTACGCACATTTTTCCTTCTTTTACACGCGAAAACAAGACTAACAAAGGGGCCTCGCTGCCGCATTTCTTAGATTTACAGGCATTCCTGGACGGTGCTTTCGAGCGTTTCGAATAACAAACTTTGAGTATCATTGTCTCTTCTCGTGGCAAAAAACAAAAAGGCATCATTGCAGAACGTTCGGTAAACTCTCCCCAACATCATTTTTTGGAAAACAAGGTTATTTTCTAAGCCGCATCCAGAAGTTGCGCTTCATTTTTTCGGTTACGAGCATTGCGTCCCTCCTTGAGGGCTCGTAAATGCGGCACCGAGGCAGAAATAAACTTTCTCCAGTCGCTTAGAAAGATGCCGCAAGAGACGGCTTCTCGCGACTTTCGGCACAGAGGTGGTCTTGGCGACGGGGAGGTGCCCGAGACGGGCTTTGGTCCGAGGCAGCAACTTTTGATTCTTGCTAGGAACTCTGTGGGAGGCCCCGGGGCGGGGGCAAGGCACGGGGGTGGGGGCGGGGCAGGCCTCAGCAGCCCTGCTTCATGCGATCCATGACCTGCTGAACCTGGTTCACCGTCTCCATGACGTTCACCGTCGCGGAGCTGTAGCCTGCAACCGCAGAGACGCCACGGTAAGCCTGGAGGAACGGGTCCAACCCCTTCCCACAAGTTTTGGCCGCCTCGGACGAACGGCATGGCCTTAACCAAAGCCAAAAGGTAGAACTTTAGCTTGTGGGGTCGGTCCTCGGTCTCTTTTAGCTGGCGTTATCATGGTCCCTAGATTGACGCATGTAAGTGTTAATTTTTTCCCCTAGAACTAAACGTGAGTGCAATAACCATCCCCAGGACACTGCGTTGATATACTGTTCGCAGGAATTTGCAAATGCTGTTTCAAATTTATGCAATATACTAGCCCGTTAAAGGGATGCTGAACTGAAATCTGGATTCCACAAAGTACGGCAGCAAAAGCGTGCAACGGGATGCTACAAACATCAAAACATCACTCATACAACGATATATCGAACGGATGACCATATTTTTAAAAAAAAGGAGGCGTATTTGAAAGATATGTTCACATCTTGTTTCTCCGAGAAGGAGAGGGAACGACCTTGCGTCTTCTCGGCCTCGATGCCTTGAGGGGGCGAAACGAAGAGAGGAGGAAACAAGATATCTTGAAGTCACGCGCCAAGTCGGCCTCATTCAATTTCAACCTTACTTTTTCCAAAAATATGGCCGTCAATTCGAGATATCGCCTTACGAGTAATGTTGTAGAGGTTGTAGCGTCCCGCCTACAGCTCCTGTAATGTTTTCTGAAATCCGAATTTCGGTTCACCATCCCTTTAAATGTGTTGTCTTTTTTGCTCTCTTCGCACGAAATGGTAACTACCGCAAAGTATCGCGGAAGCGCCCACTCAAAATTCTAAAATAATTGCGAATGTTGAGACATGGGTGCTTGTTAAACGGACTCTAGTCGAAAACGAAACCAAAATAAATGACCGGTATCGCTTTAGTGGCACAAAATATGATCACAGTCGAAGTATTATGTCAAAGTGAAGCCGCATTCTCCATTAAAACTGATTTTACATATGCGACCAGCTTGTTTTTAGCGGGACGCAAGCGGGGTTAGCTTTTAGTCAAGAAACACTGGCGCAGCACCCTTGTGACGTCACATCGCGGTGAAGCTGCGGTTGACCGGTTGTACCGCAGCTCCCTTGTGACGTCACGTTGCGGCCGTACAGCTGATGATCAGTGTTGCCATTCTTATGGCAGAAAGTTTCGGCATTGCCGTAGATGCCCAAAACCAAACTTTGAGCCATGATATTTATAAAAGTACACACAATACGTAAAAAAAAGTTATACCTCATAATTTAGGAACTCTGCTTTAGCTGAGAACAGTCGTAATCCCAAATGAAAAAATATTGACCGGCGTTGTCCTTTAACTCATCAATTTTACATATATACAGTGAAACCTGTTTAGAATGAACCCATGTACAGCGAATTATTGTCGATATCAAACTCACGGAATATTTAAATAAAAAGGCTTGTGAAAAGTACCTTTTATAACGAACAACACATTGGCTATATGTAGTAATCTTGATTAGCGATAAATGGCGCCAGTCGCCATCTTCTTGTGTTAGTTTGTTTGTTTAAAAGATGGCGCCATGTTTCCTTTTATTTCTTATTACTGGCGCCACCTGGGTTTTCCTGTCAATAAACTGGGGCTCACGAGTTTTCGTGAGCAGTCGTTACCAGCCCACGCCCGGGATCAAACGTGTCTTTCTTTCGTCTGGCTCTTCTGGAACATCCTGTCTCTGATGGCCACGCCGGCCCGGAGTCCAGTGACGATGGGGACAGCCGGGTCCTCCGAACCGTAAGCCGCTCGCCGGCGCGTCGGCCATCACGTCTTTCTTTGTAGTTTAGTTATAGCGCGGGCAATTAATACTCGGCACTCGTTCCACCCAGCGTTCCACCTTCTGCGCTGTCTCGGGACTGGGCCCCCGAGCACGCAGGAGGCTGTGGTCATTATTCGTACCTAGCGTCCAAGTCAAGTCTTCTCTCTCTGTAAAATACTAAGCTATATCAAACTTTTCCCCCTTGGGAAGGCTTCCAAAAACGCGCAAACAATCGTCTTCTAGCCTGTCCCTTCCCCACGGTCTGTCAAAAAGGTTCAAGACTGGAAAGGCTGTCTATACTCGAGAACCTAACGTTCATATTGTTTTGGAATTGAAACTCCGAACAAAGGATGAGACATCCACTTTAAAAAATGAAAGATGTTTACAATCCCCTGTAACGCCGAATTAGAGCGCAGCTCTTGAGGAAGGTGAGGAGAAGGACAAGAGAGGAGGCCATGCCCCTCCTCCTCTCCTGCTCGCCTCACGTTTAGGCGAAATTTTTCCGCTAAATTTAGGGGGAATTTGTTCCGTTAAATTTAGCGGGGAATTTTTCCCGCAAAATTTAGTGGGGAAATTTTCCTGCTAAATTTAGCGGGGAAATTTACCCATAATGCACCGCGCGGTTACGCCGACGCCGATGGCGACGCCGCTCAAGCTGGAAATGGGCACCTAAGAGCTGAGCTCTAAAAAATGCAGAGCCCTTCCACTTCACGTGAAGATGGAGGACCAGCGAAGCTGTTAGATTTACGACGTCTAGGACGATGCTTAGAGGACGACGTCTAAAACGACCTCAAGGACGACTTCTTGGACGACGTCTAGGACGGCCTCAAGGACGACTTCTTCGACGACCTCAAGGGCGAAGCCTAGAGGACGACGTCTAGGACGACCTCAAGGACGACTTCTAGGACGACGCCTAGAGGACGACCTCGAGGATGACGTCTAGGACGACTTCTAGGATGACCTCGAGGACGACGTCTAGGACGATTTCAAGGATGACTTCAAGAACGACCTTGAGGACAACCTCTCGGACGACCTCGAGGACGACGTCTGAACGACCCCAAGGACGACGCCTAGAGAAATTCAGCCCTTTGCTCTGGTGAAAACCAGAGTTGAAAGGCTTGAAAAATTGCCGCCATCACTCATAGATGGCGGTGGCTGTCTGGAGTTTTGTATCAACACGCCGCTTATCCGCGGACACGATACTAGCCCTTAACAGCTCTGCTGTAAAAATTATCAAAACATTTCAAACCTTCTCACTTTAAGAAAAGAAAAATTAATTTTCAAACGAACTAGCGTTGCCCTTGGCAACAAAATTTACCAGGGCAAAAACCGCCAAAGTTTGCAGGGTAGCAAGTAGTTTATTGAAGGACCGTGACATCATCTGGTACCAAAAGGGGTATTTTAGCGGTACAGTGCCTGGAAAATGTCTCCGACCGGCGTGTTTACTGCGTCCTAAATCCTAAAAAGTGGTCCCTCAATTCCCGCCCGACAACACCGCCGCTGGCCACGGCAGCGTCGCACCAGCGGTGGTGGATGTAACAGACGCCCGTTCCGCTGCAGGTCGCCTTCCAGTTCGACAGTCCACGGAAGCTTCGACAGCTGGGACGACCGTGACGCTCAATTTTGCTCGTGCTTTTCGCCGGCACTTTTACGATCGGGACATCCGACGGCATTCGGTACCACTTTCGATGTACGGGCCAGATAGGACGCTAGAAACACCGGTTGGAGATGTCTTCCAGGCACTGTCCTGGCGGGGGCCCCGTACCTTGCTTGGGCTCGCTGAGGAGGTCGTCGAGCTGGCGCAGGATGCTTTCCAGCTCCCCGTCGAGCGGGTGGCAGGGCACGCGTCCGTTGGCCGGGACGACGGGGGCCCGCTCCGCGTGGGCCGAGGGACACGTCAGGTCCCCAAAGCTGCACTCGCTGGAGTCCCCCAGGGGCGGGGAAGGGAGGGAGGGGCCCTCGGGTACCCCGAGGGGGGACGCCCCCCAAGGGGCGGGACGGCTCGTGGGGGCGGGTGCAGCCGCGATGGGGCTGGGCGCGTGGACTTCCCACGGGGGAGGGGGCAAGGGGGCCTCGAGTGCCTTCAGGCCCCGGTGGATCTCCACGAAGCGGTCCATGCTGCCCGGCTGGGTCCCGTTGGCCGGGCACTGCATGGGGGTGCTCTGCAGCCAGACACCCGGGCCCCGGGGCGGGGGCTCTGCATCCCGCGACAGCACCTGGAAACAGAGTTGTAAACGTTAGTGAAAAAAAAGTAATGAAATATGTTGCCCGTTACGTGCAAATATAAAGAATGTGTTATCGAATTAGTACATTACCTAGAAATAAAAGGAGCGGGTTACTGTTGCTGTTGTCAATAAAAAGTAAAGCACGATACTTTTACACTACGTTTTATTTATGAATTTAAACGTTTTACTGCTTTGATGTTACAGGTATGCCTAGGTGCCATATTTCTGAAAACGCTAGGTCCATGCAGAAACGTAACATCATTACCTTATCTTTTTCACGGTTCCACCTGAATAGTCATAAAAATATGCAAAGGAAAAAACAAAAACGCAAAATTCATGAGACTAGGCATAGAAGCACAAAAAAAATTTAAGTGAAATTTTTCGGAGGCCTCAGGAAAATGTAATGAGCAACATAACTATATTACCCGTTACTCGCAATAAGCAACGCAGGTATTTTCTCCATTACTGCTTCGAAAGTATACAGCATGTTACTATGTTACCGGAAGAAATTATCCGTTCCCCATAACGCCGTTACTTGTAAAGCATTACCGCCAGCACTGCCCAAAAGGAACCGGTCATCCAGCCCTCACTCGGCCATCAGGCGGCCACCTGGCAGGAGGCCTCGACACTCACCTGTAGCAGGGCCCGCATGCGCCTGAGCTGCGCCTCCACCTGCACCAGGTGCTGCTGCAGGTGGCGCTGATGCACTGGCGACGAGGGCACCGCCGCCCCGGCCGGGCCGCACAGTTCTCTTGAGGCCACCTCCTTGGCCAGGCTCCTACACAGGGCACACCCAGGTGAGAACCAGCGAGCGAGCTCTCCGGTCCACGCGAGTTATCCTGACCCGTCCTTTGCAAATTTGCGTAGGTATCCCGACTGCGGCCTTCTCACCGCTCAGGGGCAGCATTGCCTCGGAAGTTACCATCCGAGCCTTAATGCAACGGAGAAGAGGTGGCACGATCAGCCCTTTATGCGGGAAGAGCGGCGTTACAACCAAGAATTCCGCCGCTCTGTCAACGCCGAAGGAAACGTCAGGGACGACCCTTCGAAACAGCGAAGCATCGGGCGTGCGCAATAGTAAAGCCCCCTGCCCACCTGTTGCCCCTCTCGAGGCGCTCCACGATGCTCTCCAGCTCCTGCTGGTGCAGGGTGTCCAGGCATGGGCGGCCGTGCTGCGGGGACCCCTGGGTCGGCGGAGCTCCTGCCCCGTCCACCCGGTGGGCGTGGGGGCCCGAAGACGACACCCTGCGCCCCCAACGACCTCTGAGCGCGTCCCCACGCACCGCGATGGGCACTCCATCAAACCGCCTGACACCGTGATCGCCGCCCGGCACGAGGCGACCCCAAACACGAGTGGAACCTCCAAACTCCCAGATCCCGAAGGCGTAAAAAGTTTGATTAATTAAATTACAAACAGCAATTCGTATAAAGTAAAAAGCGTGTGGGAAGCTACATTCATGCTCACATTAGAATTTCAACCGCAGGGGAGACCCCGAAATTTTTCGGCGCTCGGAGAATGGGAGATGGCGCACCAGTTCGCAAACTCCCTCCTCGACGGTCAACTGCCGACCGAGCTCAGGTACTCGAAAAAAGTGAGTGAGCGTACTTGCGGGCTCAAAAATCTTTCTCTGTCCTCCTCGCCGTGTCCCGCACTTTGCCGGGGCATGAAAGCCACACCGTGCCATGACGCCATTTGCCTCGGCGTACGAAACAGCTTCGTTCAAACAACAGACAGTCCTGCCAATGTGCTCCTGGTGTTCTTTTCCGATCCTTTGGCAACGTCCGGCGACAAACGAAAGAACTACGATGCCCCACTGAGAGACAGAACGATAAACGTGCGAGTGACGAGCACGGCATTTGCTTTCTCCGCATGCCCAGGTAAAAATTGCGATGTTTCCTCGGCAGTTCCGAACCCAGTTTCCCGAAGAACAGTCTATGCTTGTTATTTGGAAGAATAATCTGCCATTAGGTGAATGTGCTATAAAACTACATGTTGAAATATGTTTCTAGTTCTAAAATAAATCTGCTTAGGTGGCTCAGACGAGCATTACAAAGCTGTCCCTACAAGCAGGGAGAAAGTTCCCGGGACCTGTTGTCCTGCTAAAAATAGCTTTACGCGGATAAGTCGACTTCATGGGCTCGTTTACACTGCTTATAGGTGGATCCCCCAAAAAATAAATAACTAATTACTAAAAAAAAGGAAAAGAAATGTCTACTCATATGCAGCAACATACGGTAGTGCCACTCCACAGAACAAACTAGAGTACAACATTCTACAGAAAAGCAAGTCCTGCAATATCACTATCTCCCCATAGTATGAGCATCTTGGATGCCAGTACATCGGTGATACAAGTGTTCTTCGACTTTGCTTCACTATACCCACGTCTTTGTCGCACGTCAACTTTCACTACACAGAGGTTGCAAGGTAGCTCGGTTCCCTGCCGGCGACAGCCAAACCGAAATGCGAGCCCAGGAGTGCCTCAAACAAGCGAGGACGCATTCGCACTCCCCCGCCTAGGGCCCCCTCCCCCGAAAGCCCTGGAAGCCCCTCTTGAGGGGAATGCAGTATTTCAAATAAAGCTAATTAGGCCTAAACTTGAGCACGCATGTTCAGTTTTGGATCCTGGGCATGTAACATTAAGAAACATTCTCGAATCGATTCGAAATCATGCCGCCAGTTTCATCTTATTAAATTACTCTCATACAGCCAGCATTTCACCAATGAAATTGACCCTGCACTTACTTGACCTTGTCTTACGTTGCAAATATTTTTGTCTATTCTCTTTCGTAGAATTTATCCTTATAACCCGATCCACAAAGATGAATTGTTTCTTTGCACACCATACGTGTCATCTTGCACTGACCAACAGTGTAAGGTTGGAACGTCAGCATGTCGTACAAATATCTACAAAGAATGTCAAAAAACTGAGCTACCTCCCTGCCTGCATCACTATTATTTCCGGAGCCACCTATTTCAAGAAACATGCCAACAATTTCATATGTTACAACCATTCCTCTCGTAATGCCTATGGGCCACTCATCTCTATGACAATTTGCTGGATCGCACATCCCAGCTTGGTCATTGCAGAGCAAGTGCGGCCACCAGACGGCCATCTTGGGACATGGAAAATCAACCTTTTGTAGCATTGCGGAGGCTGGGCGGCAGCGTGCTGAAGACACGTGTTCTGCTCATCCGTGGTCATTCGTCGAAAAGTTTGTTAAAACGCCATGTAAACAATGAGAACTGCCTTTGCCACAGCGTGGATTCTTAAAAAGTATCCAAGCGTGCGAAGGCAGAGACGCAGCACTTTGGCGTGCCAAGGAAGCTTTGATTACGCCGCGAGACCGGCGAGACTTGCGTTTAACAAGTTGTTCCTTTTTTGCTGCGGTGCTGCGCTTTCGTAAAAATTTCCACGTGTACTCAGAGGCAAGTTTCACCGTTTACACAAGGTTTTAAAGAATGTCTTCGGCGAATGACGAAGAATGAGCAGAAAAATGTTTTCAGCACATTTTATACAGCCTAGAACTTGGTCTGCCTCCAAGGGCGACGAGTCTCCCAGCTGTAGATGAGCAATTTAGCCAGTGCATACAACCGCTAGCCTGGGGTCTTTAACGTGCATCACACAGTAGTGATACACGACTGCACGCCGGTACGATGCTCATCCAGATCGAAACGGGCAGGGGCGGGGACTGAACCCAGTATCCTGGGTTCTGCAGTGCGAGCTTTCGCTCCACGGGCTCCGAGCTGGTGTGCGCTAGCCCACTCGGCCACCGATTCCCCTATTGCCGCCCAGCCTCCCCAACGCTCCAAAAGGTAGATTTCCCATGTCCAAGATGCCCGGCCGGTGGCTGCATTTGCAGAGCGGGGAAGCGCAATCCACCAATTGTCATAGAGATCAGTGCTCAGGGCCTTCAAAGCATAAAAAATTAAATAGATAAGTAAATAAAAATTATTGTTGGCTCGATCATGTTTATAAAGACCAGGGAACATAAAACGCATCTCGCGCGCCGCATTCTGCACACAGGACACTAGCACGAGCTACACTCCATGTGTCACTTGTGCTAGTTTTTTCATTGTGCACCTGAGATGTTAGCCAGGGCAAGACCAAGATTATGAGCATGCCACACGGGAGCTACCTCATATGGCTCTTGCACGACACGTGACGTCAATGAGGCAAGCGGTCACATGGTACGACGTCGCACCGTTCTAGCCAGCATGTTTTGCCGGGCCCCAAATCCTTCGAAGCAGCTGCGCTATGCAGCCCCGTGGCTATAACATCTGACTGACACCGTACCGACCCAAGCTAGAACCTCACTAGGGCTTCTACATTTTGTATAAACCTTATATAAAACCCCAAAGCAGTCTAACGCTCCCAGCGTGTCACTCATTCATGATGCTCGTTCGTTCGTTTGTGACGATTTTCTCATAGAAAACGACTCATAAAACAGATTTCGTGTTAGTGAAGGGGACAGGGGTTATCCGTGCCTGGGCTCAGCTGCCTGGAGGGGCAGGTAGCTGGGGCGGGGCTCTCGCTTCCAGCGCTGCAGCTTTAGGCTCAGGGTCTTCAGCACCGCCTTCACCTTCTCCCAGGAGGACGTCTGCAAGGCAAGGCATGCCACTCAGCACCGGAGGGCACGCGGCCCCACAGTCCCACCAAGACCCGGGTGAACCACGGGTTCCAAACCAACGTTCTTAAATCTTCCGAATCTGTCAGTTGACAACTCCACAGAAAAACAGCATTCGAAAACGGTTCTTCTCTGTTCCCTCCACGCGAGCACGGGCGGGTGCATAGCGTTCCTAGCACCACCAGCGGCAATGCTCCTACGAGCAACGGAGAAATACTGATTTTGAACGACCCACTTTTTGCTCAAATATCTGCGCAAACTTTAAAGGGCAACTCCGCTTCATTTTTGGTTTTGAAAAAACAATGCAGTCCTCTTCAGTATCGGCTAGGAAGACGACACGTGAAATGTTACGACGCAGTTCTATCTAAATGTTTCTTAAACGGTTCGGCAAACTTTGCAACTCGCCAAGTTGCCGAAATCGGCTGACTTGAGCGGGCGAATTCAGGCGCAACCAACAGCGCAGTCAAGGCTACAGCATGGGCGGAGCCAACATTGAGCTAAACGTCATTATCATGGCCTCCTTTTGCTTGTTTTCACTTGTCCGTGCGAGCGTAGCACATGACGTCAGCAACGTTGCCTCTCGGCACTCAGCGGTGTCCACGTGATTGGTGTAACGCGCCTGCGCAGCGCGTTTCTTGGGAGCCGTCCGGCCGCCCGCCGTGGTCCCGCCGTTACCGCCGTCTTCCGCGTCACAACCGCCGTCGTTGTCTCACCGATTGTGATTATCGTCTCTCGGAGTTTCGTCCACACTACGGACACCATGTGCGCAGACTTATGCCGCAGTAGTGCAGACGTCGTCGAATGCCGTAGACACCAAAACGTGGCGAAGAGTGCGGTGCAGACGACACTCGCGCCTGCCACACGCCCGCCCCAATCCCGCCCGTCGTTGGGCCGAGGATCACGTGACATCTCGTACCACGTGATGGCCATGTACTTGGCGACCCGAGGCCAATGTTGCCGGGCGGAGCCAAAGTTTCGGTTTCCATTTCCGCTCGTGTTTGAAATTAGATTTAAAAATATATATCCCATTTTTCGCGAAGCAAACGACGTAGTGTGTTTTACTAGGGCTTTTTAATTCGAAATCAATCATTATCCCGAAATCTTCGGAATTGAGCGGAGTTGCCCTTTAAGTTTGCCATAAAAACCACACTATGACCGCTTTCAGCCGCAGGCAATGTGCATCCAACGTTCCACCAGTTCTGCCGCTTCTGTCCCTAGCTCAGGCCGATAGCGCAACGAGCAACAGTGACCAGACGCCCCATGAAAAGTCACTAGGCGTTCTAGAAAGGCGGTCAACTGACTTTGATCTAGTAACATTGTTCAAAATGACACACTGGCACGCAGTTTAAGGGAAATTTTATGCGAATTCGTTCCCAAAGCGGTAGGAAACAAAAAAAACACATCAACGTTGCAAGGCCACGGCACCCCTTTCCGACCCGTCTTCAGCGCTTGGGTGGAACAGGCTTTAGGGCTCAACTTGCGCGCGTCGGAGCACCGCAACCGCAAGCTCGGCAAGTGGCGAAATGGTGCAGTCGAGGCGAATGCTCGAAACGTCCGACGCTTCCAATGCAACGGACACGTTCCGACCAGTGGCGTCCCCCACCTGTTGGCAGTGCTCCTGCATGCGGTGCTTGATGGAGTGGTTTTTGCTGATCATGCCGTGCAGGAAGCAGCTCTGGCACAGGTCGTATCCCAGGCACTGCAGGCACTGGTACCTGCACGGGGAGACCAGGGGGTTGCAACCCTGCGGGCGAGGGGTCGGGGACACTCACCTAAGGCCCACCACGGGGCTGGCCTTGCAGGCGCCACACTTGACCGGGTGCGCTACTGCAGGGACAAACACGGAGGTCACGGCAAGCGGGGCGGGGCGGGCGCGAGATTGCACTCCGTTTCGGCATTAAACGGACCACCGCAGACATCGTGACTCCACGCCTCGTGCGTCGCTGTGCCCCTTTAGGCCGCATACACTCGCGCGACGTTGGGCAGGCTCCCACGGCTCGTTGCAGTTCGTTGTAAGGCAAAACGGATTAAGGGAGGGCGGGGATGCCTGTCTAAACGATAGCATTTAGAAGACGAGGCCTGCTCCATTAACCTCCAAACGTCATCGTCAGCGGACCGACCGACAATGATGTCATGTGCAGGCCTCGTCTTCTCAATAGTACTGGTCCAACCCGGTGCGCGGGGGCACTTGCCGTTCTCAGTGGACCTCATCCGGTAGAAGGTGGAGATCCAGACCAGGTTCTGGGGCTCCCGCAGCAGCCAGCCCAGGAAGAGGTCGCTCGGCACGCTCGGCTGGGAGCACAACTGCCGGGGGAAGGGCGCCGTCACGGGAGCCCGGTGGCCCGCAAAGGGCTGCACCCTCACCTTGCGGCAGCTCTCGACGGCCGCGGGCACCAGGTGGGCCCCGAAAGACAGCTTCTCCCCGAGCAGCTCCGGGACCTGGGCGCGAGGAGGCAGGCACTGAGGTGCATCCCGCGACCCCGATGCCTGCAACGAGTCTTTGACTGGCATGTTTAGCGTCCTGCTCTGGTCCATGCATCGAAAGTGTTCCCAAAGTGCCAACAAATGACCTCGCAAATGCTGGAATGACACGCTGTCGGATGTCACGACCCTGGCGGTTGGGCGTGCTAGTTCTGAAAAAAAAAAAGCGAGTGAATGTGAGTGTCGTTATCGTCGCAGCGTCTCGACTCCAGACTGACGAAGCTTTCTTGGACTGTCGAGCTGAAGAGCAACCTGACAGCGTGACACTCCTATGACATGCTGGGGGCGGAAATCGAGAGACCGCTTTTTTGGACACGGTACACAGACCAGTTGGAGACACGTTCCAGGCACCGTACCCAAGTGAGAGCCCCACCTTGGAGATGTTGTGCAGAAAGGCCTCCAGGCCCTCCAGCGGGATGCGCTGGCTGCCGTCCTGGAGCTCCCCGCACATGTCTGCAGGAAAGGGGGCACGAGTCAGCTGACGCCCCCATGGGCACCTCCGCCCCGCCACTCACACTTGAGCTTGTCCAGCAGCCGGCCGGCACACAGCACAAACAGGGCCACCTTCATCTGCACCACCTGGATGGTGCCCTTGCGCTTCCTGCACGTGTGGGACGGGTGTTTAGTGCCTGCCCCACCGGCTGGCTGCACTTCGTCGGAGACCGTCGAGTTCCGGCAAAGGGTCAAGAGAGCGCGGGTGCCTTTCGCTTCTAGGTTTCTCAGCAGTGTCAAACTTATTGTACGACCGACTAGATACCACGACTGCACTGTGCTTTACCTCAAAAACATAGAAAAGATAAACCGCTCGCCGCGATTTCGTGTACGGTGATGGAAAGGAACGGCAACGGCTGCCTTGCACAGCTTTCTTTCTCTTTCTCTGGGTGTGTGTGGTGGAAGAGGACGGTCACCTCGACAGCTCCCACAGCCGAGAGCAAACTATCTTTGAAGAAAGCGTCGCTCATCGTAAAAGGATTTGGTGAAAAAGAAAAGACGGGAGAGGCACCAGCCTCCGCACATTTTTGTCATAGGTCCACCATAACGGTCTCGCAGAGACAACAGAACAGTTTGTTTAGACGGCCCCTCGGCTTCCTTGCCAAAACGCAGGGAACAAGATTGTGACGTCGCGTCTAGCCCTCGGAAGACGTTCCGTTTCTTTGGTTGCCCCTTGTTTTTTCGCACTCTACTCTGTGAAGAAGTGTTTGTGTCCAAAACAAACCGAGCAGCGCTAAAATAAAACGTGGGCCCTGTTCCAATACTGTGCAGAGAAATGCGGCCACTCACGCGTCGAAGAGGTTCTGCAGCAGGTTGAGGGCCAGGGCTGCGAGCAGGGGCACCTTCTGCTGGTGCACCCCGGGGGCCCTGCGGTAGAGCTCCTCCAGAACGGCCTCTGCCTGAGAGCAGCCCAGCAGCAGCTCCTGCTGCCCGCTACCCTCCAGTCCCCGGCAGCCAAACACACCGGGCAGCATGGACACGTGCACATTGCTCACTGCGGGAGACAAGGCCCCAAGGAAAGCGTGGCAGTCGTCCGTCGGGACGGGGTGGACGCCCTGACCGCTGGACAGCCCCTTTGTTGACCAGTGTTGCCTCCAGGCAACAAACCACATAATCATTTTTTTTGCTTCGATAGTTACATCACGTTTTATTTTTTCCTTATACTCTGGCAACAGTCTTGAAGAAAGCTTGGTGCGCAAATAAGGAGATAATGGTGTTTCCTCAAAATCTCAGGCAAAAATATGGGTACGCCAAATTCACAAACCTCACTCTAATTAAGGCGCCCTTCCACTTCCTCAAGGAAGGCGCGAAGGCCGGTGCTGGGGCCAAGTGCGACAACGAATAGGCGGTCCAGGCTGCTTATCTGTTGTCCCAATTGGCCAGCCACCCCTTGCGCCTTCCTTGGTGAAGTGGAGGGGCGCCTCAATTGGAATGAGGTTTGTGAATTCGGCAGTAAGTGTTTTCCTCTCACCACTGTTATTTTGCAATAGGTGACCGTTTTGCTTGAAATTATTGAAGGTGCAGTTATGGACGATATGCAAAATGCAGAGCGCCATCTAGTAATGCGCCGAGAACTATGTCCGCCATCTTGGTAGCGGCGAAAAAACGAAACCAGTGACCCAACTGGCAGAGAGCCATGTAAACAAGCAAATGTGCTTCGGGCGAGAGATGCGATGCCAATGCATTGTTGCGTTCTGCTGCGGAAGCAGCGATACACCTTCGATTTGTGCATGACAGGAACGCAAGCGTGAACAGGGTTCACATTTTTTTCTTCTTTTTATTTGTTACTTTACAAGCAGCTTTTGACCAAAAAAAAATCGGCGACAACTTGAAAAAACGTGTGGACGTTATCGCACGGCGCGAACCCATTTACAACAATTGAACTGGGCCCTAATCTTTTCACAAAGTTTTGCCGGATTTATTTCTGAATTTGTGTTTTTTTCTGGTGCATGCTGTAGTGTCGGCCTCCGTTTTTCTTGATGAGAAAGCAACTCTATGTATGTGCATGAGACCAAGGCTGTGAAGCGAGGCAAAAAGATTAGTTTTAATAATCCACAGCACCAACCATCATGGAGAATGCGTATGGTTAACAGTGAACAATAAAAGCTGAAAACACCAGAGTCCTTCATTTGAATGCCATATATATAGGTATATATGTGTCGTTCCACTTCTTTGTCCTTGTCTTTTTCGGCGCTTTTAATTATTTAAAGAACCATGAACCAACTGGCTCAACTTTCCACTTTGCTGTATAAAAAAGGATTACTTTGGACAGCCAGAAAACAATCTCATTGCTAAGCAGCCATTTCTATACACTTGATCCGGTGTAGGTAAACGAGGTTTGTACAAGACCTCTAAAACTAAGCGGGAAAGTTTGTTGACAAAATATTCTTGAAGATTCAAAGTTCAGTTATGTAGAATAGAAAACACAACAGACACGGACGACGTGTCTGTTTCCTCTCAAATCTCGCAGAGACAAGCTTTTGCTGTCTTCTTCGTCGAACACCATGTTCGATTACATCACTTGATTAGGTTCATTGCAGTGGCTAAAAATTTGATGTTGGTGGAGGCAAAAAGTTACGCTGCAGATGTCAGGTGGAGCAACACCGGCGACGCCAATTATATTTCACGGCCTACTTTTTCTTTCTTTTTTTTCTTTTCTTTTTCGTCGCAGCCGAGGTCAAAATATTGTTTAGTGCAAGCGAACTCGGGGCATAGTTTTGAGAAAGTCAATGCTGTCCTTCTGCCAGGGTTGAACAAATCTTCATTAACAGGCGCGACATCCATCAGCTATGCTTGATGTTGATGTTATCTGAAACCAATTTGAGCTCTTTGCAATGCCTGAAAAATATTTCCCAGGGCACAGTTTCCTTTACAAGAACTCAGAGCTTTCCCCCAAATAAAACTTTTGCCGGTTAGCACAGTTGCTCGCCCACTCGTTAGCTCCAAGGTCGCATCCGTTGACCGCGATGGCCGGTTCCGTACGAGCCGTGTCCGGCATTGTTTTTGGAGCCGTGAACGAAGACAGGGGTTTCCCCAGGAATTGAAATTAGGGAGGGGTGTCTAAATTATAAAGGGTGGGGGGGCGGGGGGGCACTGAGAATAGAGGAGTCGTTGCAAATTAACGGGGTGCCTTCAGAAAAACAAGGGGACGTGTACACCCTTTAGGGGGTGTGTAGGGAAATCACTGAAAGGAGCTGCACGCTCGACGAAAGATCCATCGAATTTGACGCTGTCCCCTTCATTTTGCCAAAATAAATGTCGCGGCGGTCCAGAACGTCATCCGATGGCTTCCTTAAAGCTGGTCTTAGCCAGTACCATCTAGAAGACAAGGCTTACGCCTTTCCCCTCCAAGCTTGTCATCACTAAGGGATCCATGCAGCGCCGCTTAGCCTGCATCGACGTGGCCACGAGCGCGTCCTGCAGCGTCTCACAACGAGCACGACGCTAGCATGTGGCGGCAGCAAGCCGAATGCGTCTGCCACGTGGGCAGATTGGGAACCCACTAACAATGATGTCATGTGCAAGCCTCGTCTTTAAGGTGGTACTGGCTTAGCCCGTAGAAAGGACATGCTTTTTCCTCGTCATTATTCACTCGACCGCCGAACGCATCCTATATTTCTACTAAAACGACGCACCGTCTAATTATATCCCCCGCTAAATCGCGTCGCGTTCTGCTAAGAACTGGATTTACGCGGTCCCTTTGAGGGCCAACTGGGTTCGCCCCGTACGAGCACGGCAAGGCGTTGTTCGCAGACAGAAGACGAGAGGGCGGTTCGAGAAGGGGGTGTCCACTCACGCAGCAGCTCCTTCTGCAGGCAGATGAGTTTGGCCCCCGTGCGGTAGGCGGCATACTTGATGTCGTTGAAAGAGGTCAGCTTGTCCATGATGGCCACCATCTCCGGGTGGTCCCACTGGGTCTTCTCCAACCGGTGGCTGCACCCACCATAGCCACTGTCTGTCTGGCACACAGCCACGGCATGCTTTGCCACCCACCTGACGTAATAGGGGATCCCAGCCCCGGTCTCCTGGCGCTCCCAGTCGTCCATCTGGCCTGAGCAAGCCCACACCCGGTGCACAAAATAAATAATGACTTCTGTAAACAAGTTAATTTTATTAAGAACCTAATTTTCTCCGATTTCGCAAATCGCCTATATGTTTCGAAAAATAGGTCCAGCGAACAACTAGCCCTGCAAACATTTCAGACTAAACGTCCACACTTCAGGAGCTAAACTGAGGTGCTATTGTTCCTTGAGCAACAGTCTAACAATGGGCAAACAGCCATGCAAAGGTTCTCACATGATCATTACGCAGGTTCTATAAATAGCATAAGTATGTAAAGCAGTTGAAAGAATGACCTCTTGAGATGACCGTGAATTCCGGCAATGAGCTGGAATTCGTGGTCACGTCAACATTTTGGCTCTTTTAATCTTCAACTTTTGCCCAATTCGCGAAAATTGAGGCCCGGAAAAATTAAGTTGTTTACAGCCTTTATTTTTCTAGTGCCCCGGAACAACCGTGAGGCTTCAATGTGGTGGCATGTGTGCGCAGGTTATGAAAAAAATATTAAAGTTTCCCTCTTGTCGAGAGGCCACCTGTCTTGTGCACTAGACGGTAGATGAATAAGGTCACACTTGAAAGAGGCAAATTCACCAAAATCGTCCTCACATGGTGACGCTAAATTGTTGAATGCCGGGAAGGATAAAAAAATAATGGGCTTCTATTTAAGCTCACAGGCACGTGAAAAGTAACGGACAAGTCAACATTTAACTGACTTTGAATTACTTTGCAACAAAATAAAACACTGTGTGAGAGTCTATGAGTCTATAACTTTTGTAACATGGTTATCTAAGAATGTAATGCCAGTCATAATAACACCTTATATTAAAATATCTATCGTAAACAAAACTATGTTTTTGTACGGACTCTACTTGGTGACATATCGGGAGCCGTCAACACGAGTTCCATAGCACATAACTAAACTCGAATTTTGCACGTGCCATGCAGGAAAAAAAAAACATGCAATGCGTAAAGGATTTATACGATCATGTGAGAAGTGAGATAACAGACCCAGCACTCAAAGGGAAGAGCCGACAGCCTGCATAATGTGATAAAAAAAGAGTCGCATATTTAAGAAGATCCCGAGGTTTCGAATCAGTCACTCCTGCGATAGTAGCGGACTCAAGTGCATGTAGATAAGACAGTATCTTGGATGTTCTCGACATTAAGAGACATTTTGTTTTTTCTGGGGTGTGACGACAAGAAGTTCCCTGCACACCACCAAGACATACATACTATGCCATCTTGTAAAGAACAGCAGTTATCAGATGATTGTGTGTTCATGAAGATCTTGATGTCAAGAGCAAATATGTTTGACGCACGATTCAATGTCGTTTATGACAGATAGGAGAAATGGGAGAGGCACCCGATTGGAAACTTAGGGAATCCCAGATGTTGGTATGAAAGTATCGGAATAGCTGCATTATAATTATAACCTTAAATTTGCAAGCTTCACCCTTGTTGGTGTTAGACTGGTGGCGGCTGATAAAACCCGTTTGCTCTACTGATGTCTAACCCCTGGTTAGCTCAGTTGGTAGAGCGCTCCACCTGTAATGGAGAGGTCCCGAATTCGATACCCAGACCAGGCGGATTTTTTTGGTCGCCCACCAGTCACCTAGCTGTGTTGGGAGATTTATGTTTGTCCTTTGTCCCTCTTGTTCCCCTTCTCCAGGGATTATTTTCGTCATTCTGTTCAATACCCCAGCATCGGCATGCCGCTATCAGTTAGGTCGGTCGAGAACCAAACAAAACTGTGGGTAATACTCCATAAAAGGAAAGCTTGTAGAAAAACAAGTCATGATTTACCTTATCAAAGCCTTTAGACATGTTAAAATAAGCAGTTTCAAAATATTAATGTTAAAAGAAGCAGTTGGGTTCGTCTTGAATGCACGGGGCGGGTCAAATAATGCACCTTGGCACCAGCGCTAAAAGGGTGCAAGCTGAACGTCACACATTTGGTCCGACGCCATATAACAGGCGTCTTAGGGACCACCGTTGATGGGAAGCCATACTATCGATGATGGACAAATGGTGGTGGATATACCCTTTGTATCGGGAGGGAGCCTGCACCACCTAGCCTAGAAAGATTTCCTTCCCTACCACTCAGACTTTGCCCTAAATTTTGTCTCCCATTAAATCATCTAACCCCGTGAATTTGATAATTTTCTTTATATCTTTTCCATCCGTCCCCTTACCTCCTCTTTGTGGATATAGTCCTTTTGCCTTCCGTTCGTCCCTCCCTGCCAGCAAATCGCAGAACTCTCGTCACAACTGCTACCTCTTCCGGGTAGTCAGGACGAAGCCATGTGCACTTTATAATTGCATGTTCTTTTGTTTCGTTCAAACCTTGGCACATGGCACACAATGTGTTAATTTCCTGAAAGTTGGCCCCAAATGCTCCTCCTTGCTCCTTTTTTATAACCTGTTTTCATGACCTGGGTGTTGGTAAAGCTAATTTCTGTCCTCTCGGTTTCTTTGACTCCCTTTTCCGCCGAGATAGTCTGCTCGCCCCACCTCCATTGTTTCGATATTTCGGGTTTGGTTTGTTCGTTTTTCGTGCAGACTTCTTGTGCATAAAAGCTCGAATTTGTTCCCTGTCCATTGCATATCCTCCGTTTGGGTTACTCCTCGTTTAGAGTTTACTGGTTGCCTCTCGAACTTTGCGAGATGTCCAACCTTTGTCCCACTTCATTTGGTATGGCCCCAATGCCCACCTGCTCACGCTCCTCTGCTGGACCTCTATGCTTGATTGCACTTCCGACCTCGATGACGGTGCCTGGAACATGACTTGGGACCGCTCATCAAAAGCGGTTCCAAGGTGGTAATAAATGATGCAACAGAAGCCGACGTCTTATGTCAGATGCAGCGAACTGGTGCTAGAAGTAACGGCAAAAAGTAGGAGCAAATGCGAGTGTCGCGGTCGTCACCTTCCGTGGACTGCCACGCTGGAGAGCTAACCACAGCAGAACAAGTGCCTGCCACAACCACCACCGTTGCTGTCACATTGCCATGACACTTCCATGGGACCGCTTTTTAGGATGCGGTAAACACACCAGCTGGAGATGCGTTCCATGCACCATACCTTGAGAACAAAATCCCAAATGAGTACAGCCACCATAGTTTGTTTTTCATACTCCTAATGCCTTTATAACTATGATAGTTTCATAGTGCCTTGTGTTTCATCATAGCTGAATTATTTTTCCCATTCTTTAGCAAATTTCCTTTGTGTCCTGAACATTTTCTTCTCTCACGTAACCATGCTCCCATGCATTTTTACTTCCCTACATGTTCTATTACAACATTTCGTATTTCGAGAGGTTTCGTGTTCTCATTTTGAACATCTCCAGGCTTGTCAATAGGAACGTCAGGCTCAGAGTGTCACCATCCTCTCCAGAACTCCTAATTAGTTCCTGCAATCTATTGCTGCCATTGTTAATCCATTGCCAATCTATTTCCTATCTGTGGCGCTGTGCACGCCCCGGGCCAGTCCGTTCTATTCCAAGGGAAGGACTCACTCAGGGTTCAGTTTAAGTGCAATGCATGCTTATCAGTTTCTGGTTTCAGTTTCTGGTTCCAGTTTCACAGGGGGAAGCAGTTCCACAGCATCATGCTATGGCTATGTCCTATTAACGCTGCAATGTAGTCTGAGAGAGACCGGCCTGAACCAAGGAGATTATTCTGACTCTGATAAAGTGTGAGATCCATGCTGTCTTTTTAACAGACAAATGTGCGCTTCAACCCATTTTATCTTTTCAATACAGGACATAGGGCTAACTTCAATAGTTGTTTATTTTGCAGTGCCTGTTCCGACATTTCACACTGGAAACAACTGATAAAAACAGCGATGACTAATGCTTGTTCTGAGACTTCGTGACCATATTTCTGGGCATAACGCCAATGAAGCAAGCTCTTGCGTTAAACCGGACCCAAGAACTGCTAAGCGCGTTAAGGCCCGGTTGAGTCCCGAGTGAGTTTCCTTCCCTCGAAGCAGAACGGTATCACACGAAGCGAGCACCCCCCCTTTGCTGTCGTCTAGGCCATGCATTCTCAGTGGGTCTTTCATATAGCAGAAAACTGTACAATGTACACTTCTCTCTCTCTCCGTGTAAGTCACATCAAAATCTAAATGGCACCGGTAACAGTAAAAGACCCCACCCAAAGGACAACTCCCCCCCCCCCGACCCAACCCGTTTTCTTTTTTTTGCAGCTGGTCCTGTTTTCTGTTTTTCATGTTCTATCAAGCTTACAATTTGCATACATCCGCCGTAGAAACCTGACCACATCCGCATCTACATGATAACCCTTCAGCTGGGCTCTATGTATTTCCCGACCCATATTCGAAAATGCAATCCATAGCAATCTTTGGCTGGTCATCGTAGCATTGACGAGCCAAATATTGCCAAGGAACACATTTCTATACAACGAGTGACGATAGAGGGGAGCTAGGTACACCTAGCCCTCTTCTATTTGATCGGAAACCGTTTTTGGAGTTCCCCCAGATCTGCATTCCTTCTGCCCATTTTTTCATTCAACTTTTCTTCACGATCAGCATCGCTAGTCTGCATAGTATTCCCATATATCGCTCACACGTGATGTCCATACGTGTTACTTGCTTCCAAGGGCCACTTGTACGACGAGTATGCCATGTGTTTCATCATAAGGCCAAGTGAAACTTGTCAGCGAGCAGTAAGGCGGCCTGTGTCACGATCAAGGCTGTTATTCTTTCCAGTTATCTGCAGATGCCCCTCGAATCGGCCAGCCAGGAAGGGGTTTGAGTAGGCTACAGAGTGGCTGCCACGGCGTTGACCCACCCATAACGGCATCAGGAAGAGTTGGCGCGCCCGACGGAGGGCGGTCCTGCGCGGAGGCCCCGTCGGCCGTCCACCCACGCCTTCACCAGATGGCCAGAGCTGCCCGCTACGCCGACCGTAGTCCCGTTAAACTCGTTCGAGTGCTCACCCGTGAAGCAGCACAGCGAGCCAAAAACAAGGACGACGCCCAGGGATCACCGCGGCAGCTCGGCCACGTCGGAGAGCACTAGGCCGATGGTCCGGGAGATCGCTCTCGCGCTGGGTTCTTTCTTCATGACTGTCGCTTTACGTAAACATTCATAATCCACGCGACATGACCGGGGTCGCGTCGACGTCGCGTAATCCCAAAGCCAACACTCCCCAAGTATTTTGGATGAAATTGGCTTATTTTCAGGCTCGAGCGCAAGAACCGTCGCAGCCAAGTCGATCAGAACCAAGTCGCAAACCTTGAGGCGTGTGCCAAGGGTGCCAAGGAAATATATTGTAGCAAAAATAAAATATACATTCTTTAAAAACTAACATTAAGTTATATGTTTTATTTACATGTTCTATGCATATTTCTGCGCAAAACTGCAAGTTCCGCCAGGGCTGGCGGCCCTGGCGGAACTTGCGACTCGATAACGAAACCATCAAACTTCCTACTGCAATGTTTTTTTAAGAAAAGAAATATATAACGATAATAAGCGCTCTGAAATTTTATAAATGTTAGTATTGTGAATTAAAGGGTGCTACTCTGTCTGGCAAAGACTGGAGTTGTTGGTTGGAGGAAATCGGGGAAACCAACCAAAGGGAACCGGGAAGGCAATCGGGACGTGATCGGGACTGTAGGGACCAGTGATCGGGACGTTGGGGAAGAGGGGTGCTCCGGTCCGACGTTGGACGTGGGTTGCGCCAGTTGCGCTCTTCTCGTTGTTCCCCAGTTTATTCTTATTCCGAGCAGAAGAAGCCTCCACCACGAAGGAATGACCGTCGACTGAGTATAGGGACCAGGGACCGATTCGCGCGACCCACACGATGGGCTTTGCCTGGAGCCGTCCTCCGGACAGCCCCGCCGGCGAACAGCAGCTGACGCTGGAGATGCAGACCCTGGAGGTGAGTAGCTCTTCCCCGATTCGGCGGGGCGCATGTAGAAAGCGGTGGCTCGCAGCTGGAGCGGCAGATCCACCTGCGCGGGCTGCTGCAGCGGCGCAAGCTGGCTCTGAAGATCGCCGAGGCCCGCGAGCTCTTCTTCTGGCTGACGGCCTTCTACGCGTTGTCGGCGGCGGGAATGGGCCTCGGGTGAGCTTCCCGCCCCGCACCCGCACCTGCGTGCCCGCAACAGCCCACCGCGCAGGTTCCAGAGGACCCGGAGGCTGAGCACCCTGGCGCCGCTGCTGCCACTCACCTTCGTCCTTGCCTATCAGGGGGATTCAGCGTACGGCAGCAAGCAGGACCGCATCAGAGGTGAGCCCGGCCCCGAACTGCGCGGGCCCTGGCTATACCACCTAGAAGACAAGGCCTACACATAACGTCATGGTCAGTGGATCCCGCCTTGAGACAAATACGTGTCAGTCTTGGCGTCGCACTGGTGGCGAGACGTGCCACGGGCGATTCTGACGAGAGGTAGGTGGTACTGCGTGGATTCACTGGTGATGTCGTTTGGGAGGGAAAGGCTTTGACTTTTAGGTAATATTGGTGGGCAGCAAGCGTGCCGAGGACCGAAGCATGCCGCCATTGCTGCAGGGGAGGCCGAGAACATCCTGGTGTACGAGCCAGAGCTGCTTGAGGCACCCCTGGGGCTGCCCACGGTAGGCGGCATCGACGAGAGCAGGGAGAAAGCCAGGGACGAGGAGAGTTTCTCCAAGGCACACGACATCTTCCTATGAGCATGCCCCAGTTCTGCCAGCCCGACACCTCCGCCATCGCACGGTTTCCGACGGGGCCAAGTGCAGGACCGCGCACGCACCTCTGCCCATCGCAGGATGCCGGGAGGCGCGCAGGGTTTCGTGTTGCTCTTCTTCACGCTAGAAAGGCACATGATCCGTGACACCGTGCCCTAGTCTTTTTTCTGCGACTACTTCCACACAACTAGAGCAATTAGTTGCTACATAGCATATGCCAAAATCTATAGTTGGCAGCTTTATTTACGCGACACGCTTGAGTTGTCCGCATTATAGTAAGGCACTGGGCGTCGACCACTCGCCGGGAGTGCCAGCTGTCCCGAAAAGTTGTCCGCCGAACGGAGGGCGGCCCAGACGGTTCTCTCGTGAGCGGCTCCCTTCAAGTCGCAGTCATTCCTCATGGCACGCATTTCGACGTTCCAGAGGGCCGCCCCTTCGTCCGAACCGTGCCACTGAAATGTGCCGCTTGGCACGCTCGCATATCACATGTTTCACCACTGCCCAGACCGGAAGGCCTGTCTGGAGCTGCTTTGCAGATGCGAGCGCCAAAGAGTCCAACGGTTTGAGGAAGGCTCAGGGGGGCCTGGCAGCCTGGGAACCCCTGGCGACGGGGGTCCAAAGGCCCGCCTGTGGCACTGCATTGCGTAAGCCCTTGGCCGGCTGCGACGTCGCATCCCTGCGCAACATACAAGCGCTGGAATGAAACATCTATGAAACATGTTTTTTAATGTGGAAACTCGTTTATCTGTCTAAGACCCACAGACATAAAGACTACCTATTCAGGGAAAAATACGCATCTGCCACTTGCTATTATGACTGGTGAGCAGCATGGTAAATGCATGCCTGTCTATACTCCGTTTCACCTTCAGTCCGAGCGCAGTGGACGCCACGAGCCATCCCAGCCGATCCAGCGCCGGGAGAAAGTCGCGTGACCTGCCGGTGGGGCGGGGCGACACAGGGAGCTCAAGGTCGCATGACACTCCCTCAACGCCGCATTGGCTGGGATGGCTCCTAGCGTCCGCTGTGCTCGGACGGAAGGTGAAACGGAGTATAGAGGGGCGAGACATTTTTTCAGACTTCTAGTATCTATGGCATTATGGCATAGTTGAAAGTTTCCAACTAATGCTTAAAGTTCAGGGGGTATTTAGATGAGCCACGAAGCTTTCTTACTCTTTCGTGGTCATTGTGGTCAAAATAAATGGCTGCCCGCAGAGATCTTGTATTATATATAATAGGCTTCAAAGGGAATGCTGTTCAACATATCGGTTTAGGCCTTCTATTGCCTTCTTTCGGTGTTTTGAAATGTTCGTTCACAGGCTATTTGTGTCTCTTTCAATATTTAACAGTCTTTTGAAAGCCCGTAACACAGATTGATGTCCTCTACACAAAAGTGTCTATCAATCTCTACCCGAAACTCCATTGAGCACATGACAAAGAAAAGCTCCGACCAGTTCCTTCGCTCTCAACGCAGCATTCGGTCAAATCTGTTCAACCAAAAATTGTGGGTGCAACTTCATTTGGCAAGATATTGTCGACTAAGATTAATGCCACCCACTGACAAGTCAGTTGCTCCAGCTTGTCTCGACTCCCAAAACCGGCCACTACTTTTTAAAAAGTATGGTACAACTCAATGTTACAGTGCGAAGGAACTCGGACGAGTTGGAAGCTACTACCTCCGTGCGTAGAAAACATTGTTCACCAAAGGGGATTTTCTTGAGCCCCAAAAGGTCCATTCAAGAGAACGAAAGAGTTGGAGGACCAGATTCTGTGACCAGTGCAGGGACCCGTACCAGAGGGTGCAACCCTTTACAAACTCAAAACTCGAGAAACAATTGAGCCAAAAAAAATGCTCGTCATAGGAGCACGAGGCCACGGCAAAAGGCCAAGTTATCCCGCAGGTTTGGCGTGAACATTGCAGGTGCTTCCCAGTTCGACACTGAAACCTCAGTGACAGCGTCCAACTGGCGCCCACTGCACAGTCAGTTCACATCTGATAGGGTGTACGGTTTCGTGGACGCAGGGCTGCAAATACCGAAATTGGGCAGGGAAGCTCTGGTCATTAATCTGCTGCCACTTCCAAAAATTGAAACAAGAGGACGCGTTGCCATAATCCTGTTGCATGGCCTCTTCATCACCTCCTTTTGCATAATAGAGATTAAGCCCGACATTAGTGACAAGACACAAGAATGCAATCCAGATGTAATGTCGAACATTACGACTGTAAATAAACTCCGTCGGAAGCTCTATATTGTCCCAGTTATGAATTCAATCATTTCTCACAATTGAAAATGTGTTGAAGTTTGCAGACCCTCTTAGAAAGGGCTGCTTCGCCGTCAGTGGGAACATTTTCAAGAAAACTGATTTTCTGAACGGCACAAACAAACTGTGGTGGGGACACAAACTAATTTTGTTGAGAAATAATTCTGAAACGTTTAATTCTCAAATCAACTACAGGTCAGAAACAACCATTTAGTAGTTCAGCACATCTGACATCTGGAACAGCTGGGGCTGTAACGTCGGATGCCGCTCAAGCAGCAGCATCCAGGCAGCACTCACCCCGGTGTCTTGGGCAGGCTTCCGGGACATTGCACCGCACCGGGGCTTCCACCCTGCACAGAAAGAGTTATGCTAGGCAAGGCTGGGGGAGACACCCAAACTTTGAGTCAAAAAAGTTATGTTTTGTAAAATTATAATATTGATCCTCATTGTACGAGAGTGTTGGACTGGGAGAGATGGCACGATAGAAATAATGGCTGCAAAACAAAAGAGGGCCGAAAAAGGAACTCTTGCGACGACAGTCGTTGTCCCGTCACAAATGTTCCTTCTTTTTTTTTTGTAGACATTATTTTTATTACGGTAAACTTGACCTTGATATTTTTTTTTTTTTTTTAAATCGAGATTTTATTGGCTACATTGAAAAAGCAATGCCAGTGGCAGGCACGGGTTCACTGTTCAGGCAGTAGAACTTCTCAACCAGTTACAAGATGTGCAATGGTGCAAAACGAATGCCGTGGAAGCTCACTCGGACGCTCGCTCGGTAGCACGTAATAAAATATGAAACGCGCCTTGTTTTGTAAACGGCCCGCGAGGCCGTCTGCCGGCGACGTGCAACCGGAAAGTCTGGGGAAATATGAGCGTTGGTTTTGGCACTGCAATCATTTGCCGTTTTTACACTTCTTAGTCTCAATTTATGGACGGAAAGAGCAAGGCCAGGGTACGCGGAAAACATAATTAGTTTGTTTAGCTAAAAGATATCCAAGTGTGTGCGGACGCCTTGCGTGCCCCGACAGTTCGAACAACTTTTGATTTTGACACAACCCCGCATGCATTCGCCACGTAATTCACGTCTAAAACGTCGGGCAGACACTCGCGCTGCTCTGATACAGTGCCTGGACCCCCTGACCCCAACCACAGAGCGACTCCTGACTTGCCTGGCCGGCCCCCATCCGCTGGTTGAGCTGTTGGTTCAGCCACTGGATCACTGTGCGGGAGAGAAGAGCAGGGCGGTCAGGGGGGCCTTTCCCTCCCCAAAGGGGGGGGGGGGGGGGGGGAACCCACCATTCTCATGGGTCTTGACCTGGCGCTGGCACTGGGCCAGCTGGGCTTGGGCCTCCGACAACTCCAGCCGCGCACGCTCCAGCTGCAGAGCATGCGACAAGCGCGTTAAGACGACGACGTGGATTCACTTTTTGCACGAAGAACGAGCACGTTGGTGCAAAATGGAGAGGCCCACCCTATCACGTGTCCCTTCCCCATTTTTGCATTTTGACCCAACGAGCACCCATGCCCCAGTTTTTAATGCGGAATGTGTTCTAGGGCTGGGTTTTGTGAGAAAAGCGATTCGTTCCGCTCGACCGACACGGAGGTCAAGGTCCCGCTGTAATGCTGGAAGTTGCGTGGGTGCCAGATAAATAAATGTAGCCCCATGGGGGCTACATATGGCTTAGACGACCTTGACGCACTGACGTTGTGCGACACTTAAACTCGACGGGACATCGAGCAATGTCGCTACATGGTACAACGTTCTGACACTGCGCGCACACGCAGCATGTACCCAGCTCACTCGCGACACCTTCCGCGACACCTTCCGCGACCCTTCAAGCTTATTGGATAGAATCGAGACATGCTTAAATATTTTTCAAGATTATCTCCAATTTGGGGTGGCTGTTTTGCTCGGCATTTTACGACTCATATTTGTCGCAAAAATACAAAAAATATGACTGTATTCTTGTCGCACAAACTAAGGTAGAATCGCAACGACGAGGTAGAATCGCAATGAATGGCAACGACGAGACGAGCGCACGTCGTCGTCGTTAGCGTATTTCCGATCCATCCCAAGCGGCAAATACGCTGAAGCTCGATGAGAGATTCCGGAGATCAACAAACGCGTCTGTCTTGACGTCACGCTTATTGCAAGACGCACTGCGGGCGAATCTAGCACGAGCTAGGCGGCTCTGTGGGGATCCACCAGTGATAACGTTTAAAAGGGAAAGGCCTCGTCTTCTAGGCGGCCCGGGAAATCGCCCACAAGCCCGCTCGGGGATAGTGGAGCACCTGTGCCTGCCCGTCTCGGTGCTGGGCCCTCAGCTGGTCCGCGGTGTCCCCCAGCGCCTCCAGGCGGCGCTCCTTGTCCGCCAGGGCCCCTTCCCGCTGGCCCAGCTGACCGTGCAGGGCCCTCAGCTCTCCCTGGAGGCGGCGGATGATCTCGTTGGCTTTGACCACGTCCCCGGACAGGGTGCGCACCGCCGCCTCCCGCCGCTCCAGCCGAGACGCGCACTGCTCCAGGCCACGCTCCGACTCGCGCTGCAAAGGGGGAGGGGCACCGGTGCTCGGTGTTTACCCGACGTAAGGCCAGTGGACTGGGTTCTTTATGTTACCTTCCTCGATAGAGTGCAGGGCACTGTATAATATAAAAAGCAGTAACGATAAACGAAGTGACGTTAGTTGGGTGCCGAGCAGGCGCTAAACACGTGCACTGTGCGTGCTGCATTTTTCGTGGGGGCTGGAGTTCCTACGAAAGAAGAAGACCTTGTGCCACAGGGAGAAGACAATCCCAGCCGGATGCTGACGCAACATTCGGCTGCCTTAGCCGAATGATGAGTCATCGTTTTTTGTTGTCCCCATGGGCGTAGTTCTAAAGTTAGCTGCTTGCGATGTAGCGGTTTGTCGGAACATGAAAAGAAAAAGAAAACGGCTTGTGGGACATTTGGAACAGCTACTTTCAAACAGTTGGAAGTAAATGTATTCTGTCCCATTCCTTACCTGTTCCGACGCTTTAGAGCGTTATAAGCTGCCTGCCAATGACACACTTGCAAGTGCGTTTTTTTTTTTTTTTTTTTGTAAAAACTGGGTAAATGGTGGAAATGTGCCAATGAAATGATCCCTTTGGCATTATAATTAGAATTTTGTCTTTTCCGAATTTATTTCTCGCGAAAATTGGAGGGTACCTATGAGTTTATTTTTCGCCGTATATTCAGAGTTTATCGGAGGTTGCTTTTTGTTAGATTACCGATTCTCCTAAGCAGGGAGTTTATTTTTGCTCTTTTTCCAAAATGTCAAGAATGAAATTGAAAATATATATTAACTGGCCGGTATAACCCTGTCCTAGATTTACAAGAATGCATGTGTATCACGTGACATTGGCACTCTTGCCGTTAGTAATACTAACTGTCTTGTGACAAAACTTGAAAAAGACACATTACAATCACTGAACTCTTCGACATAGTTATTGGAAAGCTTGTTTTCTTTTCATCCTATTCTACCGCTTCTCCCTCCGGCTCCGCGGGGTGGAGAGTGGTTAGAAAGATGCCTAAGCTATTTTCCCTATGAAACCTAAGAGTTTATAGCTTTCATGGTTATCAAATCACAACCCTACCTTCCTCTAAAAAGTTCAGTCTGGAAACTAGAACAGTGGTTTGTGTCGTGACTCAGAATTACAATGCTCCGCTGAACTGGACGAACTGTGACAGAATAAACGGCGTTTATTCCCTCAGGGTTTTTGTGATTTCCAGGACCAAAATGGAGAGTACCGAAACCGCTTTCGACGTTGCACGTCTATACCTCCGCCTGCCTAACGCCGTTACTCTGTCGGCTAAAGCTGCCACAGGAACTCGCTTCGGGCCACTCTTGGGAGAAAGCCTTTTGGAACCTCGGTTCTACCAACGCGCTTCTTGGGCTGCAAGCTGTTCTCGCCACGTGCACCAGTTGTCTCCCGAGGCTTTCTCCGACGTGTCAAGAAGAATGCGGGCGCTGGCAGTGCCACCTACAATGCAAGGCCTGCGCCTTTCCCCCCCAAACGTCATCACAAGTGGATCCACACGGCGTGGCAAAGCATCGTCTACGACGCGTCTCGCAAGAAGCTCGATGCTAGCACTCAATGACGCCAAGACGGACGCGTCTGGCGCTTTGCAGCGACTCTCTTCGAGCTTTGGTGCGTTTGCCGTTTGGGACAGGTCTGGAATCCACTAACGATAACGTCATGCGCAGGCCTTGCCTTCTAGGTGGTTTTGGCTCCGAGTGGCGTCCCACCTGGGCTGCTCTGGAAGCATCCAGCTGGGCCTCCAGCTCCGCCAGGCGGGCCGCGAAGGTGGTCGCCTCCCTCTCCTCAGCTGCCTCTTTCTCCCTGCATAGGAACGCCAAAGCCCCGCTGCATGCCTCTGCCAGGCCGCACGACCGACTGCCGCAGCTCTGAGAACGAGAGCGACGGCGGCAGACTCCAATTCGGAGAAACCGTGGTATTGCAATATGAGTCGCCACTTCTAGCGAGGCTGGTTACGCGAAATGTGTGCAATAACCTAGAAGGCGAGTATTAACCTAAATGCCTATCTCGACGGACCTTTTGCAAAATGCGCAAAATCCCCCACCGGTGCATTCTTCATTCTTTGTTAGTGCGATCGTGTTTATACCGAGACTCGTGCTCCGTCGAGTCCCGTGATCCATGCCACACAATGAGGCAATGCGTCACACTGCATCGCTTCCACATCGCTTTTCTTCTTTCTGTTTGTCTTTTCTTCCATTTTCTGTTTGTCTTTTCTTCCAAACATCTTCTACTTTAAAGGCCTGTTCATACACCTAAGTTTGCTCACGACCGAGTTCTTGCAATCTCTTACGACGAGAGAACACACTGGTAGGCTGGTGCCCTCTATGAGGTAACCCTGGTACTGCGTTTCTCCAGAGCGAAGGTTTCGGAGCATTTTCCAGATCAAGTGTACTACTATTTATGAGAGATGGGCATTTATAACATTGTCAAAGAAGTGTGTACTCTTCCAGTGTGTACTCTTGTCGTAAGAGACCCTAAGAGGTTTTAAGGCACTCGGTCGTAACCAGTCACAAGTTTGCAAATCAGCCTTACTTGGGCCCGCACATTTAACTAACAGTCCAACGGCAGCGAGCGCTGTGCCCGAACGCCCGCGTAGCGGCTCACCTGGAGAGCGCCTGGGCGTCCCGCTCCGCCCGGGCGGCCTCCAGCGCGGCCACCTGCAGTGCCAGCTCCCGGCACTGCCGTTCGCTGCGGTCCAGCTTCTCCCTCAGATCCTTGGTGAGGGCCTCCTGGAGGCTGGCCTGGGCCTCCAGGGCCTGCATCTGCCGGCGCTGCTGCAGCTCTGCCTCGTGCCGCTCCAGCTCTGCCCGCACGCGCTGCTCCGAGCTTGCCTGCACGCACGTGGGCTCCAGTTGGTGAGGGGGACTCCAGTGAGACCCGAAACGTATTTGTCTTACGAGTAGTGCGCCGATGTTCAAGGTGCATGCCTCAATTAAGCTTTGAAAGCAAATGGTGGAGTAGCATGAAAATAAGCGGCCCTATAGGAAGCAAAAGGCGGCAGAGCACCTGCTCGTCTAGTCGTGGCAGTGTCTTCCGCATTTGCAAAACAATGGTCGGCAATGCTTGTAAGAAACGCGAAGCGTGGATTTTATCAAGGGGCTTAACCGAGATGGACGGAAGTGTGGCAGCCACCCTAAGTCCCGATGCGTCTCGCATCACCCGGCCAGACCTTTTAACGTTGGCCGCCAATAGACGTGGCATATGCGTGCCACCGAGTGCAATGGATGTGCCAACATTATTAGGTCAACTCAGTTGTGGAACTCTCTCTCTCCCTCAAGTCTGCCACTTGTCGTTTAAAATGCCATCTTGAGGCTGCATTTCAAAGCTGTATTCTTTGGAGATGCTACAGTGAAGTGCCATCTAGACTCTGTGCTCTGCCCCTTCCAGAAATAGTGGCGTGTTGAACGACGGAATGCGGACCTTAGGGGTACAAGGGGTGCTTCTTGTGGAATCATTCATTGTTTTTACCATTCTTCGACAATGTGAGATTACCGCAGTATGGGCGTGCTCCTCAAGGTACAAATGATGGGTCAAACACTTTGAAAATTCTGAACTATGATGACGCACCCGGTGTGACCTCGGGGTCTTGTGAGTTGCGGCCTTTCCGACATGCGACGGCCGGAGGCAACCTAATACTGGCACAGTGTGGAAATGTGTCCGGCTCGAAGTTTTCCCATGGCGTTAGGCTGGCGAGGGTAGCTACTGCCACACGGCCATGCCAGACCGGTTGGAGGGGTGCCCACCTTGCTCATCTCGTCCCTGAGGGCTCCGAGCTCCGCAAGGTGCCGCTCCCCGAGAGAGGCCAGCTGGGCGGAGTGGGCCGTCCTTTGCCGCTCCACCTCCTGCGCCTTCTCCGCAGCCAAGGTCTCGCTCCGCTCCAGCCGCGCACGCCACTCTGCCTCGCAGCTGCTCAGGGACGCCTCGAGCCGCCGCTTGTCCTCCTGCACGGGGGTCGCCAGAAGGGGTTCAGGCCATCTAAAAGGCGAGGCCCGGCATGACGTCATCAGATCCCCAACCCAAGCAGTAAAGACGCGCTGAAGCTCGACCACCGCAAAGCGGTAGGCGCGTCCGTCTTGGCGTCGCCGCAAGCTAACGTCGCGCTTGTTGTGAGATGCTGCAACACGCGCTGCCGATGACACAGATGCAAGTAGAGGCGGTGCTGCTTGGATCCACTAGTGACGACGAAGGTAAGGCACAGGCCTCTATGCTTGTTTTCACCTCAAAAACCGTAGTAAAAAAAAGTCCAGCTCCTTGCGGAGCATTACTAATTTTCTTCGTTATATGGATAATTAAGATATATGTAAGTGAATTTTAGATTAGATATATGTTGTCTTATGAAGACACACACATTTGAAATGCCAGAAGCATTGCTGTTTCCTCCGACAAGCAAATCTCGTAAGAACTACTTCACGCCGCGTATGAACAAGGCGCGGAACTTGATTTTTTTTTTTAAGGTGAAAACGGGTTAAGGTGCTATTGGTCCAGGCCCCTCCCGTGGCTCAAAAGCGCATCCCCCGCGTACCTTGAGCGCACGCATGGCAGCGGCCAGGTGCTTCCTGAGCGCCCCCTCACCGGGGGCCCTGAGCAAGAGGGACAGGTGCACCAGGTGCTTGAAGGGGTTCGCCTCCACCACCTCCATCAGGGCGGGCTCGTCGCCAGACACGCGCAGGCGCACCACGAACCTGCGAAGGACACCGTCCCGGGGTCGGGCAAACTAAAGTCACTGGATCTGGGAAAGTAGCGCCATTGCCTTCCTGTTTACTAGCCGGACAAAAGCAAATACCAACATACAAACGACAAAACCTCTCAAGGTGATTGGCTGATCGGCCTCGGTTACCATGGCGATCACCGTTCTGGGCCTTTCATATCTTGCCTCCAAGCACTGACATGGGAGGCACTCACTTGATCGAATGACGTTTTAGCAAACGTCCACGTTTCATCGAACGACACTTTAGCGAATAGTCGGACGCCGCGAAGCGGCGTTTTCGGGTGGGCCAAGTGAGTTCATATTTTTGTAATGAGTTGCCGCAGACTGTCGCCGCGAAGCGGCGTAAAGCGCAGCGCGACGGATGGGTTAACGCGCGCCCCCGTTATTCGCTAAAACGACCATTCGCTCAAATGTCGCCGTTCGCTAAAATGTCATTCGCTCTTGTGATATGGACCCCACTGACATTGCATGTGATTGCGGTACAAAGACGTACGCCATCACAAGCGGTGTCAATTCTTGGAGGCATTGAAAAATAATTTTACTGTCTTCAAATACGCAAGAGCAACATAATTGTAAGAGATCTGGGGAGGTAAGCATGAGTGATATGTTATTGCATGCACAGTGTCAAAGACGCTCATATTGGCCGAGGAATGCTTTCAGCATGATAATGCTCCTTAGCAATCTTGGTGCGACTGGTTGGAACAACCTTCTTGTAGCTTGAAATATTTGAAAGGTCCAAATTGGCAATCAATGTGGTCACTGAGGCCAATCAGCCAATCACCTTGAGAGGTTTTGTTGTCTGCGTATTCGTACAGTCAAACCCGTATATAACGAACAGCAGGAAACACTGCGATCAGTTCGATATAGCAAGTAGTTCGATATAGCAAAAAACATTTACATCGAACTTCAGCGATGAGTTTGTTGTAAGGCGAAGAGCTTCTCTTTCTTTCTGATCTCTTCAGTTCCGCCTTGTAACACAACGCTGGAAAGATTTTTTTTTTTTTTTTTTTTTTTTGCATGTGTGCAGTTTGTACGCTTTGGGATGAAAAGATTTTTTTTTCTGTGCGTGTGTGCAGAGTGTATTTTGTTTAGCTTCTCCCCTTCTGAATCGCTGATTTGCTCAATTTTGTTTACAACTTGAGCTTTTAAAATTTTTTTTCTTTCATACTTCTTTTTTTGGGGAAGGGGCAAACTAGAAGACGATTGTCTGCGCATTTTTGGAAGCCTCCCCGGGGGAAAAAGGTTTGATATAGACAATATGTTGTTCGTTATAAAACATACTTTCTACATGCAGTTTTATTTAAATTTTCCGTCAGTTCGATATCGACGATAATTCGCTGTACGTGGGTTCGTTCTAAACGGGTTTCACTGTATTTGTTTGTGTCCTTCTAGCAGGCGGGAAGGCAATGGCGCTACTTTCCCAGAACCAGTGACTTTAGGGCAAACGAGTGCCGACACAAACTCAACAGGCGCCCCATGGCAGAGTCGTGCATTGGGAGAGCTTGGCCATTCATTGGTTTCAATAGGCGAGCATCGTGTGACCAACCACCCTAGCAGCACAGATGTCCTATACACATCCACAGGACATCCCTGGAACGTCAGGACATCCTGAGGATATCCGGGGGACCATGTGTGCTGCTTTCGTGGCTTGTGCACAGGCCACGAAAGAGCTTCTAGCAGTGATCGTGACCTCTAAAAATGCGACCGTTTTAGCATCGCTAGAGCATAAAGGTATAACTCTTGGTGACCGAAAACTTGGCGCATCTCAGGTTTTTGTCATGTTCATATTCAACGGTAGAGCAACGCCGAGATTGAACGCTTCTCTTTCAAACTTTAAAGATACTTCAACAAAATTTAAAATATACCCGTCGTGTTCAGAAATAGGCTGAATATGATCCACAATACCTGTAAATGACATTCACACATTTGTATCTTGAGCCTGATTGCTGTATTTTTCGTTATAAACGGCCCACTCTGGCAAGCGATCGAAGAGCAGCCAGCGGAGGGCACGTGACATCCGCTGCAATCGTGACGTAGACTGTCTCGGGACGAGCAAAGCTGCGGCGAGGCTGACGTCGAGAGGATGTCCTAGCCATTCCAGCAGCCGAAGCACGCCAACGATCGAGCCACTGCGATTAACCCCAAATCTGCTTTTGTATGAATTGTGAGCGACGGGTTCATTTTCTATAATCTTGTAGAGGGACGATAGCGACATCTGGGACACACAAAAGAGAGTCTCGGGGAAAAGGGAGTTTTTCTTCCCCTCTTCTCTCATTGTGGCTGGATACGAGACAGTTATTCTCACTACCTGTCAAGGTTCCTAGACGGGCATTAGAAACGAGGCATTAGCGGCATCCACCAGGTGTTCTTTGCTAGTCGTTTAATTTGTATTAAAATTCTATTTTCGTGTCTTTCTCAACAAGACATTGGTGTGTCTGATATGATAGTGCTCCCTTGAACACAAGTAGACCAAAAAATAGGCGCCGAAATTTCGTTGTGGTGTCCCTTTAAATGTCGTTTCTAATACTGCGACGTCGCGGTCTGTTGATTGGTCGGCGCTGTGTCGCACTTTTAGTTTACGCTCTAACCGCGGGGGGAATGTTCAGCGCTGGCGGCAGCCTTTGCTCCGCCCATTTGCCTAACTCTCCCAATATACGGTTCTTCTCGACGGGGTCGGGCACTCACTTGGGACTATCGCGGCGCTCGTGGTCGACGCACAGCTGCAGCAGGTCGGCCAGCTTGTGCGGGAAGGCGGCGAAGTCCACGAGTAGGCCCTGCTGGCACTTGAGGCTGCGGGGGAAAGCGCGGCGTTCGGTTGACGCCCAGAGCACCGGCCAGCACGGAGAAAGCGCGGCGTTCGGTTGGGCGCCGAGAGCACCGGCCGGCACGCACCTCTCGAAGTCGTCGTCGGTCAGCGCCAGCGAGTAAACGAAGAACGGGTCCGTCTCGTCCGTCAGCTGGACCCGCAGCTGCTGCAAAGGGGGCACCGACGGTCGGGCAGGGAGCGCAACCTCCGGCGCCTCCGCTCACCTTCCGGCCGCCGCTGGAGCCGTGCCGGACGCTCACGCAAACCCCGGCCAGCCTGCGGGAGCCCCGCTCGTCACTCAGCTGAACGCTCAGGGTCCGGCAGAACAGGCTCTCTTCGGGCGTAGCGTCCAACTCGCTCCGGTACGAGTCCATCGTCGCTCAGATGCGGCCTCCGAGCTTCTCTGCGGTCGATGGGAGCGTTGGCGGACTCGTGCGGTTCATGTGCCCACTATTATTGCTCCCTTCAGGTCGGCAACAAAAAGAGGAAACGGAGACAATTCGAAATTGTAGCCACGAAAAATTGTAGACACGAAAAATTTGCCGCGGCAGCCAGTTGGCTTGGATCGGCTAGATGACTGGATAGCATAAAGTGATGCGCATGACCATGGAGGCTCTGTAAGTACGCTCAAGTGGTTTCGCTTTCCAGATGCCCTTGTAGCACCATTCTTTATCAGCCGCAGCCAAATCAAAATATGCGAAACAAAAAAAGAAAATGGATAAAGGGGCTCATATTTTTGTTTTGTTGTATGCTCCTCTTTTTTTTTTTTTTACGCCTGTTTTTTAGCATGATGAACGGCGCGCATCGGTTTCCAATCCACCAACCGCATTAGTGGCATCAGTGAACCGAGTGAACCGCACCAACAGCAACTTGTACGCAGAAACACGATTGGGTCTACAGAATGCACAGAAAGAATAAAGCACGCAAAGGACGAATTCTGTAGTTTTTCAACGCGCTACCCCCATAGAGTTATTGCTACCCCATCGGAAGTATGCAAACCAACCCCATCTTTCAGTTTGTTCGTATCGATTTATAGACTTTTGAAGCGATTGTTTTACTGTTTCGCAAAAAAAAAAAAAAGAAAAAAGAAAAAACACAACCATCCAAGCGTCGTCTGCTGCGAAAGCACATGTTGCGTCACGTGCGAGCGTCACGTGGTATACCATGTGACGCGCAGCTCGACCATTCAATCAGCCGGCAAGCCAGGCAAGCCTGTCCGGCCCTACTCGCCTGACGGAGAAAGCTGACCTAATCGGCGTTGCCTAGGCACCTGCCGCATGCGTGAGTGTATTTCCTTCTTTTTATCACTGGCAGCCGCCTTTCTACCTCTCCCCGGCCTCTGTCACCGAGTCGCTTATCTCTGCGGGCTGTGGACGTTTCTGCCGCCACTCGGCCTGCTCCGAAACAGGCTCTCCACTTTCCCTACGTTGCTCCACTGGGACGCTAACTAAAGTGGATCTCTTTATTCTGGCTTGTTTCCGCCTCGTTCGTGCCTTCTCATGGTTGCGTTCGACCTTCCCAAGTGGCACTCGAGCCGACTCAAAATGGGGGGCACGCACGCACATACACAAAAATGTTGATTGAATGGATAGAGTTTGTGTTTTCCGATGTTGATACAGCGGGCTTTTCTCTGTATACTTACTCGAGAAAAGGCGACATATACGCGCGAGACATTGGCTATTGTTTGCTGCGCTATATAGTATATATGTTTTGGTGCATCTACCGCGCGAGCACAGGGGAAAAAAAAAAAAAAAAGAAAGATCAATTTTTTTGTAATTGTGTGAAGGGTCAAGGCCGAAGTCGTCCGTTCGCGTGCTCGCTTTCTAATATGCGAGATGCGCGCGTGCTGGGATGTAGAGATTGCACGCTTGGCTGCGCACGCCCTTGCTCGGGCCCGGATACCCGCAAAGTACCCGTCGAACCGAAGGGGCTACATTAAAGCCCGTGACGCTCAGCTACCTGCTCCGAGATAGCGCGAGACTCGTTTTAGCAGACGCGGAAGGCCGGACTGCCAACGGCCTATAGTTGTAATTTCCAAAACAACTAGCAGTTCACTGGGTCCGTGAACGAACAAGCGTTTTGTAATTTTGTTGTATCTCCATGCTATGCGGAGCGCAAGTCTGTCTGCTTCTTTTGTAGGAGTTGTGACGTCAGAACGCCGAGCTCTGATTGGTTCTGATTGAAGGATAGTGGGTAGACCTCAAGGCCTCTTGCTTCGAGGTCTACCCACTATCCTTCAATCAGAGCCAATCGGGGCTCGGTGTCGTTCTGAAGCTTCACCGCAGCTCCTGCGTAAGAAGCAGACGACTTGCTCTCTGCATATAAGAAGAAAAAAAAAGGAGCTTTGGCCTAAGGATTTAGCCTTTCCTTGGTACAGAGTGCATCACTGCTGGACAATGCACTGCCCCGGATTTGCTGTCGTATGGTGTACCTCTAGCTAGTGCTTGCCCTGTACTGGCTGCAATTCTCAGCCATGGCAGAGACATATTGGATGCCCCTCAAGACACACTAACTTCCCGCTGTCTAAAAATCCAGGCTATGAAGTTACACGCTTAATTTCTCATTTATGGCATGAAGGTACGTATCACCATGAAATGAAAACATCCTTATGCTGTATTGTCATCTAATTTGCTTGTTTTTTCTTCTCGCCACAAGTTGGAAAGGTGTGTCTCGTCTTCTGGCACACACTCTTTGAAATTTAACTGTGTCTAGTTATTCCAGCATGGTCTCATAGGGTGGTGTTGCCACTGCCAATGCCGACAGTGCTGTAATTTGTTTCACGATAACGTGGCAAACCGTGGAGGCTATACAGCCCCCGAACCCAATAAGGGAGTCTGAGTGAGGCACGTGCCACCATGCCGCGGGAGCATGTGCCCCTGCACCAAATGCGAGGCCCAGAGGAACTGGCTGTCGTCTGCTGGACAAGAGTCGTCTGCTGCGAAACCAAGCAACTTCGGACAAATGTCCACCGCTGCAACATTCCCGTCCGCTAGATTACCAATCTCTTCAGGAACAATTTATGATACAACCATACTCTCAATTTATCAGCGAATCTGTGGCAGATGCTGATGCCAAAACAATATTTTGAGCTGAAGTGGTCGATTACAGGCTGCGATCGTTCAACTATCGTTCAAAAACCACATTGTTTTCTAAAAAAGATGATCCTAATTAAGTATCATTGAAAAGTAACATGTCTTCCTCTTTTCTGTCTGGTCGATAGAGATGCAATCAACAAAAAGAAGCCTAGAACTACTTTTTGTCACAGATGGCGCTGTTACTATGGCGGTACATATCCTCCATGGCCTCGACCGTGGAGTGTTGTCACGTGCCTTGCTCCGACGCCCTTATCGGGTCGCGGGGGCCGCAGCCTCTACAGTTCGCAAAGTTATCGTGAAGCGGAGTAGAGCGGGATTCATATTGGCAACCTCAGCACGGCCAAAATGCCAAGTACTCGAGCTGGATTAGGAGCACACTCTTCCGTGTGCTCCAGATCAAAAAGGAGAAAGATATTCACTCTGCCGCAAAATGGCCCAATGTCACCGCCCCCAGACAGGCACGTAGGCTAGAAAAAGGAGGGCGTGCAAGATTGAAGAAAGGGCAATCTGTCTACTCAAGCCTCCCCTAGGTGACGCCACAATTGGGAGCTCAACGTACGGTACCACAATGATACTGCAATGACACCTGCACCTGCCACTCTGCCCCCCAAAGGAAAATTTTTGCCTGGTATCCAACTGGTCCCAGTTCCAGCTGGCCTCAGTTGCAGCTGCAGCCAACGCAATACAGACATGAAAAGCAAGGTTCGCCAAGCATTAAATTATTGAACAGCTACAGATTAAAAAAATAAACTGTCAAAATAGATTTTGCAGCATTGTCGTGTTTCCGGTGGGGTTGTAGGAATTTGCTTAGAAGAGCTGTGTAGCACTACACTTCAGTTGCCTTGTTCGCCTCTTGCTTGCGACGATTGAATCGCCTTTTTGGGGGAGATGTTTGTACAAGGGATGAAGTGCTCATTAACGAGCCTTTGCTGCGTCGTAGTGCGCAGGGTTGGTTGCTGAAGTGTGTCAGCATGAGTCCCGCCATGACATCTTCAACTTCCCCCATTGCGGAAGTTAAGTCCAAATACGATGTGGTAGCGTTTCCACTTAGCAGTCGAATGTTTCCAATCACCTTGATCACAGAATAACCTCCCCTGCATTTATTGTATCCTCTGTGGACACTCCCCAATCGCTGGATGGCACCCTCTTATTCCTAGAAGTTTACTGCTGCCTTCATGTCGTGTGTCTGGTGGATTCAAGGAGTAGATTGGTGTTTTCTATGACCTTTTGAGAACATCATAATCATTTATTGGACCATTGGGCAGTGCATCTCTTCATTCCCCCACTCCCCCACCTTAAAGGAGCTGTGCAACAATTTCAGGGCTTTGCTTAAATTATTGTGGAAGTTGATGCCCGACACTTCTGAAGTGAACTACAGAAAACAGATTTTGCCTGGATACCCTAGTTTTTTTTTTAAAAAATGAAAAAGATCCAGGTTTTTGCCGCCTCTCAACTCGTACGTCGTCTTCCGGGTCACGTGCGCAGTGACGTTGAGGGGGTAGGGGCGGGGTTCCGGAAAAGTTCTCTCTTTAGAGCCATCAGTGAGCAGCGAGAACTCATCCGCTCGCGACTGCGTGACCACGTGCTGGCGGGCACCGCGCAAGCAATATTGAAAGGAGGAAAGTCTCATCCGGGTCCGGCCATACCCGTCTGACCCTGTTGCCCTCCTTTTCCGGCTTCTGGCAGCTGTTTGCGGTAGCAGAGGGAGTTGACGGTTTTGTGGACCTAGGATAGATGGCACCACTAAAACTCCGTATAATAAAAGTTTTTTTGATGATACCAGGCTTTTGACGCATTTATATATATGTTGGAATGACAAGATTTATAGAAAAGTTACCTTTTATCGAGCAGGTATTCGCACAACTTGCTATCTTTCGACAAGATTCCCCATTGACGTCATGCCGCGTGTTTCTCATGGCCGCCGCTCGCGGCTGCAGGTCGGGGAATATTCTAAGTTTTGCCTTGCTATTACTCGGCGGAATCGCAACGTTTCGATGAAAGAAGGTGTGTTTTCTGTCATTTGTGACGAGGTGATCAATATCAAAAGCAGAAGATGCCAATTCTTTCAACGTTAAAATCGTTGCACAGCTTCTTTAAATGTTTTGAGCAATTGCACCGGTAACGAACGTAGCACCCTCCTTCAGCCACGCGTAAAACTGGTCCGTGGCAAGCACAGCCAACTGCCCGGCACACGACGGTGATGTGTTGGCTTAAAAGTAAAACATATTTCTGAAAAAACAAGATACCAAACAATTGATGATCTCTATGAGCCAATGACTAACCCTTGCATGCTTCATACTATTTAGAGAATTTAGTGAAACATGCACTTGAGGCAGTAACATTGTATTTGCAGCAAACAGGTACGCTAGATGCACAGCAGAATATAGTCCGAGCCGTGGGAGGAAAAGCGCCATAGTATTGTGTTCCCTTTGGTTGCAGATGAAAATGAGCTTTTGGGACCAGCTGGGTTTGTTGCTATGGAAAAACTTTGCCGTGCACAGGCGTCAAAAGGTAAGTGGGCATTCCTTCGTCTGTCTCGGCCGTCGAGTTTGAACAGTTGGGCCTAACTATAATATTCTGCTTCAATGTTTGTCACGACAAGGTAGTCGCCATGGACAACTCCCTCGAAAAAGTAGACTCATTCCTTTTACGAGATCAGAGTCGAGCCGAAAGTGCTTATATTTTTTTGCCAATTCTCGCTTTCGTTGCTGCAAACCGCAATAAAAAAAGTGCCAGTTTCTTGCTTGACGTGAGGATTAAAAGCGTCGCTGCCGCTTGCGTGCGTTCTGGTGTCGACGTGGGGTGTGCAGGTGCGTCTGCTGGTGGAGCTGGCATGGCCCCTGCTGCTCTTCTTCATACTGATGTGGGTGCGCACGCGGGGCCTAAGGCTCTACATGCACCAGTGTAAGTAGCCCCCCCCCACTTCCCGCAGCTCCTCCGACCCCGGACGCTGACCCTCTCCGAACCTCGCAGGTCACTTCGAGGCCAAGGCTATGCCGTCTGCGGGGCTGCTGGCCTTCGTCCAGTCGACGGTGTGCACCCTGAACAACACGTGCCACCAGCAGGCTGTACCAGATGGGAACCCCCAAGAGCTCAACGCCAGCCTGTGAGTAGCCGGCGAGGCAGGTCGCCTGATGGCACCGCTCCCTGTCTCTCTCTGCAAGAGAAAGGGCTGTGACCGTTGCGTGCCGCTCAACCCACTTTCTGACGTTGCAGAGCCTGCAACGCGTCTTTGGCTGGTGTGTTTAGCGCCCTGTCCTACCTACGCAACAAAAGTGTCCAGAAGTGCCAACAAATGACGTCACAAAAGCCGAGTGTCTTGCTGTTGAATGTCGCGATTCTGGTGGCTCGTCGTAGAAGTTCTGGCAAAGTCATCGCGGCATCCCAACTCCTTGCTGTCGAAACTACCGTGGACTGTCGGCTAGGGAGCGATCTGCGTACATCTGCCACATTTATCACCACTGCTGCGACACCACCAGGATCGCGGGTGGCGACAGCGTGACACTTTTATGACGTCGTCGGGCAAAAATAGAGGGTCCACTTTTATGGACGCGTAAACAGACCAGTCATAGGCCCGTTCCAGGCACCATACCAATGCGGCGAGTTCTTCCCAGGGTAGCCCAGCTGGTTCGGGACGTGCAGCACCTGGTCCGGGACCACTTGGGCAACCCAGACACGGCGGACAGCATCCGGAGGCTGTCCGGGGACCTGGAAACTCTCTCCGCTTTTGTTCGGAAGCTTACAGACCCAGAATTCCCCCTGGCAGGTAAGTCCCGGGATCAAGTCTCCGGTCCCCCCCCTCCCAATGTTCGAGGTCGTAGAGTTAACATACTAATCTAGAGGACAAAGAGATGTTTTAGAATAATGTACACAATTTTAGCGCACGCTAGTGCTAAATTTAGCTCTTGCATTGGCGCACGCTATGCGAGAGAGTTTAGGAATAGTGTTTCTTTGCCGCGACGTAAAAGCCCAATCATCTTGGAAGCGATTGCAACGCCACCAAGAAACTCAATTTTTATTTCACGCACGAAATGCTCTTGAGAAAAAAAACAAGCTTTTTGATCCAGAATATTTGTTCAAATGTAAAAATATGACGGGAGCGGTTGACCGGTCTGGTCCACTTGCGTTGCCTCGGCAAGATAGGTCTCGTATACTGATCTTCGCACATCATACCTTTGCCGAGAAATGTTAGTGCGTCTTAAGCATCAAGTTGCTGGCGATCGTTTTCCACCCTACGGGCCTCCTAACCCGAGTGCAATGTTGTTCTGTGTTGAATATCAATGTTGTGAGGATGCTGCCGACGTCGCGCTTACAACGCCGCCAAGGCGGCCGCAACCATGATCCTGGGAGCCACCATTTTTTAACTGTTCTCTTCTTGGCTTTAGCCAATATCACATCATGAATCCTCTTTAGAGGAGTGCGAAAACTCTTTGTGTATGCACGGAATTTCCAAGAAATAGCACACACAAAGCGCAAACAGCAGCATTCGGCACATGCGCAGCAGTGACAATGCCATTCTCTGCATGTACACTATTTCAAAACTCCCTAAAGTGCCATGCATTGCAGCTGCTTCGGAACGCGAAGGCATAGACAGGACATCATTGGTCCCAATGGGCCCAGAGTGCTGGTGAAATTTAGATACACACAAAGAAGCAGGTAACTGTCACTTGCAATAGGTATGCAAAGAAATAAACTCAACAAGCGCTCCAAGTTTAAGTTGTCGCAGCAAAACGAATACTCCCAACCTATCGTCTGCTTTGTTTTGCTGCTCTTGTGGCACTCTTTTTCTCATTCTTTCTCTTTGGACAACCGATGTTGGTGCTCATCATTTACCGCATTCTGTTCCCGTCTTTAACCCCCTGCTTCCCTTTTTTCCCCCGTGTCTTTGGGCCCTGCAGGGAAGGTGGCCGTGGCAGACGTTCTGCGAGCCAAAGGCGCAGTGGAGGCTGGGTTTGCCTCCGCGGGCCTGTCCGACGTCTACCCTGCCTTCCTCGGTTCGAGCCTCGGCCTCGCAGCGGTGCAAAAGGTCGAGTCACGCTCTTTCCTCGCCAACGTTCAGATACGGCAGAGGTTACGCGGCCTTTAGGAGCGTCTGAACTTATAAGTGATAGCTGTTGTGGGCTCTTTCACCATTGGAAATGACGTGTGTTGTTGATGTTGTGATTGTTAATGTTGTGGTTGTAGGTGTTGATGTTGATATCATAGTAGTTGTAGGGCGTCTTTCGTCGATGTTGCCAAATCCCCGAAAAAGATAGCCCGCTGCCCGCCGAGATCAAACCTGGGTCTGCCGCGTGCGAAGCGGAGGTGTTGCCACTGAGCTACGCCACAGCGTTAACGACCCGTTCTATAGTTTGAATTTCTGTTGTACCCAATGCCTCTAGTGCGCTCTCTGGAAAAAGAAAATAGTCGATAACAGAAATACCTGTCTATTACTGTCAATGCTAAGCACTCGTGCCGGTAGGCGCGCTTTCACTTCTCTCCGGAACAAAAAAAAGAACAAAATGGTCGGATGTCTTCTTTGTTCCGAACGCCTTTGTTCATGCACCCCGCAATGCGTGAACGCGACGTCCGATGACTTCATCGTGAGTTGTTGCAGCTATCGCTCTGACTGTACTGTAGGTTAACATAAGAAAGGTAAAATTTTGATTAGTGCACTGTTGCTGCCATCGGTACATTTCCCTAATATTACCGGGATGTTGCGTAGAATAAAGACCAAATGAGACGTATCATATTTTTCGGCTTATAAGCCGCGAATTTTGCTCTGAATTTTCGTCCTAGCTTCTTATACAACGGTGCGACTTCTACGCATTATTTTTTTTAGAGTACGGACCTTAACTGGGCATGAGATGTCGGCTGTACCGAGAGTTACGACGAAGAAGAAAGGGCAGAGCACCACCCATCGATGGCCCGCTTTTTCGGCACGGCGGCATAGGTCCGCAGCTGCTATTTCATTGCATCAGCGGTGCAGAGACTTGCGCAGAGATAAAACTTATGCACACCAATTTTACAGTAGAGCTGTTAAGGGCTAGTTTCCTCAGTTTCGTGTCCGTGGACAAATGAATGTTGACACAAAACTTTGGACAGCTACCTCCATCTATGAGCAATGGCGGCAACCAGACAACCGGCTTGCCAATTGTCTGGTTGCTGCCGTAGCTCCCAAGCTGGCAACCTCTCCAGCTCTTCCACTCTGGTTTTCACCAGAGTGGAAAGGCTGAATTTCTCTAGGCATTGTCTTAGAAGTTGTTCTTGAGGTTGTCCTTGAGGTTGTCCTTGAGGTTGTCCTTGAGGTCGTCCTAGACGTCGTCCTTGAAGTCGTCTTTGAGGTCGTCCTAGGCGTCGTCCTCTAAGCATCGTCCTCGAGGTTGTCCTAGAAGTCATCCTTGAGGTCGTCCTAGATGTTGTTTTCCCACCATAGTACAGCTTCGCTGGTCTTCCTTCTTTACCAGAGTGGAAGGGCTGAAAGATTTTTTTTGCGAAAACAGCCTTTTGTACAGAGGGACTCGGCTTACGCAGCAGCGTGATTTATAAACTGGAAAATGCGATACGTGCCCCACGAGCACGATTGTAAACGGGAGCCACTGTCGGGGTTGCACGGACGGCTCACGCGTTCCTCCAACTCCCGTGTGCCGAGAATGCCCCTGGGATGCAGCTCTTCGATCGGGGCAAGGAGGACGTGGGTACCTTCCTGTGCGGTCCCGACGGTCCAGTGTTGCTGGAGGCACCCGGGCAGTCTGCTGGGCTGCAGGAGCAGCTGTGCAAGCTACCTCCGGATCAGGGCCGTGCACTGGCCACCCTGGTGTTGTCCGGCCTCGACTGGGAGCTTGCAGCAAAGCAGGCGAGGAACTCTACGGCCTTACCCCGTACTATAGTGCGTGGAACACATCACCGACTGGTGTGTTTACCGCATCCTAAAGAGCGGTCCGGACCGCAACATCCGACGCCATTTGGTGCATCTTTGGGACCGCTTCGGATGCATGGGCAATATGGGGTGCTAAACACACCAGTCGGAGACGTTTGCTAGGGACCTTACCCACACGCCCCTTGTGACTTGGAGTTTGGCGCTCACCGTGAGCTGGCTTTTCCCAGATGGCGTCTGTGGCTGCGCAGAATGGCCACCCACTCAGACCGAGCGATTGGGCGGTGGCCCTGTCAGCAGCCCGTGCACTCACCGAGGAGGTAAGGGGGCCACGGGCGAGGCACTTCAAAAACGGGGGTGGGCGCGTCCAAAAGAGACTTTCGGTCGAGTACAGAGTTACCGACAGCTTACATACAAGGGGCATACAGACGGTCGGATGGATGGATGTTAATGGCGCTGTACGCTTTATAAGAAGTGGTAGCTTGCGCCACCTAGCCTAAAAACTTTGCTTAGGGGCAAGGACAGTCGAGAAAATATAGGAGCTCAAAAGAGATGGTTATGCGTCCGTTGATGCATAACTACGTGCCAGTGCTTTATTTCGCCAATGCTGAGACTGGAAGGGGTTCCTCAGCTATTAATGTAGAGAGACAGTCTTTTCTCAAAATGTAAAGGTTCGAGAAGTCCCGGTATCGCATATTTGTTAAGGACATAAACGTGGACTATTGCCACATTCTTCATACGCATTTAGTCACGTCATACTAAAGCCTTGCTCATTTTTTTGCCATTGCCATTTATTTTTGTCTTCTTACGCCGTTGGCTTCAATTTTGCAGATTGTGACGGAAACTTTCAGTTTGTCGCCGTTCAAAAGAAGACATTCTTGCTTACCTGGTCGAAGAAGCAGTCAAGAAAGGCCGTTTTCTGGTCAGCTATGAGCCGAAACAAAAAGGGGACAGTCTTCAAAATTGACATCAACTATGTTGTGAGACTGAAATCGAGCACTTTACTCAGCAATCCCCCCTAAAATACATACTACATAAATATAGAGAGAGACTATGGAAAAATGCCTAAATGTTTGCGAAGTATGCAGTGGTAATCTGCACTTCGGGAGGAAGAAAATAATGTTGTGGCGTTATACTTTCCCACCGTCCCTTCATTAACATATTGGGTAGAATTTACTGTAAATAAAATACAATAAATAAAGTGCATTTTAAGATGCAGTAGATAACAAAGTTTGTACAGGACAAATGGGACATGTGAACAGGAAAAGAATTGCCCCTTTTCCTTCAGTCCTTCTCCTTCAGTTTCTGCTCTGGGTTCCCGTCTGCGCTCTTTCGCGAGGTTATTCTGAATTCATCGTCACCAACAAGTTCCGCCGTCTGTTGCCGACATTATACTCGTTACCAGAGGCACGCAGATATTTGCGTGCCTCATTACCAAAAATCAGTTTATTTTCAGTTGATTTCGTGCTTTCTTGTCTTGTGCATTGTTTTGTTTATATCTTAAATTTTTTATTTTCTTAGCCCCCCCTTTACCAAAGGCTCTTAACGAGCCTTTAAGGTATTACAATGAATGAATAAGTGAAACCTCAAATAAGTCACAAATATCCTTTATCAAAATATCTCAAAAATTTTTTGAATGAAATCTCAGGTAAGTGACTCTCCATTCAGGGAGTATGGCACAAATAGCCCGTTCCAGTTTCCTTTTAGAGTTCTCTAAGTATTGTTTTGTTCGCAAGATTGGCAAGACAGAAAAATGTGTCTCCCAAGACAGAAAAATGTGTCTCCAGCAATCGGTAAGAGGTGCGGCTACTGGCATGGCTAACACGTTGGTAGCCATTCGGGTCGGAGACACGTGTCCGACGGCAGTTGATGGAGCCCGTTCCCCTCCCCAGGTGGGGCGCCTGGAGGGCCTGCGGCAGCTACTGGGCAGCCTGTCCGAGCGGGCGGCCCAGCTGGGGTCCCTGGTGGGGGGGCCCCCGCGGGAGGGCCGGGCCCTGGTGCGGCTGGTGCAGGGGGCCCTGTGCGGCCGGAACTCCTCGGTGCTGCTAGAGCCTGAGCGAAGCCCCGACCACCGGGTCCAGGAATTCTCGGAGAAGGTCACCCGCAACATGCAGCAGCGCAGGACCCAGGGGGCTAGCTACATCTACGACAACACCACCTGTGAGTGTCTTTCTCAACCAGGGGGCTACGCAGCGTCCACAAGATCCGACCACAAAGGAGACGCGCCTCCGCTAGAGTGTGCGAGAAGCAACCGATTAAGGCTGGAGTGAAGCGGCACCCTAGTGTCCCGTCCGTGCACGATCTACGGATGTAAACTTGCATCTCTCAGCGTTCTTAAGCATCGGTCCACATACAGTGTTTGAAAGGATGCAATGCTGTGCACAACAAAAATGCGACCTAGAAATATCTGATTTTGCTCGCTAAGAGTATGCTCAAAGCATGAGTTACAAGTCCGTTGCCCAGAGCCCGCACGTGCGTGTCCTTGCAGCTTGAGTGTGGCTGCAGCACTTGCTGCCGCTGCGGTCGCTCAGAGGTGTCCACACAGACGTGTGTACTCATGCAAAAACGCTAGTGCAAGTGACGGGTGTCCATGCATGGGCAGAGCCCCGCGCAGACGACAACTTTGGCGTCGGCATCCGACTCGTGTTCCCCGACTTTCTATCCGGCACAAGTTGGCATTCGACCTGCGAGACTTTACGGCATTTTCTTTTACGCTTTAGTCTCAAATGCCGGTTTTTCCGAGTGCATTGTAGTACCGATAAATCTGCGTGGAATTACCTCGGCTGTAAAGGGTTAGGACTCTGCACCTTCGGGACATATACTCGGTGGTGCGTCGTTTCTCAGTCGAACCTCAGTACCTAAAACGCATCTGCAACCGGTTTGCTTAGTCTCGTATACGTGCCACGCATCAGAATGACGTCAGAGTGGCGATGGAACTATTACGAAATCCTCCGCTTTATGTTGTGAGTCGTCGTAATCCCTTTCGTTAGTCACAAACGTCTTTGTCGCAGTGCTCCGATCCAAATCGAATAACGTCTCTCACAGAAACACTTTCCACACCTGCATTGCGCAAGACCTTGTGGGACCGAGTTTCCTTGAACATTCTCCCAACAAATTTTTGCTTACAGCACCTCGGTGCAACGAGGTGTTCCGCTCCCTGGAGGAAAACCAGCTGAGTCGCTTTGTGTGGAGGCAGCTCAAGCCCTTTGTGCGAGGGAAGATCCTCTTCGCCCCGGACAGTCCGGCCACCCGCACGCTTGTCCGCAAGGTGGGCGGACCCCCATGCTACGGTGCCTCGAACATATCTCCAACTGTTGTGCTTAGTGTCCACCCATGCGTCTAAAGGATCGCAGCCCGTAACAGTGTGATGCTTCATGTCGTCATCGGGCAGAAATCGAGAGAACACTTTTTCGGACGCGGTCGACACTCCAGTCGGAGACTCAGGCACCATAGCCCCGCTGCCACGGGGCCCACCTCGACCCGCGTTCTTCATATCCCGCAGGTCAACGCCACCTTTGAGGCAACGGACCGGGTGATGGTCATGGCCCGGCGCTGGTCCCAGGAGCTGGCCCCGAGGCTCAGCCGGTGGCTGGGAAATCGGTCGAGTACCCTGCACCAACTCGGGGTCAGTCGCCTCCCCGGTTTTTTCCCATCGAAACTCGCAAACGCGATTGCCAACTTCCTTCGTGCATGTCATGTTTTTGCATAAGGAATTGTGCCATGCAACCTATTGCTCGTCGTCCCTCAAGCAGTAACCGACGATTGGCACCAGTTTAAAGTTCAGCACATTGATACTTAGACTCATGTTGCTGTTAAAAAGCTATCTCCAAACTCCGGTCTAAAACAACTTTCAGCCTTTCCATTCTGGTGAAAAAGGAAAATCGGTGAAGCTGTACTATGGTGGGACGACCTCAAGGATGACTTCTTGGACAACCTCAGGGACGCCGCCTAGAGGACGATGTCTAGGACGACCTGGAAAATTACGCCTAGACGACGCCAAGGATGATCTCAGGGACGACGTCTAGGACGACCTCAAGGACGACTTTTAGGAAAACCTCAAGGACAACGTCTAGGACGACCTCGAGGACATTGTCTAGGATGACTTCTTGGACGACCTCAAGGACAACCTCAAGGACGATGCCTAGGACGACGTCAAGGACGACCTCAAGGACGACGTCTAGGACGACATCAAGGACGACGTTTAGGACGACCTCAAGGACGACTTTTATTATGACCTCAAGGACGACTTTTAAGACGATGCCTAGAGAAATTCAGACTTTCCATTCTGGTGAAAACCGGAGTGAAAGGCTGGACAGGTTGCCGCCATTTATGAGCGACGGCAGCAACCAGACAACCTGCAAGTCGGTTGTCTAATTGCTGCCGTCGCTTATAGATGGTGGTAGCTGTCTAGAGTTTTGTGTCGAGATTTTTTATCCACGGACATGAAACGGGGGAACTAGCCCTTAACAGCTCTGCTGGAAAGCATGCTTTTCGTGTAAGGCTTGTCAAATTTGAAGTGCTGGAGAAAACCAGCCTTCTGCATTAAGTCCTTATTTTGAACTCTTTTGGTTTGCATTCCACCCATTCAAAAGCATGTGGGAAGGGCCTCAGCACGCACCTCGTATTGCTGCGCTGCACTGTTCTTCCACAGCATAAAGGCCGTCTGCTTTCATCACTGTCACCATAGCAACGAACGCTGAATGAATGGAAGCACGCACGGTCTCGCCGTGTGAAGCCAGCAACAGCTGACACCATTTTTCGAACTCCGTCTGCTAGCCAAAGTTTAATAGTTTTCTAATGAGCAGCCGCAGACTATCGCCTCGGAGCAGCGTGAATGCAGGCGGGGGGGTGGTGGGTTAACACGCTCCTCAATGATATACATGCCGTCCGAAAATGTCATTCGGCGTTCGTTGCCATGGTGATGGCAATAAAAGCAGATGGCCTTTATGCAGTTGAAGAACACTGCAGCACAGCGATACGAGGTGCATGCTGAGGCGCTTCCCTCATGCTTTTCAATGGGCGGGACGTGAACAAAAAGAGTTTGAGATAAGCGCTAATGCAGAAGTCTGGTTTTCTCCAGCGCATCATAATTTACGAGCCTTGCACGAAAAGTGTGCTTTTTGGCCATCCCGCACCCTGTTTTTTTTTATCCGTAACATGGGTCTAAAGTATCAGACTGCCGAAAGTTCTTCTCTGGGCTGGTTTTTCGCAGCTTGCTCCCGCCACACAGCAGAGGTAGTGAGGTAATAGACAATTGTATTCGTTGGAATAAATACCCCAAGTAAGGTAGATGTTTGCAGCTGCAGTGCCCCGATACGAGTGCTCATCTTGGTAATCGTCGGCGTGCAGAGGCTGGCTTCCTCGGCAGGCCTGGGGGCCCTGCTGGTGGGGCAGGCAGAGCCCACCCAGGCAGCCTCGGCGCAAGAGGCCCTTTCCTGGCTGCTGGGTGACTGGGACTCCCACCTGCAACGCCTGGACGCGGCCGCACTGGCAGTCCAGCGAGCTCTCGAGGTAACTCTCCATTGCACGCTTGAACTCGAACCCGTTCCCGCTATGCTTGGTCCCGTCCTTGATGCAGGCAGTCGTAAAGGTTGTTTTTGGCTCGAGACCCTTGGCATAGATATTAGTTTTGCCCTGGCTCTAGGAGATTTAGCTCAAAGAATTTCATCGGGGCACCCAAATCATCGGAAGGAGCCCACTCTTTCCCAGAATCTGTGTGCTTCATCTGGTTCATCACTTAAGGTTCACAATCGCGGCACAAAGGTTGACGACAGAGTCGGGGACGAAGCTCGCTAACGGTTAACTTTGCTTCTTGCCGGGACTTGACCAATACGGTGCAATACACCTATAAAGATAATAAGAAAACCCAAATATTCTATCGTTATAGCAGATTATCGTCGTATCTGGACTAGACACTGAGCGTTTCTAGTCTATAAATTCTAGAAACTGATCGTTATAAGCAGTACATAGTTATATTTGGTATCTTTGTAAGTGGATTACACTGTACCATCTAGAACAGGGGTTCTCAAACTCTTTGGTCTCACGGAACCCCAGGAAGCCTCAAAGACTGCCGCGGAACCCTCCCCGACCTCCATATTTGCCGACCGAGAAGCAACAGATGCACAATTGTAGGCAATTTTGCTTGTGTTGCTTCCCATATATCCACACCATATCAATCACAATGTCAGTGCGAAGTGAGATGGAGGCGCTTTGCATGGTCTTGCTGCGCAGCCTGCGGCGTGGGAGGGGGGGGGGGGGGGGGGAAGAGGAGAGGAGAGGAGAGGAGAGGAGAGGAGAGGAGAGGAGAGGAGAGGAGAGGGAGAGAGAGGGAGGGAGGGAGGGTGAGGGGAGGGGGTTGCAATTTGGGTGTTCACGGAACCCATGAGACCAGCTCGTGGAACCCCTGTGTTCCCCGGAACCCAGTTTGAGAACCCCTGATCTAGAAGACGAGGCCTGCGCCTTTCTCCCTAAATGTCATCTCTAGTAGATCCATGCAGCATCACCTAGCTTCCGTGAGCATTGCCGCAAGTGCACCTTCCAGAGTCTCACAACGAGCGCGACGCCGAGACATACGCTTCTGCCGCTTTGCGTTGATCTTGGGAGTGTTTGCCGCTTGGGGGAGGTCAGGAATCCACCGATGATAATGTTGTGCGCAGACCTTGCCTTCTAGGTGGCATTGCCTGACCCCTCCCCTCCTATTGCTCCCCAGTGCGTAGAAGGGGACCGCTTGGAGGGCTTCCCCTCGGAGGAGTCCCTGTTGGCCAGGGGCCAGTCCCTGATGCGGGAGGACAAGCTGTGGGCTGCCCTGGTCTTCCCTGGTTTGGAGGGAGCCCAGAAACTACCCCCCTTCGTGCGCTACAAGATCCGCATGGACGCCCGCAAGGTGGACTCCACCAAAAGAACCAAGGACAGGCGAGTGCACGCGGGCATGTTCCACTTTGCTGCCTGCAGGAAGGTGTCTCGCGGCGCCGTTGGGACCCGGGAGAGTCGTTGGAGCCACGGCGGAGGGAAAGCTTCGGGGATAAAACTTTGACTAGAGCGTAGCTGCCTATTGAGTCTGCTTCATACGCTTTTGTCGGCTCTCCAGTAGTATCACTAGATAATGTCACTACGCTTTGATTTTCCTATTAGTATTTTTGTTTCGAAAGGGGTTCTGTGCAAAGGTTTGTGTCATAGTTTCACTCACTAATAAAGAAAGGTTGCCGAACTATAGTGACGACCTTTGGACCTCGGTTAAGGGGAGGCACGGCCTACAGGGGTCTACTTTTTTAATAGTTTGCCGATTGCAATGAAACTTTTACCATATGTTAGTTATGCAAACTTGGGAGGGCATGCAAAATTTCAACCAACAGGGAAGATTTTTTGCCAAGTTACGGTGCAATTTGTCATAAAAAAGAAGACTGATGCAGCACCAACGAAAAAAATCTATCATTAAAAAAAAAGAAAAATTCCAACTTTTTTTGCATATATGTAATGTTCAATAAGTGATGAACAAAGTAAGGTATGTAGCAATATTTAATATAGCAAGCCTCAGCATGAAAACAGGAAATTTAAAAATGGCTTCATTTTTCTCTCGTATGACTTTTTCTAAAATCAACTTTTTCTTGGTGAACAACTCAAAATTATTAAAAACAAAGTGCCTTACTAAATTCTTCAGTAAATTTCACTCCAGAAAAACAACACTTCAGGAGTCTCAGTCCACACTCTAAAAAATGATAGTTTTTTCAAAAATGGAAAAGTGTTCAAAATGACAAACTGAGAAAAATGTGTTTGAAAGTTCAAACAGTGTTCGGCTGAAAACAGTGCTTACTGTATCATTTAAAACGCTCCAGGACCATAGGTCAGTCCTTCCTCTTCACGGTCCTTCTGTGCCTTAGCCACGGCTTCCATCTTTCTCCGCTTGTGCGACGCTTTGGACGACTCTAGTTCCTTTTTTGGGGCCTTTCCGATCTTCTTTCGGGTGGCCTTCGCAGCATGCACGGTGTGATGGCTCCCTGGCTTGATTCCCATCTCGGAAAGGGCATGCTCAAAGCCTCGAGGTCCCAGGTTAAATTCGAGGACTGCCAGAACCACAGCTGACTCGACGGTTTTGAGGGAGGCAAATTCCACCTTGGGGCACCTCTTCCACACTAGAGAATTGAATGATTCATTTGCGTTCTGAGTTTTCATCCTCGAACAGCGCTCGAGCAAGTCCCTACGCGAAAGGCGATTGTAGACGGGCACCAGCTCCTTGGCTAACTCCCTGGAAAAGGCTGGCTTGTGGGGCCTGGACGCAGGTGGCTCTCCTGCAGCCTCAAGTGCCTTGCTCCTGTTGAAGTGGCACCAGGAGTGTCTTCCAGTGGGGCAAGCCGTGTGTCGTGGCTCGTCGTCTGTCGAGTAAGAGTGCAGGAGTGTGGCAAACACTCCCCACTGCATCGCTGGGACATCTGGGGCATTGTCCTTCAGGGCGCAGGCATAGTAATTTGTCAGCTGCTTCATCCTCACGTTCGTCAGCTTGCCCTTTCCACCAAGGCCTTTCTTTGCCTTCTTCAGAGCATCCAGGCCAGCATACATACGCTTTGTAACGTGGTTGATGCAATCCTCTTTCTTCACTTCCTTGTCGTATAGACCAAGGCTAGCAACCTTTGAAAACGCTTTGCTGTCACCGTCGCAGAGTACCGTGGTATACTGCATGTTGTGTCGCTCTACAGAACGCCCAAAAATGACTGAAGCAGCTTCCACTTCCATGGCATGAGCAGACCCCTGGAAATTCTTTTGACAGTCAGGACTGTGGCTTTCAAACCATTCTTCATATTCCTGAGACCCTGGCTTTGGGCCTTGAGCGCACACCTGGCAGTAGTTGCTCTGTACACTGTAGTCTATCACCAGGCCGCTGTTCAGTTCCACTGCCACGCCAACACCAAAGTGGGAGGTGCGGCCACGCTCATGCCAAGTCCCGTCGTACGAAATGCACACGTCGAAAAGTTTGTCGTCTCCGGACTTCTCTGCTTTACGTATGGACTGCGCCGCGCTCTGCATCACTTTGCTGGCGGCCTTCGTAGCTGCGTCATGCACTTTTGATGCTATCTTCTGCGAAGACTTCAGGCACATCGGTGGAGGTACGTTCATGCCAGAAAAGAGGTTGGACAACTTGGTGAAACCAATGCCGCAGTCGCGTGCGGCTAGTCCGATACGCGCGGAAAGTTAATTCTGGCGAGTGTCGCCGATGTTCGACGAGTGCGGTGCGCTCGCCACCTCTCCACACGACGGGCACTCGACGATAAACCCGAGGAGCGCACCTTGGCCACTTTCCTTTAGCTCCAGGCAAGACTTGGCACACTCTGGGCACAGCAGAGCTCCCACCAAAGCCTTGACACAAGAAACTTCGAGCAAGCGGTAGCCTTCGAGTTCGCCGCTGTCACGGCTCTCATCTAGGCCTAGCGGCTCTCCGGAGCACTCTTCCCGTCGTAGCATTTCCATCTTGCGCTCAATCGCGGTCAGCTCATCTTCCTTTGGGGTGTCAGGGGTTGGAAGCGGCGACAGAAGCCTCGATTGTCCCACACAGTCCAAGTCCAAGTCTTCAGGCGGCGATGGGCCAGGAGACGGTGACGGGCTTGAAGACGGCGATTGTTCCGACGACTCCGGGCGACTCGGGGACGGCGGTGCAGCGGTTTTGCGAGGTCGACCTCCTTCAATGCCTCTGGGCTTTCCACGCTTACGCTTCCGAGCACCAAACGTAAACGATTTCCTGCCATTCACCGCCGGCATCGTATCGATAAACTCGAAAACCGTAAAAAAAGCAAGAGCGCGCGCGCTACGCAGGTAGAAAACGAAACAAGCGTTCACGCGGGCGAGCGAGTCTCTTTTTAGTCACGTGGCGTGTCCGAGCGAATCAGAGCTCCGAATGCGTCGAGCTGCCCAATAGGAGCCCTTAGAGCGTTTCATAGCTCTTTCTGAATGATGTTTTCGCGGGGGTTCTCTCGCCTGAATGTCCGGCGTTGAACAAAAAGCCGGGGCGTAAACAAAAGAGAAAGAACTGCTCTTTCCAACGAGGGGTCCCACGCCACGCTAGGCCTAGCGAACGAGCGGCTAGCGCGCTTTGAAATCGGCAAACGCGCGGGTGTGCTCGCGTTTCTGGCGAGCGCGCGTGGCCGCCAACATATCGAAAATAATTTATTCCGGAGTAAATCCTTTACGCACGAGTATAAAAGTTTGTGAGAGCATTCTTTATTAGTTGTAGATGTTGATAAAACTGATTTTCAAAAACACATTTTTTTCGCAAAACTTGCGATTTTTAGGTTGTGCCTCCCCTTAAAGGGGTACTCCGTCGATTTCTTTATGGTCTCTGATTTGCCTCAAAATTGGCTCAACACAGCAATAGACATGGCTGTACCAGTTCCCCAAGTATTGTGTAAAAAGAAAAGCATTTCGCGAAATTATTGAATTTTCTAATTCCGCTTTCATTGTGTTTTTCAAACCATGAGTCCCTACTGGCAGCATTGAAGTGTGATGACAGAAATGGTACAAAGTCGGCAGTAAGCTGTTTTTCCAACTGATTACAAGACGTGTGATGGTGGGAAAAGAATGCTTGGAAGCTGATTCACTAAAAAGCCTGCAAAAAACACTTGACACACTGTGTTTAAGGGGGGACACTGGTTAGAGGTCCAACTTATGAACTGAAGTGATCAGAATGAATTTTGCAGTGGAGATTAAACTTCAGACGTAGGTGTACTGTTCAAACTTTCGGCTCTTTTAGACAAATTTACATACCTGCATAGGTTGATGTGTCCCTCTTCGTTAAGAAAGCTATGATATGCAAATGAAGCTACTAAGCATCATTTTGACTGCTCGAATATAATGTGGGGGATGTGGGACTTCGGGCTATCTAGTTTTAATAACTCAAATGTAAATATTTTAGGAAGAGTTGTTACCTCAAAATATGAGATGCATATCTGTCCTATGTCAATTTTTGAAAACTTGGTATTTTATCACTGACGACTTTATCTTAAAACAAAATAAAGTAGATAGCCCGATTCCCCAGTAAATTTCAGTTCAGAAACATTAAGACTGTGGTATCAGAATACTTTCACTTTCGAACAAAAGATTCCTTCGTATGAAATTTGCAGCAAAAAGTGGAACAGAGAAAATTGCATTCAAACATTGAACTTCTTTACTTTGTTACTGCCTCATTATGTTTAAAATATTTTATATGAAAGTAACTATTGGGCATATGGTTACCATATTTAGTGTAAGGGTGTATAATTAGTTTCTAAAACTGAAAACCTCAAAATTGAAAAAAGAATTTTTTCAAAAAAATTTGAAATTTAGTCTTATGCCCCCCCCTTAAGACTACCTGCGCGACCTGAAAGTCTGCACCATTTGTGACGTCGCACCACTGGAGAGCGTGCGGAAATTCGAATGTTGCTTTCGGCATCATCTTCATTTACGGTTTTCTGAATTACTATTTTGAATTTCGAGAAAATAAATAGCATACCATGAAGACTTAAGCCTAGGTAGCCAGAAAATGCAATTGTTTTGTGTAGCTAAAATGGTGGCCGGAGTACCCCTTTAAGCCACTTGAGCTAATGCAGAAAACCCCATACAGAAGAAACCTCCCGGACAATGACGCTGCCTTACGGGTGGTTCCTCTTTCGCGAGTCGACCGTTAAGACGGCGCAAGTCCGGCGCAAAGTGTGGCACTCGTCGTACATGCCACAGCAGTAGCCGCTTTCCCTGAAGGAAAACTCTGGTGTCCCGGGACGCAGGATCCAGAGCCCGGGCCCCCGCCGACGGCCGGCGATGGACCTCAAGTACCTGACCTTCGGCTTCGCCTACTTGCAAGACCTGGTGGAGCATGCCCTGGTGGCCCTGCACACTGGTCGCGAGGCCCCCGGGGTGTACCTGCAGCAGTTCCCGTACCCCTGCTACATCTTCGACCAGTGGGTACACATTCCCTCCCGCTCCCCCTCGGAGGGCTCAGATACCCATGGGTGCAGGTTCATTGCCACCATTTCGGAGTCCTTCCCCATGTTCATGGTGCTGTCCTGGGTGTACTGGTTCGCCATGCTGGTCAAGGGCCTGGTGCGGGAAAAGGAGCTGCGCCTCAAGGAGGCCATGCGGGCCACAGGGCTGGCCACGGGGCCCCTCTGGGCTGCCTGGCTGCTGGACGCCCTTGCCCTCATGCTCACTTCCTCCCTCCTGCTCGCCTGCATTCTCAAGGTGGGGGCACGCCAGAGCCATGGGCTCTCACGACGCCTGGCCGGCTCTCCCTTTCTTCACATTCGTCCAGCGCACGCTCACGCAGCCTCTGCGTATGCTCGACAAATGTGGTCTCGTGCCCGCCACGCACAAGTGCCTTTCAGAGCTGCGTTACGAGGCGGCTCTCACTTTGTAGGATAGCCATTTCGTGGAAAGCTAGATGTTCACTTTCAGGTGGCCGCCGAGAGCACAATTAAGCATGAACGTAGCAAGAAACTGGACAAAGCGAGCATTTGTCCACTTTCTCTCTCAATCTGTGTCAAGTCATACTAGTACGTACCAACCCGCCATTTGTTTTGTCAGGCTGCCCCTCTCACTTGGCAGCATGGGCACCTCATAACACTCGCCTGTCGCCCAGTTTGGCCAGGTGCTGGACCACTCGAACTTTGGGGTGGTGTTCTCCTTCCTGGCCTGCTACGGGGTGGCAGCGGCGTGCCAGGCATTCCTGGTGGCGGGCCTGTTCTCGAGGGCCAACGTGGCCGCCGCCGCGGGTGGCATCCTCTTCTTCACCTGCTACCTGCCCTACCCTCTGATCCGGCCCTGGAAGCAAGCCCTGGGCTTCAACCAAAGGCTCGCTCTGGTGGGCACCGCAGCCTTTTCTTAGGCGTGTAGGCCGACATGAGTTCCGCATGGAGATGGTGCTTTTTATTCCTGGGGGTAGCCTGTGTAGAACAGAACGTCCGGCAACATCTATACTCTGTTTCATACTTAGCGTGCAACGCCGTCCAAGCTACTGGCGCGAGCGCGTGGCTCTATCTATGGTTTTGTTTGCACGAGAACGCGTGCAAATGATCAACGAGATGGAGCTCCATGCTCGCGCCAGTAGCTTAGACAGCGTTGCACGCTAAGTATGAAACAGAGAGCTCGGTATTGCTAGATGTTCAACATCCACTTGTCTGGACATTGTTATGTGCCCATCTGGATGTTGCCTTGCATCCCTCTGGACATTTCTAGACATCCATCTGGATGTCGCCGTACGTCCAGCTGGACATTGCTGGATGTCTGTAGTTCTTTCATCTGGACGTTGCTGTACGTCCACGTAACAGTGCTGGTGGATTTCCGAATGTCAGTTAGACGTTGCTGGGCATTCAGCTGGATGTGCAGCGTTATCTGAACGTTACTGGACATTATATAATTTATCATGCTTTAAACAGAGCTTCTTTTTTAGTTGGTCAAGAATTTTCATAAAAGTGAACTTGCATTGGGTTGTTTTAGCTTCAGGTCCAAGTTATGTAGAGCGCAAGTTCGTCTGCTTCTTGCACAGGGGTTGCGATGATGTCAAAGCACTAAGCTTCATGTTTGAAAAAGAAAAAAAATAGTGGGCAGGCCTTTAGACATCTAACATTGAGATCTACTCACTATCCTATGAATCAAAGCCAATCGGAACTCGGCATTGTTTTGACGTCACCGCAACCCCTGCGCTAGAAGCGGACAACTTGCTTTCTGCACTGGCCCTGTTAGCTTCTGGAAAAGAGATAAAATGGGTTAATTAGTTAACTAAAAGGTTTTCACCAACTTTCTAAATTTTCAGTTTTAGGGCCATAATGTTTTTCTAGAATGGACGCTCGACCCGAATGCAATCTAGCCGTGCCGCGAAGTCTCGATAAAAAAAGATCTGTAGTGGATGCCACAGGGTGAGAAATGTCACCCTTCTACACGGCTTTCCACCGAAACTAAGCGAGTGAGGGGCGCCAGTGATGTCGATTCTTCCGCCTTCTGCCAGCTGTGCGAGTGAAATCGACTGCAGTAGCGCAACAGTCCTCCCGCCGAAAGTGGCGGCAAAAAAATAAAGTTTGCAACAAAAGGATGAGATAATGCTAGCAAATAAATTTTGTGACACGGCATTGGTTGCTGCAACACACTCCATACACTCTTTGCTTTTTGCTGAGGGCCAGCGATACGTTTATCTAAGGCAAGTCGAGAATGACTAGGGTTCCGAGTTTCTTTTTCTCCTTACGAATTTGGTGTTTTCTTGTGCCAATTTTCGGTGTTGGACAAAAGTTGGGTTGTTTATCAGGGCTTGTATGGAAGAAAATTGGACATGGGCATCCTGAACCTCCAGGCTACATGTGCTTACCCGAATACTCGGAAAATGGCCTGGTACCGATGAGCGAAGGATGCAAAATAAGGGCCAGGGTTCCGAACAAAGCAGCAGCCTCGCAGACAGTTCGGTAGAGGCTATGTTCTGGGTCAATGCAAAATAAATATTTGGATTCAAAATTTCTTTCCACAAAGCTATGGTTTTTTATATTCAAGGACACCTTGAGGTTTTTCTGTTTTCTTCGGTTTCAATCAAATTGGTTCAGGGGTTAATTTTTGGGGGCTTGTCAGTATTTCATGAAAACACGGGACCCTAATACCAATGGACTTGCGGGTTTAGTCGGTTGAAGAGACGCAAAAGTTGCAAGAAGTGCCTTTCATGCGGCGCCACTGCCAATTGCAGTGCCTGGTGCCCAACGTGGCCTTTGGCCTGGGCTGCAGCCAGCTTGCCCACCTGGAGGAGGAGGGCGTTGGAGTGCATTGGGGCAACCTGTCCCAGGGCAGCCTGCCCCCCAGCACCTTCAGCCTGGCCCACGTGATGGGCATGCTGCTGTGGGATGCCCTGCTCTGTTTCCTGCTCGCTTGGTACCTCGAGGGGGTATGCCCAGGTATGCAATAGCTGTGGGAGGAAGGGGAAATGACTCGCTCGAACAAGGAGATCGATCCGGCCAACTTTCCGGGGGTCGCCGCGGAGAGGTGCTACTGTAGTGCCTAATAGGGCATCTCTAACTGGTGCAAGGAAACTCGCCGCTAGTAGCAGTGCTGGGCGCGCGTTCTAGCTGTTAGTAGCGGCGAGCTGCCTCGCGTCACACGCACCGAGCGAGCAACGATAGCGGTATAGCATTCAGCGCTTTAAGAGGTGCAATGCCGAAGCTTGGGAAGCGCCGAGCGAAGGGCATATACACATCGAAGTAGGCCACGCACTCTTGCCCCTAGGCTGATTTCCAGGGAGAGCAGCCTGTACCGCGAGCCACGCGCCCCTTTGTTGGTACTTTATTTTTTCCCGATAGTACAAATATAGATCACCCTTTTCACATACTGATTCTACACCCTCCTCCTCTTCCGTGTCCTCCCTCCTTCGTACCCTCCTCCTCCTCCTCCTCCCTTCCTCCTCTGCACCCTCCCCTTGTCCTCCGTATTCTCCCCTCCTCCTCTTACGTACCCTCCTCCTCCGTACCCTCCCCCCTCCTTCTCCCACAGTTTCCCCGCTAAATCTAGCTGGAAAGTCGACGCCACGTGACCTCAACACCAATTCAGTTTTTTTCCCGCTAAATTTAGTGGGGAAACTGTGACGTCCCATAATGCAATGCGCATGATTATGCCTGCAGCGACGGCGACGCTGCTCAACGTGAAAACAGGTGCCTAAGAGCTGCACTCTAAAACAAGTCTCATGCTGTTGGGTGTCCTAATCCTGTTGGTTGAGTGTAGACGTTCGGCCAAGAAGTAAGAATGAATGCGAGTGTCGCTGTCGTCGTAGCATCTCGACTCCTGGCTGCCAAAGCTTCTGTGGTCTGCCAAGCTAAAGAGTGGCCTGCAGCAAAATAGGTGTCTGCCAGATCAACCATTGCACTATGACACCGCCAGGATCAGGGGCGGCGACAGCATGTCACTTGTGTAATGTCATCGGGCAGAAATCGAGGGACCACCATTTTGGACATGGTAAACACTCCAGTCGGAGACGCGTTGCAGGCACCATAGCGCTACTCCGGTGTCCACGGAGTGCAGTCAAGTGCTGGCTGTCACTAGCTAATCATCTTGGGAAACATAAACTCAAGTTCAGCTGACAGTGAAAACCTCAGCACTCACCTTTTAATAGAAAAAACAATTAATTTCAGGAGTAAGTGTAGATGACATTACAACAGATTGCAGGAGTAATTGTCAGCGAATATTCGGAAGTAAGAACTCTATCCAAAAGACTTGTATGCACCCTAGAACTACAAAGCCTATCTTTCGGAAAGTTTCTAATTGCTTGGCGGGGTCACGTGGTTTGTGGGCCACATTTGCAATACGAACTGCGAGGACAGGACGAAAGCGTTGATCGTCTGCAAACATCTCTGCCTTTACGCCCACTTTTTTTCCCGCCACCCGACAACGTATCACATGCGTGCTTGTAATCAATTGGCCCAGGAGGAGTCTGCCATTAAAATTGCTGACGCTCCCCGCAGTTGAAGCTACTCCCTCGATTAGGTCTGGTCTCTTTACCTAGAACCGACGTGGAGCTTCTGAAGCCCAACGGTAACTCGTACGGTGGTTTTGTCTGGCTCTTTGGAGGGTCTCGAGTTGGTGACCCCTTTGGTGAGAAGTGCCTTTCTTGCGCAGGCCAGTACGGAGTGCCCAGGCCCTGGTACTTCCCGCTCAGCAGATCTTACTGGTGCGGTGCGTCTCCGCGCCGCGGGAGCTACTCCTCCGCACGGGGCACCGGGTCCACGCAGCACGGTTGGTGCCCCACCACTTGGCACGCTGCCCCCAGTAAAGCCGCGGCCGCTTGTGCGTTCCCGACACGGCAAAAATACAGCGCCTGGAACGCGCCTTTGGCCGGTGCATTTAGCTTACCACACCGGCTGCGCATCGAAGGGGGTTCCTAAGTGGTAAAAAGTTACGCCGCGGCGGCTGGCATTGTGCACTAGTGCACATCGCAATCCCGACGGTTGGTCATGAAAGTTCTGGCAAAAAAAGACTATCAAACGGGAGCTTTGTTGCGGCGTCCCGAGTGACTGCCGAAATTTCCGCGGACTGAAAGTCAAAGAGCGACCTGTGGCAGCACAGGCGTCTAGCATATCCGGCTCCGTCGTCGTGCCACCGCCTGGTTCGCGACGAGTAACTACGTGACACGAGCGCAACGTCGTCGGGACAAAATGAAAGGACTGCAAACGAAGATGGTAGTACACGCACCGGTCGGAGACGCGTTCCAGGAATCTTAGCTGAAGCCACTGAGAGCGCCGGTCCTCCGTGCGAAAGGTCGTCCGGCTCAGCTCCCCCGCCTCGCCCCAGGGGCCCTCTCGGGGGGCCGCCCCGAGGACTTTGAGGAGGAGCCCCGGGACCTCCCTCTGGGCGTGTCCCTGCACGAGCTCACCAAGCGCTACCCGGGGGCCCGGAAGCCTGCCGTGGACGGGCTCAGCCTCAACTTCTACCAGGGCCAAATCACCTCCTTTCTGGGACACAACGGGGCGGGGAAGACCACCACCATGTGAGTGAGGGAACCCTCACCGATGGGGGCCTCCCAGATCCGCGCACACTCTTTTGGTCACATTTTAAAATGGCCGAGCGAGCACTTTAGCTTCTTGAAGCTCACGCATTCACAACTGGCCACGACTGTGTGCCTTCAAACCTCTTACGACTGGAGAACACACTAGTGCCGTTACTGGGTAGCCTTGGACCGCTTGGAATTTCCATAGATTTCCTATTTTTTTGTGTCCATCATTTTCTCTTGGCTCGAAAAACTTTTGGCATTGTTACAAACAGCAATTTATCGTAGATAGCCACAAACAGATTTCGCAAATACTGCAAAACCTTCGCTCTACTAAAATTATGTTTCAGGGATACCTTATAGATGGCTGCAGCATGCCGGTGTGCTCTGCCATCGTAAGAGATTACAAGAACTCGGTCCCAAGTAAACAGAAGTGTATGAACGTGCTTTTACCGGCAGGTAAAAAAGCACCTATGCGGCTTCAGCTCACCAGTCTGCTTTTCGTTCGGTGCAGACACCTTCCGAAAAACGATATAATGGCAATACATACTTTAACATTGAAGTCTAGCCAGTCGAACCCTAACGAAGTACAATTTGCACATTGAACATGCAAATTGCTGATTCGTTATTCGACAAATTGCAAAAAAAAGTATGATCCGTGAAACATAAGTACGGATAACGCTTTATGCGGGCTAATGGAGGAAACATCAAGTTTTCTACAAACAGTCGTTCAAATCGCAAGGTAAAAACTGATCACCTGCAAGAGGATAACAGCGTGTTAAGAAGCACTCTTCAACATACGTCTTAACCTTGTCTTTTCATTTCATCCCTCTCTTTTTCTCCATTTGTGCTTCTCTATGCTCTGTTTTTTGCTCTTAGTGCATTGGGAATTTTCTTTTCCCTTTTCGAAAACTAGGCAGTTGCTCGCTTATTTTCAAGAGGCGCGCATAGTAAGGGACTTCGATGCCTTTGAACAGTCGTTTGTTATGGCAGTACCTTTTATGCACATCTTTGTTAGAACGTTTTGGACGTTCGATTTAGATTATCATATTTGCCGTACCCGTGTTCGTTATGGATGATCTCGACCGTATGCTGTCACACACAGAAGCCACCAAAGTGAGGACCAACCCTATTTAGTAATTGCATGCACATTTTCTTTGGAACTCCACTGCACCTGGATGCGTGCCAAAATAGAAACGTCTCTGGTGGCCAGGTCGATCCTGACAGGGCTGTACCCCCCGACGAGCGGCACGGCTTTCATCTGCGGCCGGGACGTGCGCAGCGAGATGGACGCAATCCGTCGGAGCCTGGGCACCTGCCCACAGCACAACGTCCTCTTCGACGAGTGGGTGCCCCCTCTTTGGGGCGTGGGACGGCCCCTGAGTGCCCTTCTTGCTGCAGCCTGACGGTGGCCGAGCACCTGTGGTTCTTTGGCCGGCTCAAGGGCCTCGGGAAGAAGGAAGCGGCCCGGGAGGCAGATGCTTTCCTGCGGGACCTGTCCCTCGAGCACAGGAGGCACCAGTTCCCGGGACAGCTCTCCGGTGGGTCACTTGCAGGACATTGGCTGCGTTGGCCCTTGGGTTCTTTTCCTGACCAGAGCCACCGTATGTACAGAGCTGTCGGAACTATTCTGAAGAGGGGGGAAGGGGAAACGGGGGGGGGTTTAGGGTCGAGCGTGATTTTCTATCCTCTCCCCCGTATTCCTTACATTAAATTGTGGCCCCTTTAGACTTTGGTTCTAATGCCACTGTGTACGTGGCAGCTTTAGCAGCCAGCGTAGCGCTATGCTTTTCCTAGTGCCGCCTCTCGCCGCGATTGGACGCGCGGTATTGTAGCAATGGGTCGAGCTAGCTCTGTTTCCATAGCAACCGACAGAGCCGAACGAGGCCGACATTTGCCGAAGTTGCTGTCGATTATTTCGGAGCGCTGCCCACATACCTGTCGTCTGCTTTTATTTCTCAAGTAGCATTGTCCGTTATCAGTGCGCGTTTCTGCGTGCAGTGAGCATACGGTAAGTGGGGCACTTTAAACTTTAGATATGCCCGTGCCGGTATGCCAACCACTCTTTTATGTGGCTTGTAGTCGCTTTTACAGACTTTTATTGCATTTTAATGAACAGGTAGAGAGGTAAAATAAACCAATAATGAAGTCGCCAGGCACCGCTAGCAGCTCGGTTGCCGTGGTAACCTCCAGGTCCAAAATGGAGATAACTACGGTGCTTCTGACGTTGTGCATCTAGGTCTTTTCGCTTTGTGTCGCTACTCTGGTGGCTAAAGCTGCCATATACAGTGGTTGTGCTCTCGGCGTAGCTCCTGTTTGAAACGCCTCGCTAGAGCCTGGGTGCATTTGCATTACCCACGCCGTTCCACGTGCTAGGCTTTCGACGCCTCTATACGGCGAGCGAGTTCATCCGCTTTTTGCATGGAGGGTCCAACGGCTATCCCAATGCAGCGGCGTCTGCTAGTATTCGCAATACCTGCCTTTGCTATAGCCCTTTGAAATATTCCGGTTCTTTGGGAAGGAGGACTCTGCCTTTGAGATGGGGAGGTGAACAGTTGGAAGCGCATGCCGTTTTTGTCGACTCTCAACTACCGAACGTGCTACGGCACAAAAAGAATCGATGGCCGTCCTTTGCTATAGTCAACGACAACATGAAAATGGCAGAGAGGTGCTTCAGTTGTCCCGCCCCTAGAGCTTCCTACGTTCGACGACGCTTCGGTGTTTTTTTGTGCTTGGAGTGCTCAAGCACAGTCGAAGCGTGATGGAAGGCCAGACGCGCAGGCTGGAGGCGTTCGAAAGAGACTCCCTGCCTTTCTCTCTTTGTCAGTGACTGCACCTACTAAAGGAAATGCTACTCTCTGGGGTGGAGCTTTGTCGAATATACAACCGCTTCATCTCGCCTTCGCGGGCACCGTCTCCCACATGTGGAGAGGATGGCTTTGGTCAGCTCGGACGGGTTGTGACTGTGGACGGGCCTTCCGTTCATCTGTGTTTGACACGCGTCTATGATGCCGGCCGCTCGTGCAGGGGGCCTGCGCCGCAAGCTATCGGTGTCCCTGGCTTTTGTCGGGGGCAGCCGCACGGTGCTGTTGGACGAGCCCACTGCCGGTGTGGACCCCCACGCCCGCCGCTCCATCTGGGACCTCCTGCTCAGGCTCAGAGATGGTGAGTCGGTCGCGCGTGGCTCCAGGGGCCGTGCTATTGCATATCAAGGCCTGGGCCGTTCGGCTGGTCGCTCGGTGTTGAGGTCTGTACGAATATGGGTCAGCCCACGGACCGAGCTCGAGCTTCACGGTTTCATTTGTAAAGGGCCTGGGCCGGGCACATACCTTGCTTTCAAATCTATAAAGCAGGCCAAGCCAGCTATTAAATTTTTTTTCTCGCAGTAATGTTTCTGTAAGTTTGTTTTTTTTTGGGGGGGGGGGGGGGGGGGGGGTTGAGAACAAGACCACAATGGGGGAGACCCAAATGCTGAAAGTATGTGTTCGTGTTTGTATGGTTCTGTATGTGTTCAATGAATGCTCTTCCGTAACACCAGCGGCATGACATTCATTTTCAGCGCCGGCGGCGCCAGCTTCGTACAGTCGCTTCTCTCGATCAATACACGCCTACACAATTTGTACCCTCGCAGGCGTAAACCACCTGTATGTACGAGTGCGAAGAGGTTCTTTTTCTAAACGATTTCTAGCAGACCATTGGAAGAAACGGCTGTATTTTTCATATATCTTTTTTTCACAGTTTTACAGTTGAACCCGGATATATTGAATTCAAATTGAATCGTAAAATAGCTTGATATATCAACAATTTTATATACAAAAAATGTTAAATTCAAGTCGAGTTGAAATTTCCTGCCGTCTCTGCTAATACCGAAGGTCGCGACAAACGGGAGCTTACCAAAAAGAGCATCAAGAGTTGCTAAATACAGTAGAGCATAGTTTCCAGAGACTGGAAACACTGCCGCGCTTACATGCGCGCCAAGCCGGGACCTCCACACAGCATAGTGACAAAACACAAAAATAATTTTTAAAAAATGAAATGAAAAATGGAAAAGTGAGACGCATAAAAATGAATCATAAAAAAAATTAGGCAAGCAACGAAACAAAAGGCTCACTAAATTCAGGCAGCAAAAAAAAAGAAGAAGAAGAAACGGGCAAAGCAATTACGGCAAAAGAAAAAGGTAAAGAAAGATAAGGCGTTGGAAGTGCTACTGCACAGCTGTTGTTGTCGACACACTCGACTTGTGGAAGACTTTTTTTTTTTTGCTCATTTTATTTTGGGGTTAGGGAGTCGCGCAGCATCAGCAGTGTTCGGCGCAAGGGCGCAAGCTACTGTACCGACTGCTCTCTCTACGGGCGCGCGTGTGCCCTTCCCCTTCGTCTTGCTTTTGCTATTCTCCACCTTTTTTTTTTTTTACAACTGTTCTTTTGCTGCGTATCTCACCGCGTGTATGCTGGTTTGGTGGTCTGCCAGCCCCGCAGCGCAAGTGATGTGCTCATCACCGGCGCATTCGGATTGCGGGAAACACTCCTGTAATACTACATGTGATTTTAAAGGAGATATTTGGACTGTTTGATATAAACAATAATTTGAAATACTCGAGTGTAATATAACTGGGCTTGACTGTAACGCTCTGAAGTTTAGCGCGTAAAGGGGTCTTGTCACCAATGCGATGCCTGGAGCACATCTCCGACTGGTGCGTTTACCAAGTCGTAAAAAGTGGTTCCTCGATTTCCGCCCGTTGACGTTATAGAAGTGTCATGCTGTCGCTGGCCCCAATCCTGGCGGCGTTACGGCGACAGTGGCAGATGTGGCAGACGACCGTTCTGCCGCCGGTCGCCCCACAGCTCGACAGTCCTCGGAAGCTCCGCCAGCCAGAAGTTGGAACGCCGTGACGATAGCGACACTCAGGCTCGCTCATTTCTTTTTGCTGGAACTTGTACGACCAACCGCCAGGATGGTGACATTCGACAGCACGACACTCCGGCTTTTGTGAGGTCATCTGTCTTATGAACCACTCAACGCCTGGGTGGATTACGACGACACACCAGTCTGAGAAGTGTTTCAAGCAACTCTGGGGGGTCAGTCTGCCCGGGTGTCTCAGAGCGTGCGGGATCTCGCAGGGCGCACGGTGATCATGAGCACGCACCACATGGACGAGGCGGACCTCTTGGGGGACCGCATCGCGGTGATCGCCGAGGGGCGGCTGCGCTGCTGCGGCTCCTCCATGTTCCTCAAGACGCGCTTCGGCAGCGGCTACTACCTCACCCTGGTCAGGGGCAAGGTGAGGCTTCGGCCCTCTGCCTGCCGGAGGGCTGACTCCCCTCCCCGGCGCAGGGTCTGGTCCCCCACGTGGACGGCATGCTGGGTGGCCCTTTCGACACTGGTGAGTACGGACCTGCAAGGACCACCTTGGTTACGCCACAAACTAATCTTGTTCATGGGTGGGATTGTTTTAGATGTGCCCGCTTTCACGGTGGTAACCAGCATGTTTGGTAAAGACACTGTAGCTGGTGACAAGTTGGAGTTCAGGCCGGAGAGGAAATTAAATGCTGGAGAGGAGATCACATCCTCTCCAGCACTTGCTCTGCTAAAGTTGAAAGAGGTGGGAGGACCTTCCCCTGAACTCTTAGCCCGTCACTAACAGTAGATTCACAATGTGGAAGAATTCAACTGACAAGAAATCGGACCAGTAGCTTTGTTACTGTGGAAAAGAGATGGCTACAAGTTTCACCACCTTTGGAGGTCTGCTTTCAGCGGTTCGCTTCCGCCTCTGGAATGTGCGTCACTTTGAGCCTCTAGCTTCCGCATCCATAACTTTTTGCCTTTGTGGCATGGAAGACACATTCGCGACCCATAAATTTGGCAAGTTTCGGGGAGCTCAAAACATTGTGCTCGAGGAAAGAACCCTCTCACACACTGGAAGTGCCTAAATGCGGGGATATATGACATTGAAACATAATGAGCTCATGTCCACGAAGGCTTCGGCAATATCTGTGACCAGGACGTAAAAACCGTATTTGCAACCCCTAGCTAAACCCGCCAGTTTCGATAAAATGGTGCCACTTGCTGAATTAATTTTCTGTCCTGTCATTTTCAAACAATAGGGCAGTGGTTCCCCAATAATGATCCGCAGACCCTTTAGGGTCCCTGAAGGCCTCCTTAGGGTCCCCAATGCCCTCAATTGTCAGTCAGGTCGAGCAATAAAACTATTTTTTTCATTGATGCTAGCTGTCTTACGAAGCAAGCTAAATGGTCCAAACCATGTGCGCCGAGTGAGCAGGGTTGATCATTCACCATTTCCGAGCTTCAAGGTTGCTTCAAACAATACTCATTGTAAGCTTCCAATGGTGCCTCATCACTTGACCAATTCAGAAGGGGTCCCCTGAAACATCAGCGGTTGAGAACCACTTTATTGGGGACTCAATATTGAGCAGTTGGCTGTACCCAGACCGTGGATATCTGGGGGTATACAGCGAGAAAAAGGCATGGGATAGACAGACATCTGCTCGTGTTCTTCGGGAAAGAAATGGAGCACCCGCGGCACCCGCGGGCAACCTCCGCACCGCGACTCTTGGCGCGATGGGGGCAGTAAAAATTGCACCCTCCGTCCCCTCAGCAACTGCCCTGAGCAGCCTGATGCGACAGCACCTGGGGCCGGGGGTGGAGCCTGCCACGCACCAAGGGGCGGACCTGTGCTACCGGCTGCCCCCCGGCGCCCCCCTGGCTGCACTCTGCGAGCAGCTGGACGCACAGCTGCCCCGGCTGGGGCTCACTGGCTACGGCATCTCGGACACCAGCCTCGAGGAGGTACGCCGCTTGGCCCTGGCAGGTCCCTCGGACTGTCTAACCACTCTTTAAAAGGGTACTCTGGCATTTTCTTCGTGGTCCCCAATTTGCCTGCAATTCGACCATACACACACCAACAAACATAGCTGAACTAGTAATCGAAATATTAGGCCAAGATAATGTTTTGTGCGAAGTTGTTGAATTTACAATTTTGATCGTCACCTTTTTTTTTCAAATAGTGCAGGCATCAATGAAATGGTGACGTCAGTGGCAGGCGGTAGTTGGCTCTTTGGGGTGTAGAATTAGTTCCCAACTGATCACAAGCAGTTTCGTTGGGTCAAATGAATGCGTTGGAAGCTCACTCCTGCACCCGTGCAGCAGCACAAAACAAATGCTCGGCATGCTCCATCTTTAGACTGCCTGTCGACCTGCAAGCATGCTTGCCAGTGACGTCACGGCACTGAAAAGTACAGGCATATTTGAATGTTGGTTTTGGCATCACCTTCATTTGTCAGTTTCACTATAACTATTCCGAATTTCGCGATACTAAATAGCATTCTGGAGATGGTAAAGGCTAGGGATTCAGAAAATATAGTTAGTTGGGTATCTCAAGAAATAGGCGGCGTTCCCTTTATTGACCCTTTAAGGCCCGGCCCCTTTGCAAAATGAGAGATGCCGTGTTGGCCATATTGTACGCGGTAATGTCAGTGCGAGGAAAGCGTACGAGCACGCTAATGCATTGGCTCCCGACAAAACGAGGCAAAAGCGCTGGATTGCTCCGACGAATGCTCGGCGTACGAGATCGGCATATTTCTGAGCTTTCGGAATACAGAGAAAGTATGCAGTTACGGACAACTTTTATACATATTTAGTGGGCTTCCTAGTAATTCGATCGAAAATATAACTGCTAAGCACACTTGAACCTCTGGATGACCTGGAAATGTAATGTTCGAAAGGGAAAATTGCACAAAACTTGCCCTCTAATAATTTGACTCCTTTGACTACCACATAATCTGACTATGGCTCGATTTTGGGCCTCGATTCGAAGCTACGTCCGAGGTTTTTACTACAAATAATTATGAAGCCTTTTTTTTTTTTTTTGGCATCCCAAGCGTTTTGGAAATGTTTGTTGGAGGTAGGAGTAGATCGGCTACCTCGCGTCTGCTTACTCGCGAGCCAAATACGATATGGCTCGCCAGAGCAGGGCGCTTTGAGAGTCTGGAAACTGCCAGAGTGTCCCGCAACCCAAAGGGTATTCTCGCAGGTGTTCCTCAGGGTCACCCAAGGCACCGGCGCTGGGGACAACCCGAAAGGTGAGCTCACGTAAGTGAGGGCAGCGAGCAAAGTCCTCACCGCACAGCGTCTTTCCCAGTTGATGGGGCGGCCCCGGGTGACCGTGGGGAGTCCCTGGAGCCGCCTCGGAGCAAGCTGAAGGAGGCCCTGGGCAGCCTGATCGCCTGGTGCGCCTCCCTGGGGAAGCCGAGAAAGGGCACTGACCAAGAGGAAGCAGGTGGGTAGCGCTCTTCGCTTGCTCTCTCGATCCCGCTCGGTGCCTTGTTAGGTGGAGGCTCGGTGCTAGTCTTGGGGCTCATGGCTTTTGCCAGCTCCTGCAGTAGTGTCCTGGGGAAGGAGTTGCATTGCACAGCCCGTCGACATCCCGCAAGCTTGTCGTGCTGCCCATCAAAGAAGGAACGGCGGTCCCGCATGCACCAGGAATCGCGACGTGAGGGGGAGGCACGAGAGATGCGGATCACCCGATAAATGTTACGACGATTGAAGTGCAGCTTGGACCTGTCACCCCCACATCTGTCGTCCCGTTAAAGGCTTTGATGTATGACACATAGGTGAAAATTTCCAGCTGCGGTCTGACTTGTCCCAATTGAACTGGTTTATTGACCAGATTCCCAGTGACAACTGGTCTCAATGGCAACTGGTCCCAGTGGCAACTGGTCCCAATGGCAACTGGTCCCAGTGGCAACTAGTCCCAGTGGCTGCTGGTCCCAGTTGCAGTTGGGAATCGGGGCAATAAACCGGTTGAACTGGGACAATTTGATCCAGGTTTTAGTGGGGACCAGTTGCAGCTGATACCATCTGTAGACAAAAGAACATGCATCATGAAAAGGAAGGTTTTTCAGTCTTTATTACAAAAAGTAGTCATGTGCGAATATACGTGTAGTAGGTCTTGAGTTTGAAGCGAATTTCAATCGAATAGTGGATTTGGTCGAATATTTGCTAACCGAGTATCAAATAGTTAATTTCTCCAAGACTTTCACTATTGTTGCACCATGCTTAAATGAAAACCCAGCTAAACTTGAGGAGGTTCTCCCCAATCTTCCACTTGTCCGTTTACAAGCTAATTTTAATCTAACTTATGGGCCTCATTAAATCGCGAGGCGCCACAAGTTAGAAGCCAGTCTCCGTGGCTTCGTGCCCGCGGGGCGATTCGGGAGAGCGAAGTCGCCTCTTGACCTCCGTTTGCCCTTTTGACCAATAGAGAGCACTTCGGTACCCTCTGGCAGTCAATGGCTGTGAGAAACCTTCTCGCCGATCAGTTATAAAAGGCGGTGCGCCAGGTGTGCCCGGTTCTATTTCCCCTGGATGTCAGCGTAGGACTTGGGCAAGTGCAATAGGTCGTGCAGGTACGATGTTTTGATGGCTGACACCACGGGTACAGCAAGTGCCGGCCCGTGGATCAGGCCTAGCTCTTTGTGAACCATGCGGGACAATTGTATCGCTGCTGTAGTTAGCCTATGCATTATCGATAGACATCTGGCCTCGCTTTTATTGAATGTTTTACAAATGAAAGCGGAACTCCGCTCCTTGGTTGTTCTATGCATGTATGTCTTTGATTTATGTTTTGAGCACATAGTCAACGGTCAGGCCCTGTCCAGTCTGCTTGATCGCAAACCTTGTGTAAGGTTTGCAATTTGTGTATGTAAATAGGATTTCTCACAAAGTATATTTATAGGCTGTGCTTTCAAAAAGTTAGATGCCTTTGGGATGGTAAGTAAACGACGAATTTGACATAAAATTAAACCTATATAGAGACGTCCAGCTACACCTAATCGAGTGGATTTACAGATCTTGCTGTAAGCAAATGTCCTTTCTTCAATTTCAAGAAAAAAGAATCACGAATGATGAATGCAGGTTATCAGGGCATCTCTGCCTAACATATACATTCTTGCATAACGGCCGCAGTTTGATTTTGAAAATTAGACTGCAATGTAAATATCAACATTCACAAAGTTTTCTTTTTTTGTTGGTGTTTTTAATACACCTGGCACACACGTGCACCATCCCATTCTGAAAGTGTGCTTTTCTCCCAAGCACGCAATTGCGATATTCATACTTCTCCAAGTGTTGATCGTGGCGGGCTATTCCGCCGAGTGCCTTCATATTGAGCACCGGTGCACTGCGGAGAAGCAACACCCAAGGAGCTCACTTTCATGGGTGTTGCTTTTCAACAGTGCACCCATGCTCGGTAAGAAGTGCACTCAACCAGGCTAACCCGCTGCTATCAACACTTAGAAAAATACAAATATTGCAGTGCATCTTGAAGCGAATATGAAATAGTTGTTATTCGAAACTACTATTCGAAATTTTGAATTTTGCACAACGCTAAAAAAGGTATACCGTAAAGTTACGAAAGAACGCCGACCCCAAATGAAGAGATAAATGGTGAAGAACATGGGGTGGGCTATTTTTGGGGATGCCACAGCAAAACTTTATTAAAAATTAATGATAAGCACTTTGGCACCATGTACAAACCACGTGATGCGGGAACTAATATCGCGCACACGCGGGACCAACTCGCTTGGAATCGAGGTTGCGGCCAAAAACGCGGGAATCCGCTAGAGACTTTATGTCACGGGAATGGATACCGCAGATTCCGGACACAGCAGATTCACATTTGACGGTGCAACATACACGCGGTAAACAACTTGCGTGTTACGGGAGCCGATATCGCGTGCCCAGATTGCGGACAAAAACGCGGGAAGCCGCTATGAACTCGCTTGTCAGACGTGCCGGTACTGCAAATCAAATTGCACAGTTGATGCGATTCACGTTGGACGTCACGTGATGTCCGACGGGAATACGGTGGGGGGCAATGTTTTGGAATTTTAATGTTGCAGATATTTAGCCAGAAAAACGGGATGGGCGATCTCTCGGGGGGATTCTCTCGGAACTTTACGGTAGAAGAAAGCATAGTGGGTAGGCTCGTGCTTGGATGTTTGTTTTTCCGTCTCATTCTCCGAAGGCAGTAGCGTGGCCCGTCGGGCTTTTTTCGTTTCTTGGCTAGTCTTGTCTGGTTGTTTGTTTGCTCTGGTGATGCTTAGTGTCTCGTGGCGTCGCTTCCTGTTGCATGGTGTGACCCGGACCGCCCGCACAGCCTGCAGGCAGCACCTGGACCCCAGTCGTGAGTGCACCCACGCCCACTCGCATGCACTGTGCAGGGTCCCTTTGCGAAACGGGGGCCTCAGTGAAGCCACTTGTGGCTACGCCGTCCTTGCGATCTTTCTTTGCCCTATGATCGTGGCCTCACTTGTCGCGAATTTCACCGTGAGCTACCAATTAAGCGAGAAGCTTCCGATTTATTACCATCTGCAGGCCGGCTTAACTGGCTGTCATGCATTGAAAAGTTGCGCGCTAGTGCACGGGGCACGAGAGCATCTGCAAATGCTCTTTCACGTGCTCATGCGGGACCATGGACTTCTTCTTCGAGCCTCCTCGAGGGAACCAGACATTTATCGTGCCTTGTACATAGTTAAGCCTAATGGTGCATCACTCTAAGTTTACAGAGTGTTATGTCTATCATTACTTAACACTGGCTCAAACAGCTAATGGAAGGAACAGGTTTTGTGTCGTAAGAGAATATGCAGAAGCAGATCTTCCGCTCATGCGCAAAGTATCCAAAAACTCTGAGAGTAAACAAGCTTGCCTGCTCAAAACTTCTTCCTATTCCGCTTCTGCCCGCTCGTTTGCATTCGGTTTCTTTGCCTACCATGGTGGATGACCGGCCGGCGTTCCGGAGTTGGCTCAAGCGGTGGGTCTTCCAAATGTGCAGGTGACGCGGAGTCCCCCCGGGCACCCGTGGCATCGAGGGTGGCGACGGGCATGCACCGGCGCCAACTGGCGGCCATGTACCGGCGACGCCTGACGCGCAGCTCCCGCAACTACAGGGGACTCTTCTGCGAGGTGAGGCCCAACGTTGCACTCGAATGCCGGGTGACTCAAGCGTATGTGAGTCTGCGGATCGTTCGCTCTGGTAAGTCGTGCTTCCCACTGCCCAAATATGTCTTGATGGAACGGTTTGATGAACATCAGGACTAAGCGGGAAAGTTTTGGAATTAAAACCAGAATTGGATTGTCATTCACGACTCCATCATAAGTGGGGAGGCCCTTGGACAACTTTCTTAGAAATTAAACTTTGTATCGAGACCTCGCCAAACGAACCCGCGACAAATCGAACTGCGGCCCCCGCAAGCGTGGCTGGACGAGAGGTGCGTGACGTGTGGGCACCTGTGCCTCGCAGATAGTACTTCCGGCGCTTTTTGTGCTGCTTGCCCTGGTGTGCACGCTGGTCGTCCCGCCCCTTTCGGAGGAGCCCCCCCTGGAGCTGAGCCCCCAAGTGTACGGGCCCCCAAACTACGTCTTCTTCAGGTGAGCCCCGCCGGCCCCCATGGCCCCGCCATTATGACGCTCTCTCCTCCAGCAACGAGGATCCCTCGAGCACTCTGGCCCGCAAGTACACGGAGAGTCTGCTGTCCCCGCCCGGCCTGGGACACCGCTGCGTGCAAGAAGAGTCCTCGCCCAGGTAGCCCCCTTGTGTCGTGCGAGTACGGTGCCTGGAGCGGATCTCCGACTGGCGTGTTTCCTGCGTCCTTGAATGCCCGATGACGTCGTACAACTGTCGTGCTGTTGCCCGGGGGTGGTGCTGCCGCGGAAGTGGATGCACAAACTGGAGTTCTGCTGGAAGTCCCTCTGCAGCAAGTTCCACAGAAGGCAGACACACGACGGAAAACGGCGACTTTAGCGCCGGCATTTCTACGACCATTCGCCAAGATCGCAGCATCTAACAGCATGACACTTTAGCTCCCGTGACGCAGTTTGTTGCCACTCTGGGCCCACTTTCGATGCAAAGGCGGGGTAGGACAGTAAATAAGACGGTCGAAGACCCATTCCAGGCACTGTACTCGCGATTGTTGAATGGGCGTCTTGCCACGTGCGTGCACTTGCAGAACGGCTGGAGTTGCATGCCTCCACGTTGTGCTTTCCGTTCCCTTCTTTTCACAGTTGGGGAATTTTGAGGCAAGTGCCTTGATTTATTTCATAAAATTGGCAGTGGTGCCTTCGTCATAGCCTACATAATTGACGTACATAAAATTTCTTTTGTGACTGTGACAAAAAGTGTTTTGATGCGCGTCGGTTCACTTCGAGCGTGTCGCTGTATGTTTCAAGCCTGCTCATCAGTGCTCACCTCTATCCTTCTCCAAATAGTTACTACGTGCTTTGCCGAAGCTCTGAATGAAAGTGAGGAAATATGCGGTGGTTTCGTGTGAGGTATACTTTCGTCTTCCTTCTTAAAATTATTTTAGGGTTACTCTTGAAAGGGAAAAAAGCCAAGTAAGCGTGGGTGTTTGCAACTCAAGTCTGTCCCCGATCCTGCTTCTCTTGTTCCGTTGTCGACGGAACCACTTTCAGACGTGTGCGCTTCACCAACACCTAAAATGACGCTATTAACTCGTCTACATGCAGACTAGCAAGGAAGTGGTAGAGGTCGTTCATTATCGTGGCCGCACACGGCTTACGAGATGTGAAAGCACATCTCGCGAAAATGTCTTACTTACGGGCCCGAAGAGGGCCAGGAAGGGAGTGGAAAGAGCGAGCCAATTCACGCTCATAAAAATCTCTCAAGGGTGCTTGAAGCGCGAAGCCTTGGCAAAAACGGCACGCGACGAGTTCGGTAGGTGTGCGGTGCTGGAACTCATCTCTGACTGGTATGTTTAGTGTCCTATTCCTCCCAGAATGGCAATAAACGACGTCACGAAAACCAATGTGTCATGCTGCCAAACGTTGCGATCCTGGCAGTAGGGCATAAAAATTTGGAGGAAAAAAAGCAAGAAGAAATGCAGTTGTTGCTGTCATCACATCGTCCCAACTCCCGGCTGCATAAGCTTCCGTGGACTGTCTAGCTGGAGAGGGACCCGCAGCAGAACAGGCGTCTGCAACATCCACAACTGCTGCTGTTGACACCGCCAGCATCTCGGCTGGCGACAACGTGACACTCGTATGACGTCATCGGGTGGAAATTGAGGATGTGGTAAACACGCCGGTCGTTGCAGACACCGTAATGGCTCCGTCACTACCGTCAGAGTTGTCTGTGAGCGTCGTCCGTCCCTCGCGTCTCCAGGAGGTGCGAAGTCCCGGCAGGCGCCCCGGTGTTGCCCGAGGGGGCCGACGAGGCGGGAGAGCCGGGCCTGTGCGGCTGTTCCAGCGGCTCTCAGCAGTGCAGCGCCGGCGTGGGCGGTCCCCCTCCGCCGGCCCTCCGCAGCGTCACCGGGGACGTCCTGCTCAACGTGACGGGGCGCAACGTCTCCGACTGGCTCCTCCGTACGTGGAGGCCCTACCACATGACCAGGTATGCACCCCCACTTGTTGGCACCTGGAAAAAAAATTTATTGACAGTGACCTTTTTCTTTGAAGTTTTATAATGCGTGAAATGCCGAGTTTAAGGAGTGATTGTTTAAATTTGGTTAGAAGACATGTAACGGTTGTTTTTGTGGAGTGGAGAAGAGTATATATTGAAGAATTTTGCCTCAGAATAGTGCGGCGAAACTGACTTGGTAGAAATCTGGTCTCGCGACGTCAGGTCACATGACGGCAGCTTTCTCGCTAAATTTAGGGGGGAAGTGAGTTGGTGTTTAGGTCACGTCATTTCGCTTTCGCCGCTAAATTTAGCTGGAAAGGCACGAATGGGTAGACAGTTTTTTTTTTTTAGATTGGGGGGGGTTTCATTAAAAATGATAAATGTACCACCTAAAGACACCTTTGTGAAAAGTCTAATTGCACTCAGTTTATTGGTTTATTTGTACTAATATTTTTATGCCCAAATAGCGCTCAGAAGTCTCCTGTAGACTTTTGTTTCGGGCACCAGCTCCTCACCTCAAAGTAGGGGCTTCGCTCTCGTTGGTGGCCCAGAAAAGACAGTGTGTCGGGACGCAGTTGGAAGTTTCTCCTTTCCGTGCGTGCAGGTTTGGCGGGGTCCAGTTTGGGGTGGGTGGCAGCGTGGCTCCGTTGAACTTGAGTGCCCTGGAGGAGGCCCTGTCCCAACTCAGCCTGCCCCGAGGCTGGAATGTGAGCGGCGCCCTGCGGGCCCTGAGGCAGGCAGACGACGACCAGCGCCACAACGTCAAGGTGGGGGGGGGGGGGGGACGCGGCATTGTGTCTCCCTGGGCCGGAGAAGGTCATAGCCACTTCTTATGACAGCTTTGGCCGCCCAAGTAGCAACACGACTCAGATAGACCTAGATGCGCAACGTCAGAAGCACCAATGTGATCTCCATTTTTGTCCCGGAGGTTATCGGGGTAACCGAGCGGTGCCTGGTGGCCTTTGATTATATGTGGCTGATTTGATCTTTCTAACCATTCATTAAAGCGGTAAAAGTCAGTAAAACTGCGTGAAAGCCACGAAATGCGTGGTTGGCATACTGGCACAAACATATATCTGAAGTTATGAGTGCTTTGCTCACCGTATGTTGGATGCACAAGGGGAAGTGCGCTGACACTTTGAGCTTTGCTCAATTTGAGAGACAAAAGAAGCAGATGACAGGTATGCCAGCAGCGCTCCGAAATATTTGAACGCTACTTCAACAGTCATTGGCCTTGTTCGGCTCTGTTGATTGCTGTGGGAACCGAGCCAGCTCGTCCCTTTGACATGGTGACGCGTGTGACCGATTGCAGCGAGAGGCAGCCCAAAGAAAAGTGCAGTGCTACTCTGGTAGCTAAAGCTTCCATATACAGTGGCCCTAGAGAAGGTTGGGGATGAAGCGATGACTCTGGCCCTCTCCTCTTTCCTGCAGGTGTGGTTCAACAACGAAGGCTGGGTCTCGTCGGCGGCCTACATGAACGCGGTGAACAACGTGCTGCTGAGGGCCCAGCTACCCCCCGGTGCCGACGCCGGGGCATATGGTGTTGCGGTTGTCAACCACCCCATGAATTTCACTCGGGCACAGCTGCAGGATGAGCTGCTGTGAGCCCACACTCCTGTATCCAAACATTCTAGCCTTCTTTTTTTTTCTTATTTTACAGATACTGCAGAATGATATTTTGGCCAGATTGGATGCCAAGTTTATACAGTACAAAATACCAGATAATATACAGTCCATGTAGCTTGCCTGCCGTTTTAGTCTCGATGGGCTTGGCACACTCTCTCTTTGAAGTGGCTCATTTGGGGCAAATTTAGTCTCCGAGAAATGAATGCCGCTTACCCCATTAACCTCAATACGGAATGGTGTGCGTTTTTTTGTTGGGAAGCACCTTCAATAACGGCCCGAAATTTTTCAGATTTAAGCACGCACTCTGCCGAAAGGCGCACATGCATGACGATCCTTTTTGAGGCACCCTCAAGAGGCTCGCTACATACATGCGCCTTTAGGGTCGAGCGCTCATCTGGTTTCTAAGCCCCTCGGGCCGTCCAAGGACCCGTTTTCTCCCACTGACACAAAGAATTTGTGTCCCGGCCGACCGCAGGAAGCGCGGTGGCCTCAGCCTGCTGCACGCCACCTGCGTGATCTTTGCCATGTCCTTCGTGCCGGCCAGCTTCGTCATGTTCCTGATCGAGGACCGTGTCTCGGGCTCTCAGCACCTGCAGTTTGTGAGCGGCATGAAGCCGCTCCTCTACTGGGTCGGCACCTACACCTGGGACCTGGTGAGGGCACGCTGGGAGAGGCCCCACCTTTTAGGCTGCTTCGGTGCTAGAGACACTAGAGTCGGTTTGTACGGTTGCGTTTTTGCACCGTCGTTGCAACTGGTCAGTTCCTCACTGTCCAACTCCCAGCCGTGGTGTGTGGGGTGCCTCCGAGAGCAACCTCTTGAGGTCCAGGCTGTTGCAAGCGTGCATGTGTCCTTGCAGTGCAACTATGCGGTGTCTGCCCTGCTGTGCATCTTGATCTTCTTGGCCTTCAAGGAAGATGCCTATGTGTCCTCGGAAAACATTGGGGGCCTGGTGCTCCTGCTCCTGCTCTACGGGTGAGCGGCTCTCGGGACGTCTCACACGAAGGTTTTTGCGAGTCTGAAGAAACCAGGACGAGGTTTCTTGTGCATTTTGAAGCACTGTGGAACCTCCTTGCATGCCACGGTGGACTCACTCACGATGTGATTGGGGGCGAGTTTGAAGGACTCCACGACTTGACTCGGAGTTTGTGAAATATCAACTGTCTCTAGGGTACGACTTCGAGCTTGTGATATATGGAGCAACCCTGCGGTATTGCTCTGGGTCTGCAAATGGATTTGTGATACTTGTCTACTCTAAGATATTGAGTGACTCCGCGTAATATACGAGAGAAATAAACTGTGCAAGGGTCTCTTTCGGCTTCATCTATAATCAACTGTTCGTAGCATTGATTCATACCTTTTTTTCGTGGTTTGCCAATAGGCGTAGAAGGAAGGTTCTACCGTACATGCGCATAATTTACATGCCTGCGTAGAATGAGCGTGCAGAACATCCTCTAAAGGCTCGTTCACACACTTGTGACCGCTTACTACTGTGTGCTGTAAAACCTCTTAAAATTACAGCCGGAGGACAGACTAGCATGATCTATCGGGTGGAACACTCAGTTTCCTTTCTTTTTCGTATGTCATCCTTTTTTTCTTGGCTCGCTTTTGGCAATAGAAGGAACGACCATTTTGTATAAATAGTATGTGCATTTACCGTAGAATACCGCGCATCCGCCCATTCTACGCTAAGCGTCCATTCCCAAATTTTGTAAGATCTGAGAAAATATGCACACTACATTGATATGTAATATTGATGACCAAATGCGCGCCCATCCCCCATTTTTTTGCGATTATCTCTTAATTCTGAGTGGCACTTGCCCGGTATTTTACGGTATACCGCAAAACCTTCGCTTTAATCAAGTGCAGTTCCAGGGTCACCTTATAGATGGCGTGTCAGTGTTCTCTCATTGTAAGACATCGCAAGAGCTCAGTCCATAGCAAGCACAAGTGTGTGATTGGGCTGGGCTCGTGAGCAGTGTGGCGGACTCGAGAGGGGCGCTTTTTCACGTCACGCAGGTGGTCGAGCATCCCGCTGATGTACCCGGCCTCGTTTGCATTCGAGGTGCCCAGCTCGGCTTTCGTGGCCCTGGCGTGCCTCAATGTGTTTGTGGGCCTCGTGAGCACAGTGTCCACCTACGTGCTGGAGCTGTTCGACGACGAGGAGTTGCGAGCAGTGTCCCGGGTGCTGCGCAAGGCCTTCCTGGTGCTGCCCCAGTACTGCCTGGGTCGGGGCCTCATGGACATGTTTGCCAACCACCTGGCACAGCAGGCCCTGGCACGCTTCGGTCAGTCCCTGGTGCAGCCACCGGCCCCGCGATGACCCATCGCGGGACCGGTGATGATGATGATGGCGATGCCTGAAACGCGTCCCCGGCTGGTGTGTTAACCGTTTCCTAAATCGAGGCATCTCGATTTTTGCCCTATGATGTCACACGAGTGTCGTGCCGTCGCCAACCTCGACCCTAGAGGCGTCCCAGCGGCGGTGGTGTATGTGGCAGGTGCCTGTTCTGCTGCAGGCCGCTCTACAGCATGGCAGTCAACGGAAGCTTCGGCAGTCAGGAGTTTGGACAACACGACGACAGCAACACTCGCATTCACTCATACTTTTTGGCAGGACTTGTGCGTTTAGCCGCCAGGATTGCGACATCTCACAGCATGATGCTCCGGTTTTTGTGACATCATTTGTCGGCACTTTGGGACCACTTTCGATGCACAGGCGGAGTAGGACGCTAGACACACCAGTCGGAGATGCGTTCCAGGCACCGTAGCCCCGCCCGTCTCCGCTTCCGCGCGTTGCCTCTGGGTCACCGCTCCAAAAGTGCCTGTCAAGACGTTCTATTGTCCGATAGAGAGTCTTGGAACGCATTCCAAAGCTGCCAACAAGGCGCACCGTAGGAGCCGAAGTAGACGAAGTGGGGAAGGGTAATAGAATGAGTGGCACCTAAACGTGGCGCGGTGACTGGAGGCTCGGCACTTTGGAGCGTGGGTGGCCCGCTGGGTGAGACGGTTAACGCACTGTGTGAAGTTTTGGCGCAGGTGGCTCGCAAGCTCGGCCGTGCTGAGAAAAACTGAATGTGGGCATGCTTTGCCAGGGGAGCAAGGTATTTGTTCTCTACTCGGGCAAAGGTTCCTGCCAGAGAACTCTCTCTGTTTGAAACGTGATGCTCCTTGTTTCAAAACTAGATTGTGCTAAAAGTTCCCGATAAACATTCGTATTAAAGCGGGAGCTTTATGGAGCGAAGCGACCTCAAGAGCCGCATAAACATGAAATGAGTAGGTCGGTCAGTCCGTAATTTTATACGGTCTTAAAAGCAACGGTAACCGGTGTCAAGGATCAAGCTCCGTTCATGGGCGTGGAAGTCGAGTGCGCTGCTGACTGAGCTACGAACCCAGCACGCAAGAACGGGAGGAGCAAAGCAGGTGGTCTGAGAAAGTGTGCAGAGTGGAGAGGGTTGGGGTAGGAAAGAAGGAAAGCAGCAGAAACAGGTGGTCAAGAAAGAGCGTGCGGATTGAGGAGGAGTAGAAAAAGCAAAAAAATACTCATGCCCTCTCTTGGTGACCCAGAAAATTCGGCATAAAGGCTTTGTATCTGGGTAGTGCTGAAGGGAAGCACGTGCGGCATTAGAGAGAGACAATGGTGTGCCGTAATCTATTTCCATACAAAACCCTGCCCTTGGCACCACCTAAACTGATAGCACCGCCCACCATAGGCACTGAAAGACTAAGGGTCATCCTGTCCTAGGCACCACCCGAACAAAGAGCACCTCCCACCCTATAAAGCTACCGCATTTAAACTCATTTGGCAGAAGGACCGAACATGCAGCCGACTTTTTGGTCTGCCTTTTGGCCACGATCTTATGAGGGGCATGTATCTGCCACTCGGGGAAGTGGTTGAAACAGATTTTTTATTGCATTTGTTTGGAATATGCTATTAATGAGATTTTTTATATCTCTTCTATTAGCGGATTAGCTGGTGTCGAATGGTGCAAGTTTTAATGCGAATGCATTAACTGGGGGTTCCATGGAGCGAAGCGGGCGTTGTCTGTAGCCGTCTGTAGCAGAAAAACGGCACCCACAAGCGGAATTCTCATTGGCTCCGACACGTCATATTAGATGCTTCGTCACGGAAGCCGGCCAGGTGCTCAAGGTCAAAGCAGACGTGCCTCAGAAATAAAACACAAAGAAAAGCACAGCCACGCAGATGCATCGCCACGGAAGCCGTGAAGCCGGAGGGGGCGCTGCGTCTGCTCAGTGTGGGAGTGTGATGTCACAGCCGGTGCACTGTGTGATAAAGGAAGACGTGGCGTGCTTCTTCTAGGAATGTGCTGCATGTAGGAATGCTTTGGCATTTCTACACATAAGCAGTCTTAAGTGTCTCTGCCGAATATTTTTTAAGGCAGTTTGTGCGTAGAAAATGTGGCATCTACATACAAGCATATTTCATAGATTGTGAGGTGTGAAACATATACCTAGCAGAGGGTACTTGGTCACGGATGTTAGAAACACACCTCTACTATACTTCGTTTCACCTCAAGTCCAGATGAAGCCAGCGTTCATGTAGGGCGAGCTGGTCGAACCAATCAGAATGTGTCAAAAGCGCACCATCATGGTGTTTGTCATGTTTCCGTACGTGTTCTATCGTCACTGAACCAATCGTAAACAAAAAAGACCTAGTGACTTAATTAATGTTGAGAGTTGGGCTAGTTGGTATTCGTTGACCATAATGTAAAAACAGTGCAAACAAACACGGACAAAGTTGTCCGTGTTTGTTTGCGCTGTTTTTACATTATGATCAACCTAGTGACTTGCACTTTTGACGCTGCTTGATTGGTCCCATTACCTTGTAGCGTCGGCTGCTTGTGAACTTAAGCTGAAACGGAGTATAGCTTGCCCAGATAGTTTGTATGTCGGACAATAGAAAATGTGTCCGTGTCGCACATGGACGACTCGTCTGGGCATTTCATTGCTTTTGCTATGTTTCGTCGGTAGAGACTGTATGAAGGCATTCGTTCTTCATGCTGAAACCGGTAGTACTGCATAACGTTATGGTATACATGTCTTAGGTCACCCTCAAATTGTTTTAGTTCTGCCCAATACCAATAAGAGCATAGCTACTACCATCTGTCCATCTGTGCTTAAAATATTTTGCTGCTAAGCTTTTGACCAGCACATTTCATCTCAAGATGGTTTGTCTCTTAATTTTACATAATTCTTGCATAAAATGGGGTGCTTCTATTGAAAGGTGGTGCCCAGGTTATTGAAAGCACAATCGAGATGACACATTTAAGCGATGCCTCGGTAGGAAGTCTGCAGAACCATATATAGATTATTCATTAATTTCATCACCATCGTGCATGTCTTTTGCAAGCCACGTCGGCTTTCTCGGCACGACTGGGCCATCATCGTCAGCGTCCTGCGTTTGTGTTTTTGAGGATCTTGTTTTTATTTTTCTGAGAAACGGGGTTGCTTGAGTTCTTGAGGTAAGGCCAGCCTAAAATATGTGGTCAGTGAATATTTCAGTTCACTACATCCAGGCATCAATTTTGTATGGCTAATGTTATGGGACATCCAGTTTTTACACCACCCCTTGCTCGCGACGTACGCCAACGTCTGAGTGCCTCAGTCCCTCCGGCAATCGCTCCAAATCTCCGCATTGTGTGTAGCACGGACATGGGCCGCCTGCTATTTGCTCCTCTAGGGTGCTGAGTGGCTTCAGATGGCGTGCTTTCCACGGCCACACGTCTCAAAAAAGACCGCCGCCCACAAGCGTTCGTTTTTATTCCGACGCGTGCTGCAGAAATTGCCCAAGCAGCTGAAAAGAAAATCTCGTTGCCCAGGCTTTACTAAAAGCGGCGCCCCTGGGCCTGTCGCTGACGGTCGTTCCTCGTTGTTGCGCCTCGCGTGATGCGCCGCAGGCCTGCAGGCCTTGAGGCACCCCCTGGAGTGGGACTTCCTGGGCCAGAACCTAGTGGGCCTGGCCTGCCAGGGCCTGGTCTTCTTCCCGTTCACCCTGTTGCTCCAACATGGCTTCTTCCTGGCCAGGAAGTGAGTGTCCCAGCAGCCATCCATTCTCTCAACCTCGCGCCGTCCAGTTGTTCCCGCGTGTCATACTTTCACGGGGCGCTCCAGCAGCGTCGGCGCCTGTAACACGCGACCGACCAGCACGTTTAGCGTCCCGTGCCGCGTCAAAAGTACTCTCAAAACGGCAGCAAATTACGCCGCAGGAGCAGGTTTGTCAGTCTTTCGGATGTCGCAATTCTAGCGGTTGGTCGCAGAAGTTGCGCCAAAAATTATGAGCAAAAGAAAGTGTCGCCGTCGCTACAGCATCCCATCTCCGGGCTGCAGATGCTTTCATGGACAGTCGAGCTGAGAGCGAACTATATCATAACGTGGGTCTGTTGCATCCACATTTGCCGCTGTGCCATTGTATCGAGGATTTGGACAGGCAACAAGGTGATGCTTATATGATGTCATAATGGAGGGGCCTCATCTGAGGACACGGTATACACACCGGTTGGAAATGCGCTCCGGGCGCCATAGTGTCGCTCTAAGGTGGTTTTGCGGGCTTTGGGCAACGACGACAAAAGCGGGTTGCCCATGCGACGGAGCGCCGGGCGAGGACTGCTCTCGTAGGGTCGGCACGTGACGATTCGGTTGCCCGCAGACAGCCGACGGTGGCCCCGAACAACAGGGAGCTCTCAGACGAGGACGAGGACGTGGTGCGGGAGCGAGCCCGCGTCCTCTCGGGACAAGCGGACGACTCCGTCCTGAAAGTGGAGGGCCTCACCAAGGTGGGTCGGCCACACCTCACTCGCGCCGCTTTCAAACCTCTTTAAACCTCCCCCCTAACTTCTAGAGCCACTAAACATGCTACGCTTTATAGAGTAACAACACTTGAGCCATTGGTTAGACAAGATTAGATTAGGTTATGGTGGCTGAACCCTCGGTATCGGACGATTACAGTCTAAGAAACTATATTAACCAAAAAAGACAAAAAAAAATAATAGAAAGTTAAGCACTGTTGCTATGGTGCCTCTCTCTCTTCCCACCAGTCCTCTAGTCATATTGGTGCATAGAATCAACGTTGCCACTTGTCACTGTCTTGTACTGTGCCCGACAGATCGGGCACAAAGTGCCTTCCGTCATCCTGCTTGCTAAAACAGTTTGCAATAGCACAAAAAGATACCAAGGTGATCTCCTATCACCATGCCTACCACTCAAAAGGTCGCTTCTCAGACTCGCAACTGTCACAAATGGCACCCGTGCGGCTCTTGAGCACCGCTGGCACGTAAGCAAATGTCAGCGATGCAAACAGACGAATGACCATCTTGCAACGAATCCCAGAGAAAAGCTCACCAGAGAAAAGCTTACTGCAAAACCGGCGGATGCAGATTAAAGCTCACTGGCCAATGAGCACATGCGGAGAAAAGCTCACCGATTTTTTTATTCTTTTTTATATAGGGGCGTCGAATCCTGCGTAACATATACACCAATTTATTATCAATAAAATTTGTCAGTTTTGTAGAAAAAAAGAAGTCCTTTTTTTGTAATATTTTGTTAAGCTTATTGGGATTATTGCTCCCAAACTAATAATTGTGGCAAGTGTTTTTTGTGGTTTACTCTCTGGACAGTGAAAGCCCAACTGAAAACTGTAGAAACTCGAAAAACAGAAAAAAAAGTTCGAAAACTTAATGCCTAAAAGCTAAAAAAGGAAGACTGTAAACAGCGAAAATTCGAAAATGCTTGTGCAACAGCGCGGTGCCCAAAATTATTTTTGAAGCTTTTGTTAACCTTTGAAAACAGGATAGAACGGTCGGTAGGATTTAAAGGTTTTTTCACTTTCACGGACACGCACAATTTCTAGACCAGGGGTTCTCAAACTGAGTTCCAAGGAACACGGATTCCACGAGCTAGTCTCGTGGGTTCCGCGAACACCCATATTGCAACCCCCCCCTCCCCCCCACGCCGCAGACTGCGCGGCAGGACCATGCAAAGCGCCTTCATCTCACTTTGTACTGACATTGCGGTTGATATGGTGTGGATATATGGGAAGCAACACAAGCAGAATTGCCTACAATTGTGCATCTGTTGCTTCTCGGTTTGGCAAATATGGAGGGGGGGGGAAGGGGGGGAAGGGGGAGTGTTTGGCGCCAGTTTTTGAGGCTTCCTGGGGTTCCGTGAGACCAAAAAGTTTGAGAACCCCTGTTCTAGACGTTCCTGCTGATTTTTCCACAAGTTGCCTTTGTGTGACAGTGCCTTTCTAAGGCGAGCCAGCCATGACCTTCAGAGCTGCGCACAGTCACCGTCGTTACTCGTGACCTATATAAGATCTAGTCTTCTGTGAGGTAGAAAAATTGGGCAAGTTGGTAGACATCTTACATGGTGAGAACTGCTCAAACAATGAAGACAAAGTGAAGACAACAAACACCACAGGAGAAAGCTGTTCTCGCAACTAAAGTTTTACTAGTGCAAAAAACAGAAAGAAAACGGTGTAGCCGACAATGATCAAATCAACAAACACCTACTCACCTATCAGGCACCGCACAATCTTTGGATCTGAAACAGTTCACACATCATTATTCATATTAGCTCGCAAAAAACAAACCTCTTTATCTGACAGAGCTACCAAAGGCGCACTGTTAAGCTGTCAGTAAATTGTTGTCTGTTTTTTACGGGTGTCTCATGTTCTGATTTTATATTTGCAGTGTCATTACTATACAGAAAGGGTGATTACTGATTTCTGACGAATTAGTAAATATGCCCAATAAACTTCAGGAATATTACAAAAAAGAGGACCATTATTTTTGATGAAGTGACGAACTCTAATTGTGTTAAATTGCCACGTGTGATGCACAATTCGCTAAGCTAAGGACAAATAAAAAAGATTCGGTGAGCTTTTCTCCACATCCGCTCAAGGGCCTGTAAGCTTTTCTCTGCATCTGCTGGTTTTGTGGTGGGCTTTTCTTTGGTGAGCTCTTTTCCGGTGAGCTTTTCTCTGGTGAGCTTTTCTCCGCCACCCCCTGGCAACATTGGACAGTGGGGGAGAAGTGCGTCGATACACTGAGCGTAGCTTTCTAGTAACTCCAGTTTTCTCATTGGAAGAACTTTCGGGCTCGTTCTGCTCTGCTGACGAGCGGAGTCCCCTCGGGGCAGGTGTATCGCAGAGATCGGCGTCCCGCCGTGGACCGCCTCTGCATCGGGGTGGGTCCCGGCGAGTGCTTCGGCCTGCTGGGAGTCAATGGGGCAGGCAAGACGTCCACCTTCCGCATGCTCACGGGGGACACGCCCATCACCGGGGGCGACGCCCACGTCTCAGGATTCAGGTGGGCGCTTTGAATCCGACTTGCCGTGCACAACGCCTTCTCAGAGCGAGCATCGGGCAGATGGATGGCGTCTATGTGAAGTGACGGTCGTGCCGAGATTGCGTATGCAAAATATACCAAGAAGCGGTCGGGATGCAGCAGCGTGCCTTCGGCTGCTGTCAGTTCCGGCCATCCGCCGCTCTGGGCAGCGCTCGTTCACACACTTATGACTGCTTACAACCGAATGCGTTCGACCTCTTGTGACCTCTTATGACACTGGTGCTATCTACCAGGTAGGCACCCAGGCGAAAATTTGCAACTGGGACCAGTTGGTCCCAGTTGCAATTGGTTTATGGAACAATTCCCAGTTGCAACTGGTCCCAGTTGGAGTTGGTCCCAGCTGGAATTGGTCCCAGTTACAACTGGTCCCAGTTGGAGTTGGTACCAACTCCAGCAACAATGAAACACTGCACAAAATGGAAGGTTGACAATACTTTATTGTCAAAAACTTGGAGAATGAAACTAAATAGGTTCGGTGACGTACACGCTCCGGGTTTAGCCACTTGCTTGCGACGGTTGAATCGCTTTTTGAGACGTGGTATTCATGAGATGAAGGAAGATTGGCCGCTGGCGTCTGTTAGTGAAGACGTCCTCAGCTTCTCTTCCCATCGCGTGAAGAAAGGTGCTCACCCGTGATCCTGCGTTGCGCAGGTGAAGTCCTGATAAGATGCGGTAGCGCTCCCACCTTGCAATCTCTGTCACAACAGTCGAACATTTTCGAGGTAGACCTCCCGCCATTTTCGCCATTGTGCTCTCCGCGGCGTGTTCTCTTCCGTCCGGTCTATGTGCGTCCGGTCTTTCCTGAATGCCCTCCGATCGCTGAACTGCATCTTTCCATCCTCGAAGTTCACCGCCGCCACCGTGGTGTGAGTACAGTTAGGTCCAAAGAAGCGCAGCTGTAGTTTTGACATTTTCATAACGACGCCAACTTGGGTGATGGCGACCCTTCTCCACCGCGTCCGTCCGACTCCGACGTCAGCATAAGCAGCGCCATCTGTCGACAGCGCGTACCACTAATCCGCGCCCGCGTGCCACGGCGGCCGGCTAGTTCTGATTAGTCAAAAGATAAATTTATTTATTAAAAGAAAAAAAAAATACTGTAGGTATTTAAATAAACGTTTTAATATATTTTAATAATGCATTAAATGTTCATTTAGGTGAACACATTTTGTCACTAATTATATTTGCCAATTAAAAAATTATTTAGTTAATTAAAATTTTTATATTATTTTTATAAATATATAAATGTACCCCAGTAATTAAAAATTCCCTATTTGTATAAATCTAAAAGATGTTAGTGTTTTTAGTTTTCTTCATTAGCAAAGGTCAATACACCCCCAACTTGTCCAAATTGTTGCCCAGTGTGAACTGGGAACGGGAAAGGCATTTGAAGTCCGACTGGGAATCGCTCCAACCAGTTACTTTCCTAACTGGTTCCAGTGCACTCCATTCCCAACTGGGAGTCAAACCAGTTGACTCCCAACTGGGAATGGTTCAAACCAGTTGACCCCCAACTGGGAATGGTTCAAACCAGTTGACCCCTCAGCTGGCCCCAGTTGGACTCCTATTGGTCCCAGTTGATTCCCAGTTGGGACCAGTTAGTCCCAGTTGATTCCCAGTTGATTCCCAGTTGGGACCAGTTAGTCCCAGTTGAAACCAGTTAAGGTGCCAACTGGTCCCAGTTAGAAATTTTCACCTGGGCATGAACCCCTCGTTATTCTCGTATGTTTTTCATCTCGTCATCCTTTTACTATTGGCTCAAAAAACTTTTGACAATGTTATGCGACTATTGCTGATGTTTAACCTCGCAAATGCAACCTTAGCTCTAGTGAAATGCAGTTCTAGGGCCACCATGCATACCAGCATGCCAGTGCCTGCTCTCGTGAGGTTGTAAGCAGTTGCAAGTGCGTGAACCAGCCTTCGTCCATGCACCGGATACGCGGCAATGTACGTCAGGCACTCAGCGGCGTCATTGCCGGATCTTCCGCAGCGTCCGTACGCAGCTGGACCAGGCGCGCCAGAACGTGGGCTACTGCCCGCAGTCGGACGCCCTGGACCCCCTGCTGACAGGCTGGGAGCACCTGCAGTTCTACGCCCGTCTCAGGGGCTTTCCCGAGAAGCAGGTGTCCCAGGTGAGCAAGCGCGTGCCCGGCCCCAACGTTTGCCCGTCCTCTCCCTCAAGGGGGTAAGACGCTAGCAGAATGCGGCAAATCGCAAGCACTGACACTGAATGGTCCCGACAAAGAAAATGAGAAAGAGAGCGACAGAAAAACGGAGAAAGAAAGTGGACGGTAGGTTAGGCATGTTCGTTTTGTCATGATAAGTTGAGGTTCTTAAAGCGTCTGTCGACTTAATTTATTTTTAGACAATGCGTGATGTCGGTGTTTTTTAATCTGGGAAAGAACTATGTTTCAACTTAAAGAGACAATGAAGGCGGTTTTATTTAATTTTTTTTAAGTGGTGTTTTTAGGCTTCTTGGTAACCTAGCACGCTGCCTAATTTTTTGTAGATATTTGTGACGCGTATTTCTGTGCCTACGAAAGAACTGAAGAAACCGAAACTGAGCTATCTTCATTTTCATTTCTCGGCCTCCGAAAACGGAGGGGACGTATGTAGTGACGGTCAAGTATGAATAGTCGGTATCGGTAGTATTTAAGAGATCGATACTCTGGTTACCGCAGTGGGTTATAGCAGCGCGGTGGCACGGTTGTTCCGTCGAATCTGTAAACATGGATGACAATGCCGCTCTCGCGAGTGAGTTCGGGCTTTTGTTCGGTGACCTTACACCAACGGAATGGGAGCATCTGTGTGCACCTCCGCCATCACCCGACGGAGACCGCCCAGCCGGCAACGAGCTGCCCGCAGGCTCTGAGCTGGGAAGCAATGAGCAACATTCGCGCGGGCGAGACGAGAGAGGCGTGTTGTCGAAAGACAGGGACACGGGGGAGATGCCAAGGGGAAAGCAGCAGCGACCCGGCCGTTCCAGGAACCGGTTCCTCTGCGGGGGACGCTTCAAGAAGGAGAAAACAGACAGCACCATTTTTGGTTTTCACCAAAGTCGGAGTCTCTTTTCGTTTTTAAAGAACACGAACGGCAACCCACACGGGAAAACTGGCGTCGCCCGAATAAATACTGGTCTTCAGTCGATTGTTAGAACAGCCATCTACAGCGCACAAATTTGGCACGACTACCATTTTGCAGAATCCTTCTAGTGTTGTGTTCCCAAAGTAAACACGACACCGACATCTGAAAACAAAAGTCTCCCCTGTGTTCTTTTTTTATTTTATTTTGTTTGCCCATAGTTGCTCGTTGCCCGTTTCGCATCCAGCGAACCAAAGTGAAAAACAATTATGCTGTTTTATTTACGGTTTAGTAATCACTTCTGGTCCGATTTAGAGTTTTCGTGGTTATTCAAGCGGAAATTTGAACAGCATTCGTAAACGTCACGAACCAAAACGTGGCCAAGGGCACGTCTCTCGTTTCGACCAATCGCTGATGCGTCTTTTGTGACGTCATGCTTCTTGGCCCCGCAACGGTCACGTGAGCTCCGCTTCTCCTGGCTTCTCCCGCAACTCTCGGGGCATGGCCTCAGTCGATCTCAGTACGGTTATTACCGCGACTGTTTATTTGATTTGCGCGGCACACAAGCGCCGGTTTCAACTGAAATTCGGGCAACGTGGCCTGAGACCTGCCTAAAACGCAGTTTAATCGCCAAAAAAAATATCTGAAATTGCCTTCATTGTCCCTTTAAGTCCTGACACAGCCGACGCTATGAGCAAATGGAACCAATTGAGCAGCGTCAAAAGCGTGGGTCACTCGGCGTTTTCTGTTTAGGGTTGGTTCGGCGGTGTTAAACACGTACAGAAACACGACTAACACCATCCGACAGGTCCCGTCGGCTCGTAGCATCGGCTGCGTCCTGACTTGAGCCGAAACGAAGTACAGGTACAGACCTTACGGGTGATGCTTCGCTGCTTCTTCGCGTGTATTACGGCATCGCCAGCAAAATGGGCCTATCGAGACCACACTGGGATCGCCCACGGGGACCTCCCACATCCGCGTCTGTGCCCTGCCGTTCCGAAGCGGCCGGAGTGCACGGAACCTCTCGATTAACTCTGTGTCTCCCAGCTGGCAGACTGGGGCCTGCGGCAGCTGGGGCTGCAGCGCTGGGCCCACCAGTGCGCAGGCACCTACTCGGGCGGGAATAAGCGCAAGCTGAGCACGGCCATCGCCCTGCTTGGGGAGCCCCCCCTCGTCTTCCTGGTGAGTCTTTTTCTTTTCTGCGGTCGAGCGGAATGTGAGGGCCCATTATGACAGAGGGATGCGCCGCGCACAGGACGAGCCCACCACGGGGATGGACCCAAAGTCCCGGCGCCTCTTCTGGGACTCCGTCCGGGACGTGGTGCGGGACGGCCGCTCGGTGGTCCTCACCTCCCACAGGTGGGCCTCTCGGGGGCGCTGGGTGGGTGCGGGACGCGGGACGGGTATGAATCTTGACTTTTCGTCCCGTGCGTGCCCAGCATGGAGGAGTGCGAGGCCCTTTGCAGCCGCCTGGCCATCATGGTCAACGGACGCTTCCGCTGCCTAGGGAGCATCCAGCACCTCAAGAACAAGTGAGTCTGCGGGAGCGCCGACCTCACTTACTTGCCAGGCTCGCACCACCCGAGGCAAAACTGAAAGAGACTTTCGATCGGGTTTTCACCGTGGGATATCCGGTTTCTTACTTTTCGAACTACGTCACGCGCCTTGACCCTCTCGTCTATTCTTTGTATCGCTTTGAGTCCTACTGCGGGTGATGCTGCAGCCCGATGGAACCAATCCAGAAAGTGCACCGTCACGGTGCTGTTCGCCTTTGTTCGTTTGCTATCACCGAGTGAATGCGCCACAGTTCTGCGCTTTTTTTTTTTGTCGTGACTGGTTTAGCCAGGGATGTCATACCCACAAAACAAAATGAGCGCCGTCACAATGTACTTTAGGTTCTGCTTGACTGCAGCTTCATCAGATTGCAGCGTCGGCTGCCGTCGAACTAGAAGTGAAACGAAGTATAGGTATCGCATTTTGGAGGTCGGAGCACGGACGACGCAATCCCATAGCGCGGGAAGCGGACTCGTCTGGGAACTCCCGACCGGCTGACGCCTCGGAATGTCGAGCGAACGGGGGAACCCCCCGCGGGGTCTCTTCGTGCAGGTACGGCCAGGGCTACACGGCGACCCTAAGGGTGCAACCAGGGGCCCAGGCCCGGCTGGGGACCCTGCTGGGGCGCCTCTTCTGCCCCGGGGAGCTGGTGCTGGGGGAGCGCCACCTGGGCCAGCTGGAGTACCAAGTGAGCCCCCGGGTGGCCCCCGCCAGCCTCTTCCGGCGCCTGGAGGAGCTCCGGGAGGAGTGCCCGCTCGACGACTACTCGGTCACTCAGACCACCCTGGACCAGGTGGGAGAGCCTTACTGTAGTGATGCGTTAATGTATGTAACTTTGTTGCTCTTAAAGGGACACCGACTGGGTATCTATGCTCGGCGAGGTTTTTATTTGTACATGACATGAGAGAGCCCAACTACCCTGAACATGATTTGCGGCTGGAGATCTGTTTTTTCCGCCCGAAAACCGTCGATCGAGAACTGGCCGGCTGGTTCGAGTCGCGCTCGCTGTCTTCTTCGTGGTCACGTGCCGAGGTCTATGGTTTACACACACACACACCATATGTAATCAAAGTCGTGGGTCATCGAAGGCACGCACTCAATATTAAAAATAGAAAAAAAAAATGGTATTTATTTTTTGTGGCTTTTAGAAACTGCAAATACGTTGACTGAAAAAAAAAAAAGAAAAAAAAGTTGCGCAGAGAATAGGAAGCACTCTGTGCATTCTTTCAGTAATCTTCAATGTGGCATTGTATTGCTGGAGTCACGGGCTGGATGGCTGAACGAAGCGGACTAAGCGATGGCACAGGACGATAGGCATTGGATTTCTTTTTCCGAACTGTTGTTTGCGGTACCGGCTAATCTGTCTACCTTTAAAAGAGGAATCGTTTACCGATCTAAACAGTTAGGACTCATTCCGTACGACACGCCCGACCACCAAGCTGATTCGCATGAAGACGTCGCCGAGTTGTCGCCCCTTCTTCTGGCTGAAAACATCACTCGTCTTACGGACACAATTTTGTAGAACGACATTCAAGCTTTCGTATTCACAACTCATATGAAATTCTTGGGTGTCTTCAGATTCCTTTTGTATCTAATTATGCACCAAGTAGGCCAGCAACATACTCAGATACCTAGTTCCCCACCTATCGCAAACTTTACGGGAACGTCCTATCTCCTCCAAACTTTTCGGAAGCGTCATACCTGTACCCAGATTAGTTCTGGTATGTCTGAAGTCGGCTTTGACTTTTGAATAGTCCGTTTGCGGTGGTGGGCAAGGGAGAAACAACCACACAACCAGCCAAATTCTAGCGCTCACCGCCTCGGTGAAGTCTACACAATTATAAAAATGCACTGCTCTGCTGCCTCTGGAAACATGTACGGTAACATGTGGAAAGCCTGGCGAGGATCGCGAAGAAAGGCGTTGGCTTTCTTTTTCAGGTGTTTGTCCACTTTGCCAAGCAGCAGGGCGACGGGGAGACGGCAGGGACGGCCCAGGACCCGTCCCCGATCCCTCCCCACAGGAGGCTCTCGAGACGTGAGTTGTTGGCCTACTTTGCAATTCGGGTGGGAGCGCAATTTGAGTCTTGAGAAAACCTCCGGGGAACGAGTTGAAGTAGCCCACCCTCCTCCATTTGCACGTCATCCAGTCTTCACATGTAGATACAGTTTTTTCACACTAGCACACCACAATCTGCATCACCGCTGCCTTTGCCACGCTATTATGGCAGAGGGGCAACTTGTTTACAGCATCATCTGTTAGTGGCCCGTCCCGCGGTTTCGCAATGGTGTGACTGCAAACGAAAATAAACAAAAACAAAAGAAAAAGAAGCTCAAGAGCGCGTCCCCTGTTTTTGCGACAGCGCGAGCTCGAGAGTGTGCGGCTCGGTCTCATGACTGGGCCATGACGCCACACAACTGCATGCAAAAAAAAAAAAAAAAGGAAAGTTTGTGTGTTTTTTAGTTGAGGTGAATGCCCTCCAATGGCTTTGGGCGGAATTCACCTTGCTGTGGCGCATTTCGTCTAATCATCGAGTTTACAATGGGTTATCTTTTCTGAACTTCAGTATCGCTATTTGCAAAATCACAATACTTAAGAAGTCGACGCTTACAATTGAATAAAACACATACACATCATGACTTTAAAATCGTTTATTTCTTAGCAACGTATCGATGGTAAAACAATGCGTCATATTCATATCATATCACCGTATCGCGCACAGTCGGCGCAATGTCAATCGATTTTCATCGTCATATCGTCGAATAAGCAGCACAGCTGACGCGGTCTAAACGCATTGTGTTGTGTGATTGTCACGCAATTCTTTATTGCCTTTCCTCGTGCAGGCCAACTGGAGCTCATCGAACTGCCGGTTCGGGAGACTGCCATTGCCTGAAGTGCGAGCTCTTTCCTGCCGAGGGCCGTGCGTGTCCAGGCACGTGCCCAGCCTTGGCTACGAGAGCCGTCACACCACCCGGTGTGGTGATGTGCCGGACGACACCCTTTCGGCTCGCATCGCAAGTTCCCAAAGAGTATCGCTGGAATTACGCTGGCACAGTTTTGGTCACCTCCATTCCCTACAGTTTTCTAAACGCCGTGTGCTGGTACATCCAAACCCAAATGGCATCGGGTACCTACAAACTGCCAGCAGCAGTGTTGTGCAAAGAACGACGGAAGGTGTGTGCCCCTCAATGGATAAAGAATACTCTAATGGCAGTTCAGAATAGTCCCCCAACAGAAATATGCAACATCTGGCGGCCAAAAACCAATTATCCGAGGCCACCATATTTTAATTGTAAGCTCAGGACGTATTGGACACGAGTGCTGTGTATGAGCGTTCGACTTGTATTTCCACTTGTTACTTGGGCAGGTGTGTGACTTTGGGCCCTGCTCCAATCGCACCATACACGCTGAAAGCAAAGACCAAAGCATGGCGACCGCTAATGTTGCTCGATAGTGTTTTGAAAATGGGTCATTCTAAACAGATGTCCATTTTGTGAAAATTTTAATGCTTTCTGCCCATATCCCATGGTTACCATGTTGATGCGGAATGCCGTCGCAAAGTGCAGTTTTGTTTGGAAGGTGTCTTTTAAGAAATCTTAATTGAACTATCTCATAACCTATTGATTTCTACAGGTGTTTAGGGTTAGGCGGGCTATCACTTTTTCTAAAGCATCTCCAAAATGTCCGTCAAACCTGGCAGATACGCTCTAACCCTTTGGAGTGTCTCTTGTGCCTTTGTCTGTGATAGATTTGTGATGGCAGAGTTGCCTGAGGTGCCTGGAATGGGCAGGCTGTCGCAACATGCCCCACAATGAGTATGCGGGTGCTCACTTACTCGTGGGGAGGCTTTGGAGCCTTTTTTGTTGACTTGTTATCCCACAGCTTGTTTGTTACACTCGGATGTTGCATTTTGTTTTGACTTTTAATTGTTTATTGACGCATATTGTCAATCGCATTGAAGCTCGCAGAGCAGAGATCTGGTCATTTCAAAAATAGTTTGAGGTAGAGGTTGTACTTTTGTTTGTCTGGCATACGTTCGGATTCAAGACTTTCGAATGGGAACTTTTGTTCCTCACAAACTTTACACCGGTCTTAACGTTGCCCTGAGAGCTTTATCTACAGTGCCTGAGCCTCTTCTGCGAGCCTAAGCCGCATGCGGAAGCTTGCACGTGACTTAGCGACACTTAAAGACGAACAAATCAGCATTTAGTCTTAAAACAGACGTTGTCACTGGTTTTACAATCGACACATTGTTGGGCTATCATTGCAGTTTCTCGATTCGCTAGAAACATGTATTTGCTCGCTTTTGTGACGCAAATGCGTGTCGTCCACTAAGTAATGGCCACTTGTATCAACTTCAAAGCAAGGCGAGCAATCGCACATTTGGTCCTAGCTTTGTGATATAGTACACTGTTCCTAATTTCTACCTTTATTTCCCTCAAATGTGATTGTTTTACCACGAGCATATTCATTAATTTTATTTTACATGTATTTTGTTAGGTTCTAGCATTGAATATTTCTATGAATAAAGTATTTTTATCAAGATCTGGCGTGTTGACTATTTGTCTTCAAGTATGCTTTAAAATGGGACAAACTTTCCAAGAAAGTTTTTCGACTGAAGCAAACATATGCTCCAACATAGCCTAGTGGCCCAAGCATGTTATGTAGACATTGTAGAGTACTAACATCGGATACCACCCTTAAAGACAGCCTTTATTGTTTCTTGCTCCTATGTTGCATTCAAAAGAATGTATGGTGCATCACGCCAACAAAAAGGTGACAATTGTGGTCAATTTATTTTCTTTTTTTCACTTTTAAAGGGGCGACTAAATGTCGTGGCACGTCCCTTTTTCTGAGAAATGTCTCGGAAGAGGGCACAGCGACGTTTCGTCGCATTTTTAGTAAAGGCCTCCACGACTCTTGCTTTGGGTTTTCTAGGGTGCTTTGATTGAATTTTTGCCATATGCCTAGAAAATCTCGGAAACCACTTTTGTATCTGTAAACATAGTAGTTAAGGTGGCGCAAGCTGGCCGACCAATTTAGTAATACATGGGCACTGGCATTTATCCCTTTATAAGTTGGTAACTGTCAGTAACTTCTCATAACTGCTGGGGTATTCAGCTGCACCAAAAACCTTTTGGATCCGGACGGCGACTAGGTGGCGCAAGTCACCGCCCAATTAAAATATATTTCTGTGTTATTTATTTTATTTATCCATCCAGTAGCAAGATCCAAGATGTCGGCAGGTGCGCAATACGCGCAATAGGAGTGTAAGTGCTGGTAAAGAAATATCTGTGTCCGTTCTTTCAAGATTCGTGGTGGTTGCACCGCGCGTACGGGCCCAAAAGGCCCTCAGCTGACCCGGAAGAGCTGTTGCGCGGGACATCCAGGAGCAACTGCCGGGATTTTCGGGTAACGACCGTTCGCTTTCTCGCCCTAGTCGCCTGTGGTGTCGTAGCTCGCGGGGAAGCGTCATGTCTCAGACCCGAGTGGCCCAAGTGGAGTCCGGCCAGGAGGTCAATTCGACCGACAGCGCCAGGATCGTGCTCAAGCTAACGAGGCCGCCGGCCACGCGGCGGCAGGTGGCCTGGCGCGAAGACACGGTCGACAACGAGCACCTGAACCGACGCAAGTCCAAGTGCTGCTGCATCTACAGGAAGCCCCGTGAGTTCGGCGAGAGCTCGTCGGACAGCGACGACGGCGAGTGCGACAACTGCAGGGGGCACAAGCAGCGGGCCCGCGGCCAGCCCCGCCAAGCCCAGGCGTCCGGCCGTCGCGTCGGCTGGAGCGCCGACACGGTCGATAACGAAGACATGGGCAAGCGCAAGTCCAAGTGCTGCTGCATCTACGAGAAGCCCCGGGCATTCGGCGAAAGCTCGTCGGACAGTGACGACGGCGAGTGCGACAACTGCAGGGGCCACGTGGAGCTCAGGAGGGCCGCTCCGTCTGCGGACTGATTCGGGGGCCGGGCCCCGCCACTCTGAGGCGCGCACGAGTCCCGTCTCCTCTCCCCCTTGAGTGTCTGGACGGCTTCCGTTGTGCCACTGTCGAGGCAGAAACGTCAGAGGACACGCGGGTGTTGTCGAATGTACGAACGGCGATAATAAATTTCTGGTGAGAGCGAGCTAACTGTGTATGCTGCGCGCATTTCATACCCTAGTTACACGGGCAAACTTAACTGCTGTTGCACTTATCATAGCTGAGCTCGCTGCTGCTAAGCACATGCTGATGGCAAGCTTCCACAATGCTTCCAACACGCACATTGCACTCCATCAAGATTCTGTTCTTCGGGAGACCATAAATAAGAACTTCTCTCTAGCATGTGCTGTGCGCAGTCCTTTCAAATATGGCGTCCGGTGAATACGGTCTATATTCTTGGACAACTTTCTGTGGCTATTCGGTCAAATCTATGGGCGCACGCGCGCTTGTGCATCTGAGTGCCCATCGAAGCCGTGCATGCTCATGCTTCACTTCTGAAGGAGCTGTCCGAGAGTAAAGTGTAGTAAGTAGTAACTGGTGAAGCATAACTGCCGTTAAGGATGACTCGACTGTGGTTAAGGCTGCCCGTGTAGCTAGGGTACAAGAGAGAGAAACGCCTTGTCGGTTTGGGTGACACCAGCTCTTCCCCAGTGTTGGTTAGGCCTGCACTGCGGCTCACAATTTTGGTGGGCGATTAGGGCCAGACCCCAGAAGCGGCGGCGACGGACAGTGACGGTTGTCTTCGACTGGTTCTCAATTCCAGACGCAGCAATGGACCGAGAGCAGCTAGAGCATGAGAACCAACGCCTGGCCGACCAGTTGTCGAACAAGGTGTCCCACCTGAAGAGCGTAAGAATCGCCGTTTCTCTCGCACATTCGCGTCCCACGCTGGCAGAACTGGGGGTTTGACATTTGCCGGCAGGCTCCACCCTGCACCGTAGGTATAGTGCAGCCTCGATGGTCTCTGAGCATGTGTGCGGGTAAATGAATATAATTCTGGGGAACCTCATGAATGAGGCAACACAAACACAAGGTCTCAAACACTGTTGAATTTATTTGACGAGAGAGACGGGAAAGGAACACGAAAGAAACAGTAGACCACAACCACCCTCTTTTCATAAATAAGTCTAGGAGTCATTGACTTAACCAAACAAAAAAGGTAAGGAGAACCTTCTTTCAGTTTCTTCTTCCAACCTGGAGTAGGATAAGGAAAAATCCTAAACACAACCTAGAGGTCGAACTTGCAGAACATTTTTTGATCTTGGAACCAATCTCAAGAAAGTCTCGTTTGCAACATTTCGACGTAATATCTTAATGGATTCTTTGGCCAAATGTTTTGTGATCGTCCTTCCCAAACAACACCACAGAGGTCAAACCCAACAACGCTACATTCGGACGAATGCTCCAACACTTTCGAGTACCGGTCCTTTTTCTTTACGTGGCGTTTATGTTTGGCCATACAATCATTCAAGCAACATTTAGCATGTCCAACGTAACATTTTTAGTCTCGAATTCTTTTCGTAATTACGTTCAACTTACACCGGCTCGTTCGCGCTTTCATATTTTGTCACGGCTGTAATACTTGGCATACGGCATGGAAAGAGACCTGTCAGGGAGCCCGAGACTGGCCGCTGGTGTCACCGGTTCCCTCAAGGGACCTTGTCTGCCAATCTGGGGCTCCCGGGAGGACCATCTCCAAGCTGCTTGCTCATGCAACTTGCATCAGCCTTACCTATACTAATCAAAGCTTGGGCACCAAAATATGGATGTCGTCGCAGCAAGACTGAGCAAAAATGCAGATTGAACACGAGTGCTGCGTCGGCATTCAGTGAGGACTAATCCAATCACACTTTTCGTGGCCAAGAAATTGCAACCGTCAACATTGCTTGATGTGGTTCTGGAAAGGGTCTACTGCCGAGCTGGTGCCATCCAACTGCGATGACGTTCTGTGATGGAGGGAAAGGTTGTTCGTAAATTGTCGCAATTCTGTACTCCACCCCCGAGCTGACAGTGCGGTGAGAGCTATGTGCTCGCCAGACCAATCGACGCCTCTCTTCCACCACCTGGTCCCACTCTCTGCACATGGGTACGGGATGGGAGCATGATCATGTGGCGAAAGATAGACGTACGGCTGTTCCAATGAGCATGTAGCTTCCACCACACTGTCGGCTTTGAGGCAAACGCAGTATAGGTGGCGTTGCTTGCGTGGCCTTTCGGGGCCTGCACGGACGTGGCCCGGCTGCAGCCCGCTTTCCTCTCTCCTCGCAGCTGGCGTACGACATGGAGCTGGAGACCAAAGAACACAACCGGCTCCTCGGAGGTCTGGTGGGTGCCCCCCCTCGTTTCTTAAGCCGAGCCTCCGGCCGTGTGGCCTAGCGTTAGAATCCTCGGGGCGTCTATGGCGCCTGCAACTCGTCTCTGACTGGTGTGTGCTTACTGCGTCCAAAAAAAGTGGCCCCTCGATTTTTGCCCCGATGACGTCGGAAAAGTGTCACGCTGCCGTTGTCCACAATGCTGGTGCTGTCGCAGCAGCAGCGGTGGACGGGGCAGACGTTTGTTCTGCTGCAGGTCGCTCTCCAGCTTGACAGTCCGCAGAACCTTCGGCAGCTAGGAATCGGGACCCCGCAACAACAGCTACACTCGCGTTTGCTTTTACTTTTTGTTGGAACTCCTAGCACCAACCACCTAGATTGCAGCGTCCGACAGCATGACACGTCGGCTTCTGTGGCATCATTTGTTGCCACTTTGAGACCACTTCTGATGCAAGGGTGGGATGGGACGTTAGACGCACCAGTTGAAGGTGCGTCTCAAAGCCTATCCATACAGCGATTGTGAGGCCACACGACTCCGTCAAAAATCGTAAAAATTGAAGCGTCCGGCAGTCCGGCCAAGTGTCCGTTTGGACACCGGCCAAGTGTCTGTGTGGACACCGGCCAAGTGAACATGTTCCTCCTTGCTTCCTCCACTTTTCGGTGACCTCAGTTCTCATCAGACTTGATGTCACACGCCATCTGCCAATGCTGTCCATCTGTTCTGCTGTGCCCTCGAATCCTTGGCCGTGTTTCAAATTTTACTCAATCTTACTCCAGGGTAAGGGTTTCGTAGCTTTGTGAATTCGAAAAAACCTTCCCACGTCCAGCGTCGCTCTATCTGTGTTATCATGTAACATGACCAGCTGGAGTAGCTCAGATCTATTTGGGTAAGATTTCGAGCACAGCCCTTCGCTTTCACGTTTTCGGGACCTGAAGAGAAGCAGAGGCCTTGAGCGATTGACCAGCATCTGACAAAGCTTGAGAGTGGCTGTCCGAACCCACGTGATGATCGAACATACTCAAGGCCCCTGCAGAAGACACGGGTGAAATTTGATGGGGAAAAATTTTCCCCCTGGCAAAAAAAAAAAAAAAGACCGACTTAAACGGACCGCCATGTGACTGGTGTGGGAGTCGTGTCGCCCCACAATTCCTGTTTGGACAGGCCTTCAGGCACCATAGTGATGTCTCAAAATTCAGAGGCAGCGACCGAGTAATTTGTTCATTTTGGCATGAAAACATTTAGCCTCGTGTTGCCATTTTGGCAAAGTGACTCGACAGCCTGAATGCTTGGAGAGATAATGAATTCCTTACGTGAATGGGCGAGCAATGCTTTGGATGCCACCAAAGGCCTAGCTAGGATTTTATTATTTCAAGAGGGCTTCGAGTTTGCGAAGTCGAGGGGAGGAAGGCTGGCAGTGAATGTATGGATGGAGGCTAATGACAGTACCCTTTTTAACAGGCGGTAGCTTGCGCCACCTAGCCTAGAAACTAAAAACCGAAAGTATGATTCTTCCCCTCGCCCTTCTAAGCCAATTTGCTTACCCTCGGCAGTCTTGTAACTATCACCAGGTGATGTGAGATACCACTAAGATGACCTTTGGGAGATCAGGCAAAAATACTAAAAACAACACCCCCCGCCTCCTTCCTCCGGCGAAAAAGTCACCAATTTTACTCTGGTCAAACCTAGTCGGCGTTACACCAACACCGGTCTACTGAGAGGCAGGGTTGAGACTTGGCCGGAGCCACGTGGGAGGGAGACCTAATTTTCCTCTGTCCTGCCTGTCTTCAGCTGTGCTAATTAGTGGTACGTCATTCAATTCTCCCTAGGTAATTTCCACCGGTCTTCCAATCTCCTCTTTGTTCGGTTTATAGGCATTGTTGCTTGAAGAGGGCGGGCATACCAACAGTCACAGTTGATGCGCACATACTTTCAGGTGCAGCTGGTAAAAGACCATGTGCAATTTCATGTGCTTTTAATTGGCAGCGGTAGTAAGACAGGTTTATTATGCCAAAAAAAAACAGAAGAAAATTTAGGGGGCGTGTCGATGTTTATGAGGCCAGGACGTCGTACATGGGCTTTCAACATTAACGGCACCACCACTCCTTGCATAGGCTGGTGCCATTTCTCGCCATTGTTTTTACTATTGAGGCAGTGAAGGCATTCTCCAAATTTTACGTGAGGTTTTCCTGAAACTGGGGGGTAGCTTCACAGACAAGGCTGAAAGTTTGGAAATCTAAGAAGAGATACCTGAAAAGCGGGTAGCGGACATTTCATCGAACGCCGTTTCATCGAATGAATGGACATTTCATCAAACGCCATTTCATCGAACGCCGTATCATCGAATCGCTAAGGGCCGTTTCATTAAATTTCTTTGTATCGAGTTTTGGGGCATCACAGTGCTTTATAGATGTTTTACCTTGCATTGGTTAAGACTAAGGTAATCACTCGTGAAACTGTTTTTAGGGTGGAGCCAAATTACTAGAAATAAAAACCATTGGTATAAAAACAAATGGGTATGCGACTTATTGAAAAGTTTAACTCGTGTACATGACAGAAAGCATGACACTGGAGGTAAAGGACCGACACTTAAAACACTTTTGAATGTCTGTGTCGTTTGTTTTACCGGCTGTCGGGGGGTTTCAGTAATGTGGAATTCACACCAGCTCGTTTGCACACTTACGCTTAGTTGAAGGTTTCTTCACGAAAAGCATTTAACTGTCAGGGCATCACGCTTATAATATAACTATACTCTGCCAGGAGAGCACACGAAATAAAATATAACGATACTCTGATTATCAGCATTATGCTCAAATTAAACGTTCCTGCTCTTTTTTTTTTTTTTTTTTTTTTTTTTTAGTTTTCAAACTTTACAGAGACAAAAGCTGCACAAACTGTCAGCCATCATCTAGACAACATCTAGAAGAAGAAGAAGCTGCTGTCCTTCATTCATCCCCCTGAAGAAGAAACGAACGGTTTCGAAACGTAGGGTCGCTACTATTTCAATTTTTGGTTGGCGGATTATCTTATCTCTTTACTGTCAGCCAGCATGGTTTCGGGCTACACCTGGACTGGAACCACCTCCCCTTCTCTGTCAACTTTATCACCGACCCTTTTGCCTATGAATGATCTTCAGGACGCTTTCTTAAGAAGACAGAACCCTTTCGGATCTTCACATAACCCAAGGTTACACGTACACGCTGTCAGACAATAAAACACTACCCGCATCTCAGAAAACACATTGTGCTTTCTGTTTTTTTTTTTTTTTTGTCTAATTTTTAATTGTTTTATGTGACATGGAGAGGGGTCATTGTTTCATATAGGCTTTCTTCTCGAAGCAGGATATGTTCATGATGAAACTTATCTCGTCACTACACCCTGCGATTTAAAAAAAATGAGAATTAGATAGCGTTGTGTATAAAATTAAAATAAATTACAAAAATATTAGAGGCTGTAACGGCGTTCGATGAAACTGCTTCGATGAAACGGTGTTCGATGAAACGGCGTTCGACGAAATGTCCGGATCCACTGAAAAGCATAAAAGTGTTAGGGCCCTGTAGACAACAAGTCCGTCTCTGTACTGATTTCGGAAAATGATTCTGCTTGGGTTGAAAAGTTTTAATATTCAAACGGAATGAACCGCCACTGCTTTGAAAGCATCACGTAAAATTATATTTGGCAACGGAAGGCTGCTGCTATGGGTGCCTAGAACGCACGTCTTGGTGTGTAAAAGGTCCTTCGAATTCTGCCTGATGATCTCATAGAAGCCAAAGTTTAATTTGGAAAAGTTCATGCATGTCGCCGACCGCGATCCTGGCGGCGTCACTGGCACCACAGCAGTTTTAGTGGATGTGGCACACGCCTAAATTTTGCTGGGAGTCCACGGGGCAAAGGGTCCTTTTATTTCCTAACTCGGGTCATAAGAGCCCATTAATGTCCTCGCATTATTTACGCAAGGTATAAATGATTACTTTTCTATAGCCACCAGTTTTGTTCCGATAGGTTAAGTATTTGTTTACCGCGAAAAATAATAAATTCCGCCAGAGTTCTGAACCAAATGCTGAAGTTTGAGCACTAACCATTGGGGAATTGTAGTAGACCGTTTCCGCAGCCCGCTAAGCGCCCGGATAGCGCTCCGTAATCCCTCACAAGACCTTGAACTATGCAGACAAGGCTTGCGGCGCGCATGCGCAGCTGCGGCGTTTTCTTCACGGATACCGTAGCGGAGGAGAAAAGCGGTCTACTACAATTCCCTATTATTTGATTCAGTTACGAATAATTTTCTGAAAGCTTTAATGGAAAAAATGGCGATGCAGCAAAAATCGGCGCCTGCACGTAGCAATCTAAGCTTTTCGTCAAAGCTAGGTATATTTCACAAGTGGGTTTTACCTTGCAAAATTACAAGGTCTTTCTGTACAAAATAGGGTCCAAAACTTGCTAGGGACTATTATCGTCATTCTTGTCCAGCTCGATTGCACCTTCGCAATAATTACATCATCACCGACAACACCATCAGAACCTTGAAACGGCTACCACCCTACCACTGCGACGGCAGCATTGACGGGGAACGTCGGAATAATGTGTTTTTTTTTAGATATTTTGACGGTGGACGTTTGCAGACGTCGACTCCTCGCAGCTGGTAGAGCAAACGCGAACAGTTGGAAACACTGTAGTCTAGGCGAACGATGAGAGCGTGTAACCACGCCTGCGAGAAGGCCTTAAACCGACAGCGCTCCTGTCGGGAGACGCGCGAAACCCGAGTAAAATATTTCTGGCCTTCTTCAGGCACCTTTCCCTTTCGAAGCCCCGCTATTCGGTAAAAAATTCCCTATCTGAAGTAGCTTTTCCCTGAAAATTTTTAAAATATCCTTGCAAATTTCCCTACATTTTTTTTTTTCATTTTTATTTTTGCATTTGCATTTCTGTGGTCATGCAGCCACTTTGCTGCATGCTAAAGGCTAGTTTCCCCAGTGTCGTGTCCGTCAGCAAACAAATGATGACACTAAACTCTGGACAGCTACCGCCATCTATGAGCGACTGCGGCAACCAGACAACCGGCTTGTTTGGTTGCCGCCGTCGCTGGCCACCTCTCCAGCCTTTCCGCTCTAGCTTGCCGACTTGCGGCCGGCCATTACTTCATTGCCACCATAGTACAGCTTCGCTGGTCTTCCTTCTTCACAGAAATGAAAAGGCTGAAAGTTTTTTTTTTTATTATTATTATTTTTTTTTAGCTGCTCTAAATTTTTAAATAAAGGGAGGGAGTTATATGAATGTAATCTTCACGGCGTGGTTATATGGCTCGGCGGACATTAGTTGGGAATATCATCACTATTATCGAACGAATTACCTCACATTCGTTAATTATCTTTGTAATTACTGTAATTAGGATATATGTTTATATTACAAGCTTTGAGTAGGTCTGTAATTTACGCTAAATGTTCAACTGGCGCTAGTGTGCTGTCGCAAATTGAAGCAGACAGCAACCAGTCGATAATTTTCCTGTAATGCATTTCTATGGGAAAAAGTTAGTGCATTTTTCTCACTGCACTTAGTCATAAGACCAAGTATCCCGACTAATTCGTTTGTACTAGGTAGCTGCCGTCTGACAGGGGTATTCATCAGTCAAGCAGACGAAATAATTGAGGGCAACTCCGCTCAATTCCGAAAAATTTAGGCTTACATGTGATTCCATTTCACAAAGCACTACTAAACAGTTGTGCGTCTTCGGATTCGCGAAATGTGGAATAATATTTGTGTAATCTTAATTTAAACATCAGCTGATACCGAAACTTCGGTTGCGTCAGGCAACATTGGTCTTGAGTCGTCAGAGTCATGGCCACGTCACGTCGAACCACGTGGTCTTGTGACGTTCGTGGGGGCGAGGTACAGGACACGCGACGCGGGATGGCCCGGGGGAGAGGGGGAAGGGAAGAAGACGAAAGAGGAGAGGGGTAGCGGAGAAACAGACCGATAAGCGCGCAGGGCAGTGCAAACTAGCGCATCCGCGTTACGGTGATCACGTGGACGCCGTTGAGCCAACTGCCGGAGGAGAAACTCATGATGTCATCGTTCAATTTCGCTCTGAGAAGTAAAAACAAACAAAACGTGAGAGTGACGTAGTCATGCCTCTGACGTAGTGGTTCAACGTTGGCCGCTCCAACTCCGTCGCATTGACTGCGCTGACGATTGCGCCTCACGTCGCACGCTAGTGTTGGCAGATTTCGGCGACTTGGCTCGCTTGAAGGTTTGCTGGCCAGTTTATTAAATATATAAACGGAATTAGATCGTAATATTTGACATGGGGTCCTCCTCCTCCTCTCCCCTCCTCCGTACCCTCCTCTCCTCTTCCACCATACCATCCCCCTCCTCCCACAGTTTCTTCGTAAATTTAGCTGAAAAATTGACGTCACGTGACCTCAGCACCAATTCAGAGTCCCCCTCTAAATTTAGCTGGAAAAATGGCGTCACATGACTTGGTGCCACGTCACCTATGAACAAATTCAGTTTCTCTGCTAGATTTAGCGGGAAAATTGACGTCACGTGACCTCAACAGCAATTCAATTCCCCGCTAAATTTAGGAAAGAATTAAATTGGCGTCAATTTTCTCCGCTAGATTTAGCGGGAATATTGACGTCACGTGCCCTCAACAGCAATTCAGTTCCCCGCTAAATTTAGCGGGGAACTGAATTGCTGTTGAGGGCACGTGACGTCAATTTTTTCGCTAAATTTCGCGCGGTTACGCCGACGCCGCGAAATGCGGAAACGGGCGCCTCTAAAACGACTTCGTACATGTGTTTACGTGCACTGTCGGACACTGCTAGCGCGAACTCGACGTCGGCGCTTTTCAGCATGGGGGACATTTTTGCGTCACCATCGAAGACCAACCCTGGACACAGATTGGAAACGAGTGTTGCGTCGGTGCTAGGGTTCGAGTCCAGTTTGAGCGGAACGTTGACGCAATCGTCTTGTCCAATCTGTGCCCGGCGTTGGCTTTTTCTGATGACGATCATCACTACGGCTTTGTTATCTAGGCGGTGTTCTCTAGGAGGCCACTAGCAACGGAAGGCGGGACGAGAAAGGAGGGCAGTGGAATGCGAGGGGACAGCGTTAGTGAGAGGAGTTTTCCTCCTCCTCCGCAACCTTCCTGCTGCTTGCCCTTTCCGCCTCGTCTAGCGTTCGTTGCCTTCGGTTCCACCTTAGGTCCTAGCGTGGCTGATGTTACGAGCCGAAGGGCCAATCTAACGGCGAAAAAGGCACGCCGTCATGGCTTGCTCTCCGCGGTTGATAGTTCGCCGTCTTTCAGTGCATGCTTCTCCGCCGGCTCGTCCTATCAAGAGCGTAGAATGCCATGACGACGCGCTTTTTGCGCTCTTTGATTGGACCTTCGGCTCATAACAACGGTCGCGCTCGGACCAAAGCTGAAACAAAGTATAGTGACAGAGGAGTCATTCACACACCCCACACACTCTCACTTTTTCTTGAAACTTTTGGACTACAATACTTTATATATATATATATATATACAGGGTGTCACAAAAGAAAATTTACACGGTCTTTTTTACCGTAAAAATAAACTAGGCATCGCCGAACGCTCATTCTCCGCCCAAAGGTAGAGCTAGAGGTCACAACCATATGCCAAAGTTTCAGCCCGATCCGATAACTTAATCAAAAGTTATAAGTGATTTTCTGAAAAGTTCAATGGGAAAATGGAGCCCATTTTTGCCAGTTTTTGGTTTCTGGTGCCATACAGCCCCATGTGTTTGAAAACTCCGTCGGCCGCCATTTTCCCATTGAAATTTTCAGAAAATCGCTTATAACTTTTGATTAAGTTATCGGATCGGGCTGAAACTTTGGCATCTGGTTGTGACCTCTAGCTCTACCTTTGGGCGGAGAATGAGCGTTCGGCGATGCCTAGTTTATTTTTGCGGTAAAAAAGACCGTGTAAATTTTCTTTTGTGACACCCTGTATATATAGTTCTCTCTAAAGCTTTTTGCCGAATTCCTTCTTTAATCCTTAAAATTCCATGCAATCTCGTTAAAATTCCCTTTTCACCAAAATTGAGGCCGAAAATTCTCTGGAAAGGGAAAATTTCCTGCACGGAACATCCCTGACGCTTGGAAGAGTGACCTTTCAGTCAGGTCGTCACATCCACCAAGGACGCGCTGCCGTGGTAACGTGATTATAATGACTCCGTCACTCCTCAAGCTCTGATGGTTTGTTGAGCGAACCTGTTTGCTGTTTGAAGCTTGACCCAATAAGCGAGAATGGTCGGGATGACAGTATTTCTTTCTCTCGTGCGATGAGGGGGGATCGGTGGCCGAGTGGGCTAAAGCGCACACCCAGCTCGACGCGCGTGGAATGAAATCTCGCGCTGCAGAACGGCTCGAGGGCCACCCCTGCCCGTTTCGATCTGGATGAGCATCGTTCCGGCGTGCGGTCGTGTATCACTACTGTGTGGTGCACGTTAAACACCCCAGGCTAACGGTTGTACTGCACTGGCTAAATTGCTCATCTACAGCGTGTGACTCGTCGCAACTTTAATGGCTGACCAACTACACGCAGTATAAATATCCCCACAACCCAATTTGCTTTTTGCTCGTGCGATGTGTGCTGAAAGCGTGGTGCGCTGCGAGTAAAGTGATGTCCTGAGGTGGCACAGGTCTCTCTTTTGCGGTTGTGTTCCCGTTGTCTCACCGGCATACTTGTGGGACGTAGCTTTGTCCCGCCTCAACTCTCCCGAACCTTAAATACGGGGGATCAGCAAGATTCGATTTCTGTAACGTTTTTATTCGGTGATGGAATTGATAGATGTGACATTCCAATCAAAGTTTGTAATGTCCTATTTCCCAAAAGCACTGCTTTCAATATGTTCCCCACCGGCGGCGATGCACTTCCGCCCATACCACTGCACTATACCCTCTGGCATGCCGTCGCAGATGATTGAGGACGGATGTTGACAAGATCGACCAACGCCACCCATGGAGGAGCTGCAGTTCCGAGATTGTTTGCCTCATTGACACAGCCCAGACCCCGCGTCATCAGACTTGGCGGTTTTCGAAGACATCTGAAGGGTAGACTGTCTGCGTCCGACAAAGAGGTTACCGATGCAGTGTGCCGTTGGTGTCGTCAATTGCCGCCCTTAATCATCTTCGACGGCGTGCCGAGTGCATCGCCGCCGATGGGAACTATGTTGAAAAGTTACGTGTTTTTGGGAAAGGGGAGATTCCAAACTTCCATTCGAATGTAACATTTTTCAAGTCCGGCCACGGAATAAGAAAGTCGCAGCCTATGAGGTGAAACCCTTTGACCACCCTAGATAAAAAACGCGGTTATATATATATATATATATATATATATATATATATATATAAAAAAGCACGCATCAGTAGAGAATAATGGTGCTTTCTCTGATCAATGAAGATATATGGACGGCAGAGAAGACTAGTTGTGATGCTGAAGGATAATTTGCGCATGACATGAACCATATGAACGGTACTGTGAACCTACAGAAATAAATGAATACTAAAGAAATATCCTACCCAAATGTATTAAATGTGTACCGCCATAGGCTGGATATATATTTAAAAAAGAAAAAAACGATTAATATTTTCAAGTTTTGCAACGCAATATCCCTTCTCCCCCGATATCGAAACTTTACCTTTGCGTGATTTGTGTGGAGAGACCTCTGTGCGAACACCTTTCCTGCAAACGGTACCGAAATAAGCAGCCGACGTCGTTGCCTTTCCTTTGCAGTCGTGGGACTTCGAGGGTTCGCACGGCCTGCTGTCGAGCAGTATGGGCCGCGTGCACAAGATGGTCGGCGCCGCCAAGGGCAACCGCAGACTCGCCTGCTACGCGGCCCTGCTGGTGGTGGCGCTGGTGCTACTCGGCTACGCCCTGGCCACGAGGCGCTGAACCGCTGAGCCCTGTAAATACGCGCACTGTCTGGAATAAAAGATCGTGGGCTGCTTATTGGGACTTCCTCGCGGAGGAAAAGCGTGTCACGGGGCCCCTGATTGGCCTTTTTTCGAGCATGTCACAAACGCCCGGCCCTCGGCAACACATGCGGCGGCGTTTTTTTTTTTTTTTTGGCGGTGCGTAAACCGCCGTTAGTGTTTCACGCCTGCACGGATGCAGCCTCGCCGGTTTGCTTGCTCACGCATCATTATTGCCACGGGCCGACGTCTTTTGCGCGTCCGGGGTTGGTTGGCTTTTGTGTCCAAAACTACCGTTGTTTTCCATGCTGTGGCGCAGAAAAGGAAAAACTTTTAATCGAAAAAACACACACAGAACGTTTTTTTTTTTTTTTTTCTGCACCACAGTTTTGGGTGTTAAACGACGTGATTAACTGCCACCAGCTCGCAGGCTCGTCTGTGCACTCACAATCTTTTCCCTGTTGTTTACCGCACCGGCCATCGTGTTCCCGCTGTCCTCGGCGGTCCGTTCGTGATGCGTAGCGTCAACACTGCTCGGTTATACTGTCACGAGCCTCTAAAGCAACGAGCGCGAAAGGTAACGGTCGTTGTCTGCTTCCGAAGGAACGGGACGTTCAAATGAGTCTAGATTAACCAAACATCAAGGAGAATGCAGGGATTGGTGTTCCAAGCGCCGCACGTGCTGGCCTCAGCAGTAGTAACTTTTCTAAAGCAAAAACCTAAAACAAATTGTATCTTGCACGCGCGTTCGTCAACACTTTATTTTGGTCATTTACTTCGAATCTTTTATACGGGGAAGGCAAGCGCGTGTGGGCGCGTGGAACAGTGACCAATCCCTGCATTCTCCTTGATGCTTAGGTAATACAGCAAATGGTCTATTGTGGTCCCCGATATGCCACACGGTTTTACTCCATGAGGAAGTCCCGTTCCCGGGCTCTCAAACGGCTGCGAGAGCTTCCTTTTCTGTGGGGGCTCTAACTAGATCTCAGGGGTACGCGTTTTTCTCCGTTCTGTGGAAGCGTTCGTGCAACGGATGACTACTTTTTTTTGGCATTTCTGGGGAGAGGAGAGCTCGCGCACAGCTCTATTCAGCGCTCTAAATGGGAGAGGGAACGCAAGCCTGTACCTTCCCCATCATTGCCAAGAAAAGTTGTCGGGGGAAGGGCAGGCCTTGTCTTCAAAGTGGCTCACCCCTTATTGCGCCTCCTCACCCGCGGGTTACGTTACACATACCCTCTTTCCCAATGACGCCTGCGCAGTGATCGGTGAAGTTGGAATTTCCCCGACATGTCCCGATTTCGCTGATGTCCCGACAAGAGGGTTGAGCTACCAATCTGCCAAGCGATGTCCCTCTGGTTTTTGAGACTTGTGCTGTCCCGAATTGTCCCGAAATTATGTTGAGTGTCCCGAAAGACTACATATTTTCTTGATTGTTCACAATTTTTTGTAACTGGCACACCTTTATCCAGATGTGCCTTTCAACCGTTGGTGATAATTTTTGTATCGACAAGGAGAGAGAGAGAGGAAACTTCTTTATTGACCCTTAGTTCAGGGGGCGAACGTGGCATTTTTTTGTCAACGCTTTATGGTTGCCTTGCGGTCTCGTCGACCCACTTTGCCACATACTCATGCCCTCTTCGCCCCGGTGACGGGGTCGGACGGGGGTCGGGGTCTTGGGGTCCTCTTCCCAGTGGGTCCTTCCTGGGTTGTTCGCTTGGCTGCGCCCAGCTTTATTTTTACAATAGTTAGTCCCCAGTTGGCTTTTTCCTGAAAATTCACACTTGATCACATGATCCGATTAATTTTTATTAAAATTGGCTTTAAGTCTGCAGTGCCTCTGGCGGGAGCGGACGCGGGGGACAGTTATTTTACAGTCTTTTACAAGGAGCCCCGACCTTAAAAATATCTTCCCCTTCTCCAGGGATTATTTTTGTCGCGGCAAGATGGCAGACTTTCTGAAGAAATTAAGGCTGACAACTTAAGTCACGAAGCTTCCGCCACAAATGTAACCGGCGACGCATATACCGGAGAGCTGTACAGTAAGGAGAAGCATCCGAATTTATTCCAAGCGCGATTGCTAGCTAGGCCGGGAACAGCACGGCCCGACCTATACACGTATAGTTTGGAATTTTAGATTATGTGGCAAATAATGTTCGCCTTGGCTCGCCCTGTGGCACGGAAAACAAGCGCGTACAAGTCGTCCGATTCGAGGTCAAATATTCTAAAATTCAGTGTTGAGAATTACTTGAGGTGCATTGTACTTAAAGCTCTACTTTAAAACGGTTTAGAAAAGTTGTACTTTACTGAAAGTACATTCTCTGGGTTAGTACTTGTAATTTCAATGAGGTTTTTTTTTTTTTTTTTTTTTTTTTTTTTTTTTACTTTTTGAGGAAAGTAGAATTCCCGACTTCAAGAAACACTCACCGATTTTCAAAACAAAATGGCCTTTAGATATGTGAAAACGTGCTCTCGTCTTTCGAGACGTCATCTGGTCAGTGGAATAATGGCGGCTATAAGACAGATACAAGTAAGTACGTTATAGTTTGATGGTGTTAAATAGTTGGTTAGCGAGAGTAAAACAACTACTTTGTGGCCACTTGCTTTTATCCAGTATTCGCCGCCATTTCCAAAAATCACTGCTGCACCCCACATTTCCCTTAAAGCAATGCATACCGTTAAAAAAAAAAAAAAACGTTTATAGGGAAGTGAAAAAGCATCATGAATTATTGTGTTACAAAGGACTTGCACTTTACTTTGAAAGTGCATTGTACTTATAGTACTCTACTTCAAGTACATTGCGCCCGGTGTACTTACTACACTTGAGGTAGTTAACCTCTCATTTACTTTGCTATTTATTTCGAGCACTTTTTTTATATATCTACTTTACCCAACCCTGCGAAAATTACGAATTCCGCAATGCCTTGAGAATTCTCCGAATTCAAGCTTCACTGCTTCGGACCGGCGCTCTTGCGTCAAGCTTCACAGCTTGGCGCATGCGCTCAAACGTCAAGCTTTGCTGCTTTGCACCGCTGTGCTAGGAGAAGCGATTGACTTGTCCGAGCGTCCTTGGTTCACCCGATGGTTTCGGAAATTTCGCTCACTATTGAGGGTCAAACTTCTTTGGTTACGATCATCGTTTGGTCACCGATTTGACAATAGTGGAGCGCAAGAAAAAAATTTTATATCCCTGTCACAAGGCAAAATTATTCTAATTTCCGGCGAGGGACATTCGTCCCGAATCTCATTTTTTTTTGTTGCCACGCGGAAATATTTATTGTCATTCGCTGAAAATTACCTTATCCGCCAAACGAGTTCGGGGGAACTCATTCGCGGTTTCTGTCCAACTAACTGAGGAATCTCGACGGCCGAGACGCGCTAAAGAACGACAAGTTTTGCAGTAGTCTCCTTAATTCAAACTCCAGAAAGTCGCATCTTTTGTTCGAATTATCAAAAGTGCACCTATATATAGTGCAAGATAAAATTATGGCTTGCTGTATGGACGGCTACACAAGCAAAGCAGATGTTTCATGATTTCCTCTACACGGGCCTACTGATCATAAGCAGGCATGTCACATATGAAACACCGGTGAAATATATGACATGAGTTTATTCATCCTTCAAATGTTTTGCTTATTGTGGGCTGTTCAAACAGCATATGAAACTTCAAAACTAAATTAAGTTTGTTCTTCCTGCAAAAAGGTTGTGGACTGTTAAGGCCCGTTCACACACTCGCAACCGACTCCCGAGTAGGACCGGCTGAAACGAGGCCGGTCTTTAAGCCTCTTGCGACGGCTTAGGGCCTGCTCCGCATCAGCGCATCTGGTCCTACGCCGTCGCAAAAGTCCTAAAAGCTGGTCTTGTCTCATTCGGTCGTACTCAGTGGCAAGTATGTGAATGAGCCTGTAAGCAGGGGACACATGAGCGATGAAGACGACTGTCACGCGGCAGCTCCCATAGCAACTTGCGCAGACGGTGTGTCGTGGACCTACGCCATGCCACAACGCCTGTAAAAACAGCCGCACTGCACCCGTTTTCGTCGCTCACGTGTTCCCTTCTGTAGCCCCGTTGAGTGCGCTTCTTACCGAGCACCGGTGCACTGAAAAGAAGCCAGACCCGCGGAAGCGAGTTTCGCGGGTATTGCTTCTCCGCAGTGCACTGGTGCTCAGAAAAAAGCGAGCTCAACGGGGGTCGCAAGAATAAAATGGGTTGCACGGAAACATTGTTTGAATTAAATGGCTTGTAAACACATTGAAAACATAACAGGACGACCAATATTTTCGAATTTGTTTGAATTACCCAGAGGTACGAAATATCAAGGTTCAAATTATCGTGAGCATGCTGTAGTAACGAAAGGGGCAAATTAAATGTTGACACCTGAATGCGTTGGTACACTCGTTGTCTCATGAAGGAAAAATATTAAAGAGGCCATGAAACGATTTTTTTTTTACTTTCGCTAAATGCTACTCAGAATCACTCCCCAACGTTAATAAGCGACTAAACTTGCCTTAGTTTTTTTTTTCTATCTAATTAATGATAGTCTGCAAACAAGTTCGAAAAATATAAGCATCGTTCATCCCCTCAACTCGGAGCCAGAACAAGCGGCCACGTGGCCTGGTGCCTGTCCTAGCCTGTCCCATGCCGCCAACGTTAATCATAGCCACACGCTTGGGTCGGCAAAGTAGAGAACGCGTGCTGAGCTCCAGGCTCTTAAGTCCCATAATTACGTCATCGAGCTTTGCGAAGGCAAGACTAAAATGAATATCCTCCTTTTATCCTCGCAATTTCACCGCGACCAAGCTTCTGAATCAGTGGCAGTCCGTGCGAGTGTACTTGTGCCAGATAAGGACCAGGATGCCCTCGTAAATTCACGAACATTCCAACCCGATATCGTTTCATGACTACCGTCAATTTTTTTTGTTTTTTTTTGCATTATGCATGCGCTGCGCCAAAGTAGTTCTTTCAAGATTTTCTCTCGAAGAAAGTTACCATGCCTTTGGCATTTGAAGCGTGTACGTCTCTATAAGGTAGTGTCATATTCGACAGACACCATCTGCAGTAAAACGGTAACATTTTAATAATATTGAAAAGAACCTCCACGTTTCTTTTTCTTTTTTTTTCGAATACGGTAACCAAATAGAATTACTACCGTTAACCAGTCTCATCATGGAGCTAAATGACATTAGCCGATTGCGTGTGGCTGGGTCCAAGATTAACGTAATTTATATTCGGAATGACATTCGCTGGAAATTACATTGATGATGTCATAAAGCGAGAAAAAAGAAAACAGTTTTTATTTTTTCAAAAATAATTTACGCATCGCCCAGTGCTCAGTCCCCACCATAGAGTTATTATAATGTACGCTAGAGGTTCAACTGGCGCTAGTGTCTATGCGACTTCCGTGTCGCAAATTGAAGCAGACAGCAACCAGTCTACTTTTGCGGTGCTCCTGTGCATTCCTATGGGAAAACGCGCATGCATTTTTCCTCTTCGCCGGAAAATAACACGGAACACTTTGGTTATTTGGGTCGTACCGAATAGTATGTACCTTGATTAACACTGTGAAAGTGTAATTGCTTTAGTTAGCGCATTTTTCTTCATCAGTGAACGATGTTTAACTTCGCTACATTTCAGTTCTAAACGTGCGTTCCGCAGCAAGTGTGTAAAAACAAGCGACTATTCAAAGCAAAATTACAATCGAAACGAATATATTAGTGGGTTCAAGACTCGCCAGCATTCCGGTGACGATTGTATATTGATAATATGCCAGTCCTGTCACTATATGAAAATGATCCCGTCGTGCATGAGCGGATAAAAACATTCAAAACGTGGATAATAAAGTTCGTGGGCTATGAAAGGTGTCTCTCCGTATTGTTTTCTCTGTCGGGCAGCTTTTATCGCGCACTTATTCTAAAAGACATCGAGCGCGCGGGTGATATCTTGAACGTACAAGCAGCTTCGCTCAGGAAGTGGTACTTACTTATTTAAAATCGGAATAGATTACGTGGCCTTCAATTTATTTTGACCGTACATCCACTGCGAGTTACTGATCTAGTGTTACTGCGCAGTTCTTGCCGCCGCTCTTGATTTTCCAGATGTCCTCCGTTCGTTTGGCATGTATATCCCCCATGCTGGAAATCGCCGACGCCGCGTTCGCGCTAACAGTGTCCGACAGTGCTGATAAATACACGTACGAAGCCGTTTTAGCACCGTTTTTAATGCGATGAATTCGAAAGAAAAACGCCGTAACTGACCAATTCTTTCGTCGGCCTGACTGAGAAATGTTCCAAACTACCTAGTACGTACGAATTATTCGGGATATTTGCTCTTATGATCGAGCGCAGAGAGAAAATGCACTCACTTTTTCCCATAGAAATGCATTACCGGAAGTCAATTTTCGACTGGTTGCTGTCTGCTTCAATTTGCGTCAGCACACTAGCGCCACTTGAACCTCTAGCGTACATTATAATAACTCTATGGTCCCCACCCAATCGTAGCGCGATTCGGACCAGATGCCAGTTTCGTAACTCGCCCCGATCTATAATTCAAACTATTTAAGACATTTTCTGAAATGTTTTAAAGAGGGGCGTATTCCCGGTTCGATGGCTCGTAGCGTCATCTGCATTCCATCGCGAAACAGAGAACTTGAAGTGTCCCGTGCGGCGAGAAGACGAGGCCTTTCTGGGCCAAACGTCATCACCAGTGGCCCCAGGGAGCGCCGGCTAGGCGTGCGTTAGGTTCGCTGCTAGCACGCCTTGGAGCGTCTCGGAACGAGCGCGACGCTATCATGCGGCGACGCCGAGAAGGGCTCGTACTCTCGTTGAGTTACGGCATGTTTGGCGCTTGGGACGGGATCCACTAACGATGACGTCATTCGCAGGCCTTGAATGCGCAAAACATAAAGCGCGCACGAAAGGAGGTTCTCACCTGCATTGTTTTGCTTCCCTTCTGCCTTTTCTGCGTTCTGAAACCACAAAATATGAAACCGACGTCAACTTCGTCTTGCATTCCTGAATAAGCTCACTTGCCGCACGCCGGAACCACGCATTTCCGAAAGGTCTACGGTCTGAGAGTGAACACGATGACAGTTTTCGAAGAGGCACCTCGAACAATCGAGGCTGGGTTTATTGCGAGACGACTATGGATGCCTGGAGATGACGCGTCCGAGGAATAAATAAAAGAGCCTCCGGCATTCCCCGGAAGAAGGCGGTTTCCAGGGTCTCCTTCGGCGAGGCCCGCCCGCCGCACGGGGTTTCCAGACCGGCGGGAGGGGCCCGTGGCTAATGCAAGCGCCAGCGCTGTACAGCTATTTACACTCTCGCGAGATGAACGAGGGATGGCCGAAGAGCCGACGGACTCGGAAGAGTCGGCACAAGGACAAAGTGTTCGCAGACGTGCTTCTGCGGGGATTAGGCGGGTGACGCGAGACTCTTTGGCGACGTCGCCGACCTCTCGGACGACCCGGACTGAGAAGGTGCCCGCCGAACGGATGCGGGGTGTCCCACCGGAGAAGGGGCGGCGCCATTTGGCCGCTGGTCGCGAGGAGGTCCGTCGACGAGGACGGCTTCGGCGTCGGTGGGGGCGGCAGTGCGTCTGCGTGCGGTCACTCGGGGAAGAGCACCTTTTGTACCACTTGGATGGGTCGCCGCCGAGGGCGGAAGCGTCCTCTGTTATCACAGCTTGGAACTAGCGGGACTCGCGACGTCGCGGAGTCCTCAGCTGGCAGCGGTCCAGCGAAGCGTCACCAGGACGGCCGGGAGCCAGAAGAGCCCGATGCAGCCGCTGGCCACGGCACCGCTGCTGCTCCCTGGGATCTCGTTGAGTCTCGGCCGACCTGCGGGGAGGGTGGACGTCAGTATACCACACAAACCTAGCACTGATCTCGCGGTGCACGCTTACATATGCATTCCGTGTGTGACACGCGAATGCTTAACCATGCAGAGGAGACTCAAGGCCAGGTGCACGGCGTCCTCACCCGTGGCAGCCTTCCATGTCTTGGTGCTGGGGGCGTCGGCCCGGTACCAGTAAGGGTCGTGCGTGTTTGGGTGCAGCGGGGGCACCAAAGGTCCTGGGGGTCGGCTGCTCGCCTTGCGGTACGGAGGGACCTCCGCCACGGGGCTCCGCGGGGGCGGCTCTGGGGCCAGGGCGTTGCACGAGGCTGTGCGAGGGAAAGGGTTACTCGCCAACGTCCACGGGCTCTCTACTTTGCACCCTCACGGGGAGGGATGCTTTTCCCCATCGGGCCCCGGCGGTTTACGACCGAACACATCTCGCGTGGATTCACCTGTCAGGCTCGTCAGGCTTTTTGGCTTCTTGCCTTTGCCTCCCATTCAAATGTATTCCCGCACAAGAAATATATATTTGCTTTAAATGTTATAGCGACGGTTGTTTACGATGGATGAGAGCTGTGCGTCGGCTTTCGAACATGAGCCGATAATTTTGGGCTCAGAACAGTCCCTCGACCGTCGGCCGTCCTGTGGTCCGGAACCCACCTTGCTTGGAGATCTTCATGCCGTACAGCAGCGGGTCCTCTCCGCGGACGCAGCTCTCTCCGGCCTCCTTGATGTAGGCCTCCTCCCCGCGGCGGATGATCTTCCCGGACTGCGAAAGGGCCGGCGGTGAGCGGCACTGGCCCGGCCACCAGGAAGAAAGCGAGAGGGAACGGGCACTCACGAAGCACTGGTAGCCCGGGATGTCCCTCCGCTGGGTGTGGGTGTAGGTCACTCCGTCCTCCTGCCAGCTGCCCAGGCAGCGGTACTCCCGCTCTGCGTGACAGACGCGCGTCAGCCAGCCGGGGGACGGCGCCTCGGGGAGGGACTCACCTTCGTACACGTGGCTCTTGTTGTCGCAGCTGCTCACTGAGTAGAACATCACGTCGGGGTTGTTGCAGTCCGAGGCCACGCGGGCGCAGAGGCCCGTGGTGCCTGGGATGACGCCCGTGTAGTCGCCCGTGATCGGGCAGCCCGCCGTCGACGCCTGGCCCCCTGCACAGCCACCACGTGCCTTAGACCTGGCGAGCGTGCCGGGAAGCCCGGGTCGCGTCCGCGACTGCGTTCAGGAGGTCCCGGAACGACAGCGGGTGACCTCGAGGGGATGTATACTCACTTCCTTGGGTGACCCAGGCGGTGTCCGCGAACTGCTCGTCACTGCACAGGCTGTCCGACAAGTGGCCGTTCGGACTGGAACCTGCGGGTGTCGAGGGATGGTCAACCAAGGTTCCGCGTGGATCCTGGGTGTCTCACTGAGGGGCACTCACCGAGTTGGAACTCCATGACGTTCAGGGATCGCCGCCGGAGCCGCAGGCAGTAGTACAGCTCTTCCCCACTGCGGGGAGGAACCGTGGTTCAAGCCTCCACCCTCTCTCTCTTTCCCTGCTTTGTCTCAAAGACATGCAACTCACCACTGCGTGACCCCGTGGACGGCGAGCAGGTCGCCGCTGCCGCTCTGGCGGGCGACGCAGCGCGCCGTGAGTGTGACGAAGCGCTGGGTGTCCCTGAAGACGAATGTGCCCCCCTGGACGCTGACACGGTCCCAGGGGCCCTGGCTCCAGTCCGGGAAGCGGCACTTGGCGGACTCCACCTCGGCCGGCAGGCTGCGCTCCGCCACTGTGAGAGGAGATGGAACTTTTGCAGCGCTCTGCACAGCTTGTCTTCCACAAAGCTCAGTGTTTACCCAACGCTCGTTAAATTTACATCATCGTCCTGGATGGAGCGCAGGGCACAGTGTAACGTAAAAAGTGTCGACAATAAACGGAGTGATGTTGGCGGGACGTGACAAGCTGAAACTCTGTTGGAAGCGGTCGTCAACGGATGCGAGCTTGACCTACTTCGGCCTTTGTGGTGAGCAGGTGCTGGAGACATCTGCATGCTGCATTGTTCATGCAGGCCGGCTACAAAGAGCCCCTCCTCGGGCGACCGAAGAACGCAAAACAGAGGAACGAATATTTAAAGGGACACTGACAGGGTATTTATGCTCGCCAAAGTTTTCATTTGTACATGACATATGAGAGCCCAACTATCCAGAACACAATTTGCGGCTCGAAATTCGTTTTCTTTCCACCCGAAAGCCGTCGATCGAGAACTGGCCGGTTTGAGTCGCGCTCACTCCCTTCTCCGTGGTCACGTGCCGTTTTCTATGGTTTAGACACAACCACTAAATAAAATCAAAGTCACTGGTCATCGGAGGCACAGATTCAATATTTAAAAATAGAAAATATGATACAGTATCCACAGTTACGTGACTTTTGCCAACGTTGTCCTCTATATTTCTTCTTCCTCCCCAGTCCACTTTCGGTTTCGAGCAGTTGCTTTTTTTTTTTTTTAATTTTATTAAAAGTATACGTGACGCTGTAGCAAAACATTGAGAACGTCGAGCTCTGATTGGCTCTGATTGAAGGATAGTAGATAGGCCTGGAGGCAGCTTGCTTAGAGGTCTACCCACTATTCTTCAACCAGAGCCAATCAGAGCTCGGTGTTCTGATATCAGAACCACCCCTGGAAAAGAAGCAGACGAGCTTGCGCTCCTATGGCCGATACGGAGAGATAAGCGGTTGTTCTCGGCATCGGCCGCAAGTCGGAAAGGTCTGCTGGGAAGTTAAATCGGCCTTATTTATGGCCACCTAGAAGACAAGGCCATTGCCCCGCAAACGTTGTCACTAGTGGAGCGACAAAAATTGTCTTGCTCTTTATGTTTATACAGCCTTGATGGAGATGCGCCTCAACGGGTAATCGGTCTCTTAGCTGTAGATGAGAAATTTAGCCAGTGCGGTACAACCGCTAACCTGGGATTTTTAACGTGCATCACGCAGTAGTGATCACACGAACGCGTGCCGGTACGCAACTCATCCAGATCGAAACGGGCGGGGGCGGTGGGGATCGAATCCAGGAGGTTCCCAGCGCAAGCTTTCGCTCCACGCTCCGAGCTGAGACGCGTTAGCCCACTCGGCCACTTCCTCCCTATAGTGGAGCCACGCAGCGCCGCCTAGCTTAGTATCTCGGTCAGCGCATCTCGCAGCGCCTCACAACGACCGCGACACCAAGACGGACGAGCCGGCCGCTCGGTGTCTCGTCGAGCTTCACCGTGTTCGCCGCCTGGGGCGGGTCGGGGATCCACTAACGATGACGTCACGCGCAGGCCTTGGCTTCTAAGTGGTATCGGTGGAGCGCCCTCTTACCAGGCGTCAGGATGAGGGACTCGTAGCCGCTGGTGGCCGAGCTCAGCTGGGTGCTGCACGTGGAGTCCGACGACAGGGACACGTACACCCTGCCCGTGCCGGGCTCCTCGCGGTACAGCTGCAACGAGAGGGAGGCCAGGTCGGACCGAAGCTTCCTTCTCGACACGCGATGCAGACTCGGTCTTTCGCCGAGGGATCGACACCCCCCGACCGGCAGCCGACACGGCCGTATATCTGAGCGACGGATTCTTCAAATTTACCCGCGCCTCACAGATCCCACTGAGAACTGGGACGGAGCATCTCTGGAGAACTCAACGGGTGAACTCATACTGCCGGTTCTCAAAACGGATTCAGACGCAGTCTATACTTGGTTTCAGCTGAAGTCCAGACGCAGCCGATGCTACAAGCGCGAGCTCCGGGCTTTCAGCGTCCCTGCCAAGCACGCGCCCTCGTGCAGTACAAGCATTCTTGAGAGCCACATGCTCGCGCTTGTAGCATCGAGCACGCGGCCGGGAGCGTGGGAACGGCCAGGGCCCTCGTCGGTCGGAAACGTGCGGGCCACAGTGCGCCCCCTTTGTCGGGCATTCACGCGGGGCCTTTCGGAATCCCGTCTGTCCGGGATTTGCCTCCCTCGACGTCCGAGGACTCTTCTCGCCCCGTGGTGGTCGCAGCAGTGGCTTCCCGACCCGCGCAGGCCCGATAGAAGACACAACAAGTTCCAAGGGTGCGCGTCGGAGGTCGGGCCGCGGGTTCGCGAACACTCACCCCGCATCGGTACCGGGGCCTGGACTCCGGGTCCTGCCGGAGATCCATGAGGGCGAGGAAGCGGTCCCCTCCCCGGGGGTTCTCCCAGTCGCCCAGGCACACGAAGCTTACGTCTGCGCAGGAGAACATGGGTGGAGCTCTCAGAGGCCGACAAGCGTTTCCACGGAGGCCGGCGAAGAGCGCCTATGCAGCGAAGCAACTGATCACAGTTATACCAAACGTTGTATGGAACATGGTCGCGTCGGGCAGCGGGACAGGTTGAGAGCCATTCGCTAAACATTGTTTATAGAGTGCTTCTCGCAGTTTGTATACACCATGAAGCAGGGTGGAGAAGAAAAATCAATAAATTAGGAATAAAAGCGAGGCCCGGCACTCGACTTGGTCTTCTGCGTCGTCGTTCGTCGTTGACCCTGGTAAATTTCTTGGCCCTATTTTTTATTTTTTTTTGCAGGACGGGAGTCACGCTTTCTAAGATTTACAACAAAATACCGACTTGTGAAATGCACCTTTGAAGAAAAGTTTAGATTGCTACGTGCAGGCGTTCAATTTTGTGGTACATTTCAGATCGAGTCTGGTGACTTGGGACACCCTTTATATATATCGACATTATCAGCTGAGCCATTTTAGAGCATGAGCGCACATTTCATTTGCATTCATACCATTGCAAATACTATGTTCAGATTAATGTCTCGGCCTGTCCAGCTGAAAGGCAATGTCTGCTTTGCCTTCTCACTTATGTGCAATTCTTTCTTTGCTTCGACTGCACAGCAGGAGCGGTCACCCTCAAACACAATACTAGCATTTAGTTGCGTAGAAGAGCACCAGACACGGTGGCAAGACGAAAGACAGCACAAACTGCTGTGAATGGTTATTTTAGGTACTGATTTCCACTAAAAAAATGGTAGAATACAATAATTTCGATCACCTAAATCAGTGTTCCCTTTAGTATCAAGAGATTGTAATAAAACTGCAATCAGATAAAAAAAAAACGCACTTGTCATTTGATTATGAACATCAATTACATTTTTTTTATGTAGAACTTCATGACAAAAGTAAGCATGTGAACAATCAGTAGGCCTTCTTAAAAACAATCCCGCCGAACTCATTAAGGTTCTCCCCACGCTTCCATCTACTGCCCCTGCCAAGTTAGTTCTAATTTACGACACCTATATAAAAGGGATAACTAAACAAAGGAGTTAGCGTACAAAATAAATCTACAAAAGAGTGCATATAAATAATCTTGCAATACCGAAGTATCCTCGCTAAATCTCGAATTAGAAAGAGGTACCGCGAGGATATCGGAGTCTATCATACAAGCCGAAGATGTGTTCAGAAATTGTGTCGCGTCTTGCTTTGGAGGAGTGCTTTCCCCTTAGCACACGGGTGCTCTGCGGCGAAGCAAGACACGCAAAATCGCGATGGTTGCTTTGCGGTTGTCGCTTCTCTGCAGTACATTACGTCGCGGGGAGAAGCGCACTCAACGAAACTAACTAGTTCTTTAGAACAGATCACGAACACGAAAATTATTGCAAAAACTTCCGAGTACCGTTAACCTCTGATCGAAATGCAGTCGAATAGTACGTTATTCGAGACTATAATCAAAATTTCTGAAACATCGCTTAAGTAACTGTAACAATCCGGTCAGGTAGCGAGGCCCCGAGCTATTATATGTTCAGTATTATTAGAGCGAAATTAAATTTTGGAGCAATGTTGGGGCAATTCCCCACATTTTGGCAAAATGGAGCAGGACGTAGCAGGGCAGGCACTTTGGCGCAGATGGCACAGCAATTGCATCACTACATTCCCTCGGCCATACTTCACACGAAACCTCGAGGTCCACTCACTCCTACTAAAAGATACTGGTGTGCACGACCGCTCGATTCTGGTTCCCGCTGCACAGCAAGCAAGCGGCCGTGGTAAACAGGCGATTACCCTTCGACGTAGTCAATTTACTAAAGCATTTCCAAGCGGATGTAAGTTCGGTTTCCCGTACTGCGCCCTATTGCACCCTTTTCACTCCCGTTCGACGAATGAAGGGTTATAAAGGGAAGTTCGTGCGAAATAAGTATACCGAAGGGTGTGTTCGAAAGGCTCACCGAAGTCCGGGAAGGAGCACTGCCTGAAGCGCACGGTGAGCCCGTTGCCCCTGGGGCAGTTGCTCAGCTCGGACGAGAAGGGCTCCGCGCAGCGGAACTCCTCGCCGTTGGCCCGGTACTGGAAGCGGTAGCGGCCGTTGATCGGGCAGAACATCTCGTGCAGGGCCGCCGGCTGCGACGCCGCGCCGACCGTGGGGCTGCCTCCCGAAGCCTGGTCCGGGGACTGCTTTCCTGCGGAGGAACAACGGCAAGACGTCCATCGTATGCTCGTCGTGCGACGGTCGACCAGAGGGCGCGATCGACGCCGCTGCTTTGCACGGAGAGGTGTAATAGCGAGTTCGTTTCACACGCACTGGCACGGTTCGAGTTCTCTCCCAGAATGCATCGCACTCACAGAGTGTTGCACGGAAAACTGGACTCAAACGAACTCGCCAAATGCACCGAGTGCAGAAGACTGACGCTGCCGCCATCTATGTTGTAGAAAAGGTACCGACTTCAAACCGAAACTAGCGCCTTTCTGTTCGGTGTGATGCGTGGGAATGCGAGAATGCAGTCGCTACCAACGTTTATCTACGAACGTTGCTCGCTGCAACCTGTAGTTTATAGTTGCGATGGCTTCAAGCAGCTAGGCTGCCGTAGAGATAATTACAGACGGCGTAAATTTTCGCAACCAGCTGTCTACAAAGCAGCGGGTTGCGATCTTTCAATTCTTATAACCGTTTACACTGAAGAAAACTGATGATGCTGTCCGAGCAGAAGCTTGATCCGTTTGAGCATGGTATTATTCGTGAACCACTGAAAGGGTACGGCTTAAAACTAGCCTGTTGGAATATCCAGCAAAACTGGGACTTTCGATTTGGATCGTCATTATAGGTGGATTAGATATTAGCCTTGGTGAGGGCGTCGAGAACGAGAGCTTTCTCGAACAAAATACGACGGGGCAAGTTAGCTGACGTAGGTAAATGTTAAACATGGTGATGTTGCCCAATCCTCGGGTAGTCTCCATCTTTAGCTTTCTCTGATGCTTATTTAGTAGTCAGAGGTTTCTGCCGGGGGAGTTTTGTCGACAAATGTTAAATTTTTCACCCGCACATGGATGGTGATAGACATCTCGGGGGCCGCTGTTGCGTTTGTTCTGAGCATTTCTTTATACACTGGTATATTTCAGCGTTTTGTGCGGCAACAGAGCGATTTAAAACCTGCAAATAAATCACGGGCTGTCAATTGCTTCCTTCGTGAAATAGCAGACGCTCACAATTCAAGCTCGGGTTTGATTTCGTTGCCCGCAGGACGCGATTTCTATCAGAAAATCTTTTTTTTTTCGTTTGGTTCCGCGACACATCGTAGCAGACGAACCCTCGTCGTCTGCTCACGCTCCTCGCCGGCCCCACCGGAGCGAGGCATGACGGGATTCCATTTTGGCGCACTCCCGATTTTCTCGGTGCAGCGAGTGCATGCACGCGTGGGGTGTCAGCGCTGAAACGAACTCGGAGAGTGCAACCACTCGTGGAGTGCCGGCCGAAACGAACCCGTTCCACGCTGCGAGTGGGCACGCGTGGGCACGAGTGCCGTGAAACGAACTCGCTATTAGTTACACAGCCTGCCTCTCACTGGCGTCCCGCTGGACGGTGTCGCCTGGGACGACGCCAGTATAACGCTCGATCGTGCTTAAGGCTTTACTGGAACTCTGAAGGCCGCGACTGCGGCGCGAGATTTCGCTCCACGCGCTGTCGAGCTTCGGGGAACCCTCGAAACCGCCCACCCCAGGTGAGAAGATGCAAGAGAGAGGACGCTGCGATTGCTGACGAATATCTCCAGAGTTCCGGAACAGCGAGGTTTATGACGTGTTTGTAATAGAGGGTGCTACCAGTTCCCCATAAACTGACTCGACAGGTTGTTCTGAATGCGCTCCTCGACGTGGGTCGTTTCTCTACCAAAAAGGGAAAGAGGGGTTAAAGTCTTTGAAGGAAGGGGCTAGCGAGCGAGCGCACGTAAAGTCGGTTTAAATCGACACCTCCGGGACAACAAGGCCGGATGTGTTTCTACGTCAGCTACCCTAGGCCAGCGCTTATACTGGGTGCGAGTTCTCCGCCGGCGCTCTGCTGGGTGCTTGCACCGATTAAACGAGAGTCCCGAACGCTGCATCCAATCTGCACGCTGGCCTTCGGTCCGTGACGTAGAAACCGGCCTCTTCGTTGTCCTGAAGGCCCCGAGCCCCTTTTTCCGTGCAGCAGCAGCAGCAGCAGTCTCGAAAGAGGCCGAACGTCGACGCTACAAGGAGGACTCAACGTACTGTACAGGATGATCTCGGTGAAGCGCCTCTCCGAGACGGCTCGCTCGTCCGGACACGTGGCTCGGGCCGCCTCCACGTTGGTGTAGCAGCGGGCCAACCCTGCACAACCGGCCACAAGTGGCTCAGTCCGAGGGCTCGTCGGACGAGATGTGCGCGACTTACCTTCGGCGTGGATCTGGATCACGTTGGGGGTCTTCAGGGTCAGGTGGAAGCAGCGCATGCAGTCCTCCGTGCCCGTGCTGCGAGCACACGTTCAGTCGGATAATTAAGTGCCGATTGGGACAGCTTTGGAATGCAGCATGTATTTTGCGACCTTCTGAAGCGCATGCGTGGCAGGTGGCCACTTGTCAAAACCCTGGACATTGAACGTTGTTGGTTGCCTTATGAAATAATTATACGTATGACGGCGTGATTCAATAGATAAAAATACAACCGCATTTTTTTCTTTCTCGCTTAGTTTTAGTTGGTCATTTACGTGCAATGTCGCGCAGTGCCATTGCGCACGCGCTGTCTATTCCTCCTGGCGGGAGGCGAGCTCACCTGTCCCTAAGGATGACGTGGTGTCCCCGTCGCCGGTGACAGCGTCCCCAGGGCGGGATGGCGTCCACCTCGACGGTGATCTCCGAGTAGGACACGACGGAGCCGCCGAAGGCCGACGTGGCCTGCGTCTGCATCAGGAACGTGCCGTGCAGCTCCACCGGGAAGTAGCACACCGCCATGCCTGCGAGGACGAGCAACCCGCCGCATGTACTGGCTGCTGTATGCGGTCCGCCCGAGTTTCCCTGTGCACCTCCACGTTCCCCGGGACCAGAAACGTTTTGCAAAGACCCCAAAAGGCTGTGCACGAAGTGCGCAACGAGTAAAGGCCGGTTCTCACATGCAGCGAAGCGCTAATGTAGCGCTCCTCACGCGCCGTCAGCTACTTATCGTCTGCGATGAGCAACAGTTTTGACGGTGCGATACAAAGCTGGTGAACGCTCCCATCAGCACGCGCTTAGCGCGAGGTAAGCGCTATGCTTGTAGCACTCCGCTGCATGTGGGAACAGGCCTTTATGGACCAGTCATGGACGAGTCATGGACAAGTCATGGAGGAGTCATGGAGCCATGGCCATGGACACTATGACAAAAATGTCTGCGATCACGTCTGAAGCATCTTCGAAGCGCTCCATATACGTACTTCTGCTTCGAGTAATGGACCAGTCATGGACGAGTCATGGACGAGTCATGGAGCCATGGTCATGGACTGCTCCACTAGTCGTACAAAAGACACGGTGTTCGCGGCAGACACTATGACAAAAATGTCTGCGATCACGCCTGAAGCATCTTCGAAGCGCTCCTTTATACGTGTGTCTGCTTCGAACAGGTCTGCGGACAGTTTGGGTGTGACCAGTGTGACCGTTGCTCAAGAACACCTCAGACAGTGTTTGCAGACTATCTTTTGTGGGGCGTGTTAGCGGTGTGGCCGCCGCTTTATGTCCCTCCTTGCCCGCGACGCAGAAGAGAGAGAGGGAGAGGCAGGGTAGGCCTGCTAGAAAACGAGGCTCGTCGACGTCATCTACCGGAGACCAGCGTGTGAGGCTCTGATTGGACGCGAGTGCTGCGTCAGCGTTCGGCTCGGACTCGTGCCCAATCAGCGAGCAGACAAGTTCCAGCCGAACCCAGTTCTCGTGTCCAATCTGTGCACATACTCGTTGACACATCGAAGGAAAGCGAAAAAAAAAAGTTTTTTGCATTATTCATGCTGCGCGAAGTAGTTCTCGCGAGGTCTGCTTGTTGAAGAAACAAACGATGCTTTTAACGTCTAAAACGTAGGTGTACGTCTCGATAAAAGAACATAAAGCTAATCTAAGTGCGCCTAATACGTCTTAATCGAACGCATGAGGAGGGAAATTAATAGATTCCGCAAAAAAAAAAGGCCTTTTTTTAACAGTTTTTTTTTAGGTAAATACGATAAAATGTGTTGGGGTATACCCTATAGCATAGGGTAGCCTAGTTCCCTGCCCGACCTCGCCCACTCGCTTGGATTATCACTTTTTTTTTTTTCTTATCGGTGTAAAAGCGATAGTGTTATGGGGAACACTTTGCAGAAATTTCGTCCCCGTGGCTTGTCGTTGCGGCGCGCGCGGGGAAAATGGAAAAACCTTTCTCTTCCCTCTTGCCGCGAGGAGAGGGAAGTCGGAACTTCCCGTACGCCGTGCCGCGCGAAGAGAGCGAAGGAGGCAGCCCTCGCGTCCTGCCAAGAATGGCGCGACGAAGGGAGAATTAATTCCTGTCGTCTGCTTGAAAGACTTGTTTTCAAACATTACTCGCGTTATGCGAAATCCCACTTTGGAAGTATCCAGTTGGTATACGCGTAATGATGCAGAATTTTAGAAACTTCCACCGTGCTTACCCACTTCACGGATCACCGAACACTATGGCGGTCGTCAGTGGTATCCATGACGCCAACCACGACGGATATCAAAATCAACCACGCCACATTCCCGTATTCAGGTGCGTGACGGCGCCATTCCACTCGCATTGCGAGACCGTGCTACAGCCATCGTTTTCGTTTCTTCGCACATCGCACGCGGAAAATACGAATTCTTTGTCTATACAGCTAGCTTCCGGCATTCCTTTCGGCGCCGTGGACGAGTGTCCCTTTTTAACTTCTCGTGTCGAGCACACGCCGAGCGCACGTTGCAAAAAGGACTGTCTTCCGCCGAATCGGAGCAACACCGGACCGCGCTCGGCGTGTGTGCCCGACACAAGGAGTTGAAGAGAGGCACTCGTCCCCGGAGCGTCGGCCATGGCGCAAACGGGCGCGAGACCGGCTGCGTCAAGGACTATACCGCGTGCGGCCTATCTGGGGAAATTGGACGGCGTTTCCATTGTTTCGCCGTCGGCTCGTCCGGGACTTCGTATTCTCTGCTGCGTGGCGCAAGCGTACTTCTCGGCGCTTAATTGCCGGGCCGAGCTGCCCCGCCAGGGATAGCACCGTTCCGCTATGACGATGTACGTCTGAGAAAATGTGACGGTGCACTACCATCGATGGCGCGGCACTGTTCCGGGCAATAACATCCATGGGCGCCACTGGCAGTGTTGGCGATAACGCGTATAAGAGTAACGGCGTCACCTGCAACGCGTCACTTTCTTCTGTAACGTAGTCACGTGCGCGTTACTTTTTCACAACGGTTACACCGTTACATCTTCCCTAGACTTAACAAAGAAAGTAAACTTCAATTTTTTAGCGTTTTTAGGCGCCAGATCGTATAGATTCTTGCACTCATCTCACATACCTTCGGAACTGTGCCCTTATATTCACCACGCAAAAATACACTCCCACTTTAGAAAAACCCAAACGCCCACGCCATTTGTCCCAGTCAAGACGGTAACGCGTTTTAATCCATAGATAAAAAATGTAACGGGCCTCAATTTCTATCCGTAATGTTAACACGTTTGAGAGTAACGAGTAACGTATTTCGTTACTTTCTTTCCGGTAACGCCTACAAGACTGGACAATCGTTTGCCAAAACGACCGGTGGCGGGCGTTGTCAACAGACTAGACGAACTCGCTGGAGAGGATCGGCAGCGTGTCGTCGACCGTGGCTCACGCGCTCCAGCCAGTCACTTGACGGTCACGCACCTGTACCCCTGCTAGCCTCGTTCCCAGGCGGGGGCGGTCGCCGCGATTTAAAGAGACAAAAAAGAACACGGGCACAAAGGCCCTCCGCCTGCTCCGTTTTTGATTGGTGTTGGGCCGAGTTTTTTTTTCTGTGAAAGCGGAAGTGGACGCTCTTTGTGGCTCCCCTCGCACGCTTTGCTGGCCGGGCTAATTGGTTGTCCGGCCTCGCACGGAGTCGCTCGCGCGCTGAACTCTGCAGTCCGCCACTTTCGCGCCGGCGAATTATCCATTGCGGCGCGCCGCCGCCGATGCAAACACTGACCCGACTGCGGCTTGCCCGCCCGCGCTCGTCCAACTCCCGACGCCTGCCTGTAGGACCAGTCAGCCGTGTGCGTTGCCTCTCCGTGCCCCGCGGAGAACATTCGCGATAAATAACTTTCCGGTTCGACGCTCGTGCGATAGTGGATTTTGCCTGCAGGGCGCGCACTGCCCAGCTCCCGGGAGAAGTAGGTAACATCCGTGGCAGAGGTGGGAACATTCTCGCGTTATGGTGAGGCAAGAACCATCCTCGGCTGTCTGTCGAAGGCACGCATGCTTCCACTTTAAAGACAGTGTCCGCGTTGTGCTTTGTACCCGATGTCGATTGAGAGGGCGCCGCCATCCACCCTGACTTGTGGAAAGGGTCTATTCGTTGTTGTTGTTGTTGTTTTTGTTGTTCTTTTCCGTGCTCGTCTCGTTCACTTTCCAAAAAGGTTTAAAACGTTTAAAGCTCCGTTTCGGCGAGCCCCGCCCGCAGTCAATTTAAGGCGCGGCCGCGACAGGAGGGCACACCTCTATTCGGATGCGAGTGCCTGCGGGAGCTTCCCTGCTGAGTTTAGGCGGACCGTTTTCTGCGCTCCGATGAGAGGATGGGCCGGCCAAGGGTCGAATAGTTGCATCGAAGTCATCGGAATGATATCCTGTAATTCCCTGCGGTCCCTGACAGGACTAGAACGGCAGTGAGGTACGTGTTACAGTAGCCCCACCTCCTCAGCGAGCTTCAACCTTCGACGATGACCGTTTGGGGCTGAGCCAGCTGGGTCATGCTTGTGGTTATGACCGTCGGGGGGAGGCTTATGCGGCTCCAGACCCCCCCCCCCCCCCCCCAAATATATTCCTAGCTACGCTACTGAGTGAGAGAAAGAGAGAGAGAGAGAGAGAGGGAAATGGGCGCAAGCTGGGCTACCAACTGTATTTGACCTCGTCTAGCGTTCTCTCTGCTAAAGTGGAGGGACGTGCGAGGAGCTGCAGTGCTGGTTCTAACGGGAAACTTGGACACCGCCAGGGCGTCGCGTGAGCTACGAGCGTGCAGGCACAGTCAAAGAAGGCCGGAGGGCATCACTTGTATACGTAACGAGTTACAAGTAACTGATTACTTGTAATTTTACATGTTATTGTAGCCTTTTCAAAGACCTTCCTTTTTTTTCGGTAACGTTTGCTGTAATTCAATTACTATTTTTTGAGTGTGTAATCAATTAGAAGTAATCAGTTATATGTTTCTGAAATAACAAAAATTATTGCGTTTTAGTTTTATTTTACGTAAAAAATCGCTCTGTCTGCCCTTGCATCTCTCGTCTATGTTGCACAAAGGTTGGAGACTTCTTTTTTTTTTTTTTTTACCCCTCAACATCTAGATAAAGATACCAGAAGGATTAGAACGTCAACGCGCTCAGCGATGTTTTGACTGTCGAGCAATACTGTTTGGCTGTACACAGGAAACTGCGCCGCGTTTCCTGTGTACTGGTTGTTACGATCCGGGTTTGCCACGGCATGAACGACTGTGTTCTGCACTGACTACATCTAGCCACGACACCCACCCCCATTTTATCGATTTCACTAGAGCGTGCTGAGCACGCGCCGGTGCTGCTCTTCAGCGAAGAGGCAGATACCTTCACCAGGAAACGTTGGAAGATGACTGACTTGAACTTCGAATGACTACTGCTGTTGAAGCTTATCAATTAGGTGTGAATTACAAAAAAGAAACAAGAACGTGACCACCTTCAACATATATACGCATTTTTTATTTCGTAATAAAACTTATAAAAAGTAACGGTAAAAGTAATCAATTACTTTGCGGT